CCCAACAAACACTCCCCCCTCCTACACAACCCTCACAGCCACCCCAGACCCAACCCCAACACCAAACCTCATAACCACCACCGCACCCGAATACCTCGCCCTCCTCACCGACTACAACGTCACCAGCTTCATCACAACCTCCATCTACCTCACCGTTCCCCCTCCCTCTTCCCCCTCTTCCCCCGACGAGTGTACCAACACCATCATCTGGATCTTCGACCTCACGCTCAACGGCGAGGAGGAGTTTCCTATCAAGGGCATTGGGTTGTTTGATTTGGTTTGGGTGGCGGTGGCGGAGGTGGAGAGGTGGGTGGCGGTTAGGTTTGAGGTGGAGTTTAATGCTTTGGCCGCTCTGGGGGCGGAGGAGGGGAGGGGGCCGGAGGTTGGTGGTCGTGGGGGACGGGGAGGGAGTGAGGTGGAGGAGTTGATGGGGTTGGTTGAGGAGAGACGTCTAACCTGAATGTTGGATGTCTGGGGTCTCTTGGAGGGAAAGTGTGTGCTGGCTGCGTTCTGAATCCTTTGCAGTCTGGATAACTTCAAGAGAAATGAGGTTGATCAGCACATGCTCTGACTGACTCACTTGATAATGCTCTCACCGCGAATGAAAGAGGGGGCTTCTTGTTCTAAGGTCGTGACATTAGACTACCTATCCTGCCATGATCTGTCGTTCACTGCAGAAACAAGCTACCGACCGAAAAAAGCCGCAAAGCTCCATGCAATGATATCCATGCCCACGACACGTCGATTGTTCTTCTGAGTCCGACCATGTCGTGTTTCGTTCCATTCAGTTACACATCAATGAAATAGTTATCCCGTCTCATCCATCGTCTATGCAAGATCTCTAGCATCCCATGCAGTCTTTGAACCTTCTCATCAGAGATTCACGAAGACAAAAGTGCGTCACCAGTCGAGTATACAAGATGTCTTCCTCTTTCTCGTCATGCTGGCTGGCGATGACATTTAGAACTCAGACTTGACAGTCTTCAAGAAGTCCTTGATGTCGTTCTCGAGCTTCTCCTCAAGCTCCTCAAGAGACTGGGCGACCTCGCTGGCCGTCTCGCCAACCTTCTCGACGACGTCGATGGGAGTGGCCTTGACCTTGGCCTCGAAGCCACCCTTCTCAATGATGGAAGAGTAGTTGGACGAGCCACCACCGTTCCATGCGAGGATGTTGGCAGTGTTGCTTGGGACGTCGGTGAGGACACCCTCAGTGGCGATGGAGATGAGGTTGGCCTTGAGCTTCTTTGGGGTAATGTCAGCGACAGCGTAGGCGGAGTCCTTGGCTGGCTGGAGAGAGAGCAGGTAGGCGAGGAGACCAGCAATGTGTGGGGAAGCCATGGAGGTACCGGAGATGGTGTTGACGGCGTACTTGCTGCCGATCCAGGTGGACTGAATGTTGAGACCTGGGGCGAAGATGTCGTTGCACTTGCCGTAGTTGGAGAAGTAGGCACGCTCGTCAGCGAGGGTGGAGGCACCAACAGTGACGGCGTTCTCAGCGGCGGCTGGGGAGTAGTTGCAGGAGTCGGCGTTGTCGTTGCCAGCAGCGACAGCGAAGTGGATACCAGCATCAACGGCCGCGTTGACTGCCTGGTCAAGCAGAGAAGACTTGCCACCACCCAAGCTCATGTTGGCGGCAGAGCCACGGAAGCCCTTTCTCTTACCCTTCTTAGCGATAGAGACCTGCTCGCTGTGAGACTCGGCGGCGTACTCGACACCCTTGACGACATCAGACATGGAGCCAGAACCGTTAGAGCGCAGGACCTTGACGGCCTTGATGTGGGCCTTCTTGGCGACGCCGTACTTCTTGCCAGCAACAGTGCCAGAGCAGTGTGTTCCGTGTCCATTGCCATCCTCATCAGCATCGCCAGCTGGGATGGTCTTACCCCACGAAGCACGACCTTCAAAGTCGACGTGGTCAGTGTTAGTGCCGGTATCGATGATGTAGACGTCGACACCCTCGCCACCGTCCTCGGCGTAGAGGTACTTGTTGAAGGTACCGAAAGATAAGCTGTCGCGGTGGGAGATACGAGCAAGACCCCATGGGGCGTTCTTCTCGAGCTCACCATCACTGCTGAGGGTATGGACTTCTTGATCTCTCTCGATCAGCTCGACCTAGAAGAGGGCTGTCAGTGAATGGCTGGATGGCGAGTCCAAGCACTGTGATGGATCACGGGTGCCTGGGCGCGTAGTAAGACTCACATCTGGGTGTCGACGGATCTCCTCAATGACGTCTTCGTCAAAGTGACCCGAGTATCCCATAAAGCCACCTGCAAAGTTGTATGTGTGCTTGAGACCGTGGAAGATGTCGTCAAGCATTGGGGTCTGCGACCTCTTCTTCAGCTCCACCTTGGCCTTCTGGGTGTTGATGTGGAGGTCCTGGACCCAGTCGTGGTGCTGGGCGGCCAGGTTGGTAGTGACATGCTTCTTGAACTTGATCATGTAGCTGTCGGGGATCTCCTGCGCGTTTGCAGAGGAGAGGATGGGAGCTGCATCGCCGTGGATGGACGTCTCGTGCAGCATGGGCGAGGCCGAGGCCAGCAGCGGCAGCGCCATGCCGATGAAGGACTTCATGATGGCGGTGGATGTGATTGCAGCGTCCACCGGTGAAGCTGCAATGGGTTGTGTTGGATGAAAGAGATGGACAAGGTGGGTGGATAGACGAGGACAAGGTCGTGTGAGGGAGTTGTTGTAAGTAGGTTGGGAGGGAGATAAGAGGAGCTCAGGTCGCAGCTGCAGGCGGCAAGCTCGCTGTCGTCAGATGACGATGTCGCCGCAGAAACGGCACGTGCCCCTGGTGGTCAATGCTGCAATCGGGTACAGCCACATCACGCCAGCCTCGCTCCCGTTCACTCACGGCCAAAAGTCATGGCGGAACATGAACATCAATACCATGGTCTTTAATGTTTTGTTTGGATACAGAGATTGTTGATACAGTTTGCTGTTGCTTCTACTGCTCTCTGCCGTTGTTCTCGCCGTGGGGCTACTGCTTATCGCGCGTCACGAGCCACGCCTGCCCTCGATACGTCGTTACGCGCCACACACCCTTCTAGCCGCTTGTGCTCCGCTCTCTGCGAAACATGCCATCAGCTGGACTGCTGTGAGTGACTCCCTCCATCCCGCGCCGCCTCATTCTGCTCCCACTCGACTGCCAGCGCAAGACCATCTCCACCCCAACCGTTGTGTGGTCCATCCCTCGCGGCGTCCCGAAATAGCCAAACACCCGCCAAGACTTCGCTTCATCCGGCGTCAGCGTCCTCCAGCTCGACCACCACACTAGCCCAGGCCAAGCTCTTCGCTCTTTGAGTCTGCATTACACAGACACTCTCCGCGTGAATGGATCGATGCGTCCGCATGCCTCGAAGCCCAGAATGAGCGCGGTCTGTCTCACGGTCCTGCTCACCTGCGACTGCGAGAATGGCACTGGCCCTGCGGGTAGGCCAACCCGGTCGTCTGAGATCCTCCTCCAGAGGCTTGAACACGGATGAGCAGGCCACCGACACTGCGGCTCTCATTCAAAAACTTCTCATCCAGACAGGTACTTCACATGTTGACGAATACCGCCGGCTGGCAGAAACTGCGGAGAAATTGCGCCGCGACCTGGGCTCCCAGGACTCGTCAAAGGATACATTCCGACATGGCGGCGGCTTTGAAAGGATACTGGACCTGCTCAAGGAAGTTGATCTTCGGCACGACTCACCGCAACAAAATCATGACCAGTACTTCGCTACTTGCGTACGTCTTATCAGGAGTTTGCTGGGACTACTTGCCACCGCACTAGACGAGCATCATGGCAACGAGCGCTATTTCCACAGCCATCTCGACGGCTGGAGTGCTCTTCAGCATACATTTGACGATGCACAGAGCAGTGTTGTAAAATCGACTCCGTCGGAAACGGCGGCACATCATCTTGCTGTCCTGTACGACAGTCTGCTGGCTTTCGCTTTTGGACTTGATGATTTCGATGACTTCTCCTCCAAGCAAGCATCAACCTCTGACTATCAAGATGTCAAGTCCAGGAATCTGACGATCAAACATCCCTCCCCGTGCGCGGATGTCTTGCGACTGGCGCTTCAATCCTCGACATTCACGGGTGCGGCAGATGTTGATTCAATACTGGGTTTGTCAGCGCACGTTTTCCATGTCTTTCTCGAGATCTTGCAGGGCAGCATTCGCAACACGGTCGATCTTTGGAAGACGGGCGCACTGTCGGATGTATTGAAGATCACTTTGGGGACGAAAGTTCCACCATCATGGAGTCGGCATTGGGAAGCACTCGTCGTTTCCTTGGGACGATATGGCTTGAATGACCTAGACGATACTGCAATGCTCTTCAAAAAGGCCAACGAGTCTGATTCTACGAGAGCGAACCTCCTGCAGATACTACAGTCTTCGAAAGAGCCGGGCTTCTTTCAATTTGACCTGAAATTATGTGGTTTCTCTTCCATAGAGTTCTCTAGCCTCTCCCGAGGCTTTCCTTCTGCCTTTGGTTATACCTTATCGGCCTGGATCCGAATCGATGAATTCGACTCCAAAGCTCACACCACACTCTTTGGAGCTTTCGATGCCAGTCAGAAGTGCTTCGTTTTGATGTACTTGGAGAAGGACAGTCGCCAGCTCATCTTGCAAACTTCAGTCAGGGCACCAAACCCTAGCGTACGCTACAAGTCGATCCGATTTGAGGCGTCACGGTGGTATCATGTCGCTCTCACACATCGCAAGAATGGAACCGACCCAGCTCAAAGCATGGCATCGCTGTTCATCGACGGGCAATTCGCCGAACAGAGACGATGTATATACCCAGAATCTCCAGACGAGCATGGAGACGCTCCTGCCAGTGCTACCTCACCTCCTATCAATGCGTCGCGACGGTCGAGACCTGTGCAGGCCTTCTTTGGGACGCCTCGAAATGTGGCAACGAGAGTCGCGCCAGACGCCGTTACCTCTCGGTGGTCGTTGGGCAGTGCTCATATCTATGCCGTGCCGTTGACTGACGAGTTTATTGCGGTCCAACACCAGCTTGGGCCGCGATACACTGGCAACTACCAGGATTGTCTTGGCCCTGTGCTCACATATCGTGCTTCAGCGGAACTCAACCGCTACAACGAGACATTACACCCAGATAAATCTGATCGGTCGGACATTGTCACGGCAACCGAAGGACGAGGCAGCGAAGTGGTGCCTGAGTCTCGTTTGCTTTTGAGTATATGCCCATCGTCTGTCATCGATTTCGCGGCATCGACTGCACAGTCGGCTGCCGTCAGGTACGAGCTGGACAGCAAAGCTCTATCAAAGTATCAGCACCTGTCTCAGAAGGCAAGTGCTGTCGCAATCAACACTGCCATTGGTACGGTTGGTGAAGCCATAGCAAGCACGAGGGGGGCTGGCATCGTCACAGGTGATCCAGTCATCGTCGTCCCTCGAGCATTGGATGACGCCAGCTGGGGATTAGGTGGATCGCTTCCGGTCTTCCTTCAACTCATGGAGTCGGCCAACTCTAAGACTTCCTTTCTACAAGCAGTGGAAATCACATTCGATTGCATAAAAGACAACTGGCGAACGAGTGAGGCTATGGAGAAAGGTCATGGCTTTGGAGTGTTTGCAATGATCATTCGAGAGAAGCTTGGAGTCGAGACCCCTTCGCCTCAAACACTGCACAGAAAGCCCGCCTCGATGCTCAACCTCGAAGATCTTCAATCCATGCCTGTGGAGCTTTTGAATCTTGTATTGAGCTTTGTGGGTTACGACAAGGACCATCCTGACTTCTCGCTTCTGGTAAACCCCATGGCCTACCGTATCCTCTTGCTCGATTTCGACACATGGCGGAGATGCAACCTAGAGACGCAAGAGCTGTACTACACGCAATTCGCCCATTTTGTCGCTGGCAATAGGAACAGCGCCTTCAACATGAAGCGGCTTGTCAGGATGAGGGTCATCAAGAAGTTGATTGAGGCTTTGAAATCTGAGGACATCACCAAGGATGCCGCTGCGCTTCTGATGACTTCGCTAAAAGCTCTCCTGGACGGCAACTCTGCCCAGACGCTTTATCGAGATGTGGCCATGTTTGTTGCATTTGGTCTGCATGACAGCAGAGCAATGCCAATCACCTCAATGAGGACCATGGCAAGCACGGTAGGTCTGCGGCAGAAGATGGGCTCATGGGCGCGCAGTGCCCGTGGTTCACGGCCATCAACTCCTGTTGGTGCTCCAATGCAGCCTCAAGACCCAGGCTTGCCTCGATACGAGCTTGCTCTTCTGGCATTGAGGTTGCTGGCGGAAACCATCAACGAAGACAAGACTGGATCTGCCATTCGCCGTTTCAACCGTGCTGTACCTAACAGGTGGCTCCTCCACATCCTTGCGGAGGGCGATGTTCGCGTTGTGGAACTCGCGCTTAGCATCATCTGCAGAGCATTGACGACTTTGGGTCCCGAGTTCAAAGCAGCATTCATCGACAGAAGCAGTGGGTTCATAACGCTCAAATCGCGCTTGAAGCCTTTCTGGCGATCCAAGATAGTGTGGCAGCTGTGCTTCGCCATTTTCTTTGGACGGACCATACCCCTCGACTGGTTGTCAGAAGAGTTTACTGCCTTCCATCTTGTGGAAATACTTAGCATCAATGACAGCACGACGATCGCGAATCCCGAAGTATTGCCTACACTGTTCGCAATGCTCGAGGCCGGTCTGAGACATGTCTCCAAGGACGACGAAAACGACGGTCCAGATGCGAAGGTTCTGAAGACGGTGATCCAGTTCTTGAGTGAGCTTTACGAACGAAGCAGCGCCTTTCGAGAGTTCGCTGGCAGCTCTCGCTACCTTCAAGATCTTCTGTTCGTGCTCTTCCCACTCTTGACCGGCTCGGACAGGTTGGCGGCAGACACTGAACTCCAATCCGAGGGGCTGTCATTCAAGGGTGAAGAGGTCAAGATGCGGCCGCATTCAAACTCAATCGGGGAGCGACCGCCTTCAGTCCGCAGCCTTAAGATGGAGACAGGGAAGCGAACGCCTTCGCCCATGTCTGCGAATCGAGTACAGGCACCGCAACGCATCTCCTCTTTTGTCTTGGTCAATGACGATGACAACCGTTTGCATGTGCCACCTGCCCAGTTCAATGCACCAATGGCCCCCAAGGCGAGTGCCCCCTTGAAGATCAGCATCACCAATTCACTGGTCGAGAGTCTGCTGGAGCTTGCAGTCAGCCTGTTCATTGACCAAGTTTGTTACAAGGACAAGTTCAGCGGGGTTGGTCTGTTCTTGAAGGTGCCTCCCGGCTTTCGGGAGCATCAGGCTTACTTTGAGTCTTATGTCCTCGTCAATGCGTTGTCGCAGCTTGGAAGTCATCTACGGCTGAACCAAAGCCTTCTCGTCGAGACTCGAGTGTTGGCCAACTTGGCACGCTACTGTCAACACATGGCCGAAGCCGTATCAGAAGGGTGGTTCATCGATGGGGCTCAACCACTTCTTGATTTTACAGGCGAGATCCTAGAGCACTTGCAGCAACCTGAAATCTCTTCGGTCAAATCAGTGAGGCTGTGCAGCCAGTCGACCAACTCCATTCGCGTTGTATTTCTCAAAGCGACCCTCTGGCGACTGGCGGAACTGGATGAGGATGCCAATGAGCAACATGTGGGAGACTTTTTGAACAAGATGTTATACTGGCAAACAATCTTGTTCGCCGCAGAGAACCAGGAGACTCTCTTCACGAAGCTCATATGCTACCTGCTGTACCACAAGCTGATGTCCGGCGTCAAATCAGTCAGGCTGGCTGCTGCACGGCTCTGGAGAATGGTCCTTGTACAGAAGCCTACCGAAACCGCAACCATGCTGACCAATACCATGGGCCCGGAGCAACGACATCTTTCTACCGGTTTCATGAAGTTGGTGTCGATGGATGATGACGACTTCCTCACCTGGGTAGACAAGAATCGAGCCACTCTCGATGCGGTCTTTCACAACTCCTTGAGCAAGCCCTGGGACGATTTCGTTAACATCGAGAATCGAAGTGCCGAGGAAACGAACAAGAACAGGCTCAACAAACGTCGAGAGAAACTGCGCCAGTGGCATACGGAAGAAACAACCGCCGACGACTTCATTCACAAGTATGAGGTCTCGACCAACCACTGGCGAGCCAATGTACACGCCCAAGAGCGCGTGAAGCTGCAGCGAGGACTGCAAGATCATCAAGAAAATGTCAACCAGCTGTACACAGCCTTTGCGAGCATGGAGAAGGCTTTGCATCAGCCCTGTGGCCTTTCGCCTTCCAGTCTACCTCCTAAGTGGCGACTGGATGAGACAGAGGCTGTGAATCGAATGAGAATGCGCATCATACCGGACACTTCCCATCTCAAGGACACCTTCCAGCCGAAGCGAAAGGCATCGACAAGAGCGCCGAATGGTCTCGCCGTGAACACGCAGATTCCCCGGATAGTCTCTGACGAGCCTACGCCCACCATGACGCCTACTGCAATAACTCCACTGCAGGCCACGATGGATGGATCGGCGGAACAGAATGAGCAGGGAAGGTCCAGGAGTGACTCTGTTTCCAACTCCCAGCTGCTCGAAGGCGGCTTTGAGATTGTTGATGATCCGAAAGAAGATGAGGATGGTCTAATCGAAGACAAGAATCGGAAAGTCATGACGAGCCTCCAGCATGGCGACATGGTCCAGGGGCTGTACAACACATCTCGCATCGTCGGTCTCGAAGCGTGTGAAGGCTTGATCGTCATCGGTCAGAAATGCTTGTACATGCAAGACAACTTCTTCCAGAGATCAGATGGTGAGATTGTGAGTGTCTCACAAGCGCCAGAAGACGAACGAGATCCTTACGTACAGCTCATATCTGGCAAGGATGTCGGCTCGACAAGGACCAAGCATAGTGTCGGGGACCAGGAGACTCGACATTGGACTTGGGCGGAGGTGCTGAGTGTCTCGAAGCGACGTTTCCTCCTTCGAGACGTTGCCATCGAAGTCTTCTTTACCGATGGGCGCAGCTATCTCCTTACTTGCATGTCTTCCAAAGTGCGTGATGACCTCTACAGCTCTATCATCAGCAGAGCACCACATGTACACAGCACGACCGCGGTTGCGAATGAGGATGCGTGGCGACTGGATACTCTGAGGAACCCGGAAGATGCACCCAAGAATCTGGGCTCCAAGTTTGGCAGCCTTTTCAACTCGGGCCCAGCGAATACGGCAACGAAGAAGTGGCAGCGTGGAGAAATGTCAAACTTCCAATATCTCATGCTCATCAACACCATGGCGGGGAGGACTTTTAACGATCTGACGCAGTATCCTGTATTCCCATGGGTCCTTGCCGACTACTCCAGCGAAGAGCTCGATCTGGATGACCCAAAGTCGTTCAGAGACTTCTCAAAACCCATGGGCTGCCAGACGCCGGCGAGAGAAGCCGAGTACAAAGATCGATACCAGCAGTTCGCTGAAATGGGAGACGGCATGGCACCTGCTTTTCACTACGGGACGCACTACTCTTCGGCAATGATTGTCAGCTCGTTCCTCATTCGGCTGCAGCCATTTGTGCAGTCTTATCTGCTCTTGCAAGGTGGCTCGTTCGATCACGCAGACAGACTATTCGACTCCATCGAGAAAGCCTGGCTCTCTGCATCCAGAGATACCATGAGCGATGTACGCGAACTCACGCCAGAGTTCTTCTACCTGCCGGAGTTCCTCGTCAATATCAATAAGTACGACTTTGGCGCGAAGCAGGTCAGCGGAGCGCTTGTGGATGATGTCCATCTGCCGAAGTGGGCAAAAGGCGATCCTCAGATCTTCATTGCGAAGCATCGAGAAGCCTTGGAGAGTCGGTACGTCAGCGAGCATCTTCACGACTGGATCGATCTTGTCTTTGGGTTCAGGCAACGTGGAGAAGCTGCCATTGAGGCTACGAATGTCTTCCAGCACTTGTCATACGGCGGCGCCAAGGACCTCGACAAGATTGATGACCAAGTTGAGCGGCTTGCTACGATAGGCATCATTCATTCGTTCGGACAGACGCCTCATCAAGTGTTCAGCAAGCCACATTCGTACCGTGAGTTGGACAAGCAAGCAGAGCAGAAGCTAGATACTTTGGCCGAGACGCTCACACGATTACCTGACACGCTACTTCGAATAGGCGAAAAAGTCGCGGATTTGACGTTTTCGCCGACTCAGACTCGTCTGCTTGCTAGTGGGCCTTACAAGCTCAACATGCTTCCTGACTGTGATCGCTTTGTGCAGTGGGGCTTCGCTGACAACAGTATTCGCTTCTTCTCAAATCACACCAAGCGATTGCTTGGCCTGTACGAGAACACGCACGTGGGCCCTATCACTACCGCAACTTTCGGTGACAGCAAGACCTTGATTACGGCTGGACAAGACTGCACCATCGGCGTATGGAAAGTCATTGCGACAAAGAATCTGATTGAGATTCAATCCAAGGCATATCTGTTCGGTCACCGCACGGCCGTTACTGTCCTAGCTGCAAGCCGTGTCTTCTCGACTCTCGTCTCCGCATCCGCGGACGGACAGGTCCTCGTATGGGGCTTGAACAGACACGACTGCATCAGAGTCCTCCTCCCAACCGGCGACCCACCAATCCAAGCCGCCCGCATCAGCAACGTCAGCGGCCACATCCTGCTCTGTCGCGGCCCCTACGCCCTACTCTACACCCTCAACGGGCACCTCCTCGTCAAGCAAAGACTCTGCGACCGCGACACCGACGAAATCCTCTGCTGCGCTTTCTACGAGGGCGCGGGCAGCGAGTACCTCGAGCGCGAACTCATCTTCACGGGCCACGCGCACGGCGTCACGAATGTCTGGACGTTGACGAGTTTGGGCGATGGGTCGTGGACGTTGTTGTTGGTTAAGAAGATGGGGCATGATGTGAGTGGGAATCATGTACCGGCGGCTATTACGGCGGTGTTGCCGGTTAGCAAGGCGGTTTATACCGGGGATGAGGAGGGGAATGTTTGGAGTTGGGAGTGTGTTGTTAGGCATAGTAGTGTTAGTTATAGGGGGAGGGGATGAGTGTGGTGGGGTTTGTGGTTGGGATGGGATGATGGGATGAGGGAATTATGGATCAAAAGAAGGAGGACGTTGTTGTTTGTGTATGATGTTTGAATACAAAAGGACATGATGCTATTGCTACTACTACTCGTCTCCGATGAACGAAGGCGAAGTGAAGTTCTTCAAACCAACCAATCACATCACCCCGGACGAAATTCCGGCTCGTAAGGATTCTTCTTCTTCAAACTCCATCCCCTTCATTCTCCTTTCCATTCCAATCTCAGCTCCAAGATTTTCCGGCTATCCAAAATGGGACCTTCACTGCGCTCCTTCCAAATCCAAAAAGACGCCCAAGGCAACGAAATCCAAGTCCACATCAGCGAAACCCCCGGTCTCAAAGCGGAAAATCTGGGCTTGGCGACTTGGGGGAGTAGTTATATCCTCGCGAATCAACTATATCGATGGAAGGAGGATGCTCTGAAGGCCAATGAACGGACGATCACGACCCAGAATCATCCGAATGGAAATGGCGCTGGTGAGGCTGAGAGGATCCCTGTCCTCGAACTCGGCGCTGGCACCTCGCTCGTGGGGATCTCAGCAGCAGCGGTTTGGGGCTTGCCGGTGATAGTGACGGACCTGGAGCCTTTGATGGCGGGGCTGGAGCAGAATATCGCTGTCAACCGGGAGTTGCTCCAGCAAGTCGGGGCGGAGGTACGTTGCGGAACTCTAGACTGGACGCACCCCTCCCGCCTGCAACTCCACAACTTCACCTCCCTCATCGACACCTCCCGCGCCAAAGCCTCCATCCTCCTCGCAGCCGACACCGTCTACGCCGAAGACCACCCGACCCTCCTGCGGGACGCGATCCGGACGTGTCTGGCGCGGACCCCCGAGGCGAGGGTCGTGTTGTGTTATGTGCTAAGGCATAGTTATATTGAGATTATTAGGGAGTTGTGGGGGGTTTTGGAGGGGGAGGTGGGCTTGGTTTGTGTGGAGGAGGGGAGGGTGGATGCGGAGCCGGAGAGGTGGGATGATGTGGCGCCTTTTGAGTGGTGTGTTTGGCGGTGGAGGGATTTGGGGGAGGGGGAAGGGGTGGAGGGTTGATGGGGTTGGTGAGGTTTTGCTGGAAGGGCTATGGATTTTAACGGCGGCTTCAGTTGACTGGGATGGAGACAGAGGAGGCAATGACGGCCATGAGCGTCCTTTGTACCACCGAAACCGCTCTCCCCGCTAGATCATGCTTCACAGCCCACTGGAAGCAGGTTTCCGCTCGGTCTTGCACGACGTTCCAAAACGGAGCAGCAAACGATCCGAAAAGACACTTGAGCTTTGGGATATCCCAGTGCAAAACTTCGCGCGGGATATCTTTTCTCTGCAAAAAATCGTTCCCGCCACATCGTCCAATGCTGAAACGCTCTGCAGTGATGTCGGTCAGAATTGTCATGGTCGTGATCGTTTTTGCCTGCTTGACGAAAGCACAAACGACTGGCTCCAGAGATCCCACTGCTGCTGCGTTGTCGACGATCCTCCATTCTACTCCATCGGTCGTTGCTGGCTCCATCGTCTTATACGACCCCTGCAAGACTGAAGTCGAGTTCATCATGACCTGTCCCGCGAGCTATGAGTGTTCGGCCTGGAATAACATCACCGTAAGTCTCCACCGTGCAGGTGCCTTGCTCGTCTAAAACTTTCATAGGCATCGTGTACATACGCCCCGACGACTCATCGATGCACCATTCCGATGCGGGACGGCAATAGGACTGTAAGTCCCACCACCAAGCAGCCTGACACGACTGTCTTGATAGACTGCCTCTATCCTGCGAACTCCAAAGCTACGTGTTCCACAAGCGTTATGGGCTCGGATATCGACGCGGCTTATTCGACGACTTTTGTTGAGACGCTGTCGGATACACCGCCTTCGCCGACGGATATTGGGGGGATCAATTCTTACCATGGTGTTACTATTGCGGATGGGCTGGAGAAGATGTCGGCGGGTACGGCTTCTTGCACTTCGAGATCGACGGGGATGGCTGCGAGAGCCACTGCTATGAGAAAGGTTCATAAGGTCTTGGTGCCAGTTGGTGCTGCTGCGATGGTGGGGGTAGTCATCTAGACTGGTGGATGTGATGGTGGTGTTCGATCAGAATCGGTTAGGAGGGCGTTCACATGCATGGAACTTGCTTTGTCTGAAGGGGCTTTATTTGTCCAGTCGGTTGTAGAAGGCTGAAATGAGACAGCGTGATGATTGAAAGATGCTTGTAGCACATGATTGAAACGACAATTATGAATGATGCCTTTAAATAGAGCCGAAGATCAAGACTGCTTGTGATCGCGACTGCCTATATGACCCTTCACTCCTTCCTCCACTAAATCCAACATTGCAGCAGCAACAACGACTTCAAGACCCAGTCACATACATTCAACCATCAAACATGACCACCACACCACGAACCAAAATGGCCACCACCGACACCACCTCCCAGAACTCAGAACACCTCGCCCTCCTCTCCGCCGCCCAACCGCAACCCCAATACTCCAACACCAGCACCAACACCCATCAAGAAGAAGACGACGAAGAAGAAGGCGACCTAGAACGCGACTTCCCCCCAATCTCCCCCTTGCCCACACCGCCCAAGAAACCCGCTGTCACCACCAACAACAAAGCCCCTCCCACCTCCCAAACCACCACCGAACACCAATTCGCCTCCGCCGTCAAGGAGAACCGCCGGCAAGATGTACCAAAACCTCTGACTCCTCCGGCTCTGGGATTGACGCCTATTTCGGTGGGAACGGCGGCTTCGCGGAATCCGCCTGAGAGGCCGCAGAATGAGTGGTTGAATAGGGTGTTTCGGGAGGTGGCGAGGAGGGCGGTTGAGGGGAAGGGGAATGGGGAGCGGGAGGGGGTTTGAGGGGTGGAGTGAAGATGGAGGGTGAGTGTCACAGGGGTATAGGGTGAGGCTTGGTTGCTGACGTTGCTGTTGAAAGAACATTGGAGGGATCTCTACGGGTCTTTAGCCCAGGCTAGGAGCCAGCATGTGCTGGCACACGCACGTAAATCTGCTTTGTTCACAGGGGTTTCCACTTCTTCACATGCTTCTTAGCGGGATGTGTATCGGTGGATCATGAGCTGCGGAATGGAAGGGACAGAGTAATATCGAAAGCAACATTCGGGAGCGCTAGTCTTGCGGCGTTACTCAAGCCAGTTAGTTCTGCAGCATAGTTAGCTGCTGAATCACAGAGCTGAACGAACTTGCTATTGAATCAATGGGGGCCTGACTCAATGTCAAGTACATAAATACTTGGCAGTTGTCACTGTCAAGTGCCTATCCATAGTCCTCCAAGCACTTTTCTTCATTCAAGCACCTCACTCCGTATTCTGCAAAATCACAGCAATGTCCCACTCGGAAATCAACCCATCCATCCTCTACTGGGGCACTCCAGTCGTCCTCATCACGACGGAAAACGAAGATGGGACATACAACATCGGCCCAATGTCTTCCGCTTGGTGGATTGGCTCGTCGTGCATGTTGGGTCTTGAGCATACGTCGCAGACGACACTCAATCTGCAAGTATTCCATCATTCAGACTTTCGCGATCGAGTGCTAATCTCCTGTTTTCCAGCCTGCGCACGAAGCAATGTGTCCTCAATCTCCCCTCCGACGACATGACCTCCGCAGTCAATGCCCTTGCCCGTACGACCGGCACTCCAGAGGTCCCAGCAGGGAAGATCGCGCGAGGCTATCGCCACGTCAAAGACAAGTTTGGCGCCGCAGGCCTGACGCCCGAAACATCCGCCATGGTTCGCCCTCCTCGCATCAAAGAATGCCCTGTGCAGATGGAAGCCGAGCTGCATGTACATCACAATATTCTGACTCACATCTTGGATCCGGAAGGTGGTGTCCCGCTGGCTCTCGAAGTGAAAGTGCTCAAGACGTATGTGGTTGATGAGTTGCGTCTTTCTGGGCATACCAATCGTATCGATCCAGACAAGTGGAGGCCCATGATCATGATGTTTCAACATCTGTACGGGCTCAAGGGCGGAATGTTGGCGGAGTCGACGTTGGCGGGCGTTGAGGAGGAGTTGTATAGGATGCCTGCGACCAAGTCCAGTTGGGCTGTTTGATGACAGACTCAATCGACCATAATCGTTAGAGGAAGCGGTTCCAGATCATAGATAATACAATCGTGGTGTTCGACGCTTCTGTTACAGACCAGCTTCCTGAGTGAGAGTGCACGAAACTGTCGAGGAAGATTGATCGCTAACCCATACCATTCTGCCAATTGCCAGTCCCTTGCATGGTTGTAGCCTTACCGAACGGGTGCTCAAGAGCTTCGACAACCGCGCGAACCTTCTGTTGGACTACCGGTCCTTGCTCGTCCAACATTTCTTCCACTGGCACCAGAACGTAGTACAGCTTCGGGAATGATCGCTCCAAAGCCATCATAGCGTCCACTGTAGTGGCAACAAGCTCCAGCTTGCACACTTGTGCCTCTTCAAAAGCCATCAAGAGAACCCCGTCCATCGTGTCGACAACGCTGTAATGGATCGGGAAACTTATTGGGGCATCGTTCACGTTTTTCGGTAGGTCTAAAGCTTGAGGCACTGCAGCGTTGCTGTTCATATCAATGGTTCCGAAATCGAAGGGGTAATTGTCGAAGAGCGCTGGATCTTCGGGTCCAGCTGCAAGCCAGTCGTCGAAGGTAAAGTCGGGTGTCTTCACAGTATCAGGAGTTGCGCTAGATGCATGCTGGGGTGTCGCATCGTATGCGAGTGATGGAGTGCTGATTGTTGAATCGCCAGGAATGGCCGCCTGAGGCGATGTTTCCGACATTCGACTCTGCCGCCGCTGCAGTGCATAATCACGCGGTGTGAGGCCAGTCGCCTTCTTGAAGCAGCGATGGAAGTGATACTTGGTCAAACCGGCTGCAGACGCCAAAGTTTCCAGTCTGGGCAAAGGCGCATCGTTCGGTAGATTCTCGAGCATCTGCCGCACTTTCTCAATCGACTGCTCTGATTCTGGGACGAACTTCGCGAGCTCAGGTCGGCATCTCTTGCAGGCTCGAAAGCCTAGTCCCTGAGCCTCTGGGCCAGTATTGGCGAAGCCGATGTTGGAGCGACGGGCCAGCCTGGCGTTGCATGTTGGGCGGCAGAAGATCTTGGTTGTTTTCACCGTGTATACGAAGTGGCCTTCGGCGTTGGGGTCTCGAGATTTCACGGCGGCCCAGCGTTCGGCTTCTGTCGTGTAGGCCATCGTGTCGATTGTAGAGAGTATGAAGTCGATGGAGAGACTGGCACATGGAATCTACAGGCCATCATGATGACGGCGAGGCAACGAGGAGGTTGCGAGTGCGATGTGTGGCGTCGTTGCTCTCCAATTGTCCAGTCCACCAATCACAAGCCACGCCCAGCCCCACTTTCCTGTTGACTTCACCCTTCGAAACGACTCATCTTGCTCTCGAATTTGTAGCCTCGAAACCTGGTTCATGACCTAGCCTGGACTCACGAAATGAATCCTGTATACGATATCGGACACAATAGACATTGATGGTACATTCTGTGCCCCAATGGCCCTGGGATGATGTCCTGGAGCTGACCGGGTAATGACACAACCGGAAGATCGACCGCCAAGCGACAATGGACTATCAGGAAGCAGAGCACGCCAAATGCACAGCGGGGCTCACCTGCGATCAAGAGACGAATGGCTCAGAGCATGCTAACGAGACTGCAAAGCCTGCAACGGCTGCAGAGGCAACCATTGGCCGACATGCTCACCGCTTGGCTCGATGCCTCTTCTGTGCGGAGGGCAAGCACGTTGGTGCAGCATTCGACCTGGTGGAAGATAGAAAAAATATCAAACGATTCGAGACGGTTTGTGGGGAGAGTCTGGGGCCCCAGAATCGCTCTCCACACTAAAGAGACTTGCCAGGCAGAGACTTCTTCCCTCTCAATCGTGCCCAATATCAACTGCCATGCTTTAACAACAGGCTTTTCCTCGGTAATGCCATGCAATCTGGACGGATCGAAATGAACCGACGTTCCATCAAATGAGGGGCTTGGTGGGTTACAAAAGGTCGAGAACCAGGTAAGATACATACTTCAGCCTTTTCTGTTTCTAGGTTCAGCCAAGTCAACCATGTTCCACACTTCACTTACTGCTCTGGTCCCCTTCTGGGCGGCTTTGGCTTCATGCTTCCCACATCATTCCATCCACAACAACCTCCTGGTCAAAACCGAGTCTTTCGCCGTCCAAGGCACGGTCTGGCCGAACAATTCAGCTGCACACTTCTATGGCAACATACCGTATGCCGAACCGCCTGTTGGCGGACTCCGCTGGCGCCCGCCAGTGACGAGGTCCCCAAGCGCTGAAGTTATCAATGGTTCCTGGTTTGGTCCGTCATGTATTCAGTACAGCAATGGAGAGGAAACTGCGTACACGGAGTATCTGACGGGCTTTCTTATCTCTCCTGGTCAGACTCAAAGCGAGGGTAAGGAAGCAAGTGGAAGCGCTGCGAATTTCTCGGCTGACAAAGTGTTGAGACTGTCTAACGCTCAATGTTTGGGCTCCAAAGAATGCGACCAAGAGCGACAAGCTGCCTGTAATGATATGGATCCATGGTTCGTATTTGACATTCCTCAACCAAGTATATTGCCTGACATCCTATGCTTGCAGGCGGTGGCTTCACGTCAGGCGGAGCAGCGAGTCAGTATAAATACGGTGATCGCCTAGCATCTGATCAGAACGTCATTGTCGTGGCATTGAAGTGCGTACTTTGTCCTTGAGATAATAAGAACAGACGCTGACCCGTGCACAGCTACCGCCTCAACATCTTCGGTTATCCGAATGCTGCAGCGCTCAACGGCAGGAACTTGAATCCGGGCTTACTCGACCAACGCAAGGCAGTTGAGTGGGTTTACCAGAGCATCTACGCATTCGGTGGAGATGCCGAGCAAATGACCCTATTCGGCCAATCGGTATGAAGTTCGCTCCCGCCCAGGTTGCAATGTTACTGACCACATCTAGGCTGGAGGGATAGCCGTCGACTTCTACACATACGCATACCCATTCGATCCTCTGGTCCAAGGCTTCATACCACAATCTGGCGTTGCCACTAGTGCCACCCCCGATCGAACCGGCTCCAACTTCACATATGTAGCCTCTCGCGTTGGATGCGGCAACACGACGAATCCAGATGAAACCTTTCCTGCATGCAACAGGTAGATGCACAGACCATCATCGAGGTGTACAATAGCTACAACGCAACCCTGAACGGCGGCAAAGCGCTCTCGTTCTCGCCGACGGCAGACAACCTGACTCGCTTCGAAAACTATACCGACTTGCAAACCAGGGGCCTGTTCGCGCATCGTCCGACAATATATTCCATGGTCAACAACGAGGGCAACACTCTCCTAGACTACGACCCAGCAGGAGTCAACCAAACCGCCGCAGCCGCCTTCACCGCCTCGTTCGCAAATTGTCCAGGGGACGCCGCCGCAGCAGCGAAAGCATCATTCGGTGTACCCGTGTGGAGAACGCGCTACTTCGGCACCTGGCCAAATCTCAATCCACTTCCATGGTTAGGAGCATTCCATTCTTCAGACCTTCCTATGATCTTTGGCACGTCCGATCTACGCGGTCCAGATACAGCAGCTGAGACAGCCACTTCGAAGTACTATCAGGGTGCTTGGGCTGCGTTTGCGAGGGATCCGAGCAATGGGCTGAAGGATTATGGATGGCCGACGTATGATCCGAACGGCAGGACGTTGATTGAGCTTGGGTTGAATGGAAGCACAAGTGCGGTGTTTGTCGAGAGTGATACTTTCCAGTCGCAGTGCCAAGCGTAGACATGTTCTGCTCGGATCTCGAAGCGAAACATAGGACCTCTGCAAAACCACCTTCTTCCTATTTTGGAAAGAGGTAAATGAATAAGCAGTTCGCTGAACTTCGGATTGACGCACCTTCGGGGCCATGTTGTTCACTCATCGTGCAACAAAGCAATTCCGTGGACATGAATACAACTCTTACTCTCGGCTTCATGTCGCCCTCGAAGTCTGTTTGAAAGCCGACAGCCTTGATGACCACCATAGGCACGGCTTGTGAACTAAGGCGTCCCGATATCGCCTTGTTAAGCCGTTGCCATCCACACGATCAACATGACCTCGTCGGAAGTATAGGAGATAGGCAGCGGATATTGAAGTATTTACGAAGTCTTCGACATCTTTATTTGATGATTGAGAATGTGGTTGGCAACCTGGTTACTAAAGGCAATGTTCGAGGCCCGTGCGTGGACGTTGGTGAACTCTGTTTCTTCGAGATTCGGACGCTGAGGTGAGCTTCGTTGTACGACTCTCGACACGCCAACCGGACGACGAAACAAAGCTATCCATAGGAAAAAGAACGCTTTTAATAATTGAAAGATGATGGAAAACTGCATCATCCCCTCGCGAAAGTCTCGGCGAGTCTCGCTCACCCTGCAGCTCACCCCAGCGAAAGCTTGAACACGCCCGCGAACCCGGCACCAGACACAGGCACGGGTAAGAGACGCAGTGCCGGCATCGGATAACAATCGGGAGAGGGGCAAGCAAGCAAGCGAGCGAGCTTCAAAGCTTTACAATCCACCCATCAGCCAGTGGGGACCGTGATGATAGCTGCTCGAAGGATTGGCCAGCTCTGTCCTTCGAGAGCTTTTGCGAGATCTTCGTCATAAGAAGGGTGACGAATCCCTGTTGTTGTTCTCTTACTGTTCTTCTTCGTTCTCATCAGTCTCACACGTTCCGAATCACTCTATTCACATAGTATTTCTTATCAAAATGGCATCCAACCCACCAGGAAAGTGCTGCACTATTGGTGTTAAGCATGAGGGCACGCCGACTGGCGAGCTGAAGAACATTGGTGACGGTAAGCAGAAGGGCGGCATTCGAAAAATCAATGGGATCTAACATGACCATTATCAGTCTCGACCTACTTCGCCTATCCCGAATCCAAGGATACCTCCACCGCAATCCTCATCCTCACAGACGTCATCGGCCACAAGTTCGAGAACGCCCAGCTCATCGCCGACCAGTTCGCCGCCAATGGCTACTACGTCGTGATGCCCGATCTCTTCGAGGGCGACCCAATCCCCCTCAACCGACCAGCGGATTTCGACATCATGAAGTGGCTCACGACTTCAGGCCCCTCCAAGGGTCACACGAAGGAGACGGTGGACCCGATCGTTGAGAAGATCATCAAGGACATGAAGCAGAACCAGGGCGTGAAGAAGATTGGCGCGGTGGGCTACTGCTTTGGCGCGAAATACGTCGCTCGCTTCATGACTGGCGGCAAGGGTGTGGATGTGGGTTACATGGCGCATCCTAGCTTTGTGGATGCCGATGAGGTCAAGGCTTTGACTGGCCCTCTGTCGATTGCTGCTGCCGGTGCGTAGTCACACTGTTGCCGCGAATGCTTCGACAGCTCGATACTGACATCACAGCAGAAACCGACCAGATCTTCCCCGCGGAGAAGCGCCGAGAGACGGAAGACATCATCAAGGACATGTCCATCCCATACCAGATCTCGCTCTACAGCGATGTCGAGCACGGCTTCGCTGTTCGTGCGGACACCACCAAGGCGCCAGTAAAGTACGCCAAGGAGGCTGCATTCCTGCAGGCTGTTGCTTGGTTCGACGAGTTCCTCAAGGGTAGCAGGAGCTGGGCCGCGTAAGTAGCATAGAATTATGCCTAGCAGAGAATCTCGAGAGTCATGGCATTGATGGCAACACCCAGACCTGCCGCTTCGGCGAGCAGACTGTAGGCGACATAGACCGTGAATGTCCAACTTGTACTCTCGAAGCTCGCGTTGGCTCTCCCTACGCCAACAGGTTAATAGAAATCCTCATCACACCATTCCCAATCGCCTGCCTCGAGCCACCCGTTGTTCTCCGGCCAGTGCGTGTCCAAGCACAACCGATGCTGCATCCTCATCTGTCCATACAAATATGGCGGATACCATGAGCGAGCAAAATAGCCCCATACCTGCATCCTCGCGTCTTTCTTGCGGAAATCCTGTGCTATAGCGTTGATAATTCTTTGGTGATCTTCAAACGAATGGATCCGGCTGTCCTCCACGACAAGATTGAAATGTTTCAGTGCAACGCCCTTGTCGGCGAGCGCTTGGACCGGCGAGAACGCTTGGAGGAAGCGATGCGATCGTGATGGATACCATGGTGATGGAGGTGACATGAACCTGGTGTACGTCCGTAGATTCGGCGGCGCAGAAAACCGGCGGTCGAAGATGAGGCGGTGGAGGGAATCGTCCTCGCCACAGAAGATCTCTTGCAGCCTTGTGAAGGATCCAAAGCTAGCGTCTGGATTTTGGGACAGGCTGGTGAGACTGGCTTCTAGTTCGTCCGGACTGTACGACACACCGGTGCTATATCCGAGGAATTTGAGCGATTTGGCCTGGTGTTTGAGCGCAGTGATGACCTTGAGCACGTCTTTCCGGCAAAGATCGTCGTAGCAGTCTTGTGGAAGGAGGTACCAGCGGTCCGTTTCCCATTCATGCTGGCATCCCACTTCTTCTCGAGCTTCCCCGATATGCAAATGCTCCAGCGCGAGGGGAAGCGACAGCATGTCGAATACCGCCTCGTGAGTGACGTGGCACTCCACGAGTTTGAGTCGTTTGAGCGGGGTGCGAGGGAGACTCATGACTTCTCTGAATGCAGTAGGGGGAAAAGCGGCGTATGACACGAACAGGTCTTCGAGGCTTGGATGAGCGAAGATCTTCGCCCACGACTTCTCGATAATCCAGAATCGGCACTGTTGATCCGAGTGTGCTGCCCGCGTTCCCGAGAGATGCAGAGTCAGTCTCTTCAGCCTCTGCAAGGGCAAATTGCGAATCGACGGGGGCACATCTGACCTTGCAGCTGATGCTAGGGTTGTGAGAAGAGAAGACAAGGTTCGATCCCAGCCATGTGTGCCTCGCCAGTTGCCGGTATAGTTGCAGAGCGGACTCTCGATGGTCAATTCTTCGAGCCTGGTAGTTCGGCTTAAGAGCAAGTGTAGCGACTGCAGACCATTTTGAAAGTCTCTCATGCATCTTGCTTCAAGCGAGCGAATTTCATGTGCTCTGGCTGGGTGTCTTTGCACATTGCGAAGGAGTTGTTCGCAGACGTCGCCTCTTCGAAAGAAGACGTTCTTGTACAAGAGATCTTCGGCGAGTGACTGGAATCGTTTCGAGAGTGCGCTTAGAATACGAATGGTTGGAAGGTCGTAGAGTAGATATTTGAGGATCAGCAGTATCACCTCGTTGGATAGGCTCTCTATATCGGCCGGCATGGTAACTTAGCAAGGAGGAAGCAAGAAAGGGCTTGGTGTTCTGAAAGGTCCTGTCTGTTCACAATTACCCATTTATATACTGCCACATCGTGTGGGTGTATTTCTTGGTGTGTTAATGAAAAGTTACTTGATGACATATCGAAAGGCTGAGGGTCGTCGTGGTGGACGTGAGGTCAAAAAGACAGAAGTCCCGTGCCAACGCGCTAGAGCCGGTAGAGGAACTTAAATCCTGCGCGTCGCGTCCCTTTCCTTCACTTACATCCCGCCCCGCCTTTCTCAAATGTCAACCTCGACATGGACGCCGATATCTCAGACATCCTCGCCTCAGTCTCGGCGCCAGCCATATCCAAACGAGCTCTGGACTTGCAGGCTTTGACACGAGCATGGATCAACGAGAGAAGCTCGCCGGAGTTGCTGCCGTATCCTACCGAGCTGATCGAAAGGAGCACGCAGGGCGTCAAGAGCCAGATTGAGGTTATAGAGCAGATGACTGGTGCCATGGATCCTACATCGAACTTTAAGCTCGTTATATTGCAGACGGAACTTGAGCGGGTCAAATTCTTGTTGAGATCGTTCTTGAGAGCGAGGATAGCGAAGATCGACAAACATCCACTGCACTACCACTCAGTCGCTACCTCTGCGGACCTAGGCGATCAACCGATCCTATCGAAGCTCGAATCGCAGTATCTGGTCTCCCATCAGGCCCTACTATCCTCACATTACAACGCTTCGTTCCTCTCGCTCTTTCCTGCTCAACTACAAAAACTGGATGACCCGACGGGAGGGGTCAGCATGGTGGACAAGCCAGATGAGGATACAGCAGTCTTCTGCAGAGTTCTGAGGGATGGCTATGTGTCGAGGCCGCCGGATGATGATATTGAGCTGAAGAGAGGGGATGTCTGGGTCTTGAGGTGGACTACGATACGAGAAAAAGTGAGGAGTGGGGATGCAGAGTTGATATGATACAAAGATGGGACATGAGATCCCGGGGGATGATACCCGCTGTCTCATGGCACAGCTTATATGAGTAGCAATAAGTGCTTCGCGGGCATGTCATGGCTTTGACCTTCGTGGCTGCTGAAGGGCCGAAGCATGCAGCACTATTGACAGGCAAGGAAGCCTGCTTTGCCACTGTGCATCTACTGGACCTCGCTCGAAGTGGACACAGGCCAGTGGCAAGCACCTCTGGACGAAACGATGGCCATCCACTTCTAAAACCACACCGCAGTCGCCAGTCCAATCGTCTTGCCATCTTCTGTCTTTCCAGCAGTCGCATGCGCGGCTTCCTTGATCTTCTTGCCGTCAAAGCTCAGGACTGCCAATCTCGACTCTTGGCTATCGGTCATGGCAAGATATTCAATATCGCCGTGCTCCTGCTTCCACGGGGCAGGCTCAATTGCATTCGCCAATCCTCCGCTGGTTGGCGTCTCGTAAAGATCGATTGGCTCCTCTTCCTCCAGGAATCCATCTTCTTTCAACTTGTACGCGCCAACGAACCCCAACGTCTCCGCATCCAGGCCTCTGTTCGAAGCATAGAGATATCTTGGCTTCGACGGATCTGGCCCAGTCGAGTATCGAACCTCATCAGCCCAGTACTTCTTACAGTCTTTTCCAGGTGGAAGCACACTGCATGCTTGCTTATGCTCCAACGTCACGCCATCCTCTGCGATGGCGAAAACGTCGACCATACTGCTATGCTCCTGCAGACTGTACAATACTTTGCCGTTCGGATGCGGCCAGGTATGTCTTGGTCCATCATGGCTCCTGGGCGAGACATGCTTTGTTCCGAGCTGCAGGGGAGGATCGTCTATACCTCTTTTGCTGTGAGTGACTTTATAAGTCCAGATACAATTCCTCCCGATGTCCGCCACGTAGAGGTATTTTCCGTCCGGACTGAGATCAACGCTGTGCGCTCCATGCCTCAGGCCGCCAAAGTCACCATGGGCTACCTTGCCACGTTGCTCGCTTTGGTTCTCTCCTTGCCCTGTCACGAAGTCAAGTTCCTGGACGAGCTTGCCAATCGAGCCATCTGCTTCCAGTCTGAAGACCTCGCCTGAAGGGCCGCCTGCGCTGAAGACGTGTGTCTCGTTACTGCACACATATCCAGAGAGCGACTTGACGGGCTTAGCATTGAGGAATTGAACATCTCGACCTCCAGAACGGACGGCATAAGCAGCAATCGAAGGTTTCTCCAGCCAGGCCGTGCAGTAGAGGTACTTTTTGTCTTTCGAGAAGGAGAGCCAGGAATGGCCGCCAATGGCCGGGTGCTCGCGCACGATCTTGACAGATGCTTCGGTGTTGGATGTTGCGGGATGGAACTGGCAGAGGTAGAGACTTGGGTGGTTGAAGGAGCCGACGATGAAGTCCATAATGTTACTCTGATGCTGTGGAAGAGTTCTCTCTCGCTCCCAAGATCCAACGCCAATTGTAGCTACCAAGGGAAGAGAAAGTTAATTACATGTACAAAAGAGACTTAGCTATAGCGGAGCAGCAGGGAAGCAGAGGTGAAGTGGACCTCGGGGGCTTTCTGCAGGCAGGTCCACGGGCCGTACCCAAGACGACCGGGACATTCCTGTCATTCACTTAGCTAATAAGCTCTATCGGCACACGAATTAGCTTGAATCTTTCCGATCCGAAGTCTCATGTGAAAGGACAAGTGAGTGAAGGTCCGTGAAGAGGTGACGTTGCCGCTGCGCCCCACTTCGGATCGGAACCAACCTCGTGGGCACCTGCAGCACCAGGAGACATTCGAGAACATTACACCTCCACCTTCACCATGCAGTCTGGAATCTCAGGTTAGTATGGCTTGTTCCTCACTGTCAAGATGTCTCCAATTGACGATCCGCAGCCTCCCAAGAGCTCCAAGATGCCTTCAACGCCTTCGTATCCAACTCCACCGAACGAGCCCTGCTGGCAGGCATCGACAACGAAAAGCTGATCCCCAAAACCACGATTCCACTCCAAGGGTCCTCTTTCAAAGATGACCTAGGTCAATTACAAGAGCATTTGACCCCCAATGCGGCCTCATACATCCTTCTCAAAGTCGAGCCCGGCGCTCCAGACGGCTACGTTGCAGTCACCTACGTCCCCAACGCCGCTCCCGTGCGCCAGAAGATGCTCTTCGCCAGTACACGTTTGACGCTCGTCCGCGAGTTGGGGATTGAGCGGTTTCGAGAAACGCTGTTCGCGACTGAGAAGAGCGAGTTGACTGCCTCGGGCTGGGACAAGCACGAGGCGCACACGAGCCTCTCGGCCCCGTTGACAGAAGAGGAAGAGGGTCTGCAGGGCGTGAAAGAGGCAGAAGCACAAGAATCGCGCGGCACGGGCGCACGACGAGGACACGTTAGCGGCAAGATCGATGTTCCCACGGAACTGGGCGTTCTCGAGGCATTGGGCAGTCTGAAGGAGGAAGGGTGCAGGGGCACGCTCGTGCAGTTGAAATATCAACTGCCTGATGAGACGCTCACGCTGGACTCGTCAGCGGATTCGATACAACCTGAGCAGGTTGGGGGGTTGATTTCGACGACCGAGCCACGGTTCTCGTTCTATTCGCATCCTGAGCAGAGTGCAGATGGTGGGGCTGGAGCGACGATTCTGTTTATATATACTTGTCCCACCGGGTCGAAGATCAAGGAGAGGATGATTTATAGCACGAGCAAGAGCTGGACGAGGATCGTGGCGGAGCGGGATGCGGGGATCACGATTTCCAAGTCGTTGGAGGCGACGGAGCCGGATGAGATCTCGGCGGAGACACTTGGTGGTGGAAGTCAGAGTGCAGAGCAGTCTGGTACAGAGAGCAAGCCTAGTGCAGGCTTTGCGAGACCCAAGAGGCCTGGCAGGCGGTGATGGAACGAGGGAGAAAGAAAAAGTACGAGCATGATGATACTAGAATTGCAGGCTGCCTAGGATCGCTCGCACCTACGCGACGGCCTAGCATCAGTAACAAGAAGAGAAAAAGTATTCAGGACCTTTTTGATGAATCGACTTCATCCCTCCTTCACCACCACAAATCCCACACTCATTCACAGACCCACGCCTCCGTCCTCCGACACTGGAGAATCCGCCGACCCATCCAAGATACACAGCCCCTCTTGAGTGCCAAAGACTCTGAGCTTGTTGCCATGAACACGCCAGAAGTCCGACGAGAACTTGGGCATACCGCCCTCGATCGTGACATCCTCGTTGATGTGCCTCATTCTCCGCTTGCCGGGCTCGTACTTGAAGAGGTCGTCCTTTGCTGTGCCAAGCGTATCGTCCCCGGTTGTCTTCCACTTTCCACCGACTTCGGATGGCTGGAAACCGTTGATCTCAGTGCTACTGTCGTACGGCTCGTTGGCGCTGTTTTCGCCTTCTTCATGCTTATGCTCTGCTGCGTCGCCATTCACTTTCATGGCTGCGATGCCGTTGCTGATGTCAGTCGGTCCGGTGGCTTCGGCAGTCTCGTCCTTGACGTCGATATAGGCACCCTCTTGTTCCAGCTTCGAAGACAGCCGCACGGCCACTTGAGCCGTGAGGAAGCTGTCGTAGCCGGCTTCGTGGAATGCCTCGACGTTGTTGTACTTGGGATGCTGAGTGTCTGTGTCCACGATGGGCGTCTTCTGTGCGCTGAGCTGACCGGCGATCTGCTCGAGTGAAGACGCAGGGTTGATGTCGCCGCAGTTATGCGTTGACATGTACTTCGTGTCCACGATCACCGGCCAGAGTTTGTGGAGCTTCCGCTGGAAGTCCTCCACAGTATCTGGGAGCTGCCCGATGAAAGTCCGGTAGATGTAGACGAGATCGAGGAAGCAGTTGTGGCCGACAAGAATCTTGGGGTTTCCTCGAAGCAAGGCCTGAGCACGGTTGAATTGCGCCTTATACGTGTCCATGTCGGCAAAGATGGGCTCGCCGTTGGTACTGTCTTTGGCACATTCGCGGAGGTCAATGTTGGCGATGTTACTGCCATGGAGTGCTTCAACGATCCAGCGGAAACCCTTTTGACGGTTGATACGCTCGTCTAGCTCTCGCTTTCGGTCGGCTGCGATCCGGTCTTCGCGCTCCTTGTTGAAGCGCACGACTTGGATGAAGCCTTTCTTGCCGAAAGTGACGAGCTCTGGATATTCTGCGCGGACGAGCTGGTGCACTAGGCGCTTTTCGAAGCGCGAGAGTTCATCCACTTGTCTCTCTCCATCGACCATGGTCTCGTAGCCGAGAGGTGTGATGTTGATGTAATCTTTGGTCGGCGACTTGAGCCACTCGTTGATCTCACATCTGACCCGCTCGAGGAAGGCCAAAGATTCGGTCTCGGTCGGCTTGATCTGAATGTCTGCCACCGCACTCTTGTCTTGTCTCTGGGTGAAGAGTTCACGAGCCGTCTTGGACTCCTCGCGAGACAAATAGGGGACCCCCATCGCAAATGGCTTGTTCATATCGAAGCCCACCTTGAGTAGGAACTCAGCGGCACCAGACTGAAAGGAGAAGATTCGTTCGATTTCCAGACCACGCTCATTGATGACGGGACTCAAGTCGAAGTTGTAGGGTTTGAGAGTGTATTTGCCATCCTCGACATTCTGCTCAACGCATGTGAGGCCAATCTGTAGAATCTGGTATCGCTCTGCCGCCTGCTTGGTTTCGAGGTATCGTCGTTGCAGTGTTTGCTTGCCACTGTCCTTGCCGAAAGCCGTGCCCTTGGAAGGTACTCCAGACAGCTCAAGGTCGAGAGCGACGAAGTGAGCCTCGGAGATGTCGGTGAGGATATCCAGCAATAGCGGATAGAAGCTGTACTTGTCTACGTCCATCTTGCTGGTAGTGGTGCCTCTGTTGTTCGTAGTAATGCTGGATCTTCAATCAGTAGTCGGTGTTGTGGCAAGCGAAGGAAGCAGTTGCTTGAACTTTGAGAAGAGTCCACGAAGCCACTTGATTGAAGAAAGAGCAACGACTGAGCGAGAGCAAACTCGCTGTTGCGGACTTCCACGTGAAGATGGACTGCGGCCCGCTGCATATGCGCGTCTTGAAGTGAATCTATGCGGCTGAGTGCATGTGAGATTGTAGATTGCAGTCTGCGCTCTGCTCACATGATGGTCTTCCAAGATGATGAGACTCGTTCGTGCTCCTAGTAGAGCCTTGCCACAGCTCACCATGCAGTAGGTGAGTCAGCGCTGTGATGGCAACAGAAAGAATTGATGATGTCGTTGAAACAAGCAGCACACGACCCAGAACGGGATCGGCAAATCGGCGCCTCGGCTGACGCTTCCCGTGAAATACCCGATCTCCAACCTCTCGACATTCACGTCAGTCTTTCCTTCGACAAGACGTCCATCGGCACGCGATGGCGTCCACTGGATCAATAACATATCAGGACGCGCTGGACTCGCAATACTTGTCCAACTCAATATCCAGCCTCTCGCGATCACGCTCCTCGAACACCTTGATTGTCCGAAGCTACAAGCAGGCGACGCAGCTCTATCTCACGAAACGTTTCAAGGAAGCATTAGAAACGCTCGAACCGATCATATCACCACAGAATGAGGAAGCTGAAGATGGAGACGCGATAGATGGGCTGGGGGAGGGCAGCGGTGCGGCACCGGTCGCGCAGAGCTCAAAAGGCACCAGGACCAAGGTCTGGGTGTTCTACCTCAGCCTATTGCATGCCATCATCGAGCTGGGCGCGGAAGAGGGCCGAAATACGTTTGGATCTGTAAAGTGGAGAAATCTCGTGAAGAAGGCTAGAGAAGGCACGATTTGGGACGAGGTCGTGCAACACGGGTACGGCAGCAACGAAGGGGACGTTGACCCAGATGTCGTCGTGAATCTAGCGACTCTACTTCTTGGACACATGCAAGATCAGAAGTTGAACCAGCAGAAGTTGGAGGCATACCTTTCTGCTTCAGCAGATGCAGCCCATGTCGCATTCTTGCAGGACGGCATTGCAACGCCAATGTCGAACGGAACGTCTTCACCGAAAGAGCTGACTACGCGACTGAAGATACTGGAGCTCTACACCCTTCACGTACTGCCAGCGAACAATGAATGGGACTATGCGCAACAGTTCATTGAAATGAACGACATGCTGGATGAGGAGCGACGAGAAGCTTTCCAGCATGCTTTGGAAAGCCTCAAAGACGAAAAAGATGGCACAGCGGAACGAGAGAGAGTTTTGGAAGAGTTGCGCGAGCGCGAAATGGCGGAGCAACGTGCAGCCGAGGAGGCAAAGAGGAAGGAAGAAGAACGGAGAGAGGAAGAGCGCAAGAAAGCAGCAGCAGCGGAAGCTGAACGAGCTGCCAGACCCAGCAGCGCATCTGCGGCTCGCAACGGGAACAATGGCAAAGTCCCTCAGCAACGGCCATCATCGTCTTCGGCCCAGCAGCCTCCACCCCCGAAAGCTTCCTCCAAACCTCAGAAGAAAGCCCGTCCGCCCCAGCGCCCCAACGCCAGTCTTTATACAAGGGCATCATCAGTGTTACACAACTTGCAGACCATGATCATGCAGGCAAGTCGCAATCTTGGCGGCGGCACCGGACGATTAGCACTCATGCGGCTTCTGATGTTCATGGTGGCTTTCGTCCTCATTTTAGCCAGGAGAGATCTGAGACTGAAAGTGAAAAAGACATTGGAAGATGGATGGGGCAAGGTAAAGCAAACCGTCGGTATGGGTGTGAAGGTCTCTTATATATGATGGCCTCTGTAAAATATAATGATGTATAGCGAATGAGGAGTTTTGCGCTCGCCGCGGATGTAGGCAGAACTCTTCAACAAACAATATCTGAATGGCGTAACACACGAAGACTGTGCCATTCACTTACATTACGATTTAGCGTGGCTTAATTATGCAAGAGCAGCCGGGCCACGCGCCTTCCGGATTAGGTATAGACTGACTTCATCTCGCATCGAAAAATCGATTTCGACATCGTCGATGATACCGCACAGACAAGATGATCACTGCAGAACGGCATCAAAGTTCAAGCCCCTTGTCTTCAGATGATGTGTTTTGTCGTCGAGAACAAAAAGGCAACGCAAAGTTGTCCGTTGTTCTCTACTGTATCAACGTGTTTCTTGGAGACTTGGCCAACGCGACGGCGGCGAATGGCCTATCTCACCGACCAGCTGCTTCACGTGCTTCTTCATATACAGTACACACCTCGACTGCGCTTCTCTGCCTGCGTGCTCGGAGGCGGTCGGCATTGATGAGCAGCGTGTGTTGTGAATCTGCTTGTGACACTCGTGCGACAGGCTCAAGAACATCGACATTTGACCACAATGGCCGCGCCTCTCCTTGGTGGTTGCCGACCAACGGTTAAACAGGGCCGCGTGGGGTGTACTCTGAAAGGCGACGCAACCCTCTGAAGCAACGTACAGGACGGAGTGCAACCTTGGTCAGAGAAAGCTTTGATGGATGTACGTTCTGCATCGCGCAGCCGAGGACGAGATGAGTTCCGAGAGGAGGACATATGACCCGCAATACCAGAGCAATGGTAGACTCTCGAGAAAGGTCATCGAGACACTTTGCACGTGCTTGTGTTCAGCAGGAATGAACATATCGTGTCTCTCCAATTCATGAGAGCGACCAGGCTTCCGAGTGCTGTGCGAGTTGATTGGACATGAGATCCACATTCCGCATTGCTATGTCCATCACGAGTCTCCCAAACACAACAACTTGACATTGTTGAGGGCGTACTGCATGCACCGATTACGTCGAGCGGTTCATTGAGGACACCTTGCCGCCAAATTTGCGCACGTCTCGACGAGCAGCAAACGCGGGTGTGGTCCATTCGATTTGCCGAAACACGATGGACTGCACCTTTCCAGTCCAGCCATGCACAAGGGTGCTAATCCTCTCATCAGGTGATGGCTGCAGCCTGCAGGACGAAGCTGGCGCGCCAAAGCAGTTGAGGAATCGATTCCTACGAGTAGTGTATCCCCGCTTCTGCACACCTGCAGCTCTTATTTGCATCGTGCCCATCGTTGCCACGATTTGATGGTACCGAAGACGTCGCCGCCTTCCGGATGTAGCCCGCCTTGCTTCGTCTGCAGGGTAGTAGGTACTCTGACAGTGCCCTGTCCCGAAACATCAGGAACATGGTCACAGAGGAAGTCGCGATAGCATGTCACTGTGAGAAGAAGAGTAAGCTCGCACGTAAGGATCATACGTACTCACGCAAGATCGAGTGATTTGACGAGGAAGACGAGGGTGCATATGTATGCTCTTCATCACGGCTGCAGTAGTTCGAACCATCTGCTTCCGCAGGATTGGTTGCATCATCACTGCGGTAGAAGATCGAGCGACAGCTCGACCACGACGGGCCGCTCTCTTCAGTGAGGCGTCCGCGGCCAACTCATCTGTTTACAACATTGGTGGATTTTCTTGTGTTGCCGGACACATTTGTGCGGACACATCTCCGCGATTTCTCGCGGCGACGGCCAAACGCCCGACGAATCAACCGATCTGCGCTCCCCCCTGACTGTGACAGGCCAAGTGACAAGGGATTCGGCCTGCCTGCCTCCTGCACGCCCTGCTCCCTTGCTCTCAACCTCCCACATGTCGGTTCCACAGCTTTGGATGATGGATCTCTGCGTTCAAGATAGATTTTTGATGCGTTGTTACTTTGGCTGCCACATTTCAGTCCTCGGCAAAACAAACTATGCGCGTATGGCATCGTCTGGTGTTTGGGTGATATCAAACGCCCTCTCTAACGAAGGGAAAATTGATGACACGCATGTGCATCGCCAGCTTACAAGAAACCCACACCGTCAGGATCCTGCGTTCCGAGGCCCTCTCCGCCCCGCTCGATGTGGAATGCATTCATGAAATCAACCCCTTCCAGACCTTACTCTCAGAAGTGATTGGGCTCATGCCGGCAGCGCCAGGCGTTGAATAACATTGGGCTGTTACAAAGATGGATATTCCAATTCAAGGCGGCAAATGCAGTGCAGCGGATGCAACGTGAATGTTCCCGCTCTCGAGATGGATGCATCGTTGATGAGGTCCCCGCAAAATGGTCAGCCGGCAACCATTGTCACTCTTCACAAACAAATGCAGGGTAGAAGCCTAACAGGACAGACTGCTAGTAAAGCCACGCCCAATTTGCTAAGAGGGCTAGATGTATTCGGCGCCTCCTCATCATGCACCTGAACATTACAGCTCCGGGCCAGCCCTAGCTGCTGTATTCACGCAAAAGAGGCACTAGTCGCAGGTAATGGTCCTCGTCAGTGCCCAGCATAAGCAAATACCTTGACACAACAACTCTCCATGAGTACAGCCTCACCATGCACCAAAAAGTAGAGGGTTGTCACCCCCGTACGCTATCACTAACTAGCAGATGCTTGAACAAGTTGAACGGATCCCACCCCCTGTCAAGCTTATCTCGAATCGATGCGCCGAGATGCTGCAGAAATGCAATGTGAAAGGGCTGCAGCAGGTGAAGCACGCGGAGCAAGTCATCTCTTTCAGACCTAGTGACACCCTACCATGCAGTTCGGACATGATCTCGCGTCCAGCACCAAGCAAAGCTGCCCAATCGATCTGACGGCCAGGCAAACGGCATCTAGGTCTCACAAATGATTGATGCGTCAATGAAGTAGCCGAACCGTACGCCTACATCGGGGCTACCCCCGACTACGATTTCTGATTTCCTTCACCAGGCTCATTATAACAATTGACCCCCCAGTCCATCCCATCCCATGAGCAATCTGCAACTCGCCTCGTTGTTCATCCTTGCTTCCATACAAATGCATGGATCGATGACCCTCTCGCGTTCTTCACGGTCAAGACTCCGCTGGTGAGCGCTTTCCCCTTCCTGCGCCTGACGATGGTGGTGGAAAACCGAGCGGACTCGATTCTCCGTATCGACGGAGGTTTCGCCGAGCAGCGAGGGGGGCGGATCCCCATCCACAGCCTCCTCACGCCGTCCACGGCTGAATCTAGATCACGGCAGACGTCGTCTTCACACTCTCCTGCGAGCTCGACCAGCTTCACCGCCCTCAACTCCACCTACAGCCAGTGCCCAGGAGATGCTCCCGCACGTAGTCCCATGCGAGCCACCCTTGGCTCTCCCATCCAGAACGTTATTAGGTCGAATGACGCTGTGGCACCTCCCCTCGTCGCTGCCGACATGCAAGGCAGAACGCGTCGAGCGCCCCGACCCTCGTACAGCGAAGAGCAGAAGTTCTTTATCATGTATGCACGCTTGGTCAAGGACCAGACCTGGCCAGCAATCGAGGACCAGTTCAACATCATCTTCGGGACTCGCACCAAGGGTGGGCTGACGTCCGTGTACTACCGGGTTAGAAGAGATTGGGGGTTGGCGGAGGTGTTGAAGAGCGGGCCAGACTCATTCAGGGCGGACTGCAAAGAGGTTGAGAGGCGCGCGAGGAACTTCTCAGCTGAGTTCCTCGCGCAGATTGGATACCTCACTGGCTGAGATTATACTCTGCGAGGATAACGACATGGATATGAACATAACGATGACGATGTCAAGAGATTCGGACTGGAGTTGTGCCCTCGATCGCTCTTCTATCTGCTCAAAGCGAATACATAGGGTCAGAGACTATGCTCAGCCTCGAAGACCACGGCTTGGGCTGGAGAGGCGGCAGCTAGTCCATCAGGGAGGCATTTCGTTCTGCAGGACGACCGTCTGGCGCGTTTGATGGCCGGCATCCTAGGGTGACCGCGATGCCGGCGGATGATAGGAGCATCTTCTAATATATGAAGGGGGAGGCTGTCTTATTCGCCCTTCTACCCGTGCAAAGGGGTGACGCCTGAAGTTTGCGGGAGGGGCCAACTTGGGCAAATGGAGTGCACAGGTTGCACTTGATCGGCTTAGGGGTATCTTCTATATTGCATCACTTGCCATCGAAGTATTTGGAGAATTGCTGGGCTGTGCTCTTGCGCCATGGCTGCATTTGACGCTCGTACTCCTCGTCGCTCCAACTTCCCGCGTCTTCGTTCCAGTCCTCGTCATCGGAGCCTCGATTGCGGTATCCGTAAGCATTTCGACCGTACTCATCGTCGGATGCAAGCTCGTCGTCGGGATAATCAGCTCCGTACCAATCCTCCGCATTCTCGTCGTCCTCATCGCTGTTCCAGTCCTTATCGCTCGGCTCGTCTTCGATGTACGTCTCCCAAACCGCTTGATCTTCCTCGGTGATAACCAGATAGCCGACGCTGCCCAATACGCCCTGCGTGTCTACCTGCGCAGCGCCAATGTTGGAGCTTGGTGCCAGGACATAGGTATCGTACACATAATCGGCTTCATCTTCCATTTCGACATCGGCTTCTCTGCTTTTCAGTCTGGCATCGCTTTGGGCACGTTTCCGGTGTAGCTCTTTGCTCCGTTGCGGTGGTAGTCGAGGGGTTGCAGTCACTTTCGGCTTTGCTGCTGGCTCTTTGGCGGCTTCCTCGATGGCAAACTGGTGCAAGGAGTTGGCCATGGCTTCCAAGCGAGAGTTTACTTTGGTATGCTTTTGCTCCCTGTTCTGTGTCTCTGCATCAACATCTCGTCTTACAGCAGAGCTCTTGCCTGGCCGCTTCAGCACCTCAGGGGTCGCATTGTTCTGGCTGGCGGATCTGCGATGCTCGGCGAGGTTCAACAGCTCTTGTGGGTGTTTCTTGGCCTTCTTCTCGATGAATGTCGCTATACCCTCATCCTTGGCCTTGCGTTTCTTGACCCCAGCTTCCGGCGTGCTGGGTCGCTTAAGATGGAATGTCCGTCGTTCCCTCGCCCCGTTGTTGGCCCCATCGAGTCCACTTCCTGACGCATGTGACGTCTTGCCGCTATGCGCATCCTCGAGATTGGTTCGTTGTTGTATGTGCTTCGCATCGAATAGACTCGGCGTTGCCTCCTTGTCATCCCTTCTTCGCACGTAATGAAGTTCGGTGTTCTGTCTCTTGCCTGGCCGCTGCTCTTTCTGTAGCAAAAGCGCATCTAGCGCTTGCTCTGTTCTCTTGCGCTTCACTAACACCGTACTTGGTCCCGACATGTTGCTTGTTTTCGGTGTCTGGCTCGTGGTTTACAGGGGCTTCCAGGAGCTGTAGAGCTCGAGTCTCAGCTGGCGGGTCGCAGACCTCGACACGGCGCGACTTCGCCACGGTGGCGTGCGATTGTTGATTACCGCCAATTTCCTCAGGTCGGGAGCTCAAGGATTTCTGAGGCGACAACTCCTCAGCTGCAGACCTCCAACGGGAGATCTTGCTGGTTCATTAATAATTTTTGTCGTCGGCTGGCACTCTTGTGTTTGTTTGCGAGTCGCTGCAGGTACAAAGATGTATGAACTCTCTCGGCTCGGGAGGGAGCAGCCGAGGCGTGGCGTCATGGCAACCGCGACCACTTTTCATTCACTCACCTCACAAATACAATCAAATGCTTCTTTACCGCCGGTCGCGCTCTTCAACATGTGCCAAAAACTTGACTGTGACGCGATCTACTCACGGTCACTGAATATTTGGAGGCTGGTTCCCCAAGTATCTGCCGATGAACACAAGAAGCGACGACGAGAACTACACCACCCGCGAACGGCATTAGTACCATAAGAATCACGAACGGCATGTGGACCTGTGACTCTGGAGTTTCCACGGGACAGACACTGGTCCTGTGCCACCCTCAAGCTGGACTACGACGGAAAGCCGGAAGAACCATACCATCGAGCTCCGCGAGAAAGCATTGAAAGCCCAGATACTGCTGAGCGTGGAGACAGGTCTGGCTGCAACGACTTCAACGTCGGTCGCTTCACTGCAGCTGTTGAGAAGACCTTCGACCTGAAGGCCGCGTTTCCAGCTACCGTCATCAATGCTACGAAGAAGCGGTGGACTGACTCGTATAGAGTTCCTCTACACATTGATCCGTGGCGAGGACCTTGAAGGGAAGCATCTCATCAAGTGCCCACTGCAACTCACGGTGCCGCACCCTGGATAATGCATGACTATTGTGCAGATCAGCTACCAGCCACCAGCCACCAGTCTCATCACGGCACACCGCCCGTCACGTGCGTCTGGTTGAAACGTGGAGAGCAGGGACATGCTGGCGAAACTTGGCGACCTCAGCATCCGCCAGGCTTTACGGGCAGAGCACCACAAGCTTGGATGTCTGGAACCAGACCCCAACCTCTGCGCTCTCCGCGCGTTTCAATGGACTCTGAACAGCGACAAAGCTCCGATACAGAATGTCCCTCGCCGAATGAGAGCGCTGTGATCATTCGTGCCGCGGATGCCGTTGCCTTGAAAGACAATGTGTCCAATACATTGCTACTGGATATGTTCCAAAAGAAGTACAGGAATTCTTTCTGGACTCCGAAAGCATTCAATCCGCGTTCATGGAACATCGTTGAAGATTAAGCTCTTTGCTGCGGCATCAGACAGACCCGGGCTCTCTGACTGACCGCCATGCGTTTCAATTGGGTCTGCGCTCCAAGAAGCTATGCGACCCGCCTGGTTGGAGAGATAGCTTGGATAAGGTTGCCGGATCCGTGTTCCAGATGCACGCGCAATGTTCTTGCATTCCCCGAATGATGCTCGTGACCAACAGCTGCGTGTACGGGTCTTCCGAGGGCAATCCTTCGATTTGAAGCAAGACGTCGTGAGCTATCACTTTGAGGAAGTCGCGGTTTAGGTGTGCAACAATGCCAGGGGACTTTTTCGTCGAATCCAGGAGTATGCTGGTCGTTCCAATGACTTTTCGACATTGCGCAAAGCTGGCCCCTGCAACGGACAATGTGCTGGCACCTGGAATATACCTTTGTGGCGGCATACTACAGCATGAACAAGACTCTATTTGGCCAGTATTCATACAATGCTAGAGGTAGGAGAGTCCCATTGCAGGGTAGTACGAACTTCAGTCTTTTTTCCCATGTCTCGAGGTACAGCGCCGGCAAGGGCATCAATAACCTCTCCAGCCACTTCTCCTTGACCCCATACTCATTATTCCCTCATCTGCAAGATATTCAACATCGCGTGCTCACTGACTTATCTGTCATGGAGAACAACAACGAAAGGCAGCATCCAAAACGTAACGTCCCGCACTTTCAATCCACATTCAACAGCTCGTCTTCAGAGAAGCTCGCAGCGCAGAGCGGCGAACAACATCAACGAAAGTACAGCCCGCCCGCTTTCCACAGGATACCACGCGAGGATCGTCAAATACCACAATCTGATGCTCCAGACATGAACGGTATTCCGCTTCATGCGTACATCCCTTTCTACAACAATCATCTGCGAACACCGCCGTCTCCGTTCAACAATTTCCATGACGAGGCTTCTCATGATACAACCAGATCCAGACTGGCAGATGAACACCTGGTGCGAACTCCCCGTACTGGACACTAGAGTCGATTAGCTGGCGATCAGCATGCACGTGTAAGGAGGTATAGACGGAGATCGCCTTCTTTAAGCTCTCAATCAGACAGCTCTTATAATGCGCGACGACACTCCAAGAGCCAAAATCGCGGTCGAGGAGGACGGTCGCAGACAGGGAGCAGAGCTGTGAACCAAAATCTGCCACAACAACAGCAGGTTGCACCACCAAAGAGTGGTCTTGAAGCCATCATCACTCCACTGCGCCTTGGTATCCTGCTAGGGTGTTTCGATATCATTGGTGGTTCGTTGTCGGTATGGATGACCAAGAAACGATTCGCCAAAGGCGCACAGCAGGGCGTTGCCACCAGTGGCGGACAGCAACAACACACAGCTACCGGTGAAAAGCGATCTCGTGTCAGTTCAAATCGCCCGCGCCATTCAACAACAACACTTCGCCGGGAGGATAGAAGGCGATACCACCCATACGATTCGGAGTCTACTTCAGAAACGGACTCAGATTACGATGAAAGACTGCGGCGGACAGCAGAGCATGTCAGAGAGCAGAGACGATTGGACTATGAGCGTGACCGCGGGTTCGCGCGCATGCCCCAGCAGGCTAGAGATTCGCAGGGTTGGCATAGCAGGAGACGCTAATGAGAAAACACTAATGTTGTCGTCGAAGGTCAAGACCAAGGTCATTGTAATTGTCAACCTTTTGGATGAATGAATTGATGACCTGCAGAAGGTAGCTCGATAGTCCAGACGTATCAATGAACATGTGATGAAGTTGAGGCCCTTGTGTGAACCAACTCGCTCCAAGGAGGCTAGGGATATGAATGTCGGCTACAGAGTGCTCAGCTCCGATCGCCAAGGATCACGTGGTTCAGGATTGTCAGATCCAGGTTTCTGCGCTGCACGCCACCACCCATGACGTGACTCGCATGATGTTTCACAGACATGCACTACCACACCACACCAGCCCCTGCTTTCAGGCTCAGGAAGTCTGGGTTTGCCGTGTATCTGTGCTCTGTCGGAAATGCGACTATTCCTGAACTCTGAGCCTTCAACGTGAATTTCACAAGCAAGGACACCACAAACAGCGCGATCATGGCCCGCTACGACTATGATGACTACTACGATTCCGACGATAGCACGTTGGTAAATTCACCACCACACAACTATCGCAGAAGGCGACCGCGAGATCGCTCGGTTTCTGAAGACTCGTATGCCCGACGACCGCGCTATGGCAGAGCGACATCCTCACACAATTCCCAACAATCGCAGCCAGGCGAGAAAGAGTCGTCCACGGCAGCAAAGTTTGGCAAAGTTGCGCTGGGCGTAGTGTTTGTGACTGTCGTCGCGAACGCTTTCAATTCGTGGATGAAGAAGAAAGAAGATGAGAGGGAGAAAGAGCGTGTGCGAGAGAAGCGGAGACAGTTCGAAAAGGCCAAGGCCAGGAGGCGCCGCGAGGAATATCGCAGGGAGCGGTCGAGACAGGAACGTATGCGACGCGAGGAGGAAGAATATGAGGTTTCTGAGGTGTCTGAGAGATTGAGGATTGGACATGTTGCGGCGGAAGAAAGAGAGAGAAGCCGCAGTCGACAGCCGAGAAGACTGGAGGCACCGCCTGAGCAAGACGAGGATGAGGAAGACGAATTCAACGAACGCAGGAGACAGAATCGATCAAGAAGTCGGCCTGCCGTGGACGTCACCTGAGCATTAGCCTCATGACAGCGACACATCTGCCTTGGAGCACTCATTTGTCAATCATCTATTCACGATTGTCTCCCTGCCGACAATGGCGCTTAGAGCATCGCTACATTGTGACTGCACCTCCTTCCAGCCTCTCTGTCCCTCCTGCTGGTAACATAGCTGGACTTCAGTCAGAGTTCCTCGGCCCACACTTTGTCGCAGCAAACGCGCCAGCCAAGTACCATCAACTAGCAAAACCATGGCTCAGCCGACCGCCGGCAAAGAGAGTCAGATATTTCCGCATGTCTGTCGATTGCTTACGCCAGATTATGGAGGGCCACGTTGCCCTCACCGGATTCCCCTCGCCTACTGCGTTTGTCCCGGCATCTCCTTAGACAGCATGCAGCAAGGGCCGGCCGCTTTGACCCACGGGGACCAGCTATTGACTGTATCTTGCCATCGCTCAGATCCTCAACACAGCTCTCCGGGTCATCCTCCCACTCTAGCAGACACAGGTAAAATCATCGCAAGAGCTCGTCTCTGACCAACTTTGCAAAGGAATGCCATGACCGGGCTCCAGGCGGATGAGAACGGGAAAAGATCTCGTCAAGTACGACTGCGTTACCACAGCTGCTTTGCGAAGGGTGCCCAGCGTTCACCATCACTGTATTCGGATGAGCACTGCGTGCGAAGTAGACGGCAATAGTCTCTCCCGCAATGTCCGTCCATCAATGACAAACAGTTTTCCTTGAAATATGCTTGCCAACTGCTTCTGAATTCTCATCGTGGTATCTTATTATGATGCTTCAGAAACTCGCATTTTGCTGGCCAAGCTTTCCTCCTTGGGGCAGCTGCGGTTGATGCTTCCAAAGCTGAGGTGCGCGTCATTTGTGCGACCAAACACTCTGTGATCTGCTGAGCGGTCTCCTGTAGACCTACTAGCAAGACAAAATCTTCGCCAACAGAGCAGTTCAGTCACTGTCCACATCATGGCGGGGCGCTTCTTCTACCTTGTAGCACTCGTTCAATCTACTGCTGCAACCACATTGGATTCGCTCACTACCAAGAATATTAATCCAAACTCGGTCTCGGTCTCTGGCTTCTCCTCTGGCGGCTATATGGCTGCTCAACTGGGAATCGCCCACTCAGAACTGTTCAAGTCCGGATTCGGAGTTTTTGCCGGAGGCCCGTATGATTGTGGACGGGATCAAGATGTGAGCTCGTCGACCACATGGATCTTCGAAAACCTCGACTAAGCAATGGTACAGTATACAACATGCCTCTTCAATAATACACCCTCTATTGAACAGCCTCTCGCCAACATGCTGTCTTGGAGTGGCAGTGAAATTGACTGCCTATGCAATCTCAAGCAACGCAAGGTCTATATCCAAGCCGGAACTGCAGACGACGTTGTCGGTCTGGGAATTGCAAGGCTACTCGAGAGTCAACTCTCTCACTTCACAGACCCTTCCAATGCCCAATTCGTGACCAGTGTTGGAGCTGCACACGTCTTCCCTACGGATCTCGATGGTCAAGGCAACAGTGCATGCAATCAATCTGCACTACCGTACATTGCCAATTGTGGTTATGATGGAGCTGGCGAGGTGCTGAAGTGGTTGTACGGTAATGGACTCAAGCCCAGGAGCGAACGTCCGCTGTCTGGCTCTATCTTACCATTCAGACAGACTGGCATTTTTGGCGCACCGGGTCTGGCTGAGACTGCCTTTGTTTATGTGCCAGAGAAGTGTCAACAGGGTGGGAAGACGGCTTGCAAACTTCATGTCGCACTCCATGGCTGCGGCATGCATCACGAGCATATCGGGGACAAGTTTCTGGTAAACACCGGGTACAATCTATGGGCAGGTATGTCTCCCAGATTTTGCTCTGTAAACCCAGATACTGATCCGTTTACTGCAGACACGAACGAAATCGTAGTCCTTTACCCCCAAACAACCGTCGACAACGGCACGTATCCCACCTGGTCAGGCAATCTCAGCAACTTGAACGCTTGTTTTGACTGGATAGGTCAATACGGAGAGTCTGACTGGAAAACTGGAGATCACATGAAAGCCATCGTCAACATGGTGAGGACAATAATTGGGCATAAATCCGAGCCTGGACCATTCATCTCGCAAGGGGCTTTACCATTCGTGGAAGAGCTATAGTCGCCAGATGCGCCAAGTTCTGACATGACCATCGCAAGTATGCAGCGATGCTCTCCTTGGCATCAGCTCTCAATTGACCTAGACAGGGGGAAAAGGATGAGATCGGTGAGAAGTGGATAGATTCAGGACGACCAAGGCAATGAGATTCGATTCAGTCATTATACTAGTCTCGTACGTTTCTAAACTTTTCTCCATTCTTCATGAGCGAGTGTTTCACATTACTGTCTTTCTTGGTGCAAGTAGAGACCGTCAGCTCGTCAAGCGTCGCAATTCGTCAAGGGTCGTCGATGTTGATGTTGATGTTGGCCACACATGAATTTCTCCCCTCCCTCCACCCCTTCATCCCCCTATCGCGGCTTTCGTAGACCTGCCAGCCCTTGTCAGTCACCAGGCAACTCCCACTAATCGAAGAAAAGAGAAAGAACATACCCGCACAGATGGCAAAATCTACCAAAACCCACAGAACCCAAAGTTAAACGCATAGTCGAAGTTGTACGACAGCGTGCCGGGGTAGCAGCAGTAATCATCGATGTAGTACGGCAGCCACTGCTTGACATTGGCATATTGGGCGTGCGCGGCGTCGAGCCGCTGCTGGGCGGTCTGGCTGCCGGCGGAGGTGAGGGTGCCGGCCTGGGCGGCGTGGGCCTGTTGCGCGGCTTGCGCTTGGAGACCGGCTTCGGCGCGGATGGCGAGGGCGTGGTCGATCTGCGAGGAGATGCGGGTTAGTCTGTGGGTGGACGGGGGCGGATGGGGAGGAGGGCTTACGTCTCCGAAGGGCATTGCCACGGGGCCGGCGAGGACGGCGGAGATGGAGAGGGAGGCGATGAGGGCGGCGATGTACTTGTACTGCATGTTGGCGGTGGTGGTGGTCTTGGGCTTGGAGAAGCTTGGCTGCTTGTCTTGCGTTGTGTTCGAGGAAGGCTTGGAAGGCTTTTGCTGTTCCTGGCTGTCGATGAAACTGCTCGGTGTTGCTCAAGGCTGCTGATGATCAAACTTGAGGTGATCTTCACCAGCTCTTATATACCTTCTCTCTTCTCACTACGCTGCTGCTCTCTTTCCCTTTCCATCAACGGATCCTCCGGAGACCTCTCTCTCAGCTCGTACACCGCGTAGGCCATGGAATCCGGATTTACAACCTGAACGCATGCGGCGCGAGCTCCGGATTCGTTCGGATGGTGGCCCTGCCGTACCACTATTCTGGGTTGCCAGTCCAGAGTCTGATGAAAAGGCCCAACGCGAGCTGTAGCCTTCAGAAGTGACGACACGACAAGCTTTCGCTGAAGAATTCGACAAGGAGAGAAGTTGGCGAGGACAGGGTAGCTGTGGGCAGGAATACGAACGGCCACCAACGAACGGCCACCATCGAAGACCCCACAAATCCAGCAACGCTTCCTGGTGAACTCTTTCGTCCAGTCAGCAACACCGCCGCACGCAAGAACAAAAGCAGCCCTGCTGGAGTCTGGCCAGTGTCGGATATCGCGGACGGAAAAATCTCGCAAGAGTATTGAAGTTTATATTCAACTTTGGGAGTTCCTTGCGCAGGGATCCGGGAACTTTTTCATTCACCTACCTGGACCCTAACCCTGCTTCACGTGCGCGCTAGGCCGGATGGGGGAATAGCTTGTTAAAAGTGTCAAAGCAAAGTTCTGTGTTCGCGCGGATGGTGACATTCCGTTGCTAAGTTTGGAGTCACCAGACGCTTGGGGCAGAGAGAGGGTTTTCGACGCTTCTGGATGAACTATCTTTGACCGCTGCTGTTTGCGAAAGATTCCTCTCCGCCACGTGGATTTCGGTGCGCGAACGTTGCGAGTGAGCGGTGACGGTTTCGATGCGTCGTTCGGCTTTCGACGTGAGTTCATGCAGGAAGACTCGGCAGTGCGTTAAGCCGCGGATCCTTGACAGAAGTCAGCAGTGCCCAATCGTATGCTCACGAGCTCACTTCTTGGTGATGCTTGAACTTGGAAAAGACCTGAGCTGAACCTGCTTCGCTGCTTTCGTCGATACGGATTGCTTTCACTGATGGATGAGATCGCTCGCTATCGTTGCGAAGAGAGACCTGGAGGGAAAAGTCCGACTATGCGGAGATGTTGGATGCGAGGCACATAGACTCTCCTCTCGTATCGCGTGGGCAATCCTTCGCCGTAACCAGGCTGCTGGCCCACACTGCGAGATGAACAATTCGGAGTCTGTACGTGGGCACAGCACTGCTAGTCTTCCGTTCTCTGCTTTCATCTCACAACAAGCTACCACTTCGATCCAAATCATCACGCATGCTTCTCGACAATGGCATCGACGAACTCGCCATACGTCAATCCTGCAGCTTTGTCAATCACCTCATCTAGATCGGGCTGCATGAATAACGCCAACGTGTTCCTAGCCACCTTAGCACCTCTCGGGTTCGGCCCTCGCACAAAATGAGGAACCGCTCGAAATCGGCCACCGGTGATTTTCTCCAGCGCCTCGCCCGTCTGGAAAGCGATTGAATCCTCAGGTGTGTTCACTTTAACAACAGTGCCTTCTCGGGAGCCAATATACAAGCCTACCGCGGGATCGGGGGACTTTGGCAAGATGTTCAGAGTTGGTGGAGACGCACGATCCACCAAGGGAGGCAGAGCATCGGATTCATCGACGAACAAAGCCGATATCAACGCAGTCAAGCAGCCATCGTCCAGGTGAGTCGCACACCAGGAATCTTCGTCTTCATCCTCTTCTGACGTTGTACCACTCGCGGGTGGAAAGTAGTGCAGCAGTCGAGCCTTCGGCGTATGACTAGTTCGAACAACTCTCTCCAAAAACCCTGCCCCATAATCCGGGATCTTTCTAACGGCATATAGATCAATCGCCCTCGCCACGAGGGCGCCAATATCGATGAGCAGCGTACACAGCTCCTCAAACTCCGCTCGAAAGCCCGGGATGGCGGCTTCCGAGGGCCATAGATTCTGCCCGGAGCCTCGAGTCAGTGACGGGTGTCTTGGTAGATCCAGCGTTGGCTTGTCGAGATAGAAGGATTGGCAATCGACGTAGAAAGAGCCCTTCATCGTGTCGTACTGCCCGTCCTTCAGCTTTTCCACGCCGTGGCTCCAGCCGATTTCGTAGTGCGCTGGCACATTGGTGAGAGCATCGAGTTGTTCCGATGGCAGTTGCGCTAGATACGAGGCATGTGATAGGAGCTTGCGGCGCAATTCAGCGAACTGAGGGGGCAGGTCGGATACTATGAGAATCCCCAAAGACGATGGTCCAAAGGCCTCTTCCAATGTGGGAAAGGGTACGCTTCCCGTCTCGAACGTTTTCAGACTGAGTGTTGTCGCCATCATGGTGTCAATCGCTAGAAGAGGTCGCCTACAGTGTGCACGATGAGATCTCGAAAAATTGGGCTTTGCCAGGATGATACCAAATCCTTCGTAGTAAAGGATCTAGAGCTCTGCATATCAAGGTCCTAATCGGGTTAAAGAATATAGATCAGTCAGCATTCTTGCGCACATATGTCTGATGAAGTAGCTGATATTCTTTCGGTGTGAGATACTGAGTAGACACTCTATCACCATGTCATACAATCCAGACTACACTGGCAATCGACACAACATGCGCAACTCAGACTTCCACTTGGGAAGATGAAGCACGGCACTGCCAGTCGCTCGTGTCTCATGTGACGATGAAGCTCATGAGATAAGCTGAAGCCCGCAAGTGAGCATGTTTGTGTCAAATCACGCCCCGGTACATCCAAGTTCTGGGCCATGATGGATGTTTCGGAGCAGCAGAAACCAAAGGGGGTGGTCTGAGAAACATGAGAGATTTTAGAGACGTCCAATTTACAAGTGCCCACGGTGCCATCATTGCCGTTTGTACACCCATGGTGTACGGCAGAAGCATGTAAGCGAGCGTCGATGTTAATGAAGGTCGGTATGCCGAACCACGGTTGCAAGCGGGACGTCTTCGGGTTCTGTGTGAGACGGGTGTCCGTTATGAAAAGCGTCACACGGCCCGCAGCAACTCATCACCTGCAGGGCGACCAATTGTGCGACACGCTCTCTCTCTGCCATGTATTGAAGGTGTCAGACATGAGCGGAGAATAACCACGGTGAACGCCTTGGTCAATATGCGGTAAACGCCTATTCCATCTCTTGGGTAAACTTTGTCCTGACAACACTTTATATTAACCACCAAACACTGAGTTTGTGGAAGCCGAGACAGATGACATATTTCGGTAGTGGCATGAACCACTCGACAAACCGATGTCTCTCGTTGTATCCTGGGGGTAGTTGATCACGAGCAGCCCCTCTTCCGCAAGTCATTCTCCGCATACATTCCACGCAGAAGGATCAAGGTAGAAATCCCTCTGATCCCTCTGGACTTTCCAATGCGATCATTCGCTGACTTCTCTTGTCTTGAGTCATTGTCCTGCATTGATTTTACGCATCGATGTCGGTACAAGGATGCACGAGTCGGGACCATGTGAGCTGGTAAACAACCACAGCTAGGGCAACGGTGTATGTTGCCCATAGGCTGCACGAGCGGTCGTCGCTTGCCAGTCTCGAAATCGAATGATGCCTTGCTTCTCTCCATGGTCTGCGAGCGTCAGGAGTGAAGTGCCCGGATCATCTGAGCAAGAGGAGATGGTCAAAGGGCGGTCGATTTTTGAGAGGGGTCCATTCGAGTGAGGGGTCTCCTCAACCTGATACGGCTACTGCAGCATCGCGCTCGATGTCTTAAGGTCGCTTGTAAATTTCGATTCGGTATAGTCCGGCCTGACCGACTGAAACTCTGACTCCGGACACGAGCACGTGTAACGGCTGGGGAGTTCGGGGCGGCATCTCGGGCCGATCAAATTGTGTTTCGGGAGAGCCATCAGCCTCGTCTCGTAAGACAGCATGTGGGCTGCTGTGTCTGCAGGAAACTTGGTCGAGGAGGGCCGGGCTGATATATAGGTGCTGCTCGACCTGAGCGACCTGACCCTGACATCAATTCTTTATTCACGCCGCCGTCGTGCTGCAGCTTCATGTTAAAACAGATTGTAGACGCGGGATAAAGCGAACCTTGGCTGATGGGGACCACCGTTAGCGAGGCGCAGATCGTCTTGGATTGCGACTTGGAGCGAGATTGGGTTCGAGATCTTCCAAATAAGCGGCGCTAGGCTGCAGCTCGGAGCAGCTGGGCTGAGGACCCATCCAATGGCTACGTCTTTCTCGATAGAGCAGACTCCAAGACGCCTGCATGAGCCTGACAATCGGGTTGCTGGCCCGTCCAACCGCGCCAGAGCTGATCATGGGCTCTCCATTCCTAGCCGCAGGTAGACCCGCGTTCTGCCACTCTTCCAGGCGGAACCGGTTTCTGTTTCCTGCCAACGAATTCATCCCACGACCATGGTCAGATGCCCTTGCAATTGAGCCCACGCTCGCAGTGATTCGTCGTCAGCTGCTGCCCCGTAGGCGGCACGCTGAGAAGGAGCCGTGGCGCTTCCAGTGTTCTGGTGTCGCGGTACAAATGGTTTTGGGCCCCTGCCTCCGGTCTCAAAGTCCCGCCTGACACTTTTTTCCTGTCTTGAATGGCTATCAAACTGAAGCCGCTGGCCAAGGTCGAATACCATCACTGGCACATCGTGCCTTCGCCATTGCAGTTGTCAGAGTACAGCAACGGACGCTGCTAGTGTCAACAGGTCTGAAGGTCCCCTCTTGAAACCACTGCTTGGCCACGGCATCTACTCTGGCTTCGCCATCCGACCTTCCACATGACCTCGAAAAGGCTATGCTTGAGGTTGAGCGACGACGACTTTCTTTCTTGCGATGGTCCAACCGGTCTCACGGTCGAACCTGATGGACCTCGCCGAGATTTTCTCCACCACGTTGGCTTGAAAGAGCACATATATCGCCACATGCTGCTCTACCGCAAGATGAAGCAGGAAGCCAAGGCGGGCATGAGTCGACTGTTCGAGACCCGCAAGTCGTTACAAGCCGAGCTGGTTGACGACGAATCCGTTCAGCCGCCTTACACCCTGATCCAGATCACCGACTTCGCCTTCCAGCGTGAAGTGCAGACCATATACCAACTTGCTTCCAAGCAGACACGAGGCTTCTACGACATCAACCAGCAAGCAGATGGTGTCAACTGGGTGATTCATTGGATGTTGTGGAGGGTCATCAGAGCGACGCCAAATCAGGAGATCAGTTCCGCGAGTAGCGGTGTAGAGACGGACTGTTCGATGCTATCAACCTGTTCGACGGCGATGGAGTATTCGATACCGAGTGTGCGAACCGAGCAGCCGAGTCCCAAGTGGTGGATGAATAGCAGTCTGTCTCCGCACAACTTCAGCGACAGCGAGGATCTGGGGGAACGGGAGGTGAAGCCGAAGATAGAGCCAGGGCTGGACTCTCGCAAACTGAATCCCCGAAAGCGCAGCTACTGGGGGCATGTAATGGACACATGAGAACACCACGATCCGCGGAAATACGAAACTGGCGGCGAGTCGTTCGTTCAAGAGTGGGCATTTACAGCGAGTCGCTCCATGACACGCATTACCGCTGGCCTGGATTGCTGAGGCCTGGGCCATCGATTCAGAGCTATTTCAAAAAGCGTTTGCCGTTACAAGCTCTGGTTGCCCAACTGACGATGTGGAGGACGAGGATGGCCATCTGTACTAGCGCCTTGTCCAGCAATATGACTAGCTGCTTGTTGGGAGCACCGCCCGAATTCGAAACAGACAACACGTTCCGAAGGGCTTGCGTGGCGATCTGGCGATTGCGAAGACGTTGGGGCTGTTGCATGTGTCTGGAAGGGTGGCGAACCTCCCACAATTCTGAGAACTCCACTCAATGTTGAGTCGCCCATTCGGGAAAGAGCGTCAGCGTCAGCGGCGTGTACTATGAGCGCCTTGTACTTCCATTCCTCGCACCGTTCCAGGAAGCTGGTTCTGGCCGACAGCTGTGGCGATGGGGTTCCGTAAGGTGGCTGTTTCAAGGGTGGCAGAAAACAATTGCCCGAACCCTGAGGACGAAACAGTCTCGTAGAATACTCGCATGTAGGGTTGGGAAATGCACTGTTTTTCTGTGCTGCTATGCAGCCTTCTGATAAGTTGGCTACTTCAGTTTGACCAAATCCATCCTCATTATCGGGTCTCGGTATGAGCCTCTTCCCCAAGGGATAGTAGCGCCCCTTTTTGACAGCTCGAAAGGCCTCATCGTGAGGCTCTTCGGCGGTATGATCTGTTGACACCTTTACTGCAATGGGCTTGGCTGGTGGGCTTGGCTGCCTGGAGAGTCTCCTCGCATGCAGCGGCTCGAGCAGACGTTGTAGCCGACGTCGATGTAACAAGGATTATCCCAGCATCGGATGCAGCATCCATCTCCCCGACCACCCGCACACGTGCGCTAGTCGACACTCGTCATCAGATGTTGCGCCATTAACACCTTGTTGCTGGGCAGCGGTTCGACCCGCCAACCTTTTGAATCCCACGAAGGACGTCAATGCAGATATACAAGTTTTCTGACTCTTCCCTCATGAATGACTCTGGTACATGGTCGTTATGCAGTGTTGTGACTGTGACGGGCTCTGCGCTGAAGTGCAGGCCGTCGGGCCGCGGGCTGATGCGAAGGATGCTGTGGTGGAGAATGCATATGCAATAATCATCAACACTACTTCTCGCTGGGAATTGTTCCGCAGAGCATCGACTTTTCCAGACTTCTAGCTCGTTTATGGCGTCGTACAGCGGGTAACATCGGGTAGACGCAAGGAGGGCGGCTTCCTGCGTTCACTGGCCGGCTCCCTCATTCTAATGCAGCGCAGATTCTACGTTCGATGCCCTGCAGACTTGCGCGGTTACCGCAGAATTCTCGATCTCGTTGCGTTGCACAAAGAAGGGAATGCCGCACACCGAGAGCCAGTCTCTTCGTAGTCGATGATGGAAATCATCTGGCTGTCGTTGCGTCGCACTGTAGAGTTCGCTCCTTTCACTAGGCCCGGACATATTTGGCCCTTTCGATTGTCAGAGCAAGCCACTGGTCGTAGGGCTGATGAAACGACGTAAGCGGTAGGATTCCAGGGAATAAATCTTCGATGTGTCGCCCAACAACAGGCTTTTGGAGCACCGCCAGCACCACACCAGGCAAGACGACGGTATTCGGCCACCACAAATGAAGCCACCCTCAATGACTAGCTTCGGATGTCCCGTACCCGTGCGTCGCCAACATGATCGACCGCTATTGACGAGCAGCGGGTGGCTTGAACGCCTCGACAGTAATCCTTGATGCCATGTGGTAGACACTGACGACGCACTAGCTGTCTCGAGATTGTTACGTCTGTTGAAGAGGCACCGCCGGCAGAGCCAATATCGCAGTCTCCGCTCTGTCCGGCCTGCTGACGTACTTGCCATGAAGGAACTGTGCCGATTTCGCTGTCAAAAGATTTCATTGCCTCCGCAGTGGTGTTTAAGTTGCGCCTTGGAGGGCTGGCCATGTTCTCAGGCCGTCATTTGCCACATCCGCAATGAATGGCGTCCAGTGTCATATGCTGCTCGCGGGGTGTTGCCACAATGCTGCAAGCATTGCCTTGCATGTCGAAGGAGCCATACAGTTGTGGAGGCAAGACACGCGACCAGCTGTAGCCAGCAAATGAGCATGGTTCCATGCATAGTCACATCGAAACAGTATAGTGCAGCGCTATTCCAGAGTCAATTTCGTCTGGTCAGCGACGCAGGGTCGATCCCACCAATAAACTCGACGAAGAGGAGACTCGTTCCATGCAGTTGCATCGCGAGCTTCTCTGGCCAAGAATGTGCAGCCTTGTTCGCATATGATACAAAAGGCGCCCCCTTGTCTCTTCAGAGCTGCATATCTGCTTTCCATCCACCACAACTCCCCTTGGAACGTTGGATCATCGCAAATGTTGGCTTGGAAAAAAGCTCTTTCGTCAGCGCGAGACCATCCTTCCGGCCCACTGTAGCCCAAGCTTCCAGTTTGTTGTGTACGAGATCCAAATGAAACGCGCATGCTGATAAACTCTCAGCGACGACCACCTAAAGACGGCGAGCAGCACTGTGATACGTCTTCGAACCAACAATCGCTGGCGTTATTAGAAGCAATCCAGTTCACTTCTGCCAACGGAACTGGTCCTTGCAGGCCTTTGATCGGAAGGGAGACCCACTTTAACAGCTCCGAACGATGTGCTTCCTCAACAACATCAAGTGGGACTGCGGCCATTCTGCCACAATCACCGAGCCTTGCGCGGATGCGAAAAGGAGGACGCCACCATCGTACTGCACCAATGTACATGCCCCCAGGGCCACGGCAGTACAAGGACTTTGTCCCGACCGCAACAAACATCCTCGCAGCGATGGACAACAGCCGCACAGGGTGACGTACGGGTCCCGGTAGTTCCAGTGATTCAACAGCAGATATCAGAAGCCCTGCTTCTTCGACCAGGATTGGCCGAGTATTTCCAACGCCTGAGGCACAGTAAAGACGAATGGCATATAATTAAGCGAGGGTCATGCCGGACGGGACGCTCAGGAGGGTCTGACAATCGAGACTGTGCCCGATCGAGGGGTATCTGAGATTTGGTCGAGCATGTAAATGAGCAACGTTGTTCTTTTGCAAAGCAGCTTTCTCGGCACTGGAGAACGGTTGTTGTCAGTCTGTTGGCATCACTTTGCCGGTGAATAGCCGCTGTTGACCGGTGTTGCGTTTGTCGCGGTTGCTGACTCCCGCAGGAGCTAGTGTATGCAACAAAAGACCGTCTAGGAGAGTGCATGTCTTGCCACTCCATCAGCAGTGTGGTGGGTATCATTGAAGCTAGAGCCCTCGGACGCTGTTGACAGCGCATTGGAGAACGCTAATAATGGAGCAAGTCTGCGGGCGTCCGCACAAAGATGTCTGCTGGATTGAACGGCTCGCGATCTCGTAGGCGACAGCTGCGTGGTCTTGGGTATCACATTTCAACGGGGCGATCGGAGCTTGCCCACATGCAGTGACGGCTCTTTCATTCGTCTGTGAAGTGCGCATTGACATGCCTGATCATGGTTCAGCCACCGGCAGGTGTGAAGATTCCTTTTTACAGCACAACCCTGAACATGTCGTAAGTCGATGTTGCTTTGAGGCATCCATTATCTGTATCTCCCTGCCCAATGAAGTTTTTCTTGAGACCAAAGCGGGTGTTGTCGAATGACTAAAGGCACTCTGAGCAGCCCGAGTCCGCTGAGCCGGCTCCGCAAACTGCAGTTTCACGATGCATATTCGTGCATAAGGTTACGATTGCCTCGAGCCTCAGCTCTATCCTTCACTGCAATGCGAAGTCGTACATTTCCTCCACCAGGTTCGCCTCTCATGTGGCGACACGCTATCAGCCAATGATTGCTTGTGGAGAAAACTCCGACACTCGGAAGAGGTCAAACGATTGCTGATGACATGCCCGCAAGGTCTCCAAACAACCAGAAAAGCTAGTGGCGTGCCCGAGAAATAACAATGATGGCCAGCACACCACCGCGGGGAGCTTATGCCTGTCTCCCGATGCGAGTGATCTTCATGACAGCTGTGAAGGGTACCTGGTGATTAGTTGGCTGAAGTACTGTTCATCACAGCGATTCCGTTGTCCTCTTGTTCGTGGCCCGTGCGAAAGCTCCGTAGCGCTGGTGGCGAGTCGTCCAGTATCGCTGTGATCTTCTCTTCCGCCTTTGCAGCAGCTCGGACGTGGGCGGCGACTCGGACGCCAGAGCCATGTGCCACTTAGCTGACCTGACCAGCGCTAGTGGATCTCCATGGTTGGACTGCTTGGCAATGCAGCAACCACCTTTCGCAGCTGAAGCTCGAAGCTCTGGCCGGGATATGGTCTTTGGGAAGAAAGGCGCACAGTCCAAGACGTTGGCAGTGCATCACATCACCCACCTACGGCAATCTCGCTCAATGGCCACGCCATGAAGCTCAACCATTCCTCGGGCAGCACTCTTCGTATCGCATAGATCTCTCTCTTGGCAGTTGTGTTATTACCGGAATTGCCCAGGTACTCCAAAGCGTCGGTGTGAGAGATGACTGCGAAGAAATAGGCCAGAATTACGAGTGCTCGTGGACGCCCTTCGCCAACGAAATCGATGAACTTTCGAGGCACCATGAACGGAAACATGCATCTGCGAACACGAATCAGAGGTAGCTCGCGCACGTACAAAGTCATACTCACATCCATCTGAGATTGATATCTGCGGGCTCCCCGGCCACGATGGCCCGTCGAAAGGACCAAATATAACTCAACGCGGTCTCATAGCTCTCGATGGTGTCTTGGTCCCAAACATCGACAGAAGGTATATCGCGATTGAGTATGCCTCCGAAGTCTTTCTGCATTTCAGAGTCGAAAGTCAAGGTTGCCTGCCAGATGGGAGCGGTGGTCTCCATCAGAATCTTCAACCCGGTGCCATCCGCCACATTCTCCGGAGGCGGCAAAACTGTAAAAGCGCCGCGGCCAACCTCTAGCCAATCCATCGGTGGGGTATATGGATCAAGACTGCGCTCTTGAAGCATGGCAAGCGCATTCATCGTTATGAGCAAAGCTGCGAAGGCGACTGCATCGGTGTTCGAGTTGTCCAAGTCAGAAACCGCGCTCCGCTGTTCCCTTAAAGCCTCCACCCAATAGCTTTCGCGAGCTTGGAAAAGAGCTCCATCGTGGCCGCCCGTACCAAGCAAGTGAGTTGCAGTCATGGTGAACATGGCATATAGAACATTCTTGTGTGAGAGAGCCACTTGAGGCACCTCACCGTACCACAGCTCTCGCCACTCGGTCGGAGAGGTCATTCCAAACTTTCGCGAGACTTGCAACATCCAGTGATGGAGTAAACGAAGCTCCATATAGCGTCTCTGCTCAGATTCCTCAGATGGTGTTTCGTGCATGGGCGTCACCGCGCTTGGCTGAGAGAAAGTGTCACCGTTGGTAGTCGTTGGGCTCCCCTGCGAAGCTGAGGCTCCCGGTTCCTTCTTGATCGGACGGGAGGTCGTTTCTGCACTTTGCGACTTGGGGCGTGACTTGACGGGCTCCACGGGGGCGTATATACAGTCTAGTCCGAGGCGAAGACATGAGCCACATGATGGGGTTGCCTCGTCGCATTTCACCCGTCGGTTCTTGCAGGTTTGACAGCCTTTCCTCGATTTCTTGTGGCCGACCTTTGGAGCGCGGATGCTGGCTCGGCGTGCTTGACTGGTGGTATCCTTGGGAGACATGGTTCGAAAGGGCTTTTTAGGCTGCAGATTTAAGGCTGGGACGTGCAGGAATTCAGTTGTCTTGCGCGACGGAACATGATATGAGAGCCAGCCTGACTAACGGGATCGCATGTGCGATGTGTGCGGATGAGGAAGCTGCCGTGCAAGGGTTGGTGGTGTTGGTGAATGTTTACAGTCAAAATGTGATGTTCGTTTGGCAGCAAGCGCAGGTCCCGGGAACGAGGAGTCGTGCACGGACGCAGGCGGGCCGAAAGCTTGGCTCCCACGTCACCGATTGAGTTCAATGTCCAACAAGAAGCGTCATTCATTCACTCACCTCACCTCTTTCATATGCTTCTTCTTCAATTATCTCCTAACGAGCCATTCATTCCAGAGTTGATCATATGATTTTTCGTCGCTCATTAAGCAAATTCCCCGGCACAATGTCCAACGCCAAGCCAATCAGCTATTCTGCAGCCGTTGGTAGGACGGTCGAATCGTTGAGTAAAAACAGAAACCAAGAACCTCATGAGCAACAGAATAGCCGGCCAGACAGCTCTCAGCAATATGTCACAAGCAAAAGGCGCTCTCCTTCTCCATCACATCGACCTCGAACTCAAGCAGACGAAGAAGCAGTCTACGTTCTCACTCTTTTGACCGACAAACGACTGCATGAACGCATGACAGCAATACGAAACCAATACTTTCCGAAAAGGATCAACAAGTTAGCCGCTCATTTAACACTATTCCATGCCCTGCCAGAGAGTAGGCTTGAGAGCAACATCATCCCTCTTCTCAAAGAAGTTACTGCCAAGACATCGCCCTTTGCGATCAAGGCAGATAAACCATTTCGATTGAAGAAGGGCTTTGCTGTATCTGTCTCCAGCAGAATAGGGGGCACGCAAGCCAAGCAGATTCACCAGGTTCTCCAGGACGAATGGCAACGAGAAGACTTCCTCAGCGAGCAGGACGCTGGCGGATGTCGATTGCACTACACTTTGATGAACAAAGTTGACGAAGAAGTCGAAATTAGCAAGGCCTACGATGACTTACTAGATCACTGGCGACCAGAGAGTGGGAATGCAGAGGGTTTGGCGGTATGGAAGTATGATCGGGGGTTCTGGAGATGGTACAAAAGTTTCAATTTTGGCGGAGAATGACCAATTGACTGAAAAACTCGTTGGCCCCATGACTTGCACCACTCGACCAGCTCAAGGCGGCATAGTCCATTTCTCATCATCGTCGGCAATCCAGCCGACATCTTCGGCATCATCGAGGATGCAGCGACCTGTGCCTCTTGGCTCGGTTTCCAACCGTACTGTTTTGTCCTGTCTGCACGGTACTTCTTTTCGTGGCTATGCCAAGCGCGATGTTTTCTGCGGTACTGCGGATCTTCGACTATGCGGATCTCGATGAACACCTGGGCAACGTCCAGAGCATCAACATTGTCGGGATTGAAGAATTCACCAATTTCGAGGCTCCTATGTCTCTCGTTGTCCCAGCAGTATGCCCTGTTTGGATCCAAGCCCGGTGTACCCTCGCGCACTCGCATGACCCAAACCTACGAATGGATGTCAGTCAGGAAATGTTTTGAGGAATACGTGCCATTTTGGCAGCGAACCTGAGAATCGCCCCACCAATTCAGGCGCTTGTGCCGAATGAAGTGTTTCAAAGTGCCCTTCTTGTCGTTGAGCCGCGTGTTTTTGATGTATTTTCGAAACGAGTCCAATTTTTGAACGAGTGGCATCGAAGCCTGAAAATTGCGATAAGTCTCCAAACGGGTTCCTGTTAGTGCGTTCGCAAAGCAAATGACGGCGTCAATGCGATCCTTGGGGTTCCAGTCGACTCTCTCAGAAAGTTCATCTCTCCATTCCCGAGCGATACTGTTAGCTTGTCGAACATTTGGCCGCATAGGTGCTTTAACTGGTCGTTTCGGCCGACGTGGGACCTTTTTGCGATCCAGTTGGGACGCCGATCTTTCGGACTCATTGTCCGACACTTCTTGACGATGCTGGGCCCGGCCATCTCGCGCATAGTTACGAAGCTCCCTTTTGAGTGTGTTCATATTTGTGCAAAAGGGCCTCCAATATTGATCTGCCGTGAACCTAGGGTCTTGTTCTCCCTCTTCAAGCTCCCACGGATCTCCTGAGGGGTAGTCTCCAATTCGGTGATTCATTATCTTCCAGGCTAAAAAGAATATTCAGTCAGTTCAACTGCAGCGAAGGGGTTGTTTTGGTGTATTGACTTACAATCAACAGCGAGGAGCGTGACCGGCCACCAACGCTTGACCTTCTCTACCATGGCCACAACGATCCTCCTCATGGGCAATGCAGCATTGGTCGGCCTCCTAGCATCATCCGGGGTTGCTAAAATCCCGATTCTTACGATCTCCCGAGTATGCAGGTCAACGTGTGGGACTGAACAGATGTTGAGGTCGTCTGCGCCGTCATTGGCTTCAACTGACTCTTCATCAGAGCTATTCTCGGGATTCGGCCCTTTTCCTTCGCCCTCCTCTTCTGTCGACAGCTCCTCTTCTGCACCGTCTGGATAAAAGTCGCCCTGGTGATCTTCTTGTTCCGGTTCGTCCTCTGCTTGGTCGTTGTCTCCGTCGACTCCTGCATCTTCTGTGTCAGTAGATGTCGATTCACCAGCCCCTTTGCTCCGTTTGGCTGGACGTTCCAGCATGCTCTGGCTCTGGCGCTTTCTTGAGCCTTCGTGCCGAACGGGATCATCGATCCCATCCTCTTCATCGTCACAAGCACTGCGCTTGTCAACCTTCCTGTTGGACTGCCGCTGAGCAGCCTTTGGTTGGGTTCGATTGTTGAACAATTCTGGAGTACCCTCAAAGTGAATCTTGACGAGAATCCTCCTCTGTCCCATCAGGTCAAAGAGTGTCGGCATAGACGACGTTGTATGTTCCTCCAAAATCTGGTTGAAGCTCAAGCTTTCCACGCATTCCAAGTCATCGGGTCTGTGGAATCTGACGTTGTGCGTGCGTGGGTCGTAGTCGAACGAGATGTCGCTCCTAATGGCATTCGCGACCCAAGATGCGATGTCCTGGATTCAGTCAGTACTTGCAAGTCGTTCCACAAGTGACTGAATGATACACTTGAAGGTTATTGCGAATTGGTGGATCGATTCGAAGGTTATACTCGGCTTTCTTGCATGCAGATGGGATTTGATGATGATACTGCTCGCATACCTGTACGGAAAGGTAACGAGCTCCACCATATCCATGATTCTTCGCTTTGGGACTGTCCGGACGCCGACCGATCTTGTTGACATGCTCTCCTCCACGCTTGTTGGCCTCGGCCTGTGGTCGATTTCCCACGAGGTTCGAGTGCCTACGATCGCCCCTGTTGTTCTCACCCGCAGCACTGGCACGGTTTCTGTTTTGACCCGGCTGTGAACTGCTGGTAGCGGCCTTGTTGATTGCCTGGGCAGAGCTTCCCGTAGTTGGATCCTCGAAGTGAATAAAAATAACTTTGTCCCGTGCAAGTGAAAACACATCTGGCGGCGTAGTAGTCTTGAAATTGTGATCTCTCAGGGCCTGGCGAAAACCGAGCCGCTCGTTGCATTTTTGGCGCGGGTGGAATATTACCCTGACACTTTGTCGTCCTGCCAAACCCTCTGCAAGCCTTAGAATCTCGTTTATGATGCCCTATTCTCCATCAGTGGTGTGCCAAATACGGAGATGCGGTCAAACACTCACACTTTCTGCCCAGGTCGTATGCGTTGGATTAGCTCTCACACAAGTCATAGGCAGTTTTATTGGTCCACCCCGAGGATGGAATTGAGTGCATAGATCGATGAAGAAATAGCGTGCACCCTCGTCTCCTTTCTCTGCTGTTCGCCTATCGTTCTCTTGCCCAACAGTTTGATCTCCGCCCTCACTTTGAGGTCTGCGACCACTGTCCGGGCGCTTGCCACCGCGGTGAGCCTCAGGTACGGCACGCCCTGTCCCTGTTTTCTTGATACTTGCATCTACCTTGGCCGTCCCGGTGCTCTTCGCAGATGGTTTGGACTTGCTCTCGAAATGAATTGCCACCAACTTCGACTCCCACAAAGGAATGTCCGGAGCTGTAGTTGAAACCGTGTAGTTAGACAGAAGAGTTTCGAACGAAAGGTCCTCTTGACAAGTATCCTTCCCCGTTCGATGAGACCGAACTCGGTCAGTCGTAGGATCATACGCAAAATCAGGCCGTAAGAGTCGGACTTTCCTCATGAGCTTTGTGATTACATCCTGGGAATCATTAGTCTCGGCAGGAGAGAGAATTTGTGGCGATATACACTCACCTTGATTTCAGTACAGTCTGGAAGGTCGACCCTGACGAAAGACTCTCTCAAAGGTATAGGGGGTCGATCGAATTGCTTGGGACAGAATCGCACACAGAGGTGTCGAGGTTCTTCTTCTGGTCCGTCATCATCATCATCGTCATCCTCATCGTCGTCGTCGTCGTCATCATCTTGTTTCCCAGACGTTTTTCTTTTAGCAGACGGATTCTTGCGGCTTTTCCTTTCATCCTCGTCGCCTTCATCATCATCATCCTCCTCCTCCTGATGCTGACTCCGATTCTGATTCTTATTGTCCTTCTCCTGTTGGTCCCCATCATCATCCTCACGCAGCTCTTCTGTGATCTCATGCAAAGAGACACGCCGATTCTGAAGATCCCGAACATGCGCCCTCAACGTTTTCGCCACATCACTTGGATGCCACTTGTCATCTTCCCGGCATTTGTACGTATCCGTCTTGATCTCGCCAGCATCCAAAATGCTAGCACACGACTGAGAGGCCTTATGAAACCGGATTCTGAGGTTCTCCAGACCCATATTCAGGTTTTTGTATTTCTGCAAAGCCATGAACAGAGCATAGCGATAGCCCTACGAAATGTTAGCTTTCATCAGCCCAGGAGCTGTGGTATGTGACCTTACATCAAGTGTTGTTCGGACAGGCTCGATGTTAACAGGTACAGTGTAGTCTTGGTGGCGTGTTCCCGGGAGTGAGCTTGGGCCGTGAGCACGCGGACAGAACTCGATTCTAACGAAAATAGGCGCCATCGTGCCGGTGTTGTCGGTACGACTGGCTAGGCTAGATTCTCTGCTGTGCAGGGCGGACGACTGGAGGGACGTGAAACGCAGATGTTGCTTCCTCTTCTTAACGTTTCACATCATTGTCTTCACCCATTGAAATAGGAGTCCTAGCAGTTTGCGGATAGCACAAAGGACCGACATCACGATCAGGCTGGACATGGCTCTTTGTTGAATCCGAAGTGGCCACCATGGCCTGGATTTGCTTTGTTGACACCTGACGTCTTCCGGACAGGTCTATTGAAGACTAGCAGTAGGATCTTGCGATTGTGGTGCAGCAAGCGCAGCATGGCCAACGAAAGAGCCCCAGTCAAAGAGCGTTGTTGACTACGATGAGCCAACCGGGAGAGCCGCCATTGAATCTCGAACGTTGCGGCAAGCTCTGTGAACAGTCGATGGACTCCCGTTAGCAAGCGGGAAGCGTCTCATAAGTTGAGGCGAGCCCACAGACCTTATCCCTTGATCACACCAAACTTCTCCTCAAAGCGTAACATACACCCATGAATCGTCTTGTACATTTCCATCGTGAAGCGCTCCAGCTCTTCTCCCACCTCATTCTGACCCTTGCGATAGTACGCTACCGCCAAGTACATCCCAGCATGAACACCCGACATGTCCATCCGACAATGGGTTCGCTCAATTGACACTTTGTTCTTCTTGACAGATACCATGAATCCGAGATCCCGTAGAACTGCAACTGCAGCCGTCTGCACCTTGTGCTGTGCACCGAGTATGTGTGTCATGCAGATCCACAGGCTCAGGTCGTGGAGGCCTTGACGAGGCAGGTCTTTGAATTGTGCTTGACCGTATGATGCTTCGATCTTTGCACGGAGTTGCTCGGCCTTTGCAATCAAGCCTAGAGGAGGGGGTTGCTGCTCGGTGATCTGGTTCGTCTCAAGAAAGGTTCTGGCATCTTTGATGAGTTGCAGTCGTCGCTGGCGCTGAGGCTCTGGGGTCTTAGCCTCCGCAACGCACAACGCGCAGCTGCATTTGAATTTCCAGGCGCTCAGCATGGACTTCTGGAAGCTCTCTATGTCATCTTCTGAGTTCTTATAGCGCATCAGGATCTCATCGCCTTTGTTCAAGTCCTTGGTAGCCCGAATGACCATGATGTCTCCGATGAAAGAACGAGCCGCATTGCCAATGCAGTCGTGATTGATGAACGAAGACGTGAGCCAGACGCCAGTCGACGAGGTTGGTTGATCGGCCATGTCTCGATCGACCGCAGTGGGGTCGGCAGGAAGACCAAAGCCATTCTGTAGAACCCCAGACTGTCAGCATTTATTTGAAGCGGCCGCATGGGCTTGTATGTTGCTATACTTACATAGTCGAGCGCAGCCTCCACCTGGAATGTGTCAACAGCTACAACGCCGTCGACGATCTTCACACCGCGAGGCTTATAGCCGCCATCATAAAGACGTATGAACTCTTCTGCCAGCTTGGGACTGTGCAGCAGCTTGTGCACTACGCCGATAAGGCGTGTGGAATGTGTTCCAACAGACATTACGTCGGTGTTCAGGTTCATGATGACGCTCTGATCGGTTCCTTCGTCAGTGTTGAAGGCCACGAAGAGTGCTTTCTCAACAAGCACTAGCTCGCCCGCCTTGATCGTCTTGGTAGTGAAGAGACCATGGCCTCGATCGGCCGTCTTCTGTACGATGACATTGGCTGTGAAATCGGCAACATCAAGTCGCTTGTTGGTCATCATGGCGTTGTCAATCATCTCCGCGAAATCGTACGCGCCCAAGCTTTGCTCGACAAGACGCCGTCTGATACGCTGAATCTCACGCTGTGCATCGGCATCCGAAGGTACCATCTCCAGGATTGCTTCGAACTTCTCTTCAGCTTTGGTGTAGTTTTGAAGGTGGTACGCTGCGATTCCTGCGCGGTAGAAAGCCTTGATTTTGCTGTTGACATGACTGGCTTCAGCCTGGGTCCATGCATTCGTGATAATGAAGCTTGCCTCAGCATCGGCCAAAGCGGCTTCGTAGCGGCCCAGGTAGATGTTTGCCTGTGCCCGATTGCGGTACATATCCAGCCGCAACATGAGAGTACCTTCCTCCTTTGGCTGGTGACATTCAGGACCCATCTGTTGGTAGTCGATGCCCTTTGAGTACATCTCAATGGCGCCTCGGTAGTCTTTCGCCTTGAAGGCTGCGTTGCCTTTCGCCTTCCAGTGAGAAAGGCTATCGACAAGTTCCAGCAACTTCGGACGTAGCTGCATGGGAATGATAGCGTCTTCAGGCCGCAACACCACAAGGTCTGATGGGTGGTCAACCCGCACTACTGGGGCTCCATCCGCCGTCACCTTATAATAGGGCTCCTTGACTGCAAGCAGCTGGCCTTTGGGGAGTAATTGCTCTGGTCGAAGCTGCATGTCAAAGTTGTAGACTGCAAGTCGGTCGACCGACAATTCGCGATCCTCGATGGCGTTCTGCACAGCCTGAATCCGGGAAGGGTATCCGAAAGTCCGCACGACAAGCACCCGGCCGCGGTGGACAGTCTCCAGCTCGAGCTCGTTGATGGCGATCGGCTCGAGGTTTGCGAGCGGGATGCTGCATGGCGGATATGCATATCCGATGGCTGTCTGTCTCACCATACTGTACAATGATGGGACCTGAGCTGCGGCATGAGTGCTGAATTGGTCGCAGAGCTCTGCGCGAGTGGCCTTCTGGCGAGGTCTTTGGCCTTTACGGTCGCTTGCCGATTTTGCGAGTTGCTTCTGCTTTTCGTACAGGCCCGTCAGCTGGTTGAGTACAGCCTCGTCATCCATGATGTCGGTGTGACTTAAAAGCGGGTGTATGCAGGTGTAGGGTCGAGATCGAAGTCGAGGCTTGAAGATTAAAGCACGGCGTTTGTAGCGGGGGCGGGGGCGGGGGAGGGGTAGCAAACGGCATTGACTTAACCTGCGGCCGTCCCGAAGCGAAGCAACGCATCAAAGATCTCCATGCAGTGCTCTGGCGTCGCCATGATTCGTAGACCTTGCGTACATGACTTTTGCGGGTCAAACTCCAACATGGAGATCCCAAACTCAACCGGGAGGGTAGCCTATTCTACTTACCGGAAGTGCAATGCTCGGGAGCAACGTCACTTCCATCCACCGCTCCTACAGTAAGCCACATTCTGCGTCGTGCAGTCGTCCTCGCAGCATCGGCTCTATGGCACTGAAGAGCTCATTGCGGTGTCGCCAGATCGTACAGTGGCATACTAGAATGGCCCAGGCATCCTTGATATGGGATCTCAATGCCGGCTAGTATTAAATACCCAGGTCGTGCCCACGAGAGCGAAATTGAATGGCCACTAATACATGTATTTTGTGAAAGACGTACAAGTCTCACGACACGTGAAGTCAGTCACTCGTCGTTGCAGAGGAGACTCGGCGCTAAACGGCGGGTGGTCCCGTGTTTGTTTTGGTCTTGCCGAATCGCGCTTGCTCGACTTTCAATGCTTGCTTCCGTCTCTCACACGCGCGAACGCCTGGTCTACTCCTCTTGTATGCCTTGACAGTCTTCTTCCCAATTCAACATGGATCCGCCAACCACATCCTTAGACAGCAGCGATCCTCAGGAAGTGGAGGAGCAGCGCACTTTTGCCACGAAGTTCGACTCGCCGGTTGCCGCTCATCTGGCGCCTACCAACCTCCCTCTGAACAAGGTCCAGCGAGCATGGGATCGTCGCCCACAGTCGCCTTTCTCGCGCAAGAAGGTGCGGTTTGGCAAGGTATGGAAGCGAAACACTGCGCCCTCGACCGACGCGACGAGCATGTTTGCCGGATCGTATGCGCTTGAAGCCATGCGGGTTGAGAGCCCAGGGAAGGCGGTCAAGAAGATGCGCGTGGACTATGGACAAGTTGTGAGTGACTGGGATAGAAGAGGAAGTCCGAACAGACGTATCGTGACTAGGAGCAGTCGCGTCGCGGAGCTGGTTGCCCTAGACGAGGAAGAGTCGCAAGAGCAAGATGGGCAGGCGGAAGAGGAAGAAGCGCTGAGGGTGGAGGTCGTCGGTGAAGACGGTGCCGTGCAAGAGATTGGCGCAGATGAAGAGCTGCAGCAAGATGAATGGGAAGACGAGAGTGTGACAGAAGAGCATGTCTGGGACGCTACACTGATGCATCTTGGCGAGGCTCCTGGTGCTCGCACTACTAGAGAGAACGAACAAATCGAAGTCGAGAACAGTGCCAACATGGTAGCGACGACAGACGTGGTCGAGAATAAAGCTTTCGAGCCATCTCAGGGCGATCACCAGGAAGAACCCGCAACGCAAATCGTTGTTTCTGCTGACGCTGGACCTGGACCAGCTGTCTCCATACAGACAAAATCGTCTCTGCAAGCCCCAGTCCTTCCAGAGGGTTTCGTATCCCCTGTCAAGGAAAGGCGCCGACGACCCATCAGTCAGGTCAAGCAGGCCCTCGCAAACCGGCGCAGGACGCTGCCCGTGAACTTCTCTGCGGCTCCAGCTCAGCCTACCGCGAACACGGACATGATAGTCGTACAGGACTCTCCAGGTCACGCCGAGCGTCAAACTGCCACCGAGCAGCTTGTGCGAAGTGAGCAAGCGCAACAACAATGCTTCAGTCCTCTCCATCGACGCGATGAAAGCGGAGCATCAACAATGGAGGCAACGATCGATGCAACAGAGGACACTGAGGAAGATTCCGGCAAAGAAGAAACATCAAATGAGAACGAATGGGAAGACGTTGAGGAAGAGAATGAACTGGGCGCTCCCGATGCGCCGAGAGACATGACACCGGAGCCTATTGCGCAGGCCGAGTGGATCGACACAGTTGAAAATACACCCACCAGTCCCCAGGCCGAAGCAAATGCATTCGATCGATCCTTTGCAGCGGAAGTGCATGATCGCGTGGCAGATCTGGTCTCTCCCAGCAAGCTACCGTCCAGCCCGGTTCCAAGCATAACAGGCCAGCATCCACGCTTGCCCCTTCGACGTTCACCAAGACGTCAGTCTACGAGCCCATTGAAGAGGAGCACAATTGCACCGCTTGGAAAGTCGCATTTGATTGCTTTCACGCCCGTGAAGTTGCCAGTTTCCCAATCGAGCACACAAGAGCCGTGCCTCGCAAGTTCTCCTCTACCAACCAGCCCTGCACTTCTTCAAAATGCAGATTCACCCCAAACGAGCATGCCAACCCTCACTAGGTCGTCCTCGGCCCCGCCTGAAGAGCCTCAGATGTCTCCCCGAAAGCCAGGACAGCCTCGCCTGTCTGACGACACCGCGCTCCTGCAAGCGTTCATCAACCGGGCAAGTGAAAGCAAGAATGGCAGACGGACATCAGCAACCGCTAGGCGCGAGTCGCTCGAAAACCGTCGCAATTCCGACGCAGTTCGCCAGGCTTTGGCAAGCCCAGCAGTGAAGCCAGCAGCAACAGATGTACTTGGAGATTTGGATCCTAACAGCCCATCTCCTCGCAAACAAGCTGCTGTTGAGTGCAGTATCAAGCCATTACAGCAGGAAGAACAAGATGAGCTTGCACAGTCTTCGCCAGCCAGAACAGTGTCGCGCCGCAGTGGACGATCAAAGAAGAAACCAGAAACACTTTCCGCGGCAACGTACTCCGGTCCCAACAAGATATCCATTCGAGGCAGTGCAGATTCAGTAGTGCTTAAGAAGACGGAAGCTCAAGAGTTGGCCCAGGCGACAAGAAGCAACACCAAGAAGAATAAGGGAGGTGCTGTCCTCCCACCCCTCCGGCTCACTAGAATGGCCAAGGAAGCGGCCCTGAATGATGGCAACGATGTCCCAGAAGTTGCCATGGAGGAGGGTGATGCCAATAAGAAAGGCATCAAGTGGGCGGAGACATTGGCGACATTTTATGAAGGCGCGAGCGAGCCAGAGATATCGATGATGATCGATGAGCTCAGTGTGCCCGAGCCTGGCGCTGGAAATGAATCTTCCAGGCCTGACACCGAGATGACAGGACTGTCTGCTCCGACTCCTGCCAGTGAAACACCTAGCAAGCCACGGCAGCGTCGCCTCAAACCGACAAGGATGGCGTCAACACCCGCACAAGCAACACGCTCCACGCAAGCCAGTGTGGAGGAGGAGCCAGCCAAAGAGACCAAAGCGAAGCCTATGGTGAGGAAAAGGTCACGTATTGCAACTCCAGCGAAGCCGCGAGGCACCACCGCTGCTAGCACCTCAGAAGCGGCCGTGGATGAAGTGAAGGTGGAGCCCAAGAAGACAGCCGCTGCGAGGAAAGCTGCGTCCAAACTACCTGCGCCCACCGTTTCAGCCATACCAGCTGCCCAAGGCAAAGAAAACAGTGTCATTGCTTCACCTCCAAAGAAGCGTGCCAAGGCTCCAGCAACACCTGCTCTAGGTTCCGCAGCTTTGGCTAAGAACTCACAGCCGAAGTTGGACTTCAGCAAGGGTGTTGGCTTGGAGAAGAAGCACGCCGAGAGCGGGAACGGTGCCGTTCCTGGAATTGCCAGTCCTGCAAAGAGGAGTGCCAGGACAAGTGTTTTGTTAGGAGAAGATGGAAGCGTCACTAAGAAAGAGCTGCCGCCCAGTTTGGGTAGTCCGGCGAAGAAGAGGACCAGACGAACCCCAGCGTAATTGATGTGTGACGATGTACATCGACGATGCTTTTTTGCGCCATGTGCTCTTTTACCGTTACGAACGATTGTGGATACACACCTTTTCATTGTCCAAAACCTTCTCAACTGGCGCCCTTCCCTCTCTTCTCAAAATCAATGCCCCTTACTCGCCTCCGCCTTGATAGCAAAAACCTTCTTGACCGTCTCCCTCGCCATCAACTTCTCATTCCACTCGAAACTCCTCGGATACGTCTCCTTCCACTCCTTGACGAAATCCTCGCCCATCAGAAACGGCACCATGCCATTCCACGGCACGAACATCAGATCGACGTACTGCACCTCCTGGCCCGTCAGGTAAGGCTGCGAGGTCTTGGAGAGGTGCAGGTCGATGACGCCGAGGACGCGTTTGATCTCGGCGGCGTAGCGGTCGATGGCGGAGGTGATGTTTTTTTCGGAGTGGAACTATACACGCCTACCATTAGAAGGGAGATTTGATGGTGGGGAGGAACGGGGAGGACACACGAATGTAAACCAAGCCTTCTGCCCGAAATACGGCCCCTGCCCACTCATCTGGAAGTGCTCCCATTGCTGCTGATAGTACTTCTCGGGGGTCTTGGTCGAGTGGAGTTTGGAGGCTTTATCATAAGTATCGAGGAGGTAGTCGATTATAGCCGCAGACTTTTGTTCATTTCACTCCTCGTCAGTTCTTCGTTCTCTCTCAAGGGACGATTTTGGGGGTTGGGTGGAGGCAAGCAGACAGACCTCCCATAGTGTGATGCCCGTGTTGAGGTCTTGGATGGAGGGCGTGCGGCCGTTGGGGTTGATGCTGAGGTAGGGCTCTTTTTTGAGGTCGCCGAAGTCCATGTATTCGATTTCGTAGGGGATGCGGAGCTCTTCAAGGATGATGATGACTTTCCATGGGTTGGGGCCCTTGGTGAGTTGTTCAGTTAGTACATGGTAGACATGAAGTAGTCGCGGTGACGAACGGAAGCATGGCCATAGACCTTGATTGGCTTCGACATCTTGTTGTTATTGTATGCTGTTGATCGATTGTCGACTGAAGCGGAGTGCTGTCAGAATCTCACAATGCCCGTAAGACGTCCCTCACGAGCACCTTTATACAGTGACCGTACCAGCTACTTCTCTCGCACTTTAAGCTTCACACCCAATCCTGTTCCTGTGCCAATATCTCCTCTCAGCATTGGTCAAGGAAATTGTTCCGCCTCCTTCGCGGAGGACATGAGCATCCTGCGACGCGACTGCTCCATCACGTAAGATCTCTTTCTCGAGCTGCCGAATCCATTGAGCAGAATTCTGGAAACGGGCAAATGCTCGATCGGAACTGCGTTGTCGTCCGCTTTCCGAACTGGTAATAAAAGCCGGAGCTCAGAATACGTCCGTGGATTTTGATCAGCTTCAGGCCATCTCATGCAGGTGTCGTACAGAATTTCTCTGTTCGATTGCAAAGCGATTGCAATTTTCGGCCGCGGAATCTGTGTGCTAATGTCAGGATCCGGTCATTTTGGGTCCAAATGTACACCTGCTGCCCAATCCAGCTTACCAAACTCTAGCGAAGAGCGAGAGACGCGAGCCAGGCGAGCTCAATGCCATCGGTGCCCTATTTAGGGCGACTTTGAAATTGCTGGAAGGGGTCTGGGGTCCACATTGATGACAATTCGAATGCATGTGTTGTTGAACATGGTTTCATTCGCCTAGAAGAACAACCATTGCCCGATGGCCTGGGCTCTCTTTTTCCATGGCTGACCTTTCGCCCAAGGACTCAGCTTCGACTTCTCCAATGCATCTTCGCGCTCCTCGGGCGTGAAGCCTTGATCGAACCGATCAGTCGTCAGGTCCATCTCTTCCAGACGCACAAACTTCGTTCGTTTGAGCAATCTCCAGCCCACGAACATGACGAGCATGACAGGCAGCTCGATGTAGTACGAGACAAAGTCCACAGCCTTGAATCTGGGCGAGAAGCAACTCCAGCCCTGGACCAAGACCAGAACGCTATTCAGGACGACCGCCAGAATAGGTCCGTACGGGTATGTCCAATTCTTGAATGGCAGAAGATGTTCCAGTCCTTGCTTCTTGATTCCAGCTCTGAAGCGCAGGGAAGCAAAGCCGATTGCAATCCAGGACAGTTGATTCGACACGCCGACGATATTCTGTAGCCATGTCCAGAGTTGCCCTGCCCCAATGTAGCTGGCTCCGAAGCACAATCCACTGATGGCGACAGTTGCCAGGACTGCCACCCAGGGTGTGTGGTGTCTGTTCAGTGTGCCTAGGAAGCGAGGTCCATGTCCGTTAACGGCGAGGGTATACATCAATCTTGAGCCGGCGAAGAGTGCGTGGTTTCCAGCTGATATGACACTCGTCATAACCACAGCATTGATGAAAGAGCCTGCGGCCTTGCTGCCTGCCATCTGGAACACAATCGTAAACGGTGAGGTATGGCTGTCCTTTGACGAAAGACCCGGATAAGTGTATGGCACGTTCAGGCCAATTATGAGGATCGAAAGGAAGTAGAAAACGATTATCCTCCAGAAAACGTTGCGTACCACCTTTGGGAGAGTGCTGTGAGGATCCTTCGTCTCTCCAGCAGTGATAGCGATCGATTCAGTGCCGCCGTAGGCAAAGGAAGCCGTGACGAAGACAGAGGCAAATCCACCGATCCCGTTAACGAAGGGGGCGTCGCCAATGTACCAGTTCTTCCCGCCAATGTACTGGTGATCGGTGTTGCCGCCACAGTTGACCGCAATTCCCAAGATAACGAAGACGATGATCGTCGCAACTTTAAGGAACGATAGCCAGTACTCCATCTCGCCATATGCTCGTACAGTGACGATATTGAGGGCGATGAGCACGAAGAGGAAGATCAGACTGATTGCCCAGCCGGGGAAGTTGTCGGTCCAGTACTGCAGGAGAAGTTGTAGAGCGATCAGGTCGGAGGCTGTTGACACGGCATCGTTGAACCAGTAGTTCCAGGTGAGCGCGAATCCAAAAGCATCGTCCACGAAACGTCTGTGAAAGTCAGCAACCGCACATGAAGACTTGTAAGTGTTCGATCTTACCCAGCAAAAGTACAAAACGACCCAGCAACCGGCACAAAAGCCGCCATCTCGCCCAAAGACAACATCGTCACAAACACGATCCCACCCACAATCGCGTACGATATCAACATCGAAGCCGGTCCTCCTTTGGCCAGCGAGTTGCCCGTACCGAGGAATAGTCCCGTCCCAATAGTCCCCCCGATGGCAATCATCTGGACCTGTCGTGCAGAGAGCTTTCGCGCCAGCTGAGTCGTCTCAGGCGCTGCGGGAGGAGCTTCATAATCCAGAACTGGTCTGTCGTCCAGATCGGTCTGCGTCTTGCTCCAGAAGGCCTTGGAGCCTTGTCCCAGCTCCGGATCTGCCATCTTCGTCTTCTCGCTGTTGAGTATGCGTTCAAACAGAGTCCAGGTCCCGAAGAAAAGGTCGAACCTCAGAGGTCATTATTCTTCCCACACGATTGTCTTGTATGCGTGGGCGAATATGAGAGATGATGTGAGGTTACACTCTCAGTGGTACAACCACATGCAACATTTCTTCCAGGTCTAACTGGAATTGGTTTACTCATTACCTAACTTTCGAATTGCGTGATCATCCTTTGAGCAGTCCTTTTCGACTGCACGCGTGGTTTGCACGCGGACATGACCGAAGAGGGTGTGTTCGCATGGAGATGCTGAAATTGGGGAAGATGTAAGAGAGAGAAACGAGGATGACAGGGAAGATGGGAGGTTTATCTCCACCGTTGCACAGAGCAAGCTTAATCAAGTCCGAGTTAAGGCTTTGATTAAGCTTTCACGAGCCTCGGTTTCACTTTCCCTCGTTCACGAGTGGTCTCGTGAGCGAAAAGAAGCTCTCGCTCGTTCAAAGCAAGAACACAACTCTAAAGAACCGGGGGTCAACATCACATCATGTCCTGTATACCCAGTTGTATCGTACCCTTACATATCGATCATTCAAACTCCCTCTCTCCATCCCATCTTCTTCGACTGAGGAATTCCTTCCCCTCGTACATTAACAACATCTCCCTCCATGTATCCGAAAAGTAATTCTGGGCCCAATGATCATTCATCGACCACAACTTCTCGTGTATTATCTTGAGATATCCTTCCTCCTCTTCCTGGGGAAAGAAACCATTCCACTCGCGATCGAGGAGCTGCGTGGGGAAAGCGCTGTTCTGCCCAAAGACGTAATTCAGGAACGCCTGCTCCGCCATGCCGTTGTCGAAGTTCTCGGTGTGCTTGGCCTCTCGCAACAGTCGCTGTTGCATCGCCTTGTTCGGCTCCAGGACCATCACGCCGACGTTGATTTCCTTCGAATCGGAAATCTCGGTTCCTGCGAAGACGTAGTCGCACAGCTCACCAACGCGTGCCTCGTCCTCCACCGGCAACAGCTCTTTCCTGCACTTCTGTCGCTCGGCTAGGTCGAAGATGTCGTCGATGTTCTGCACAGGGAAGGCGTCGAGATCGAGGAAGAGCACGCGGCTGAACTCGGTTTCACCCCAGATGTTCAATTTCGAGAACAGATCCTTCCACCGACCCCAGATGTCCACCGTCGGCTGCCAGTCGACAAGCTCGAGTTCCTTGACTATGGCCCCAGCTGCCGTGAGGATGTCGCGCTTTTCCTGCTCGATGAAAGGTGCGACAAAGACTGTCAGCGGATACTTCTTCGACCTGGACCGGGGATCCCAGAGAACGCGATAGACGAGTTGTTGAGCGGCCTGGAAGTACGGATCGTGTAGCGTGCCATTTCTGGTCGACAGGTATGTCGCAATGGTTGGCCGGCCGGCACCTTCGTAGTTGTGAGGTTTGTACTTCTTCAGGTGATGGACGTCCCAGTCAGGATTTGCAAATTTCAGGTCATCTTGGAAACTAAACTTCATTTCATTGAATTCCCCATGACTTTGTATTGGCGCTGCAGGTTCTGCTGCAGGTACCTCCGGCGGTGCATCGCCAGCGACGGGCAGTGGATTGGCGCTGTAAGGAGTCCCAGTGTCTGTCGGCAGGCCGAAGTCCTCAGGTAGTTGACCACCAGTCTGTTGCTTCTGCTCATCTTGTGCGGGCGTCGAAGGGAATGTATAAGGCTGCTTTGCAGCAGGCACAGCAGTCGATGATGGCAAAGACGTCGATGAGTAGAAGACGACCACGACCACCAACGCCCCGAGAAAGAAGCAAAGGTTGCGCGCGGTCAACATGATCCCGAAGAGCCTGCAAAGAAACAGAAGCAAGAATCACGACGACAACGACAACAACACCAAGTCATCTCTGACTGAACCAGAGTCTCCAAACCATCAAACAACAAGCGCACTGAATACCCAAAACGAGGCGGGGCCCCCGTGGGACATGCAGGCGTGTTGACGAGGTCGTGGCTCTCTGCACGTTGAGTGGATCAACGTCTTTGCACGGTCTATTAGCCGCCCCTAACGCCTCGGCCAGATCAGGCCGTCTCACTGAAGGGCAAAGAGCTGCTCTCAATCTGCTTCGTATCTCGTATGACTTGCGAGAAGCGAGCAGGAATGCAGGCGAGGGGCGAGGGGCCCAGCTGACAAGCTGACGAACATGCAAGCGACCATTGCAGTCCAGATTGTTCTTCGCACGGGACGAGTAAGCATCCGGGTATTACTCCGAATGGTCCATTTTTCCTCCTGCTCGTGCGCTGCATAAATGTCACTGTTGTATATATTTGAGTTTTACATGACGACATCGTCTTTGCATTGATGTGTATAGCAATTGCTTTGCTTGGTTCAGGAGTTCGCTTTCGCACATAAGGGGACGCGTCCGTACGTGTTCATCGTGTTTCAAAACGCTTTGGTGTCTTGGGACCCGCCTATCATTATCGTTTCCAGCAACTGTCTTCAAAATGTGCAAGTCAGCAAGCGTTGAGAAGTTTTCTGGAACCTTTCGTTCTACTAAGGGCAGTTTTTGCTTGCAAAAGGAGCCAGCATCAAGCCAAGGCCTTCACAGATTGCTTTTGAGTTTTGTGGCTGACACATGGTGAGGATCGGGATGCACTTTGACCGATCTAGCAAGTCCGAGTTACGAGCCGAACGGGACCTGCTGCATGGGATTGGTACTAAACAGAGCCGTCTGGCCACAGTTGTGGACAGCAAAGACGTGCCGATGCTCGTCTGTTCGCTCTGTGGCAGAACATTCCAGTGGACAGTCCGAGAATCCCACACGATCAGGTCTCCTGGGTCTGCGCACACCTTGACTTCCTCTGCGCCGCGCTCTTTATACCAGTCGACCTCCTCGGGATCGAAGCCATGCCAATCGTCTGGGACAGTGCCCCATTTGGCTTTCTTGTCCTTGCTATGGGTTTTGAAGTAGGTATCGTTCAAAGCTTGAGATCTTTTGAGAACAACCAGGCCGCCGTCATTTGGACCATTGGGAGCGAAGTTGATGATGCCCTGGATGCATTGCAGGCCGAGCAGATGAGGCGATTGATCAACGTGTGGCCATGGAGTAGAAGGCTTGCGTTGACCTTCCGGAAGCTGCAGAGTGTAGTTGATGCCGTCGAACGAGGCAAGGAGTTCGTTGGTGCCCCATATCTTCTCGAATGCGGCCAACACGCCCGGTTCACTGAAACGAATTCAGCTTGTGTTCGGTGTGAGATTTAGATACCCACTGACAGTCTAGCATCCCAGACAAACTTCTCATGGGAAACTGCATAGCCATGATACATTCCTCCCTTCATGTGAGCGGGCAACTTGTCCTCAGTCCAAGTCTTTGGATCGTTGCGATCGAAACCGAGTGGGAATTTCTCTAGCCATTTGGTCATCTCCTCGACGTAGTGTGCTGCTCGCTCTGGAGCCATGACACCCTTGACGACTGCGTAGCCGTCCTTGTAGAGTTGATCTCGGAAGTCGCCATATTGCTTCTCAGTGTCGATGGCGACCGGATCAGAGAGTCGATGAGGCATGGTGAAGTATGTGCTGTGTTCTCGAAAGATCTGCTACCTTGTTCGGAAAGGAGAAGCAAAAGCGAGAGCCAGATATGAGAACACCTTCCTCAACATATACATCGCCGCCTATCGGCTATCTACAGCCGCATATCAGTAGGTCTATTGGGCAAGGTCGTTGGCCGCGGCGCAAGTTGACCAGGATCCCGGCGTATGGTTTGTAGACTGGAGCGACACTCGGCCGACTTTGCTAGGAGGCATAGCGTTCAGTCATGTCTGCAGGACAATGGCCAGAGGCGTGGTTTGATCATATCACAGCTGATCTGTGTCGGCGCGTTCAAGAGAGGCATTCCCATGGGCCCAACAGCCAATTTGCGGCGGCCGATGGCAGCATACGATCTCTCCAGGCATTGTAAATCATCTCAGAGCATCTCGACTCCGTTGTGGTGTCCCTCATTTCAAAACAAAGAAAAAGACATGAATGTCGAATATTGAAGGACCGAGCAGGACGTGACAGTTGCTGTTCACTCTGGTCGTCGGTGCTCACGGACTGGGATCCGGCTGCATATGATTGGATCAGGAGTTCACATCATCAAATCGGCCGAAGATAATGTACTCTTCTCTCATCAGCAACACTACACTACCTCGTCCCCTTCATAATCAGATTCCATCATGGCCTCTCACGCCGTCCAGGCCCGCTCCCTCTATCGCCGCTTCCTCCGCGAACTACCAGCCCGAACGCCCTCAATCCTCGCGAACCCATCTCCTCTTCATAGGCACATCCGCAGCGACTTTTCCCACGACAGCAACGAAGAATCCGCATCTCTGGCCGAGCAGATCAAGAAACCGGCAGAGCGAAGGCTGGAAGAGGGCGAACAGTACCTTCGTTACCTCGTCTCGCAGAGGATATACACGACGCTGTTGGAGCGGTATAACCCGGGCATGAACATGACCGAGGAAGAGAGGGTGCGGTTGACGGCGAGGAGGGTCGGGATGGATCTGCCTGTTGAATTGATGCGTGGTGGTGGGAAGCACTGAAATCAAAGTTCGACGCATGCAAACAAGACGGGGGACCGGCCGTGCAGGAGATGGGATGCGCGGGAGTTTGGTGCAAAAGAATGCCACCGCGACCGATGGCTATCGACCGACTCTATCCGATATCATGAAGATACAAGAGCTGCTTTGCTATGGGCTCTCACGGCAAGAGAATGTGACAAGCACACGCCCGAAGACGGTGCTGCTGGAACTGGCCTCTGGGAGAAGGGCATTCTTCTAGTTGTGGCCTCGCGCGAGGTCGCAACCTGACACACTGCTTATCGACATGTCTCAGAAAAGAGTCTTGTTGACCGTCGAACTCAACGACATGTGGCAAGTGTGAAATGCACAAAAACAATTTGTCCGACCGTCGAAGCCAAATCGTCGTTACGACCAGCAGGCACCGAAAATGTCTCACACCGATGGCCATATCTGCATGACACGAGGCACTTGCTGTGCGTATGGAAATGTCGACACCTCAAGAGAGGACATACGCGACCAAATTCCCTCACTTGGACAAACGTATTCGCGTTCGCGCGAATGATGGGCTGCGGACATTCGGAATGCCGCGACCCTCTAGTTCGGGACTGGTCATACAGCCGACCGTCCCATTCCGGCCAAGCAACAACATGCGAGGCATCTTCGACATAGTCAAGCAGAATCCATGTCCATTCGCCATGCAGGTCTTCATCCAGTCCATCTTCAAATTATCCTTGTGCGGACATGACGCCTGCCAGTGTCGACGTGAAGCCGACCACCTTCCTTGACCTCCCCCCCGAGCTTCGAAATGCCATATACGATAATGTTGCTAACCTATCACGAAGTTCAGCAGCTAACTCAAGGAAGAAAATGATCCCAAGAGGCACCATCACGCTACGATCCGAAGATGCCACCGCCAGCAGCAAGAGTCAACCAAGGCCACACGAAAACCAAAACCTCTCCCTCCTCCTCACAACCAAACAAATCCACCACGAAACCCTCCCAATCTTCCTCTCCACCCACCGCATCCGCATCACAGACGCCGCATGGCTGCGCGTCCTCACCATGAACACCTCCCACCTCGACAGCATAACGCACCTCGTAATCGATAAATCTACCACATCCTCCCTCTCCAAAGCCCTCCTCAACGCCAGCGCCCTTCCCAGCCTCGCGAATCTCGACATCCGCATCTCAAATTTCCGCTTCAGCAAAGCGAAGCCTTCCCTTGAGAAAGGGTTCCCGGTCTTGAAGGAGCTGTGTGTTCGGGAGCCGAAGTTGGACGCTATGATGGAGCACTTAGCGCTGGAGGAGGATGAGGCGGGAGCGAGTTCGTGCATTTATTCTGTGGAGGATTTTCAAGCTTGGAGGGAGAGTTGGAAGAAAGCGGTGTCGTGGAGGGCGTTGGATAGGGAGGTGGAGAAGGAGGTGAGGGAGAGGATGGTGAGGATGGTTTGGGTGAGATTATTCTGACTTCGGAAATGTATAGATAGATAGATACAGATGCCTCTGTTACAGTCTTTTCCTATAGTACATGTTCCCGCATATTGTACAGTTACAGTAAGTGATACCCTCCTCACGCCGCCTTAGGATACAGATAAATCACCAACCTCGCATCCCCACCCTCACTACTCGTCGGCAACATCATCGTAAAACACTCATACCGAAACACGCGTCCCCCCAAGCCAGCCACGAACTTCGCGCTCCACCTCCGATCCGCCCAGAAACTCCCCGGACACGCCTCCCTCGCCGTCGACACAATCTCCATCGCGCTCGCGGCCTGCTCCAGCTCGTCCTGGGTATACTCCAACTCCTCGTACGACCTGCCCTCGCTCGGGTGGAGGAGGTACTCCGGGTAGGAGTCGGCGTCGAATTCGCAGCACGAGTAGACGAAGCAGAGGAGGAGGACGAACATGTCGTCTTCCCAGCCGGCGTCGCGGAGGATGTCGAGGTCGCGCGAGCCGGCGTTGGCTTCGATGCCCGCGATGAAGTCGATGGAGTGTTGCTGGTTCCGCGTGGCGAGTAGCGCGGAGAGGCCTTCCATTGTGACGATCATGGGGGTCGCGTTGGGGCCGGCGATGGGGGGTTTGTCCCATTTGACGAGCGAGCGGAGGTAGTCTCTCAGGGCGCCGGTGACGGATTGGAGGATGGAGAGTTGGCTGCCGCGGTAGATTTGGGCGTAGTGTTGTTTGAGGTTTTGCGGTGGTTCGGTGGGTGTTGTTGAGTTGAGGCGGGTGAGTTTCGGGAGGGTGGACTCTACTATGAGTCGGGCGATGTGAGGGCGGTATTGGAGGCCGGCGCCGTTGCTGCCCATGATGAAGTCTAGAGGATTCTCCACGAATTTGAATGGGAGGCCACGTTCTTGACGCAGCATGTAGATCATGAGTTCCAGCAATGGGTCTGGGAGGCGATTGAGTACTTCATGCTCTGCGCCTGGCTTGCTTTCTAGCTTCTGCAAGGCGAACGTTGCTTTTTCGCTGTTCCACTCTCCGTCTGATGTGAAGTAGCCCGCTTGAACGTTTCGAAGGTCTCGTTGCAAGTCTTCAGGAGGCGGTCTCAGTCGTAGCAATACCTTATCGAATGGATTGTCCTGAACGCAGAAACCGTAGCCGAGGAGGAGTTCGTCGTTGCTTTTTGGTCCGTAATTGTTGAACACTTCGCTTCCAAAGCTTATACCATCCTTGACGTCGATACTGAAGCGGCCCGAATCGAACGTCCATTGTACTTTCGTATCGTATCCGTGATTGGGAATGTCTGCTACGGGAAACAGCACAGGAAAGTCAAGCTCTTCGGCAGACGCATTTGACATATCCAACAGAGCAGTCTGTCTTCGCCCATGGTTGTCGTACTTGTACGCCGTCCAGTACTTGCTGTCCTGGGGCCGCAAAGCTTGCGAGGAGAAAGACCGAGAACTGTACATGGTGATGGCCCATTTGAACAAATGCCTGGAAGAGAGAATCAAAATTGGTCTCGCACCTACCGTGATAGAATGACAGGCCCGACTCACCAGGTATATGGCTCTGTATCGATGTTTGCTCCTTGCAGCGCAGCTATGCCTTGGTTGTAGATGTTTTGATAATTCTCAAGACGGACATGAGATGTGTGCAGTACGTCTGTCTCTGCCAGCCATTGTGTGTCAGGTTCATCGAACCACACTGGCGTGCCATGGTCTACGTCCGGGCCGGGGAGGGTGTCAAGGTACGGCTTCCAAAACGACTGTTCTTTCCGGATGTACTGATACATGAGGTAGAAGTACCCGATGCCCTCGACTGGCAAGCCACGATGGCGGAATACGGTGAAGTCGTCATCAACCAGAGCATTGAGACTAGACAGCGCCAGGGCGTTTGGGACGGTGCATATTCGCGTCTCGGGTGCCAGATCCAAGATAGCTCGTAGGTGGACGCCGGCCTGCTGACTGCTGTCCAGGGCAATGCCTGCATGGAGCTGGCCACCATTGTCCTCGAGCCACTGTCGCAGCGTGGCCAATTGCGGTGTGGCCATTATTGTACTCCTCTATCGTCTGGGTGCAGTTGGCGCTGGCGCGTGAAACTTGGGTCGGTGGCAAGCCGCAAAAAGAAAATGGGAAATGCTTGAGGAGGCCGGTCTGAACTCTATTGAAATGCTTGTGCTCCGATTTTGCACAGCCGCTGGTGCCCGCAGTTTTGGAGCTCGTTGATTGGTCAGTTGAGTGTCTAGCTTGTGACACAGATATGACGCAGCTTCCGTTTTTGCATATGATTGTGAAGGGACGTCTTTCTTTGCATATGGCACGTTTGAATGCAACATGGGCGTTCAATGAGGGAAAACACATAAGCAGGAGAGGCATCATCAGAGTGGTCTTGGGAAGTTACACATATTCGGAGATACACTATCGGATCTAAGGAGTTGCAAATTGTGCAATGAGTTGAAAGAAGACACACATCACTCTGATTCACGCTCTCTGGAACAGGCTTACGAGCTTGACAATATTATCTCTTTTCCCTGGCTAGCCACTCATCTTCATCATATGTTGAAGTGCTCTACAATCGAAGATGTCCTAGCTCGAAGGAGCGCCTGGCTGGTTTGGTAGCGAAGTAGCATCTCGACATACTCATGGAAACGTCGGCAAGGCGGTAGCAATTAAATTCTTACCATGGGGGCCTCCCTTGGAAGAGAAAGAGGCCAGCAATCCTCTGTGTGTCAAGAAAACCCTCGCAGCTTCTCGGTCTTCCTAAGAGTAACAAAGGGAATGACTGAGCTGCTGCTCACATTCTCTTGCACACGGCAGAAGGGATGGACTGTCGAATCTAGTCTCCATTATTGTTATCTTCGTAGACTCAAGGATCTCCAGTCATCTACGTGCTAGACACATATATACTTCATCATCCTGTTTGCAGGGACAACTTCGCCAAATTTGCAATGTCGGAGGCACGTGTTTGAGCAGATTGTTGAGATTCGTCGTTTGCGATAACGCCGGCCGTTGGTGAGGCTGCAGCGATAAGAGATGAGCAAGAGATGTTGTCGAGAGGGCGATGACGAGGAAGATGGAGCGACATGCCGCGCAACGTGTGAGCAAAGTGCTTGATGGTGAAGAAGAAATGCCAGATGGCGCCGTGTGGTTGCTTGAAGGACAGAGTGAAGTCGTTCAGTGGTTGAAGAGCGGGTAGCCCCTGCCTGAAAACTTCGGCGCTATACCGGATACAGAGGCTGCAGTCACGTGCGGCTGGTTGGCAGCGTCAGGAGGGTCGGTGCATAAAAAGGCGAGTCGCTGCTCGCTGCTGGAAGCTCGTGAAAGCTCCCAGCTCGCAGCTGCCTCACCCCGCCAAAATTTCCCGCCAAGCCTCCCTCGCTCGCGGTTGTCAAGTGCATGTTTGGAAACGACAACAACCCGCCCTCTTAAATCACGCCGCATTCCACTCACCCACCCGGCGAATCTGCTGGCTCAGACCCACCCTGCCGAACTGCCGTAATCAATCCCCACGCCTATTTGAACGCCGACTTTGATTAATATGGACGGCGCCTTCCCACAAAGCCCCGACCTGTCCTCGTATGCGCCCCGGTCACCTGAGATTTCCGATCTTAGTGGCCTCGGTTCGCCGCGTTTCACCAATTCAAATTTTGGCCAGTTCAATCAAAACCAGCGATTCCAGCCTCAGTACCCATCCAACGGCTTCGGAGGCGGCGCATACCAACCGACCTCGATCCCGCAACAATACCCACCTTACCAACAACAATACCAACCCGCCGCCGGCATGCCACCGCGACAGGTCAAGTCAGAGGAGGGGGACGACGAGTACATGCCCGACGCGCCAGCAAAGCGATCGCGAAGAGTGAAGCAGGAGCCTTCAGACATGAGCAACGGCATGGTCTCTGCTGCAAGCGCCGCACCTCCACCGCCTGTCAACAACGAAGATCCCACACTCGGCTGCCAACTCAACACATCTTTCCCCGTCGCTCGAATCAAGCGCATCATGCAGGCAGATGAAGACATTGGAAAAGTGGCTCAAGTGACGCCCACCGTCGTTAGTCGCGCGCTGGAGCTGTTCATGATCAAGCTCATTTCCTCGTCGGCACACCAAGCACGGGGGCCCGCGACTGCTGGCACATCCAAAGGACCCAAGCGCGTATTGCAACAGCATCTGAAGAAGGCGGTGCAGGCGGATGAGAAGTTCGACTTTCTCAACGAGATTGTGGACAAGGTCCCAGATGCGCCGGTGAAGAGCAAGAAGGAGAATGGAAGTGATTCAGAGGACGCGAAGCCCAAGAAGAAGGGAAAGAAGCGAAAGGACTCAGGTGACGACTTTTGATTGAAAGAGCACGGTATCATGAGCATACATTATACAGGTCCTACACGACTCTTGGGGACAATGGAGTAATCCAGAGTAGTCCACGTCCAGGAACCCGTCGCTGAGTTGCTGTAGTGCGGCAGGAATCCGGTGTCGAGTGGACAGCGAGGGGCTCAAGTAGCTACTTCAATCAGCTTTTGGTGCAGGTTCTACGATGTATCTGGACCAGTGGTGGACGATTCTTGGGCTCGCTCCATCACGCGAACGATGGATACTGGACAGCCGAACGCTCAGCAGTCCATCAGCTGGTGGCCGTTTCATGTCTTGGAGGAGCCTGGTCCAGACGTCATACCAAAAGTGCAGTGGCACGTTTCGCCTCCTTCCGGACCAGAACATACCGAGCACAAGGAGTTCGCCTCCGGGCACCGTCGAGACATGTCACCTGGCTGCGACTCTGCGATTCAACTGAGGGACACGGAAGCAGTGGAAGCTATTGCCACCATCGCTTGCTTCCCAGACGACTACCGAGCTTCACTTCTACATGTCGACGAGGAAGACAGCAGACAGCGAAAGGATTAGCCGGTAGTAAGCAGCGGCATGGTGGCTTGCATTCAGAGCAAGAGTTTTCAGGGGGCATGGCTACCATCGAGCATTCATCAGTTCGTCAAACTGCAGCCTCGAGTAGGCAGGCCAGTAGATATAAGGAATCAATCAATGGCACCACGACAATCACCTCAGCACTCTTCACAATTCTGCGCGTTATGCTCACTCTGCATTGCGTAGTGGTACCTAGAAACGGATGCGAGACCTTCCCAATGTGCCTTCACGAATCTCAACCCAAACCCAGATGCGTTCAACACCCAAGCAACCTCATCGCTAATCCTGGCGAACCAGAACAAGCCAAGATAGGATCCAGAGAGAGAAAAGTGAAAGTCGACAAGTCTCTCATCCAAAACACCAGCATGCTTTCATCCAGTGACGACCCAGTGTCTAGCCATCTCTTGCGTGTCCTTCATTCAGCAGTCGAAGGTATGGCCCGTCCGAGGGAAGCCTAGATGGGGCTTGTCAGTGTGTATTCGTGTGGAAGTGTTGGGTGGAATCTTGGGGACTTACGGACCTCTTCTCAGTAGTCGAACTCGTGGTCGTCGGGGATCCTGTATGCTGTGAGTAGACCTTTCAAACGATGCATACTTTACCTCCTCCAGGCGATCCTCCCCCAGAACCAGGAAGATGATGTCCTTCGCTGCTGTCCAACCCTGCTCTGCTCTGCTCTGCTCACTGCCCGCTCGTCCACCGCTCCACCGCCGCCGCAAGAAAGTAAGGAAAAACAAAAACAAAAGAAAGCTTACCTCAGGTAGATGTACCCAGCGCGGCGAGTCAGCGTGGTGCACAACTCGTCGAAATCCATGCGAAGATCCGACAGACGAACCTCGTCGGTACCCTCGCATTTCACCTGTAACTGGCATCAGCAAGAAACCCCTATCCTCCACAACCGCAACCGCAAGTCAAGAAAGAAAAAGGACAAAATACTCACAAACTCCTCATGAACATGCCACTCACACGCCTTGACCTTCTTCCACGTCGCCATCGTGACCCGCAGCGTGCGCTCGTCCGTCCCCGCCAGCTTGACCAGGTTGCACATGAGCGGGTAGAGGTCCTCTTCGGAGCCGATGCCGTTGACGAGGTCGTTGGTCCACAGGTCCGAGTAGTACTCGTCGCGGTCGCCGGTCCAGCACTGCCGGATGAGGGCGACGAGGAGGCGGCGCAGGGGCGAGCCCGCGGGCGTGCCTGACCAGGCGAAGGCGAGGGTCGAGGTGTCCGGCTGCAAGTGAATTAGCATGGATTACATGTGAGGGTGAGGATTTGAAGAGAACGTACAAGCTCCTTCTCCTCCTTGACCTTCTCAACCAGCAGGTCCGAAATGGCATTCTGCACAAACGGCATGCCGAGCCGGTGGCCCATCAGCCAGATCTGCACCATATTGTCGAAGGAGATGAACCTCCACGCGTGCCGGCTGTACGGCGGGTCGAACCACATGCGGCGCGAGAGGAACGAGTGCACCTGCGCGAAGATGTGCGGGTCCTCGCCGGGGAGGCGCACGAAGTCGTTGAAGGCCGGGCCCTGGAGATTCGAGGATGACGGCGGTCAGTTTTCTGTGTGAGGGAGGCGAGGAGTGGTAGAAAGAAGGGGACGTACGTCGATGAGGTTCTTGAAGTACCGGCTGTGGTGCTTGAGCAGCGTGGCGCTGATTTCGATGCAGAGGTTGTGCGGCGCGCGGCCGCAGTGGACCTGGACGTCGTCGTCGTAGTCGCACCAGGGCGCCTCGTTGAAGGGGGTGGAGGCCGGGGCGTAGGGGAGCTGCAGGACTTCGGGGTCGATGTAGTACAGCGACATGGTGGGCGGTTGATGGTTGTCGATGTCGGTGTTGGTGAGGATGAGAAGTCAGGGGAAGAGTGAGCTTGGAAGTAAAGACAAGTGGGGATCACGTGGATGTATTGTGATAGGCCGACAATGGACGCATGTGCAAATGTGGCTGTGCTGCTGCGTTTGTGTGGGCTCTGTTTGCAGTGAAGTGGAATTTGAGCTTTGGCTTCTTCTTCCACACCGACCTTTTCCCGTATGCAAGCGCAGACTCTGAGCCATCGATGATGAGACATTGAGCGCGAGATGGCATGCCTCGTGTGAGAAGGTCTCTGTCGAGTGAAAGACTACTTTCAGGTATCTTGTTTGCTCTCAAACTGAAGAGGCGAAACGCCAAGAAATTTCCCAAAATGGAAGGAGCGGGTTTCACAGAGAAAGTCGAGGTTGAACTCTGGATTCCGCGATACTCCTGTGGCAATCTACGCTACGCCATGACTTGTGGCCGTCGCGTCTAATGATTCTTTCTATCGCGGGAAGTACGTCGGAGACTTGAGTCATGTCAGTCTATCAAGCCTGAGCATTCAAGCCTACCTACTGATCAACTGCAGGGTATCGTCAACCGCCCATACAAGTATCCGACCGCATCGGCCATCATCTACATACTTCGTCTTTCAAAGCTTCGAAGCTTCCTCTTGCTCTTTCTTCGCGTTCTCCTTCAGCTCCCCAGCATCCGGATTGCCCTCCTCACTCTCCTCCTCAGCAAGCCAGCCCTTGCACATGGTCACTGCACGCTCCCACTTCTTGAACATCTTCTTGCTGGCGGCTTCCTCCATCTTTGGCTCAAACACCGTCTGTCCGGCTGTGTTGACTTCTTTCAGCTCATCAAAGTTCTTCCACACTTCTGCTGCGAAGCCGGCTGCAATAGCCGCTCCCAAGGCCGTCGTCTCGCGCATCTTCGGCCGTACGATGGGGATGCCGACGAGGTCAGCTTGCGTCTGCATACAGAGCGTCGAGTTGCTCATTCCGCCGTCGACTTTGAGTTCGTTAAGCTTGTGTCCGCTGTCCTTCTCCATCGCATCGAGAATAGCTTTAGTCTGGAAACAGACGGCTTCCAATGTTGCGCGGGCGATGTGGCCTCGTTCGGTGTGGTGTGTTATTCCAACTACAAGATCAGTATTGTAACAATCGAAGATATTCTAGAACTTACACATCGTTCCGTGGGCATCATCAATCCAGTAAGGTGCAAAGAGTCCACTGAACGCCGTCACGAACACCAACCCACCGTTGTCCTTCACGGTCTCGGCGAGTTCGGTGATCTTGTGTGATGCATGGCTGAAGCCCAGGTTGTGCATCAAGAACTTCACACCCGATCCAGCAACGGCAATACTGCCTTCGAGGGCGTACACAGGCTTACCATCGAAGTCGTACGCCACCGTTGCCAGCAAGCCGTGTGTGGAGATGACCGGTTTCTCGCCAACATTGTAGAGCAAAAAGCAGCCAGTGCCGTATGTGTTCTTCGCCGAGCCTGGATCAAACCCTTTCTGACCTACCAATGCAGCTGATTGATCTCCCAAGCAGCCAGTGATTGGGAAGTCTTTCAGTGGTCCGGAGCTCAGTTGTCCAAATGACTTCTTGTCGGCTGATCGTACAATCTCCGGTAGGTGGATCTTCCGAATGTCGAATTCGTATGAGAAGAAGTCCAGCATTTTGTCGCTGTACTTGAGCGTGTGGATATCCATGAACATTGTTCTGCTCGCATTCGTCGGGTCGGAAACGAAGACATCCTTTGAAGGACCGCCGTTGAGCTTGTATATCAGCCAGGCATCGATGGTTCCAAAGGCCAAATTGCCTGCCTCGTACGCCTTTCGCACCTTCTCTGAGTTCCTCAGCAACCATAGCAGCTTGGTGACTGATGGGTAGGTGGAGATGGGCAACCCGCAGATATCCGTAAGCTTGTCACTGTCCGGCCTAGCTTTCAGCTCTCTCGCCAAAGCAGCTGTCCGGGTATCCGTCCACACAATGGCATTGTGCAGTGGCTCGCCACTCTTGACATCCCAAACCACCGTCGTCTCTCGCTGGTTCGTAATACCCACAGCCTTAATGCTCTCTTTCGAGAAGCCCTTCTCCTCAAAGATCTTGACCGCGCCCTCTATGCAGTTCTCGACCGATTTGACAATCTCGTCCGGGTCGTGCTCGTGCCAGCTGCTAGATTGTCAGATGGATCAGCTGCTCTCTCGTACGGACCTATACTGACCCTGGGTTGGGGTATATCTGAGTGAATTCTTCCTGATGAACCGCGACGGGCTCGCCGGCTTTGTCGAAGATGAGGAATCTCGAGCTCGTAGTTCCCTGGTCAATGCTGCCCACAAACACCTGGTCTGAAGTGGCAGCCATGTTTGCAGAATTGGAAGGTCTCGCTGCTGAATATGATATACTTCGACTGAGGAGAGGAGCACGCTGAACAGCAAGAAAAGAAGTTGGGTGCCAAACCGTCCGCGTGCCCAATGCGGACCCGCTTTGTTTATGAGAGAGGCATGTCTGCGAAGGCCGAGCTGCAGCAGTAGAGAGCTGTCTTGCTCTCGGTGCATGTGATAGCCCGTGGCAGCTCTCTGAACGGAAGAATTGGATGCAGCTCGTTACGTCGCACCATGTGATCATGCGATGCATCGGACCATGCACTGCGTAAGGCAAAGACTGGGTTGGCGCGGTCAGCCTGCCTCGCCCTCCCCTCAATCCTTCTCCCCTCCTCCTCACGTGCTTTGAGGTGCTTGGAATGTCAGCACACGTGGACGTCTGGGATGCACAATGCAACCACAGAACAATTAAGCCGGATGGCTTAGACGTGGTGCTGGGTCAATGGACGCCGTACGCTCGGAGCTGGATGTGAGTGAGTGCGCGAGTGAATGTTGTGGTCGCGTGCGTTGGGTCTCCTCCGTGCGCGATTTGAAGAGTTCGGCGGTCGCGCTCGGCAACGGCATCCGACGTGGAGCGGGTCCACTTTTCCCCGTGGGCAGGTGGAGTTCCCCCAGGAATGCAACATGCACTGCAAACAGTCCTCCATCACATCGACAGACTGTTCCAGACTGTCACCATCCTTGCGATCAAACACGACCACCCATTCTCACCTATTTGCGTATCTTCTCTAACATGCAGGTACTAGGTTTCAGCGCGCAGAAAGTACTCACCTTCGTACTTTGCTTCGGACTCGACGTCTGCAGCTCAACGCTTTGAGTTTTAACGGAGCCGTCGCTTGCCGCTGGACATCAGCTCTTCCTACCAAGATGACGAAGACTGCCTCAGACGCTACTGTGCCGCCAGCAACTTGCCACCCAGAAGGACGGTAGCGTCTCTGCGGGGAACCTGGGGATCGCGCCATGGGGTTGTCGCGGCACTTGGGGCGTTCACTCATCAGCAGTATTTCCAAGCGATGCGGCTATAGCACAGTCAGACGCTTCGTCTGGGGGCACGAGGCCGCTGGACCAGTGAAAGCCAACTCGTCACCACCTTGGCTTTGCTAGCCGACTTTCGGGGGTGAGGATCTTGAAGAGCTGCTGTGGTTGTCACTACCGTCGACACCCTTTGCGACGTCTTGGAGTAGTTCACACAGCGGTTCGCTCGTTCCGCTCTCCCGGTTCGCGAATCCATCGGCATCCTGGTGTATAGATCGTGTGTACTCCTACACCCTGGCCTGAGGTTGAATTCGTCGAGGGTTGGACAATCGTGAATCGGCGTCGAAGAACAAAGCCGTGCCGAGTACCACTCAAAGGAAGTCCGGCCTACGTTAGCAATGCAGCCGCAATACGACTGCATGCGGCGATTCATCCTTTCTTCTGCCAATCTTCCGGCATCGCCGTCTGGCCAATCCAATTCAGGCCTGGTCTCGCACCCAGCTGCACCCCATCATGGAAGCTGATGCTGAGGGCATGCAAACGGAAGGCCAATGTGTAGCTCCTTCGACTGGAAGCGAAGGTCGTCCGGTCTTGGTGGCGTGAGAGGAGAATTCCTTCGATCCCGCATCTGTAGCTAGGGTGGTAGGCTTATGTCCTTCTTACGGTACCCTGCTGTGATTGACTGTATGGCTGCACTCACCGCGGCTACCGAGACCTCTGACGGAACCTGTCCGAACGGCAGAGCAATAAGACCGCCTGCATAGCCTGGTCAGCAGAGTTTCATCAAGCACAACCTTGAGATACACGGATTCGATCGTACCAGCAATCTAATCGACTCCTCTCGTCCCACCTCGACAGCCCAATACACAACAGCTTCACAGGTCGTGAGGTGCTGCAAGTGCAACTTGACCGTCTTTGTGTTCTTCCTCAGGTCCCGAAAGGGTGTGCTGCGACTTGTATAAGATATGGAACCGAGGGACTACTCCGACGTGTTGGCCGACAAACGTTTGGACTTCCAACCACCAGTGGACACCATGAGGATCACACATCGAGAGCATCGGCGGAACGACTCTGACAACTCCACCGTCCTTACTGAGCCGGCGTATGCAGAGGCCGGTGTCCCAATCAACCGCAGTGCGACTGCAGAGGCGAAGAAGGTATGCCGTCCACATAGCTTCATGAGACTCCGGCCCTCTGACAGATGTGTAGGAATCCAATGGCAGTCTTGCATGGTCCAAGATCCGGAGGTACTGCAGAGAGCCGCTGTCCGAGTTCATGGGCGTCTTCATCCTGATTATGTTTGGCGATGGATCCGTAGCGCAGGTCGTCCTCAGTAATGGCGAGAAGGGTGACTATCAGTCAATATCCTGGGGCTGGGTAAGTCATTCATCCAAGCAAGAGTTCCTTCTCCACGTTGCTGATCATCATCCAGGGCATTGGTGTCATGCTAGGCGTCTATGCCTCCGGAATTTCAGGAGCCCACATCAACCCAGCCGTAACCTTCGCCAACTGCGTCTTCCGCAAGTTCCCTTGGAATAAGTTCCCCATATATGCAATCGCCCAAACCCTCGGCGCCATGGTCGCCTCCGTCATCGTGTATATGAACTACAAATCCGCCATCGACGTCTTCGAAGGCGGCGCCGGCATCCGCACGGTACCAGGCTACTCCCCCAACGCCACTGCTGGCATCTTCTGCACATACCCAGCCGAGTTCATGACGCGAACGGGCATGTTCTTCTCCGAGTTCATTGCCAGCACCCTGCTCATGTTCCTCATCTACGCCATCAAAGACGACCACAACCTCGGCGCCAAACACCTCGTTCCACTAGCCTTATTCTTTATTATCTTCGGCATAGGTGCCTGTTTTGGGTGGGAGACAGGTTACGCAATCAACCTCGCCCGAGACTTCGGCCCCCGCCTCATGTCCTACGCCCTAGGCTACGGCCCCGACGTCTGGCGAGCCGGCGGCTACTACTTCTGGATCCCCATGGTCGCGCCCTTCTGCGGCTGCACCTTCGGCGGCTTCCTCTACGACGTACTCCTCTTCACGGGCGAATCCCCCATCAACACGCCGTACTGGGGCCTCTACCGCTTCGTCCCGGGCATGCGGCACAAATACGACGACGTCGAGTTCCATCCGGAATATCTCAAGGAGGATTTTGGCGGCGAGAAGGCTATGCCGACCGTGGCGCCGGTGTCTGTGGGTTCCGGATCGAGTCCTTCGTCGGAGAGATGATGAAGTGAGGTTGGAGTTGGGTTGTTGGGACCATGTGGGTTTGTTGCTGTGAGTTTGTGGGTCGTGCTAGTCGGACCGATGTTCTGGCGGATTTTTTGACCCACATTCCACATGGGCTGTGGGGAGAACGAAAGTGCTCGCAATCATCGAATGAAATGGGAAATGCAATGAATTTGAGTCTTATACCATTTCTGCCGCCAGTCCTATTGACCGAGTGAGGGTATATATATGCCCAGGCTGACCACAGGATCGACTTTTCGCCGGAAATGGCAATTTCGCAGCGACGGGCCCGAAGCAGTGTGAACTCAATCCCACGAGGCTTGAAGGGCGTAGTGGTTATAGTACATGGACGAATGCTTCATGCCACCGGGAGGATCATCTTATAGTGGCTTGACCAGAGCACTTCCCAAAGAAGATGGCGAAGGAAAGAAGTATGGCCGTATGGACGGAGATCTTTTCGTAGTAGGAATCGAACCACGAGAAGGGAGCTCAAAGAGTACGTGTTTCTGGTTGCGAGTATATATACAATCTATCTAACTGAGCAGAGTGTCAACGAACCGATCCTTTCGGCAATGGTTATGGGTATCTTATCATCCTCCTTATCCCATCAATTCCCCTTTTCCTTCTCCCTCTCTAACGCCTCCTCCAAACCCTCATACTTCGGCAAGTCCCACCCATACTGCGTCTCCCACATGAAATACTTCGCAATCATATCCAACCTCAACGTCGCAAAAAGTTGCACAATCACATGAAACACCGCGATTCCCCACGCACTCGACGGGAACAACCATCCGGGCCCCTCACTCTCAAGCCCAGCATGGAGTTTCGTCATGAAAGGTCGAAACCGGGCATCGTAGGCCGCGAGGGCCGCTTGAATGCCATCGACATCGCCGTCTTTGCAGTGCACGCCGATCTCGCCCGCGAGGATGTACGCGCCGACCATGGCGGTCGTGGTTCCCATGCCGGAGCCTCCTGGGCCGTAGGCGGCGTCGCCGACGAGGGCTACGTGGCCGCGCCACCAGGAGTCCATCTTCACGATGCCTAGACGTTCGCAGTAGAAGTCTTCGGACGTCATCATCTTTTCGAGGAGCTCGTTGGTTCTCCAGCCGGCGCCTTGGTAGATTTCTTGGAAGGCTTTCTTTTCTTCTTCGATGTCGCCGCGCTTGACGCGGGCGATTCTTTCGTCGGGGCGGGAGAGGAGGAGGTACAGTTGGAGTTCTTGGGGGTTGTGGCGGCGGATGAGGAGAGATCGCTTGTCGGTACCGATGTACATCTGTCCTACGTAGCGCTCGCCTTTCTCCACCGGTTGCTTGTAGGTGAGGTATGCGTTCGTTTCGTTCTTGAAGTGGAAGGCTTTCTTGCCGGCTTCATCGCCCATCATCATTCTTCGCAGGGAGGACCACACTCCATCGGCTCCCACAACGAGATCATACCGCTCCTTCTGCCCGTTCTTGAACTCGACCTCCACACCCTTCTCTACTTCGCAGTAACTCTGGATTGAACTCCCGAACACATACTTTGCCTTTCCATGCGTAGCATCATAGATGAGTCGGCAAAGATCACCTCTCATGATTTCATACTCGCTCGTGATTCCCTGGTTTCCATCACCGCTCGTGGCCGCACCAAAGTATCCTCTGTTCCGTCCCTGAGCGTCGATGAACTGCATGCCTTCTTCAGGCGCTTTTCGTTCGCGGAAACCTGGTTCCAGACCCATGCGGCGAAGGACCTCGACGCCATGGCTTCGTAGATCGATTTGGAGTCCAGTTGTGCGGAGAGAGGAGTAGTGTTCGACGACGGTGATGGAATGGCCTAGTTTTGAGAGCCAGAAAGCGAGCGCGGTACCTGCGACCCCGCCGCCGGAGATGAGAATCTTGAGTGGTGGCATGTCTTGGTGGTCGTAGTGGTGAATGTCGTAAGGGTTGGCGAAGGTGGCAAGCTCGGTGGGCCTCCACACTTGAAGACCGTACTCAAGAGATGAAGAATGTTGGCGGATTGATGATGAAAGGTATCTGCAGCCACATTTTTGCAGACCAAAGGCTCCAATTTATGTTCCTTGCTTGAGGCACAGTCGAGTGTGCGAGAGCGCCTACGCCCGCTTAGGAGCGAGGCCGCAGCTTACGACCGAGCAGCTTCGGCCGTTAGTCTTCTCCAACGGGCTTTCGTATTCACCGAAGCAAACCATTCGAGTGTGCTCCACTCTTTGATCCCCAGAAGCCGCCCATATCAGGCATCAGAATGTCCATGTTCCAATCCAGGTCCCAGTCTGTGAGTCCAAAGTCGACGCTAGAGACTGATGATGAAGTAGGCGTTGGGATTGTTTCGACGACACTTTCAAGCAGGCCAAGGCAATGCTCCATGCTGTCAATCGCTGCTTGCGCGACACGCTTCCTCACTGAAGCGTCTGATCCAGCATCAACAATGGCTAAGACCGAAGCGAGTAGAGTGTGAAGCTTGACGTTCGTTTCGTGTTTCTTGATCTGCTCTTCGGACAATGCCATCATATCTTTGACAGCTTTCTTCAAGACTTCAGTAAAGGGGGATGGACGATGTAGAGTGCCATCAAGGCGATCGGAATCGGCTTGAACGACCAATTCAAGATTGATGGCAGTGATGGCACAACGAAGTCCCTCTCTGAGAAGGTTGCCGCCGAGAGTCATCAATCTGGTGTATGGTTCACAAGGCTCTGGTGACACAATAGCCATGGCCGCGTCGACGCTGACTCGGCGCGAGTAGTGAAAGAGTGGATTTGTTCTTGCTTTGCTGGCGAATGGACCGTGCAGTGGTATGAGAAATCGACAAACACAATAGTCGACCAAGTTGCGATGAAACGCTGTGAGGCCAGACCGCGAGTTGTCCTGTATGAACTTGCTGAACGTCCGATGTGCGTTCGTCAACTCTTTGCTGAGGGCCAGAGCGTCTGCATAGAGAAACTTGGAGTGCGGTCCGTTCAACAACTGAAGGATTTGGAGTCTGATAGGCCTAGTGTCAAGAAGAAGCAGCTGCAGAGAAGTCTCCGTGTACTCGGCACGAGGGTGTGGTCTGATTTCTTTGGTCTCCTCATCAATCTCGTGGTCGTTGATGTGGGAAGGCGGCTCAGTGTCGAAGTCGTCCAAGCGTACACGAACCGTCATAGCAGTATCCATCGATGTCTGCATCTCCATCTCGACTATGGTCGCCCACAACCGTCTGCGGAGCTCTGCCTCGAGCAGTGATGTTGCGGCGATATATTTCGGGTCGCGATGTAGGCCAAGCTGTATAGCAGCGTTAACCATATTGCCGACAGATATCCACACGAGATCTGCGCTTGGTGAGTAGATCTGTCGCGCAAGGAACGTAAGACAGTGGATCTGGATGCCGGTGATGTCAAGACGAGCTTTTTCGGACGGCGCCAGTAGCCAATCCTGAGCGGCACATATCCATCGGAATGCTGTATTGTAGAACTGCGGATCTTTGTCGATATCCTCGTGAATGCTTGCACCAATTGCGACCACTAGAAGAACCTTCAAACGCAAGTTGGCCGGTGCGGCGTCTGGCGATGCCCAGAACTTCTCGTACTCATGGCGGAAGCTAGATCGGTGGAGAATGCGGTATGTGGATTCAAATGATTGAAAATATAGCTCGACCATGGCATCCGCCACGTCACGAGCTGGCGGAGTGAGGTCTCCCGCTGTGATTTGCAAGGATGCTCTGCTAGGTCGTGAAGACTTGATCTTCACAGCTACATTTTTGGCTCGTTGCAGTAGCTCTGATATTCGGGGGATCAAAGGAGCTGTTTCCGCATCTTGAAACCAATTTGCAAAGACATCAGCGCCACCGGCTGCAGCGTAGCATGAGTAAATAGTGGAGAACTATGGGAGAGTCAGTAAGAGCCAGTGGACGATTAACATCGATCCTTACCTCGGGTGCTGTACCAAGCCACTCGCTCCATCGAGGAGGGCGATGTTTGTTCAGGGGTACGTCAGAGTCTTTCAGGCCAACTTGTTGCTTGAGGATGTGCCATCCAGACTCTTCTAATCCCGGTTGCAGGGGACGATCCGCAGGGCGTTCCTTGAGGATCTGATATCGAAGGTCAAGGCCGCTTCCAGTAGCACCAAGCGATGATGTGCCTACATTTTTGCTTGAGGTGCTGGGATCGGAAGACTCCTTCGCTGCAGCCTCAAGCTGCGAGATAATTGGATAACTGCTTTGCCTCGCATAGCCTTCGGCGGCTCGAGAATCATGTTCTACAGAGGCCGGATACTGGACATCCGAGCCGCTGATACCACTCGTTGGCTCGCCTGATGGTAGTCGAGTCACGACGGGCGAGTTGACGAAAGGCTGGTACAAGCACTGCACCAAAGCAGTGGAACAGTTTTTGCAAGGCTGCGTCCTGTCACAGCGGATCTTCCGCTGGCGGCACTGGACGCACGATAAGGCTGGCCGTCTCCGCTTGCGGGGTGGAGGCCGTTCATTCTGTTGTTGCTGTTGATATCGCTGTTCCATCCCGATGCTGTCGGTGTTGAGGCGGTCCTTGTCGCTGAATTCACGGGGCTAAGGAGGAGTGGGCCGGGCACTCGGATCACCGAAACCGCGCATTGGCGCTTAACTCTTTCCGGAATGTCTGAAACGCGGTCAAAATGGCCTTCCTTAGTCGAAGTTGTGAAAGTCTCCACACGAATTGTGCTTCCCCCGTCTCTCACTTCACTCCCTCGAATTCGTGCACTTGTTGCTGAAGACATGGCCCGACACAGCGATATATGATCCATATACACGGCTCACGCCTTTTGTTAACATCATGCCGTGTCTGGGCCTCATCCATACGTGGTATATGTTATGCAGACAACACAACATGTTCGGCAGGCCAGATTCATCACATCTCGACCACCGATCTCCAAGGACTCATATCACGCCCACTCTGCACACACACGCGCACAAGGACACTTTATTCGCAAACTCGATCGTCGGATCGGCACCACTGCGCTTAAGAAAGAACATACTCGCATTCGGTACCCCGTGGGCTGAGGTGTCGACAGTGCGAGCCTTGCATGTTGCTTGAACCTTGCCGTCTTGCTTGCCGAGCACCAATGATCCCCGTCGTCGTGGCCGTGCTCCCTCCTACAGACTTTGCTCAACCTTGAGAGATTCCTCTGGACAGGACAGACCAAACCAGTGGGGTGACATTTTCAATGGTATTTCATCGGTGCGGCAAATGCCAGGAAACGCTACCCTTTCTACCTACCGAACTTACACCTTCTACAAGTTGGCACCAAAAGGTCAATCACAGAAGCAACAATCGCCTCGATCATGCAACGTATAAGGCAATTCCAGCGTGCGACATCACTTTGACGTGCATTGCGTTGAACTCTAAGCGGAACATAGTTGGTCACCATCCATAATGGCGATCATACCTGACGATAGCCCTGTCCGACTGCACTTCCTCCTGCCTGGGGACATTGTGTCCATACTCATCTCGCTAATTGCTCTTCCTGCAATTGCAATATTCATCGTAGCAAGATGGCCGAAGGAGGGAACGAGATGGACTGTTGCGACTTTCTTGTGCTTACTGGTATGTGGCAACACTGTCAGGCTCGTTGCATTTGCTGACTACGGAGGGATAGTGCTACGCGACGGATATGATCTTCATCACCACAGTCACAATGCTGGTACACACACGAGCAACATTGACACCCGAACTTTGCGACTCTATGATGATCATCTGTAAGTCCTGGCCCTATCTATCGACGGCACAACCGTTCTAATCATAGCTTAGGTGTGATTCTTCACAATATCGCTAAAGCTACAGAGCTTGCTTTCCTTATCGAAAGAGCATACATCATCACCTGGCCCGTCAAGTCAAGACACGAAACTCCAGAATACATTCTGAGCACCGTCGGCATCTTTGTTCCCTATGTCACGGTCACGGCCGTCGCTATTGCGTAGTAAGTCTTGCCCGAAAATTTTCATACTCCCTTAACTTACACTCCTTTCAGCCGCATAGCCTACGTTCTCGACACCGAAGTCTGCATCATTGGCATGCGGAGACTCACATTGATGCCTATGCTTGCCGTCGAGACCGCAGCACAACTCTACCTCACCCTGCGATTCCTACAGCCACTACTCCGGGTCCACCAGGACGGCAGCGGCTTGCTATCGCCTCTTCGGAAAGTCGTGATTCGAACTTCCATCGGATGCGCGATAACCATGCTCTTGGACGTAGCAGTCAAAGTCTCCTTAACGCTATTCAATGGCGAGCCAAGTTGGCTATGCTATCTCACTTGTAAAGCCGAAGGTCAGCAATGCCAGTTTCTGAGCCAACAGCAAGACTGACATTTTCATCTAGCCTTCCTCGCTGCCAGCATTCTGTTTTGGATTACCAAACCCGCCTTGCCAAACGAAGGAATGACGAATGGCGAACAAGAGCTCGGCGTGGGCTTTGAGGGAAGCGTGTCAGACTCTGTGATCACCTCATCAGAGCTCGCGGAGACATGTCGACAAAACTTCGTCAAGAGAGTGTTGTCGTTCCCGAATGCGTACGAGACGAAGATACCGAGGACACACAGCGTAGCTCCAAAATCGTAGCGATGGACATCAAGAGCAAGCATCGAGACGAATCAGATTGCGTCGTACATACGAAATTAGTAAGTAATGGAAATCTCATCGTTCAGGAAGGCCGATGGTTCTTGCTGTCGCACCAAGTTCTCGAAGATCCACAGGCCAACATCATCTCGACTAATGCTATACCCCAGGACTGGCTGCTGCATTGTACCTTTCTGGATCACTTCCAGGCCTTTGCTTGTACCGTCGGTGAGAGGACTTGCTCTGACAATGACGAACCCCCCAGCCGGTCTCGTTTTCGTCAGACTCGCCTCCATGCGGCGCTTGTCGTCGTAAATGTCGGTCAACAGCCATCGATAAAGTGGAGTCAACATTAGAGGATAGTCACGAGGGCCATCGTTGCGAACACCATTTCCGGATATGACTACCAGCAATGGATGCTTCGTCAGTGTCGAGTGTGCCATGACCGACAGGATACAGTCAATCGCATCGCCCCAGATGTTTGGATCCGTCATGGTCAGAGGGCGCATCAAGGAGAATTGTGGCGTCGGGACTCCACCTATTGCTGTCAGCACTTCATCTACGACTTCAAGGGAGAACGGAACGCACCAATGCCACTGATGACTATATCAACACCTCTGCCATTGTTTTCCAGGACTTTGCCAACGGCTTTCACATCTCTGACGTCGCCCTCCACGATTTCAAGCCGCTGCTCAATAGCCTCCCTCGATGTCTTCCGTCCCTCGAGCTGGCCCTTCAACTTCTCCGGCGAACGAGCTAAGACGATGGCGTTCATTCCTTGTTCGATGGTTTTGTAGAGGCAGGAGTTTGCGCAACCTCCTGTTGCTCCAAAGAAAGCGATGGTTCGAATTGACATAATTCGACTCACAATGAAGGGCGTCTCGAGAGGCTTACCATCAATGCCATCGGCTCGAGGCTTGATATATCACAGAACCATGGGCGGAAGCTGGACCAACCTATCGACCGACTCTCCTCATTGCCTGGTCTCGTCAACAATCAATCATCCCGACCACATACAGCACCTCAATGCAACACGTCAATCTTTTCCAGAAAACACAAAACTTTCGTAGCCCGCGCGCTCCAGCACCTCGAAGTCCCTCCGAATGCCGTCTCGAAACTGTGCCTCATGCACGAAGTCCCTGAGTTCCTGGCCAATCGACTCGTGTCCTCCAATCGATAACATCTCGGTGGCCACGTTGCGGCGGACTGTACTCCGCGAAGGATCGATGCAGTTATCATTGGGCGGCAACCCTCAGATAAGGCTATGCAACAAGCATTTTGATCACTTGGCGAGGCGTTCCAGGAGCCATGCTCCTTCTGGTATACAATCTGCAATGAGGATACGTCTGATTGTGCGTTCTTTCCTCATGATCGGGACAAGAATGGGTCAAACTGACTCTGTGTTCAGCTGGGGACCTGGGAGCACGCACCACATTCGTTACTGTTCACCGAGTGAGCATCGTCAGACGCGGCGACGTGGACAAGTCTCTGCTGGAGCGAAGGGAGTGTTGTCCAGCGTAGGCAGGTTTAAGTGGGTCTGCTGATGTAACGAAGTGGTCCGAGCTTTGGTTCTAATCCTGTCAACAGCATCAACGTTCTCCTGCTCACATCACTCTTTACCAGCAAAGTCATCGCTGGGTACAGCCCTAGCACTTCGCGGAGTCTCCATGGTTTCTTTCGTCACAGCCAATGGGGCGCCATTGACATCGTGGCGAGTTGGAATCAATGCAGGCTGAGTGACCCAGAGATCGTCATTCAGGCTGTTCACTAACCACAGAGCCACTGATCTTTATCGAAATCGGGCAATGCTCAGGCCTCCCACAGTCCTTCTCAGCTCCAAATATAGAGAGGGCCAATGGACTTCGAGCGTAGGCCAATAAGTACACATGTGGCTTTCTTTTTGTTGTACTCTCGAAAACTCGATACGTTGTCTTCACTGTTTACACAGCGCAGAGGACTTGGAGAATGTCTCAAGCACCATACGGCTACGCACCGCCAGCGTGGCATCAACCTCCACCGGCTACGGGAGCGCCTTGGGGTACGACGTTCGAGAGGAATGTTTGGACATTGTAAAGAGACAAGCTGACATTGAGTGTAGACTACAACAGTCAAGGATACGGCTATCCGCAGCAAGCAGACAATCATGCTCACCCTCCGCCATTAGTCCCACACATGCCCAGCTATGATGCTAGGCCCTCAAACGCCGACTACTATCATCAACAACAGCAGCCACTACCACCGCCACCAACCCAGCCTCATCTCCAGACACCTCTACATCCAGCAGTCGCGCCGGTTCCTGCATCGTCTGCATTCATCGAGGAGAATGATCTTGTCCAACGGATGCGATCAGTCGGGATCTCTGAGAGGCAAATCAGCGCCGTGATCAGGAAGCCTTCGCCTCAGCCGCAGGATGCTAGATACTCCGCGTATGCCCCACCTGCATCGCAGTATCCAACGCCGCCGCCTGCATCTTTCAATGGTCCTCCAGATGCGGACAGAGGTGTGATGGGTGCACTTGCTGGTGGCGCCGCAGGGGCTTACGGTGGGCATCAGCTAGGCCACGGCGTCATTGGTGCTATTGGTGGAGCCTATGCTGGCCACAAGCTTGAGGATGCATACCAGAAACACCATCACTCAGCGTCTCAGACACATACGAACCAACCGCAGCAAGCTGCTCCGCCGCAAGTAGACCCTCGATGGCCACTCCAATTACCGAAGGGCTCCACCATCGTCTTCGAGTACTACCCAACAGGTGTAGAAAAGGACAAGAAGATGGGAAAGATCTACTCCTACGCTCTTATTCAGCCAAAGACCTCGACATCAAAACCATACTATACAGCCACATTCGTCGATGACAAACGATTCACCAAGAACCCCGGGCTCAGAATCTACCGAGGAGCGCAATGGGTAGCAAGCTGCTCCTACCACAGCAGCAGCAACATGAAGTCCAAGCATCCATGGACCACGTGGGAGAAGTGGGATCCCCAAGAAGAGACCTGGCTCTCAGACACAGGCATTCTAACTGGCCAACAATTCCAATGGGTATACGACTGGGAGGACAAGCCCGCGAAAGAAAAGAACGCGGCGTGCATCCTGCGATGTGCCTACAACGACGACGAGGCGAAGGAGATGGTGAGGGTGGTGATGTACCAGTCTGAGCAAGGCAGGATCGACATTCCGAGCGATGTGGTGTCGAGTCAGGATCAGTTGGATGAGTTGGTGGGAAATGCGTTCATGCAGATGCAGCAGAAGAGGAATGGGTGGGAGAGTTCGAGCTCGGGGTCTTCCTTTCGTGCTGAGCTGGGTAATGCGTTTGTGCAGGGTCTTGCTTCTGGTGGTGGGGGAAGTTGATCGAGTGAGAAAGCATCTGGTGTAGCGTGACCTTTTCGCTGAAATATTGGAAGTGTTGCAAGCGAATGCATAGGAGCATACAAGGGGCGAGAGAATGACGGGTTGCATTGGGCCATCTAGATTCGATATACTACTACAGCATAGACTGTACCCTTGTTTTGATCATGTTCAGTTCCTCTCACCGTTGTAGTACCGCCATATTTCGCTGCCATCACACTTGATATTTTATCTCGTGGCCGACATCGGAGGCTTCAGCCAGTGCTTGAGTCAGGGTTTGAGTCAAGATCGCTGGGGCCAATATGCAGCGATACATTTCTGCTTAGCTGCAGCTCCAAAATACACCTCCGACTTTTGTTCTACTACAAGCCATTGGCTGTTTTCTACACACCAGAAACCAGCCATGTTTGCTCTGCGGTCCAGTGCGCCCTCTGCGCGCGCCGCCTGGTGCTCCAGAGCACAATGGCACGCAATGTACGCTCACTCCGCAACACAGCTTACTCCAACAGCTAACCCTTCACCCAGACGAGGAATCTCCAACACCACCCGCCGCCAAAATGCCTCCCCCGTCAACGACCTCGAAGGCCTCAATGCCGTCTCCAAACACATCACCCAGCCCAAATCGCAGGGTGCCTCGCAGGCCATGCTGTACGCCACAGGCTTCACCGAGGACGACATGAACAAGCCCCAGGTCGGCATCTCGTCGGTGTGGTACGGCGGAAACCCTTGCAATATGCACTTGATGGATCTGAATCACAAAGTGAAAGAGGGCGTGGAGAAGGCGGGCTTGCTGGGCATGCAGTTCAATACGATTGGCGTCAGCGATGCCATCAGCATGGGCACGAGTGGGATGCGGTATTCCCTGCAGAGTAGGGATTTGATCGCGGATTCGATTGAGACGGTCATGGGTGGGCAGTGGTATGATGCCAACATCAGCATTCCTGGCTGCGACAAGAATATGCCCGGTGTCATTATGGCGATGGGACGTGTCAACCGACCGAGTATTATGGTCTATGGAGGGACGATTGCGGCAGGATGTGGGAAAGAGCCGAGGAATAACAAGCTGGATATCGTCTCGGCTTTCCAGTCGTATGGACAGTTCTTGAGTGGGGATATCAATGAGACGGAGAGGTTCGATATTGTCAGGCATGCGATCCCAAGCTGTGGTGCTTGTGGTGGCATGTACACTGCGAATACTCTGGCGTCTGTTATTGAGGTCATGGGCATGTCGCTACCGGGCTCTTCGTCGAACCCTGCTGCCAGCAAGGCGAAGCAGTTGGAATGTCTGGCCGCTGGACCTGCTATCCGAAACCTTCTAAAGGAAGACATCAGGCCGAAGGATATCTTGACACGACAAGCTTTCGAGGACGCCATGGTCGTTGTCAACATTACTGGTGGATCGACCAATGCCGTCCTTCACTTGATCGCCATGGCACACAGTGTAGGCATCGACTTGAAGATCGACGACTTCCAGAAAGTCACGGACACCACTCCTTTCCTCGCAGATCTCAAACCCTCCGGCAAATACGTCTTCGAAGACCTCTACAACATCGGCGGTATCCCCAGCTTGACCAAATTCCTGCTCAAGGAAGGTCTCCTCGACGGCAGCCGTATCACAGTCACCGGCAGAACTCTGAAAGAGAACGTCGAGAATGCACCAGACTTCCCCTCAGACCAGGAGATCATCCGCCCATTCAGCAACCCCATCAAGAAAACCGGCCACATCTGCATCCTCCGCGGCTCCCTCGCACCTGGCGGCAGTGTCGGCAAGATCACCGGAAAAGAAGGCACCGTCTTCACCGGCAAAGCCAAATGCTACGACGCTGAAGACGACTTCATCGCCGCGCTGGAGCGCAACGAGCTCAAGAAAGGCGAGAAGACCGTCGTCATCATCCGCTACGAAGGACCCAAGGGCGGCCCTGGTATGCCAGAGATGTTGAAGCCCTCTTCAGCAATCATGGGCGCTGGTCTAGGAAACGACGTCGCTCTCATCACGGACGGCCGTTTCTCTGGTGGTAGCCACGGCTTCTTGATTGGCCACGTCACGCCTGAGGCGCAAGAAGGTGGTCCTATTGGTCTTGTCCGAGATGGCGACACTATCACCATCGACGCTGAGAAGCGTGTCATCGATATCATTGACGCTACTGAGGAAGAGCTCGAGAAGCGGAGGGCGGAGTTCAAGCCCCCGCCGCTCAAGTACCAGAAGGGTGTCCTTTTCAAGTACGCCAGGAACGTGGTGGATGCCAGCCATGGGTGTATCACTGATGCGCCCACACCCATATCTTAGACCCTTCGCAGAGTCTGGTTGTATATCTGTATAAGCATGGCGTCACGGCGTTTAAAAGGGCAAGTCGGGATGGGATGTAGAGAAAGACCGTTTCAAAAAGCGCCAATTTTGGATCACTGAGTGTAGAAAATGAGTGTCACCACTGAAATTGGGGCGGCGGGTATCTACAACATTCTAATACAACAATACCTTTACAATTCTTCTTGCAACCACCTGTCTCCCTTGATACTCTATTCTATGCTCTAATAACCCTAACCTTCTGCCTGATCCCCTTCCGACAAACCGGACAATTCGCCGCGCGCCGCGGCCACGTACGATCGTGCGCCAGCGTCGGCGAATGCTGATCGCTGCACCACCGACACATGGTCAGATGTCCGCAGGGTAACGTACAGATCTCCGCCTTTTGGGAATAGCAGATCCTACAGTCTAGCAGGACCGTCATGTCCTCTTCGCTCATGGGCTCTTCGGGGCGGCCGGAGTCTTTGGCGTCCAGGCCGCGGCCTTCGTGCTCCGAGTCCTCAGAGTCGCTGGCGGAGGGGGAGGCGGTGAAATCGTCGAGACTGAGTGGGCGGTAGAAGGGGCCGGAGCGGAGGTGGCGGGTTGTCATTGTTTCGGCTGTTGTTGATGCTGTGGGTTCTTGGGGTGGTGTGAAGCCGTTTTCTTGCAGGCGTTCGTAAGCGGCGCGGGTTTCTTCGTCGCGGTTCGCGAGGCGTTCGAGGAGAGCCGCGGGGCCTGTGAGCATTGCGGCGCGGCCGGCGGCGAGGGCGGCTTGGTGGGTGGCTCGTCGTTGGGCGTCGAGTTCGGCGCGGGAGTGGTCGCCTTGCCGGGCTGCTGAACGGCGGGAGTCTTCGAGCGCGGCGCGGCGAGTGGTTGTTGCGGAAGATGGTTCATTTTGGTGCTGTTCGACGATTTCGCGGGCACGAGCGAGGACGGAGTCATGTTGGAGCATGCGGGATAAGACGGCGCGGTCATCGCTATTGCGCCGGCCTCGTTGTAGCCTGAAGAGCACAGCGAGTTGCTCTGGGCCTGTGAGACCTGATGATCTCCGGACGAGGGCGCTCATTTGAAAGCTCTCCGCCATCATCTCGACATCGTGCACGATCACTTGTCCAGAAGTTGCCATATCCAGAGCGTCTGGTGTGAACGTCACCTGCTCTCCACGTTGGCGTCGGCGGGTATTTCGCTCGGCCGGTAGTCCACTCTCCCAAATGACGTTCTCGTCACTGGTCAGCGTTTCTATGATGTCGCAATCCGCCTGACTTAGGTTGTTCTCAGCGGCATCGTGTAGAATTCGACGTACGGTCGTCTCATCAGGTCCATTTGGCACGGTACGAAGTAAGGTGCTGTTCTCGGCCAGTGCTGTGAGGACGAACATCGCATCCAGCCCGCGGTCGTTGTTTGAAGTGGGATCCTCGTCCAGCTGCCGTCCAGGCGGTCCTGCAACATATGGCGTTGCTGAATCCTCTGGCATTCTTGCTGTATCTCCTTCTGCCGTTGAACCCGCAGTCAACCCTGCAAGTGGGTGCCTAGGCTCGTAAAGATGCAGACTGGGACGGAACCTGTTGAGCATGCTTTGCGGAAAGTTTCGCGACGCTTGGTTGCCTTCGCTCGACGCAGTTGATGTAGGCTGAAGTGGGTCGTGTTGGAGGGGAGCCATGTAGCTGGTGATGTCGGTCTGCTGGAGATCTGCATTCGGCCGTGGGCGTGGGACTCCCCACACGTCTCGATCCTGTGTATTGAGCTCTGCAAGGCGAACAGCGGCATCACTTCCGTTCTCAGCTCTCTCTTCATGTGCGAGAACCTGTCGCAAAATTTGCTCCTCTCTACGGGTCTCTTCGGCGGCACGAAATCGCTCCATAGCTCGAGTGAACATCCCTCCAATAGGACTCTCGTAACTTTCACCTTGAGCGGCCATCTCTTCTCTACTCCCGAACAGACGCATGTAGTTCTCTGTCGTGCGTTGTTCGTTTTGCAGTTGACGAAGACGAGATTGTGAGTTGCGAAGGTCTTGCTCGGCGACGTCCAGCTCTGTGGCTGCCTGATCGCGATTCCGCCGCGCTTCATTGACGTGCTGCCTCGCGTTGTCTACTCTGGTTTGAATGCTTGCGAGTGTGCGATCGCTTTGAGTCGTGGCCACGTTGTTCGTCAACTCATTGACACTGTTAATCGCACGCTGAGCATCTTCAGATGATGGAACACCAGCAATGGTGTCAAGAGTACTTCCGAGCTCAGAGAGGCGATTCGATGCTTCAGTGTGGTCTGGTACATTCTCGCCAAGATCACGGAGGCCTGAGATGACACGCTCGATGCCGTTCCTCATACGGTGAAGCTCACGCCGCAGAGCTGCGATTCGGCGTGCTTGGTACTCGCGATTGCGCGAAATTGCGGGTACCATAGCTTGGGCGTGAATGTTTTGCGCGACTTGGGCAGGTGGCGGGGGTCTGTTTGTCGAAGGTACGGTCTCCTCATCAGCTGCCGCTTGAAGCATGCTGTCCAATGCGTCTTCGAGAGTTGGTCCAGAGTCTGCCTCGGGTTCCTGCACACTTTGTGCTTGCAGCCGCTGCTGCCGCTCGCGCTCCTCGATCTCACTTCGCTCTCTTCCAGCACGTAGCTCGTCCAAGGTCCTCGGCAAGCATCCAGGGGCGACATCCCTCAGATCCTCACCAAGCACCGCGACCCTCTCTTCACTTCCATCCTCTCGTTGGACAATCCGATAGCCTTGATGAAACTCGTACCAGCGCTCCAGAAACCCGCCCTGATCCGGAACCTCAGGAATACGCGTTTGAGCAGGCCTCAATCCGGACGCCTCGACTCTATTTTCCCAAAACTCCTTGCAAAACCAGCAATATCTCTGCCACCGCGTTCCTCGTGGCACAAATCCGACGCCATCGACGTAGGTAGAGTAAGATGCTGCATGGGCTCGGTTGTCGTAACACGCGCAGCATTCTCCAATTGATGATAAACGGCAGGAAGTGGGCAGCTTGTGCTCACAGTAGTTGGGCAACCGAGGTTGACCGACAGTGAGGGTGCCCATGTTGCGATGGGAAAACTAGATGTTGGTAGGTTTGAAGGTCAATTGGGCGAGGTTGAAAGATTGCCAGTGACATAATTGGTGGAACGCTCGGACCCTGATCGGCAGTCGGGCCGTCGCCAGCTCGAACTCTGTGGCGACTTCACCTGCTTTCTACCTCCGCGTTCACTCTTCACCAGCATTCACCAATGTCTGTATATCAGGCCAAGACCCGTAGCACATTGAGAATATGTGCATGAGAATTGCGCAACTTCTGGCGGCTGTAAGGCATCGCAGAAGCAGACAGGACATGTTCGAGCCCTCCTTGCCGCGACACGGTTTGCCTTGCCTTATCCCCAATCCAAAATGGCGATATCCTTGACGACGGCGCTGTCTCTTGAAACTCAAACCATTCACATATGGGAAATCACAGTCTAGAATTATGCTGTTCACGCCAGACCCAGACATGCGAACATTGCTGTATGTCAAGACGGCAAAATCCCTCAGCAATCCTTGTGACACGGCGGCGCCGATCAGCATACGCTCGACAACGACCTCCGCCCAATCCATGTGCGTAACCCGCCCCTGGTAACATGATATAATCAGGCTGGTTTGTCGGATGGCAACGATCGTCCAGTCGCTTCCGAGAAAGAGAGTGAGTATTCAGCTTCCGGGCCCAGCACGACCGAGGGAGAGCGAAGGCCGCTGAGGGGCATTCAAGAGTGTTCTGCATACCTTGGCTTCGCTTGGAGCCGTCATACCGGGACAATCTTCCCGATCGCTGCGCGACACTCTGCGACAATCTATCAGCAGACCAGAGGGTTGGGCATCACACAGTTCTCGCACTGTGTCCAGAACCTGAAGAACACTCGCCCACCTGTCCGCCCGCATGGCCTGTTGCATAACATTCTGTCATTGCATGTGGGATGAATGCAGGGCTGCTGACTGTTACCGAAGGCTTTTCAGGGAGCGTGGAAACCTGCCACTTTACTGCAATTGGCATGCGCAGTTCAGTCAGTGCGGCGTTCGTCGCACAAGGCATGACGGCTAAAGCAATACATGCAGATGATCCTCCGCAGCTGCACCCTTCGCGGCGGCTAGCCGAGGAACACGTTGACCCCAACATGCAAGCTTATCTTGACTTCATCTGAAATGATGGACATTCGCTGATGACGGCTGTTGATCATACCCACGAGAGCATTGTCTCTTGTCCTCTGAGAAACGCGATGATCGATTGAAGCGAAGTCTTCAGCTCCACTGTCATGCGCACATGGCTACCACACGTCTTTTGGCCTCTCGAGCTGCACTCGGCTGCAAAACTCCTTTATCCGGCCGCTGCTATCCATTGGCAATTCAAGATCACACTTCTGCACAAATTAGCCTGTTGGGCAGCAATGCATAATTACCATGCTGTGTCCATTCGAATGGGAGTGGCTTTTATGAATCGAGCGCAATATGCAATCCAGGCATGTCGACGTGCTCGGTAGCGAGCTGGTGGGCTGCTCACCGTGTTCAGCCCATCAATCGCCTGGGCTTTCTCCAATCCGGCAGCAGCTGTGCCAGTGTTCATCTCCCCAAGGTTCCACTCAGTTCAGCCTCAGCAGGTTCCAGGCCCCTAGATCATACTGTTGCATGTTGTGGGTGCAGAAACGCGCGAACCGGGTACAGTGGAAGCTAGGCACAGAACACCATCACCTCGGACTACCCGACCCTGTCGTCGGAAGACTCAGACACGCTTCTTGGTACGAGGAAATTTACCCACCTCCAACTTGGTGTCAAACCGCTCCATCGAGGCATATTCAACCGAGAAAACAACTTCAACATAGAAAAACTTAGTCAAGACGGTTGTGGCTCGAACTTCGGATGCCAGGAGACCGCAGCCGGCAGACCGCGGCTGGCACAATTGCGCAGGGCTCAGCCACCTAGCTGTAAGTGGTTGGACAGCGACATTCGCCCAAGTGGATGTTTGTTCAAAACGATGCTTTGCATAAGCCTTGTCGTCCAACATGGAAACCACAGCTTCGCACGATCCTCGATTGGCTACAGCCACAACACTCTCCACCCCTTGCAGCGTCAACTTGTTTCTGTACGCCGAATGACGCCCCTTCGCGAAACCTGATTAACGCCTGGGCGCTTGGAGGAGACTCATACTGGCTTCTGGGGCCTGTTCGTGGCTCTGGTGGCTCCCCTCTATGATTTCCCCCACAGGTTGTGCATGGTGCATACGTGCCAAGCAACGTGTATCCATACAGGGTCGTTGAGAGTTCTCCTGAGCGTCGTAGCTGACTTCTGTGCATCAATGCACCCGGTTTCATATCGCCCTACAACTGACGGACCAGTCGGGACAGACACAAGTTTATCAGCATCAGGCCGTTGCGAGATGGGCGATCATCGAGCGCCCGGCGGACACAGCTGACCTGACAGGATGCCTCCCGATGGCCCCATACGAACAATTTCTCATCCAGCTGAAGGCTCAATCAGAAGGCCACCATATAATTACTTGCTGCTACCGGCTCATACCTCGCATCACCAACGCTTCAAACTCTGCTTGCCTACCAACTTGTCAGTCTTCGTCCAGCTCAAAGATCTATAGCTCGGCCTTCACCAATTTTGTCTTTCCATCACGAGCCAACACAGTATCGTATACAAAACAGCATGTCCTCCTCAACACTGTCGAACGATGACAAAAGGCGCGCAGTGCGAAGTATCAGGAACAGTAGGCCCTCACCTTTGCCTACGCTGGCAGTCTCTGAACAAATCGCAGGACCCGTGGCTGCGGCGACCAATTCGATGGACAGAGTACGTCGCCAAAGAAATGGTCTCAGAGAGCAGTTGCTTCTACAAGCAACGGGACGAAAACTTCAGGAATGAAGCAGACGGCTTCAAAGTCCTCCAAGCACAAGTAAGAGGAGGACAGCCAAAGTACGCCGCTAGATCCCGACAAGTGTCAAGGACTGACATCGAGTAGGGCCATGTTCGTCGGCATGGGGTGACTCCCATGCCTACTTGATTTCGAATCTCCTATTGTAAATGATTCTGGCGGAACACAGCACGGTACACAACATGAACACGGATAACGGCCTTGATGATCGATAGCTCCCGCGTGGACGCTCGCTTGATAGCACAATTCATTTTCAGATTTCATTCCTCGCATTTCGCTTTCACATGCGTGTGCTCAGCGCGAGGCAAGTCTTGCAAAGGGTCAAAGTCACACCCCCAAGGACGGAACTGACGTCGTCTTCCTACCACAAGAAATTGTCATTTGCACTTCAGGAACCGGCGATTGTCAATCTCTTCCTCGTCCTGGAAACCCCATGCGGGCATCCGCTGGACGTTCCCTGCGGACCACGATCTCCAGAACACAAGGTAGCCCACATGTCTGTTCGCTGTATGCTCGGCTGAATGACCTCCCGTGAAAATGGAGTTGAAAGATCTGTCATTGATTGCGAACCATTTGCCTGAGGCTGATAGCAAAGATCCAAACAACAAATTTGTCATTGAAAAGGGAGACAACCGTTGTTGAATGCTGTAATGCACAGCGCTGCATTGAAGCCCTCGACATGCCGCTTCCATTTGATCGCAGATGCAACAGACAAAACACAACTTGATTCCACTTGGCTCCAACAGGAGACAACATGAAGTCCAAGCTGAGTCTTCCCGTAACACAAATGACATCCCCATGACACCACAAATGTAACATCATCCCCATCGCCCACATTCTTCAGTTCCTGTCTAAGCTCTCTGTCCAAGGCACTCGACTTATGTCATTTGAACTCAGACTTATGACAAAAATACTAGCGCCCGCGTTTAGCGCCCGCTGGCTACGGAAGACCATATCAACCTCACTTTCCCCAACATTCACTTCTGTCAGCTCCTCTATATTCCCGCCGCATGTGAAACTACAAGCTCCCGCCATCTTCTTTCCACACACATCGGAGTGTTCTGATTTGCCTGATGGACGGACTTCGACTTTTGCGCCGGAAATTGAGCTTTGAACCACACGAAGCGATGGATGCATGTGAAGGGGTTATCTTGACCAGGGGAAGGTGCGATGGATGGTGGTGGAAGGCGATGATTCGTTCGTTCCTGCACTGGTTCCCAGCCTCGTTGGTGGCCTGGTGGGAGAGAATGGCAGTGCCGATAGCGGCTTTATGGACGAGACCGAAAGTGTCTTGCTGTGTATATGCCTTTCTCCTCGAGCTAAGAGTCGATGCTTTCTGGGTTTCGGTCAAGCCATGCTGCAAGGCACGAAGGGGGAGGTAGTGGATCGCCATGTCTTTCGAAATTTACTCGCTGACCTTTTCCTTTCGTCTTGCACTTTGCTTTCGTTGCTAGGCAACCACCGCTTGTGAGTGAATGAATTCGTCGATTATGCGCTGTGTGTTCGTTTTACCTTCTGTACTACTCCTTCATCGAAAACCTATCATTGCTAGATCGAGCAGCATCGAACGATCTGTACCCTTGCGAAATTCGCCCAGATTGCTCACTTCGTCGTCCGTGAGCATTGTGTGTCTGGCGAGACTGGGAGATGGAAAAATCGGAGCCCCAGGTTTGGATGTTCAGCAATCATTCGGACTTGTCAAGGTGCAGTGTTATAACCGCAGGCCGGCGAGGCGAGTGGCGTTGCTGATGGAATGGACAGTGCAGAAGACCTACTGCTTTCATCGACCGGAACACAGTTCCAGGAGATTGATGTCTCTCGTTTTGTCCGTCGGACTATGGAAGTTTGGATGTCAGCGGCATGTTGGCAGGCGCCAGTCCGGGAGCGAGACGCAACGGCTATGTTGAGTACGTCGGGTGAGGCCAATGTATGTAAATCGATCCAGCATGGCATGTTGCAGGTGACTTGCTGACTCCTTCCTCGCAGTGGTTCCGTGGTGGTGTGGCAACGAGGCGATGGCTGCAGCAAAGGGACGACCACCTGATATTCTGGCTCAATCTTGGGGGTATAAAGACGACTGTACATTCTAGAAATAGACCGTGGGAGTTATGACAATGCGCGTGGGATGCAAAGCGGTCGACCGGCGGTGGTGCTGTATTTGCCTTCTCTCGAGGCTGTGAGGTCGGTGCGAGCTCCGTCACTGGGTCCCTCAGGTCACGAGTATGCCATCTCACGCCGTGCTTGCAGTACCAGTCATGATTGAGCATGATTCATCTGCTTGGCAAGACGCACGTAAGTCGCTCCGTCGTTGCTGATGAAGTGATTGTAAGCATTCCCTCGGTGGCGAATCGCCAGGCTGGAAAGGCCGAGTGGTGGTAAACAAAACCCCTACTCATACTCTCCGTGCAGTATGTCAGGCGATGGAATGAGAGTCTGCCGCTCATGAAGGCGAGGTTGCTGTAGTCACCCGGAGATGAGGTGATCAAAGACACCTTTGCCGTGACGGACCGAGCTGACGCTGTTGTGTAACCCATGATGCATGGCAGAGCGATCGCCACGTCAACTTCTCAAAACATCCGTTCATACTACGACGGGCTCGGATCGGAGAGCGAACGTGTCTAGGCGCCGGTAGAGCGGTGGGAGTTGAACATCTGACGGTCGTCGGTGATATGGGCTGTCCCTCCGCCCCACAGCGCTCGCAGGAAAAGCGACATACCGGTGAGGCTCGCACCCAAGAAGACACATCCGAGGATGATCGTTGCGAGCATGCGGCTCTGCGTATGGCGATTACGAACTTGCTACGCGTGGGATGGAAGACAACGCAAGCACATGTAGACTGCCGTCCAGCGTGCTGGCTTCAGATGTCTTGTCTGGAATCCATATAATGTCGTCCGATCTTCTCCTTGTGTACATCTCTTTCGTATCGCAGTCTTTCGCAAGTCGCCCATCGTCAAGTGTTTGCGTTCACATCACATGTCGATGTTCACTCCCTGTCCTTTAAGTCCATGATTTGGACCACCAAAGAATGAGCCAGCAACACAAGCCCGGCGGCCAACGTGTCCGTCCTCAATCGACCCAAGACCGTCCCCAAGCCCGCATTGATACGCCGAAGGAGGCCAGTCCAGGTACGCGGGGCAATGAAGAGGCCATGCTGGCTGGAGTCGGTACACAATTCGACTTGAGAGACATTGGAAGCCGCGGAGCCGACATTTTGAAGGAGGTTTTCGACTCGACCGACCGGCATGACCCTCTTATCGACGTTGCGTCACTTGCCCTTCTTCATCAACAGCCTAGTGTGAGTGCTTTTGCTCGTACGAGACAGGTAGTCGAAGCTAACTCGGATTAGCAATCGCACGAGAAAGAGACGATGAACCGATGGTTGTCATCTCCAGACGACTTCGTGCAATACAAGCGCAGCGTTAGTGGTGTGAAGCTGATGGATGAAAGCTGTCCGGGCAAGACAGCAGATCGGAAGCTGCATGTGCAATAGCATCCCACTGGAGAGTCCATTGTAGCAGAACCTGGTGTCATGCTGGCACGCCTTGTATTGACTGTCATTCGACTCGAAGATCATGGCATCCTTCGCTTGGAAACTTCTCCGCGGTCTGATTCCAACGAATGAAGTTCACGGTAGTCGTGATGAAGACGCAGACGTCCACAATTTCCTTGGCCGGCCACAGGAGGGCTCGTAGGACTGTAGTAGTGTTTCGAGGGACGGGATTGCCCCATTGGTAGAATCCGCACACCGTCCACCATCTAAACGGCGCCAACCGAGCCCTAAGTACAGTGAACCCTGCGCCGGTTCGCCGGCCAAATCCTTCAGGATTCCAGTGATTGAGTTTGGGTTTGAAGTGAATGTTGGCGAACACCATATTCGTTGTTGTAGCGCAATGTACTCGATGTCTCGAGAGACTTGGTAGGCGAAACATCCTTGACATTTCCACAAGATCAGGCTGCCGATGACCTGGTAACGAATCGCTTTGTCGTGTGGCTGGATGAGACTTGGCCAGGTGAAGTAGGGCTCCGAAAATCGTCTCCTTCGTTGACGAGACTGCCATCCTTCCTGTTGGAGACACACCGTTGATTACTGTGCGGCTTAGAGCATAATCTGGCGGCGCTGCCACTCTCACATTGAAGCGGCAGAAAGTGTTATCGGAGATGGTGACAAAAGGCAGCTCGCAGTCGAGTGGGAAAGACCAACAGCAGGGGTACGCTGCGTCAGGTATAGTTCTGAAGTTGTACAACCAAGCTAATGTAACGGCTAGGGTTCGTCGTGTCGTGGAAGGTGCCGGCAACCAGTTCGAGCAAAGAGTCGCGAGTGAAAGCGGTGACGGTCAAGCGGCCTCGAAGCAATATCCTCGATCTCTCGAAAACAAGAACGCGCCGTATTCTGATCCAACGGGGTCAAGTTCACTGTTGCTTCTCGAGTCGAAAATTCGCCGCGCCAAGAGTCAAGTCCCCGAGACTCAAGGAGAGCCATCAAAGCGGCCAGTCGCGTTGCAGAGGTGGTTATCGCAGAACCAAGACTTTCCAGAATACTGGCACAGCCATGGGGGGTCGGAGGAGCAAAGTATTGTGAGGAGCGTTGAAGATAGGGAGAAAGAAGACGAGGAGAGACAAAGGCGACATAAAGAGCTGAGCGAGTACCCACAGGGACCTGATAATTGAGCTGGTTCTCACTATGACTGCAACCCTCCTGTCCGTAGTGGCACGTGGAGGGCTTTTTCAAGCCATGGTGAGCAGACTGAAGCGGTGACGGGAAATGCCCTTTCGAGTTGGCCACAACAAAGTTCCCACCGTAGTGATAATCTCCCGTAACGTCCACACGCGTAGATCCAAGACTCTTCGCCGTAGTTCTCGGAGCTTGGAGGTGTTTGGTATGTCGACAGTGTCTATCTAACTGCTCGCCTTAAAGGATGAAGCGGCCGCTAGCGAAATAGATGCCTTCGCTCTGGGCACATGTAAATGATCAGAAAGCTATCGAACAACAGCCAACTCATGATAAGGAATAGTGCCTGGTGAAGAAAAGGAAGAGAAAGCAGACGCGCGAGGTGAAGTTTGATGCCCTGAATTTCGCCCGCGGCAACTTCCGTCCTCCGCGGCCAAATTTGACCTGGGACCAGGACCATCTCAGTGCTGCTGCTACACACAGAACATGAGCGCTGTTGTGTACCATTGATTCATCTCCAAATGAATGCCAGCCAGCAAAGCGCGAGGCGAATAGCCTCCAACAATGGTATCCTAAGCAATTTCTAATGAAATGACCCGTCTGACCCTCCTTCAGCACTCTCACGCGACACGGTATGCATCTCCTGTCGACACCGACTAGCCGGTCACGCATCACGACGATACGCATCTGCGGCAACAGCAGCTGTAGCAGAAGAGCCCCCAAATACCCGGGCGAAACCACCAAACCCCCCGGTGACGGCGACAGGTCCCAAGAAAGCATTTCAGCTCAAATGCAGTCCCGTCCTCTCTCGGCCGCCCGTTATAACACGCGAGTTGACTTCGTTCGAGAAAGCCTTTTTCCTTTACCAGAAACGACTTAATGAGCGATTAGCATTACCGTTCACACGATACTTCTACACCAAGAAAGAGACCCCTGCGGACGTCGAATGGAAGCGGAAAAGGCCTGCAAGAAGAGGGACGGCCGCCAGAGACATTGGCGCATACAATGCATATGACGATGAGAAATGGAACGACGAGGTGCTTGTTGGGAGCAACTTGGGTGAACCAGAAGACATCACAGAGAAGCTTATACGAGATGCCGAGGGCAAGGACATCATAGAGGGCGAGCCTCAAGGCGATGCGGAGACTGGAGGCCAAGCCATCAGCGGAGACGCCAGAGCGGGAGAAGGTGCGCAAAAGCCAGTGGCCGAAGTGAACGTGGAAAGGCCAGTCCCGAGAATCACGGAAGCCGACCAGCAGAACGATGTCAAGAGCCTGAACCGGAAGCTGGATCGGAGTTTATACCTTCTCATACAGAACAAGGATGGCGAGTGGCGGTTCCCCGAAGACAGGGTATACGGCAGGGAGAATCTTCATCAGGTGAGAGACATCTGCCTCTAACGCGTGCGATCCCATACTCATACTTCATCCAGGCAGCTGAGCGCATCCTCATCCAGGCTGGCGGAATCAACATGAACACTTGGGTCATTGCAAATCATCCTATTGGGCACTACATCAAAGCCTTTACATCACCAATCCTCTCGAAAATCCCGCCCAATCGACTTGTGAGCACATCGAAAGAGGAAATTGAGCATGAAGAATACGGAGAGAAAGTCTTCTTCCTCAAGTCGCGCATTATGGCTGGGCAAGCTGATTTGGCCAAGAACGAGTATGGAGACAAGAACTTCTCATGGCTGGCTAGGGAGGAAATCGAGAAGGTAGTGTCAACCCACTACTGGAGCCAGATTCGGAACATGTTGGCCGAGCGGTGAAGCTAATGTTTCTGCCAAATGAGACATTGCGTACGTTCAAAACCATGTAAAGTTATAGAGCCGACCATGCCATGTACAGTACCAACCAACCAGGACGTCGATCTTGAGCAAAACACAGCGTTTCTACCATGGGTTACGAACAATGAGAGCCGCTTATTTCTGGAGATTGGCATGCTTTGTTGCAAAAGCCGTAGGCAATATCAATATTGAGACTCCAACACTCGGGAATGAGACAAGACCTGTCTTTGTTCTGAAAGGCCATTGCTCTAATGACACTCTTCACCAGCTACCCCCTTTCGCATTTCCTGGTCGACTATCTTCCCTTTCTACTTCCAGCGCATTTTACACTCAACTGGTTTGAGCTTTCTTACTGTACTGCAAATTCACAAAAACGTTCCAAATGGCGAAGAAGATCAGCAAGCCTGTCAAGCCTGTCAAGCCTGTCTCAAAGCCGAGGATTGACTCCAGGCGAGAATACAGGACGGTTGATAACGAGCAAGAATCTGAGGGCTCTAGACGTGAGTGAGAAGTTTATTTACTGTTTCTCTACTGGTGTGCTGACGTTTAAAAGGTAGCAAGCTGATTCAGGAGAGAGACGAAGAGCTCTGGCTCAACAAAAGGTTTACATCGAAGGGTAATGTCGTAGGTAAGTAATCCGAGACTTTGTAGATCTTGCATAAAGGCCAAAGACTGATCCTCGAAATAAGGCTGGTACCTCGCACCGGCAGCCCAAGAGCCTTTCTGGAGAAGTCGCAAGATCCGGGCAAAAGGATCTACCGTCAAGCCGACTGTCACCAACAAGCAGCGACAGATCTACGAAGAAGTGAAATTGGCTCGCATCAGGAATGACCCCTACATCACACAGGGGCAGATGGCTTCTTGCGTGCAACTCTTCGAGAAACCTGGTCCAACCCCTCAAGAGCTATTTGAAGCAGCCAAAAGGAGGGAGCAGGCTTCCGCTGAGCTAGCGAAAATCCTCGATACGTTGAAGCAAGTGCCTGCTCAGCAAAGTGAACATGCGAATGAAGAAGAATCTGCTGCTCCCAAGGACGACGATGCTGCGGCGAAGAAGTATGCGGCGGCTCAGGTGATTAGGAAGGAAATGCGGGAGGAAGGAAAACATGGCGGCTCGCTTTGGCAACCGGCTGGGCAAGATCAATATTACATGTAGACCTTCAGACTTGGTGAGCATTAGCTTCTTCGTTGACTGACACATGCTCTCCATGGCGCTAGCATCAAGTAAGGAAAGTCACGTTGCACTTCACTCGAGTGAGCAAGTCCCGTAAGCTCTATCATATGCGTTCGTCTTCACTTCACACTGACAGCTATATAAGTGCTGCCATTTTTCCAACCTTCTTCCCTCATACAACACACCCTCAAGTACTCTACCAACGACATTCAACACTCTTCAAACTACAACATCCTCATCACCAATCATGAAGCTCTTCTCCACCATCTCCATGATGGCTCTGGCCATCATCGCCAGCACCACCGTCTCCGCCGGTATCATCAAGGACCGGAACCCCTCGGGCGCCGAGCACGAATTCTCCACCGCAGTCCGCTCCATCTCTCACGACCACATTCCAACCGGCGAAGACATCGCAACCGCTAAGGCTGGTGTTTTGCAAGACACCGATAATGCTCCTGCAGTCACCACCTACATTACTACAGCCACTTTCTCCACGACCAGCTCTCCGACCGCCACCAACGAGATTTCTACTGCCAATGCCATCCCCACGACCGACGAGATCTCCATCCTCAACAGCACCGTCGTACGTGCCAACCTGAATCCACCCCGCCGCATCGTCCTTTGGCAATTCAAAGGCGACTCCTGCAACGGCGAGGGCAAAGTCGCCATCATCGACGGTCGCAACTACGGAGATCCTCTTTTCGAGGACTGCTTCCCCATCGATGACGATACGAACTTCTACAACCTCGAAGCCGCCGATGGTTGCGTGACCACAATGCAGACGGGAGAAATGTGTGCCATCTCCGTTGGCTTCGACTATTGGCTGCCCACCAATGTGTGCACGACTCTCGAGATTACTGGGAGGAAGGACGTCCATCTGTGGTATCGGTGCGATGGGAGATAGGGCGAGATGAAGTAGTGGATGACAAGGGAGTCGAGGCCGGAGGCTGGAGGCTGGAGAATTGGAAAATGAGACCACGACTACGAATAGCGACTGTTTTTGGTCCCAGTGATCGTTGGGTGTTCTCTTCACTCTGGGTATTCCTGGCGTGGAAGGACTCGAATATGGAACTGGCAAGCGATGAGTTTCCTTTTGTAATTTGAACAGAAAGCGGCATCAACTCTAGTGAAATTAAGTTTGTACCTATTCTACACGATCAGAAGATGAAATCAGAAATTCAGTATGCGTGCCTTCCTCATGTCGATTGCTCTGACGTCGTTGAACATGTGAACATGGCCCGTGCGCGCGGCTTTCCGAGCAGCGATTGCTTCAACGTCCACCTGCAAACACAACACTCTCCGAACAAATAGTCTCTGAGCGCAGACACACTGCATCACACAATATCCAACCACCAAGACGAGCACACCTTCACCTTCACCTCCACCAACTCGATCCACACCACACCACCATGAGGTTCTTTACCACGCTTCTGGCGCTCACTGCAGCTGCCACCGCGGCAGTTGTCAAGAGAGACATGTCCACGGCTGTCCACCTCCCCTTGGAGGTGTTCGACATCGCCAGCACGAAATCCAACCCAAGCATCGTCGCCAGACAGGAGCCACCATTTCAGACCAAGAACTTGCGCTACGCCGACATCTACCAGTCCAGCTCAGATGACTGCACCGCCGATCGCAAAATGCTTTCCTTCGATGGCGGCAAGTACGGCGAGCCGGAGCAGAAATTCTGCCAGGACTTCGACACCCAGAGCGTTCGCTCGTACACCATCGAATCGGGTACGGGATGCGGTGCGTACATTCAAGAGGGCACCTGCGAGACTGGAGATCCCCAGAAACTCCTGGAACTTGGTGGTGCTTGCGCTCAGGCGTTCACGGAGGAGGCTGCGCCGACTGCGCAGAGTCTCCTCGTGCTCTGCAATGCAGGCGCTGGCGACTTGGGAATTCCACCGAAGTCTCTCAAGGGCCGCGAGGAGGATTCAAATGCCATCTCCGAGCGCGGCGAACACGCCGTCTCCATCCCTCGAGCCGATCAGCGCTGGGTCAAGTACTGGCTCACGGACAACGACCAGTGCCAGACGACGCCTGACGACTCCGGCACCATCTACAGCGGCAACATGGGCGACAACTTCTCGGAGCAGTGTCAGACTCGCGATGCGCTGGGTGGTCCTACATGGGTTGACGTCTCGGATTCGCATGGATGCGACCTGTACATTCAGCAGGGCGACTGTGATGCTGCCGGATCGCTTCCACTGCCTCTTTCGCAGGGACAGTGCGTTCGGGTTTCGCCGGAGTGGGAGGGTAGCGTGTGGAGCTTGAAGGCAGTTTGCTCTGGTTGAGGACCGAAAGAGTGACAACACTTGAGTGAGAAGCTCTGAGAGTACGGCTCGGGTCCGGAGATGTTTGTGGTTTTCAGCAGAGATGCTCCAGCGAGATACGACAGTAGATCAATGAAATGAGCCTCTACCCAACAAGCATTCTACATCAAAATGTCGTCGAGTCTCATTCCAAACATTTACTGTCGTAGATACGTTCCTATTCTTTCCTCATCCCAACCTCAACGCCGTCGCAGCAATCTCTCTACGGATGTTCTCGTCTCGAGGTAGATAGACAGCCGCTACCCTCAGCAGTTTCCTCGCCTCGCTCTCATCTTCAAGCATCTTGCATGCGACCGCAGTTCGGTAGTAGATCTTTCCCATCTGGTCGGCAGCTGGGAAGCCGAGGACAGCTTCCTCCTCTGGAATGATGGTCATTCGATCATCCGCTCCCATGGCTTCTCGTAGCATGCTAATGCTTCTATGACCCCAAAAGCGACATTGATCCCACTCTTCCAGTTTGAGGTATGCCAAGCAGGTGTTCGCCACAAGTTGAACGCGGAGCAGTAGACGCTCTGCTTGGCCGTTCTTGCCAACGAAAGGCTCCTCGCGTAGTTCTCGGCCGAAGAAAGCATCGCCGTGAATATGTCTTTTCCTTCCTTTGATGACCACATGGATGGCGTGCCATGCTTGATTGTACAGTTCCAGCGCCTCGCGATACCGTCCCTCTTTCAGCTCGGCGTTTCCTTCGAGCTTGAGCCTGGTTGACTCGCGCAAGCAGTGCTCCGGGGAAAGATGTGGCTTCGATTGAAGTTCACGCAGCTCTTTCTCTATCGCCTGATATGGCTTTATGTCTCCGCCAACCACCGTCTCGTTGACATTCTTGACATCCCCGAAAGGCAGCAAGAGCCTGCGCTGCAACGCCTTGGTCATGCGTTTCTCTTCCCAATCAGGGGCGTATGGGTCCCTCAGCTGCAGTTCGAGTCGCAGATGCTCGTTCAGTCCAGGGTACGTAAGATCCGCATAGTGCCACATCCTGGTAAACTTCTCCAGATCATCAAGCAGTATGATAAAGCGCTGGATGTTCAGCTCTAACGACATATGATGCGGCGCATCAATCAGCACATTCATCGTGTGTCCTTCGAAGTTGTATGCTCGATCTTTGTTCACCACGATGGGTACATGTCCCTCCAACTGTACATGTTGCTGGGTTTCTGCCCATGGTGTCTCGATGCGAACGAAGGTGTTTAGTTCTCGGAAGACCTTGCGCGATTCCAGGTAGATCTGGCGGTTGATTCGGAAGAGGACGAGCGCTGGCTTGAAGTCATACGAGGTGTATTCGTCTTCGTGGTAGCGGCGATTTGCGTTCGGATGTAGGATGAGGCGGTAGATCTCCTCGCGGATCTCGGGTGGCAGCGTAAGGAGGTTGAGCGTTTGTTCTGTCTCGGCCATGGCTTGTCGGATGGTATAATAGTGACAGATGAGGTTCCGAAGACAGCCCTTGAGTGTTGCTGGGATGTCTCGACGATGTCGTAGGAAGTGCCAGACGCTCGGTAAATCTGACTCCAGGCCGTTGGGCCGGTTCCGCGTCCCTGATCGGGACTAGCGCAAAGTTTGTGTTGACCTCACGCTTTCCTTTCCAGATTACCCTGTGCTTTCACACTGTATGAGCCCAAAGCACTTCTCGAATTTGGTAAGGTTATACTGCACTGACAATGGCGATTGTCGCTTGGCTTCCATAACCAGCAAATGAAGATGTTCTGTTCGGTCGAAAGCGCCGTACAGCCTGCGTTTGTCTCTATCACGAACTGACTTCAAAGATGGACGCAATTTGATGTATCAAGGTCAATAACAAGAAGAACGTCAAGACTGAGCAGTCGTACAGGTGGGTTCTCCTAGTGATTACGCTGAGCGTTGGTTAAATCCACGGGTAAATCAATACTTTTCACATGTGCCTTATCACATGCTGCTGCATTGATTGCACGCACGTTAAACTTTCTTCACTTCATGTCAAGATGGTGGGTGATGCTCTCGAGTTTCCACCTATATAGACCCTTCGAAAAACATCAAAATCCGACCAACAACCAACAACCATCGACTTCCAACCTCTTCGCGCATTGATTGCCTCCACCACGTCTCAGGCGGAGATGTTAGCACAGCAGACGACAAACACCACCATGGAGTTGGCAGATGATCTTGAACAGTCTTATATCCTGCAAGATACTCCTGCGTCCAATGGTCAGTCTGTCTGCGCTTCGTGAAGTCTCTGCTGACCGTATCAGCCATCAGCTTATCGCCTCACATGGACGACAGGTTCACCGGTGAATGCAATCTGGCCGACGACAACAGTACGACTACGGCGCACGACCATATATCCTCCGGTGGCAATGGTCTCTTCGTCAGCGATGAAGACTTCTTATCAGACAGGAACAGTCCGACTCGCCATGACAGCCCGATGTCACCACCCGATCCGGATATTATCATGGACGACGCTCTGTCCAACATCTCGTTAAACTCAGGTGCCATAGACGTGACCGCCCTCAAGCAACTTGCACGAAAGGAATTCAGCTCGCAGACATGCCCGTACTTCCTGCTGTCATCCCACGTTGAGCTGTCCCACAGCGCTCTCAACCTCGGTCTGCCGGAGTTTCTGACTCGCTCGCCACGTTACCTGAGAGTCAATGACTTACCCGGGGCCTACACTGATTACGACTTTATCCACTTCAAGACCGACACAACCGATGAGATCTACACGCGCCAAGTCCTCCACTACGAGATAGCACATGCATCCCACAGACAGACCGCGGCAGAGGCGCAAATCCGCGAGGAGGGATACACTGTGCTTTATGCGGTGAGTGATGCACAACTCACACTCCTTCTCGATCGACTGCAAGATAAGTCCGACAGCTACAGCGTCCACTACGACCCGGCGGATGCAGTCACCAAAGAAAACACGGTCAAAGAGCGTGGAGACGATGAATTCACGATTCATAGACATCAAGAGCTTAAGAATGGGTACTACATGCGGAAGATCACGGATGAGGCTGCTGTGAGAGCTTTCAAGTCTCTTACTGCCTCGTGCATCATGTTCTGCGTGGGAAGGAAGGTGCCGAAGGAGGTCAGCCCGCTGGATGAAGAGGTGCCAGAGAATGGCACTCAGGCCGGGGAGACGGCAGAGGATACGGCGGTGACGAACGTGGAGTCGACCGCAGCGGAGCAAGTCGCGACTACCAGCACGACAGATGCGCAGCCAGCGGCGCGTGGAGGCAGAAGAGCGGCAAAGCCGAAGAATAAGCAGAACGACGTGCCAGAAGTGAAGGACCTGCGCGACCCAAAGGACAGAGACTGGAAGTACCTCCCGTTCCAGGCCTGCGCGCTTTTCGAGGACAAGGTCGATCGCGATGGCGAGTTGGCGTTCGACACTCAAATCTGCTACTATCAGCTGCCCTTCGATGAGTTTCCAACGCAGCCTCCGAGCTTGGTGCGAGATGAGGCGTACGTGGAGGTGAGAAATGATGCGACGGGGTGACCAGACTGCTACCTATCTCTGTGTATGATAGTCATAGAATGAGATCAGAATTATCAAAAAGTACATCGATATTTTGAACAGGATGGATGCATCAAATCTGGTGCCTTTTTTGATGCGATGCGCGGATACTTCAGTTGGTGAACGATATTATCACCGAGCATGATGGGCATCAAGATGCCCGACTTGCCGGTCGTCGGGACAACATGCACAAGGCAGTCGCCGAAGAGAAAGCCAGTGAGCCATTATAACCCCGTTCAAATCTTATTCCATCACCACATCAGCCGAGACTGGTGTGGGAGGGACATGCAGCTGACAAAAAAACCCGAGGCACGAATGGCGCAATCGGAAAGCGTCTGACCAACATTGACGACAAACGACATCAAAGGTAAAACCCTGTAATTAGCGGTTTTCTCTAGAATCCTTCAAACGATTCTAGTTCTTTTTGATTTCTTTTCCCAAGGGCCCGGGTTCGAATCGTGGGCGTTGCAGTTGATTTGCAAATTTTGATGGTGTGGGGTTGGCGCTGGCTTCAGTCATCGATCGTTTGGGATTTTCCTGTTTATTGAAACAGTGGCAGTTTGGCCGACAATAAATTGTCTCTCATGCTGCCTCGCTACTTTTTCCCTTCGAGTTGCCAGATCCTCTGCGGCGAGTGTGCCGGACAGTTCATATTCAAAGACTTTCCTACAGGTGTTCAGGGTTGGGATCGCGCTGTCAAACGATAGCATCAATATCTCCATGAGCGAAAAACTTTTCCAGTTCTTTCAACTTGACATAGGCTTCAGGTACTCCTTTCAGCATGTTGAGTATCATCATATTGGGAAGGGGTACATCTGGCAGTTCGAACTCCCTCCTCAGCTCGAGGAGGTAGTACAACCTTGGCTTCGACATGAAGTTGCCGCTCTCGGCGGCTTGGATCTTCGAGGCCGTGAGGAAATGCACGAAGCAGCCAATTATGACCTTCTGATGGCGACCGTCGTAGTCCAAGGTTTGGTGGAGCGCTTTCAGCATCCTGTCTGAGCCTTTTTGGTGGGAGATCAAGTTGTCTATCTGGCCCACCATCTCAGCAAAGTATGTGCTGAATGGTCGGTTGGCTGGATGTTGGAAGAGGTCTTCGGGTCTACCACCACTGACTTGACTGCTGATCCGCTGTTGCAACAGTTCCTGTGCAAGTTTGCACTTTATCGGCGTGAAAGGGCAAGCTGCAACAGCCTCTAAGATGGCAGCGTGCCGTTGGCGGTCGTGGGATTCGAAAATATATTGTTCGGCTTTAAGGGATAGAAGTGTACTGACCACGGCAGCTTTCTGCTCCCAGCTGTGGTGATTCTCTTGGCGTAATACGTATTCGATTGGATTGAAGTCGTTTGCCACATTGGAGTCCCTCTTCATGAGAACTCTCAGCAGGTTGCTCACGTTGGGTCGTGGCATGAAGTTATCTCCACAGCCGTACAGAAGACATTGGGCGAGAGGTGTCCCATACTCCTGTAAACGACTCGCTTCGATCAGCCATCTGCCAAAGGCTTCACTGCGAGAGTGAAAGAATGCCAGGTGTGCCAGAGACTGACAATCGCATTTGGGGAGACCGAGGTCACTCAACGCTGCTGTAGGGCTCAGACCCCTTTTTATCAGTGCAGAAAGCAGGAGAAGGGCATCTTCCCACAAATTTGCGCTGCCTCCGTTTCGATGCCAGGCTTGAGCAAAGTGGAAGAGTAAACGATCCATCTCGCGAGGCGTACAAATAGCGCCGTGCTCAATGAGATAGCCCGCGATTCTGAACCATGCAGTCGTGTCTCCGTCATAGTTGGGATTCGCAGCAGCTAGTTGCATCATGACGAGGCCGAGAGGCATTGTGAGGGTGGCAACCGGATCTCTCTTGCCAGTACTTGCACAGGCGTTTGCATCAGCTCCCTGACGCAGCAAGTACTTGTAGATGGCCGGCAGAGCACGAGTCCGTATCGCGGTGTGCAACGGATAGTCGCCCTCAGAATTTGCGTGATTGACAGAAACGCCACTTCCCAAAACTGTCTCCAGTAATGGAATGCTTCTCGACGCAATCGCCAGTTCCACCACAGTCCTGCCCTGAGCATCTGTGTGATTGAGCTCATAACCACTCTCTACAACAAACTGACTGATCCTGCGGACCACTTCAAGCTGATGCTTGGTAGCCCAATTGGCCTGTTTGATTGCATAGTGAAGCAGGCTCTCGGAGCCATTTTCAAATTCGCAGCCCCGGAGTACAAAGGAGTAGTCAACTGACTGCCCCGAAAAGACAGAGTCCATGAGGATGTGGTAAATAGCTCGAAGATCCGTATAATCGATCTCGTCAACAGCCTGAACGTGGTGCGATCCGCTCCGCGGTAGTGAAAGGCCTGCGGACCTAGCGCACTGATCCGAAGGCGCTTGCCCTTGATCAAAAGATGGGCACTCGGATGGGTCCGTGTCATTTGGCCCAACGCGAAACTCTGTATGAAGTTGCGTGATATCGGTGATTCTGCGGACATCTTGCGACACTAGTAAGGTCGTGGATGGTCTTGATGTCTCGAGCGCCGCGTCAATGTCACACTGCCTGAGCTGCCATTGCTTCAACTTCGTTCGAAGTGATCGATCGCTGGCTATCGTTAGTAGAAGCTGACACGCTAAAGAGGATTTCGTACCTGACAGGAAAGTCTTGTTGCTTGAGATGCTTCCGAATGGTAGCCAACGAACAACGACGCAGCGCGAGATTCGAGATGTCAGTGTAAACAAGTCCCCAGTTCTTTTGGCGCATTGCATGTGGTTCACAGCCTTATATTCGCGGGAGAAGTGCTTGAGTATGACCGGGTGTCACGACCCTCTGCTGTTTGTGAGCCACGAAACCAAGGACGAGGCTGTCGGACGGGCAAGTGTGACTCTTTGTGTGCCAGGCTCGCATGGGAAACTATGATGAATGTAGTAATCGAACCCGCTGTGTTCGAGATCAATCGTCTTTGGGCAATCAACTGAAATTGACCAAGTCAGGTGCCATTGTCACACCTTGGGTGGTGGGCTAGTAATCTCTATAGGCCCGTAGCTCGGTCAACTGCATGAAGCTTGCACATGTGCCGCGTGGAGAAGGGACGCTAATGCAGCTCTACTGCATGCAGGTCAACTTTGTGAGAAAGCTGATGATAGATGATGATGATGTTCCCTCGACAAGTGCTGTTCATTCTGTCAAAGCAGTGTCGGCCGTGTGTATTGATGTAGTAGGCGGACCGAACCTTGAAAACGCCAGGCTATGGGATTGGTTCTCGAGTGTCACAAGGGAACAGAGGACCGTCCATTGTGCCCAACAGCCGTGCAGTCCGTGGCGTCTGTTGGGGCTGAGCGTCTGCACTGTGCTGCTCTGAATGCTCCTCGTGCATCAACAGAGCCGCATTTGCACCATGTGTGCAGTATGCTCGTGAGGCTTGCTATCATGACTGGATCGATCAAACTTGCAGATGCTGCCCAATCGATCATGCATTTGCACACGCTCGATCACTGAAGCTCTTGTAGCACTTTCGAGTTGGATCTCGGCGAGTTCACATTACGTTGCATCCGACAGGCTCTTCGATCCCGCCTCCACTGCTTTCGTTTCTGAAAGCATTGTAGAGGATCTTCTGAGAAATCGCAACATCCGGTAATCCATTTAGCTGTCTTGTGTGCACGAGTTTGATCAACATTTCCCTCGCATGAACGCCTTTCAGCGACTCATCGCTGAGAATGTCCTTGGTCACGACGTGCAAGACGCATAGGAAGAACGAGCGTATCACACGCTCGGGATGATGATGATTTCTCAAGGAAGCGTGTACGCGTCTTTCGATGTTGCCCATTGCATTAGCCTGGAAAGCAAGTAGGCGTACGTCTCGCATCATCTCAGGAAGACTTCCCGGGTCCTCGACTCCGTCTCTTCGAACTAGAATGAACTCTGCGATTGTATATCGAAACGGTGTCAAATGCCTGTAGAGTTGATAAACAAGCCTGGGGCGTCTTGACTAGCTGTCAAATCGAGACGAATTGGGATGTAATTGTCTGGAGGAGTGAGGCTTTGTGATCGCAGTGAGGGATTTGGAGCGCAACTTCTAGTAGGTATTCAGAAGGAGGAGACAGCGCATCAGTATCAATCGAATCTAGACGCTCAACAGCGGAGCGGAGCACTTCCCGAATGCTGGCATCTCATAGTCTGGCGGTATCAAGACAAAAAGGATCTAGGAGATCTTTCACGAGGGACCGAAGATGTTTTGCGGATTTGGTATTCCTGACGATGAACAAAGCCAGGGTTGGATTCGGCGAATGCAACGCAGCGAAGTCAAGCACTGACAGATATATGCAGCCGCGCCGGGATTTTGCCCATGATGGACAATTGATGCTACCAGGGTCGAGCCCAGCTTCCAAGTAGGTACGTAGCACGGTCTCTGCTGTCTCGAACAGCTGGGGTGAACCCGCTGAGACAATCCAATAATCGACGAAGATTCCAAGGATATCTTTAAGCTCATTCGTACTCCAGCCAGCTTCGTGTTCCAGCAGAGCACCCACGATCTCAAAATATGTCAAATAGCCTATGTGCGCAGCGGGTCGTAGCTGGCCCGAATCGCTCGCGAGCCATTCTAAGGCCGTTCTGAACTTTTCCGTTGTGGGTAGGCAAGTGTTCGGATCTGCTCCTCTTCTGAGCAAAAGGTGCAACGTAGCAGGTGAGGCGGCGGTTTTAAGTGCGATGTGGAGTAGCGTGTATCCCTGACTGTCTGTTTGGTTCACGTCCGCACAATGGTCCAGAAGGAGTCTCGTCAAGGAGGAAGAGTCTTTGCGTATAGCGAGTTCGAGAGCCGTCCGGCCTTCTCGGTCTCTGGTATCTACATCAATCTCGTGGTCGTGGATGTGGAGAAGCAAACGCTCTATAAGTGTGGTGTTTTCCTCCGAGTCTGGCTCTTTGACGGCGAAATGAAGTATGCTCGTCGTCCCGTCTACAAAGTCATGAAGAATTAAAACTTCTTCTTGCCAAGAACGTTCAGGATTGGAACTCCGAATCTGAATGTACAGGCGAAGCTGAATGTACAGGTCTTCAAGCGACCTATGTTCGCCAGTTATTCCTTGCACCTGTCCAGAGACAGACGGTGAGGACAAGTGAGCATTGCCAAAACGCAGAGATCGGTCGGTCCCAGGTGATGAAGATCTGTTCGAGCCAGACACAGCATTAGTGAAGGAATGCTGAGTAGTATTCTGGGCAGAAGCAGTGTCTGAGCGCTTCACCTTCCAGGCTTTTAATTTCAGTCGGAATGCTCTGATTCTGTGCATGATCAGTAGAGATCGAGAAGAGGGCCGAATGTGACCTTACGAAGCCTCAAAGTGTCGTTGTCTACACAGTGTCTTTCTGATGTGTTCAAGCGAGTGGCCTTCACCATAGAGCCTGCAGATCTCTTCCCGAACTTCATCCCATGTCTTCGTCATGTTGCGCGTGCAGCCGGATGGCCGTAAGAGCCTTTGTATAGCTCAAAGCATGCATGGATAATCTTTGTGGCTGAAGAGATCGACTCGATAGCAATGAACAGTGAAGCTTTTCGGACGGCGAGTTCTGTCTGGTGGCGAGAGAAACCGGCAGCGAGAAAAGCGAACGGATCGAATAGGCGCCGAGCGTGACCGATGGTGTCCCTATGTTCTGTTTAAACCAAGAGAGGCCGCCCACCAGCGGCGCAATGAGGAAACTCTGTGCGAGGCACCCGGGGGCCAGCTGTTGGTGTGGGGGCCTACCACAACGTGACGTACCGCAGCCACAGGTCGCTTGGCCATGGGTGCAACACAACCAAGGCCGACGTAATTGCACTGTGAATTTGTGAGGTTTTGATGGCTTCGATCACAGATCATGGTTGTGTTGGCCAAAATAAGAGCTGCCAGCGGCGTCAGTACGTCGCCTTACGCTAGTGCTGCATGCAGCAGCAGCGGTGGCGAAGCAGCATGCAGCACTATTCATACATGTACCCAGCGGTCCTGGAACCGTTTGCTTCTAGGGGGCACAGCGACAGGCGGCCCACGCAGCTGAGCATCGGTTAGGCGCCGCGCTTTTACACCGTGCAAATGTAAGGTTAGGGTTATACGACAGCGACCCGGCTGACATTTAGCCAAACCGTCCCGCAGCCTTTGCACAGTGCAATCTGGGCGTATTGTCGATGCGAAACGCTGTCTCGCCACCCCGATCTGCCGATCCTGCATTTCTCGCAACCTCGCGCAAGCTCCGGCCATGGTTATTGCACAGTGCAATTGTCTTTCTGTGTGCGATCCGTTGACTGATTCTGGATGTCGGTCTGCACTCACGAATCTTTGACGATGAACATTCGCAGCATCCGTCATCCCCTTGCGCCCTTGCACACTTTTTGCACCATGGAAGCTGGATCGTCCACTTGGTCTGCCGCCTCCGTATTGGCCGTGGACTGCTATCAGATTTCGTCCCTCCAATTTGCACTGCGCAAATGTCTATATACATAATGACCGTCGTCCACTTCCTGTTGTTGTTGTGAGTCCAGTCTCGTTTTCCTAGGTTCCTGGTTCATTTCCACGTCGCTGCTACACTCCACAGACCTGGGTCAAGACCCTGTGTCAAGACGTCCTTCACCAAGGGAAGCAGGGGTTTCTGGATCCGTTCAACACTTCTATCCCACTTCAACAGCATATGCCTCTTCGCGAAGAGCATTCGACTCCAAGGTGTCCTCGCCTGCCTGAAACCGCGCAGAGTGTGCTTGTATCCTTCAATCTTCAATCAACAGACAAGGAAGGTATTGGGAAAGACCCCCAACATGCCTTCATCGTGAGTACTCCTGTCGTAGGAGTGAGGTCCAGACTGCTGACTTCACCAGCACCAAAGCAAGCTGCGGCTGTGACTCCACGCAGACGCGATCGACAGCCCGCTACCAAAACATATCGTCTGCAGGACAATCATCGGGAGTTCCTTTGACGGAATCGAACCTAGCCGCGCACAACGCCCAAGTCCAGGCACGGGACTCTCCTCTGCGCCGTTGGTACTCCTCGACAGATGACACAATCTTTCAAGCCAGAGACGGGTATGGGTGGGCTCGACTCGTCGAAAGTGATCCTCTTGCGGCGGAGATCGATGCAATCCTGAGAGAGAGGGGCCAGAAGAAGTGACTGAGGTCTGTGTAAGAGGTGGATTCGAAGGAGCCAGTCTTGATGTCTGAATCTCCTATAAGCGTTAGTCGATTTGGCTGGCTGAATTAGCAAAGAAGCTTCGGGTGATCATGGCAATAGTTGTCCTTGCCATTCAGCAGTGTATCTGTAATGTTCAATTGGCTTTGCGGCGCTCAATCTTCTGTGAGATGACCTTCACCATCCTTCTCAGCCCACTTTGTCTCTCCTCCTGCTTGTTACACAAGAAGAGCTTGACAACTGGCCATGCATGGATCCAGCCTTCCTCTTCGTGTTCGCTCACTTGAACGTCAGCTTTCTTCAACTGAGCGATCAAGTCTTTCGTCTCGGGCGCGAAGACCTCTTCCGATCCGTATATGAAATACCAGCCTTGGCTTGGTGATGCGCGCCGCCACCAGCTTATATCCTTGCATCGACCTGGCGAGACCAATGCGTTGTCTTGTGAACCATTGTCGCCGATGTATTGAGATCCGTAGAGGTGTAGGCTTTCAGCGTTGAGGTAGTCAGATGGTGTGTTTTTGTTCTTTGATGAGATGATCGTTGCCCACGGCGAAATGATGACGGCCAGGCCAGGCATCTTGTTCTTCAGTGAAGAGTAGCCAGAGACGCAAAGCATGAGACTCAAGATGAGAGTAGCTCCTGCAGAATCTCCACTCACAAGTATCTGAGAAGGATCGTCGACCAACGATAGTACGTACTTGTACCCGCTAAGCGCCTCTTGTACTTGAGTAGGGTAGGTCGCCTCGGGAACGAGAGTGTATTCCAACGCAAAGAGCGCGGGGTTGTCGTAGCCAACCTCTTTGAGTAGAGTCAGCCAGACCATGAGAAACTCGAGGTAGAAGTACGATGAGCCCATCGAAAATCCGCCACCTGCCATTGTCAGTAATCCTCGACCATATTCCAGCAAGTTGATGATACCATGGCAGTAGTACAGAACAATATCTGGTCTTCGAGAGCTATCATCGATGGCGTAAATGCCCTTCACGCCTTCCTACTGATCGTTAGCCTCAGTGGCCAGAAGCCAGACATGGATTCGTCATACCCTGTTGACTTCGCGCCAATAGATGGGGCTCTTCCAGATACCATGCCGCAACATTCGAAACTTCATAAACGGCAAAGCCACCCATTTCGAGAAGAATACCTTCCCGATGGCTGCAGGGATGTCCGCAAACGCATATCGAACGCATCGAATGACAACATCCTGGAACAACGTGGCACGTTGCACAAACGGCGATTGTTGTTGCTTTTTGCTGAGATAGCGCTCACGTACGAGCTGGTAGGGCATTCGAACTACTGATAGATGAAAGTCAGCGGGCTATCCTTCCATATGCCATCTGAATGGGCAACAAACATAGAAACGGTAATGCCGTAAGACCACATATTGCCGTCCTGAAAAAGCCGACGTGAATGATCAACTGCGGCGCAAGGAACAGGAGAAAGACGAAGCAGTCCACCCATGCAATTTGGCCGAGAATCATTGTAACGACAGGATGTAAGGAACGAGATGGGAAAGTGAAGAAGAGGTGACGTTGATAATGGCTGGAAGAAAGCTTATTTTAGACCCGAGGAGGCCAATGCGTTTGATCTAAGACAAGGAAGGCGGCTCCATAGCATTGGGAGGCAGAATTTAATCAGAAACAGATGTCATCCCCATAATCAAGGCATTAGCTTGATCAGATACTGGTAATCAATTCTTGTCCATCAAGTTCAAAGAATTGTAGAGTTGTACAGAAGTGCTGAAGGTGGAGTCATCCGGCAGCGTCACGTGGAAATAAGGTTTCGCTTAGACGGCCGAAGTCTTCCCGGCTCTGCGAAGAAACAGCAGTCGCGTGCAAGTCAGTCTGATCCTCCAGCCAAACCACCACCTTTGCGACACCACGAATTACTACCACCGACACCATCGGTATTCCACGTCGCAAGTGTCGCCTCACCCTTCACCGTCACCACCTCGATCGATGACAGCAAACGCCGCGACTTTGCCCGCATAAGCTGCGGCGACCTTTCTTGCCCGCCAGCGGCAGCTCCATCCTCCTCTCACCACACCCTCCACCAATAGCCACCACCATGGCGAGCACCGCACCGCTCGACGCGGCTTCTCTGGAGCTGGCACGGTCAGTGAAGATGCGACGATCGTAGTAGTTGACAGCGAGACTGACGAGCAAACAGCTCCTTGCCGATCGAGTCGATCCCAGAGAGACTGCGCTGCGTGACATGTGATAAGCTGGCCTTCCATGCCATGAAGCTGCCATGCTGCGACAACAACATCTGCGGCGACTGTGAGTAACTGTGACATCTTCATCATAAGGTCCTGGTTCTGACTCGTCCACTGGCTACGACACTCTGAACACCACCGAATGCCCCCTATGCACTCACTCACCATTTTCCGCCGACACCTGCATCCCCGCGAAAGCTCTCCAGACGACGACCAAGGTTTTCATCAAGAACGAGCTCAAGAAGCGTGCCAACGAAAACAAGGCCAACGCAGCAAAGGCCGTGACCGAGACACCCACACTGCCAACGGCAGAATCTACAAACACCCCAACCCCAGCACCTCCTGCCACAGCAGTGCCTGCAGATCCAGAGGCTACCCCTGCCGTAGCTGACGGCAACCTCGAGGCTTCACAGGAGCCTACTGTGATCCCTGCTACTAACCTGGACGCAGCACCTACCACAGAGGTAAGACCATACCTGGAGTCATTGCATAATCCTGTTCACGTTCTAACGTCTGTGCATAGATCCCAGATGAATCCATGAACGGTGGTGGAGATGGCGAGGCTGCAGAGGCAGACCAGGACGATGAAGAGGATGACGATGACGATGTGGTAATTACGACCGAGCGACCTCCCACTGAGGACAAGCCACAGCAAGGAGAAGGGGAGGCGCAACAGAATGAAGAGCAAGGCGACTCATCAGAGCAGAATGTGCAGATGGACCAGCAGCAACAAAGCTTCGGCGTCGATCAGACTGCGAACGGTTTCGGCAATGGTAACTTCGGCAACATGAATATGAACATGAACGGGTTCAACCCGATGATGGGCATGCCTGGCTTCGGCATGGGTATGCCAAATATGATGGGTAAGTCGCACCAGAACAACCATTTCAAAACCACGCTGAGACGATCTCCAGGCATGATGGATCCATCGATGATGTTCAATGGCAACTTCGGCGGCATGGGCGATATTAGCGCTATGATGGGGATGGGCATGAACGGCATGGGAGGCGGCATGAACGGCATGGGCGACTTCAATGGAATGGGAGGTCCTGGTTTCTTTCCGAATCAAGGAAACTATATGCAATCAAATTACGGAAACGCTCACCGCCAGAACTTTTTCAATGATCGTGGCTACGGTCGTGGATATGGCCGAGGCTTCGGTAGGGGCCGTGGTAATCAATATGGCCGCGGCCGCGGCGGTTGGGGCTACCAGCAGCAACATCAGTACGGCCACAACCAGCAGTTCGGACAAAACCAGCCAGGTGGTCCGCAACAGAGTGGTGCCAATCCCATGGATGTGCCAAATCAGCGGCGTGGGTCTCCAAGTTACGAGGCTGGTAAAGGTGCTGATGGTGCCGCTGCGACTTCTGGAGACAGTCTGCCCAAGGCCGAGAACGGTGCGGATCCGGACGCCATGGATACTAACAACGCAGAGAACACTAATGTCGCAGATGAGAGCAAATTCGATGACGGCAATGCCGTGCCAGGCCAGGATTCACATGGTAAGTGATCTTTCTATCTTCTCTTTCAAACCCATACTAAGTACATGCCAAGATCCAAATGGCTCTGGCTATCAGAATGGAGGTTTTGAAGACGGCAACTTCGTCGCTGCCAACCAGTCTGGCATGCAAGACGGTTCCAACTTCGACGAGAGCAGGCAGGATCAGCAGCAGTTCGGCTACGGCCACAACGATTTCGCCGGTCGTGGAGGTTTCAGAGGACGAGGCGGTTTCTCGAGAGGTAGCGATGTCACCGAGCTCACGCCTGCCCCAGCACCGCCCGTCAATGCTCCAACTGGCCCAAAGGCTATGCGCCAAGGTCTACCCAATACTGGCTGGGCGAGTCGCGCAATGGCACAGAAGCCGACACCAACCCCTGCTCCTGAAGTGAAGGCCCCATCCCAGTCGGTAGAGCCGCGTGATGAGAGAATGCAAGACGGCCCGAATGGCGATCGCGGTAGATCACGCACTCCAGATGAGTACAAGCGTCGCAGCAGCAAGGGCAAAGACTACGACGACGAGGAGTACGAGTCAGATGAGACGTATGCCCGACGCAAGGAGCGAGAGAGACGCAAGCGCAAGGAGCGTGAGGGGCGCCATGAGGATGACCGCGATAGAGACGACGAGAAGTCGAGCAAGAAGTATCGTTCCCGATCTGAGTCCCGCACCGACGAGGGCTCTCGCCGCCGCCATCGAGACAAGGACGACGAGCATCGCTCATCTCGTTCCCACCGCGATCGTAGCAAGGACCGTCAACGACGACGTCATCGCTCCAGATCTCCAGCCAAGGACGGCGCTGAAGACGACGAATACTCGAGACGCAAGAGCAAGAGCGAGCGCTGCGATGCAGAATATGACGACGACAGCCACAAAGACTCTCGCCGCAGCCGCAAGCACTCCCGTCGTGAGGATGACTACACCGAAGACCGAAAGAACCGCTCCTCCAAGCACGAGCGTAGTGATCAGCGTGAAGCCGAGCGTGAACGCCCCCGCACCATCATCGAGCCACCCTCCGACGAACTCGGCTTCAAGATCAAGGGCTCCCGCTCCGCCAAAATGGCCCCTCCACCCTCCCGCGACCGCCGCAGCAGCGTGCAGAGCTCCAGCACACCCGTCACCTCCTCTGATCCCTACGCGGAAGAGCGCGCTCGCGCGACGCAAGACCGTGTCCTGAAGGAAGCTATGCGTCGGCAGTCTTCATCTACACTCGGCAAGCGCGGTCGTGATGGTGAGGAGGAGGCCTTCGAGGCGCCGAGGGGTCCGAAGGGTGATCGGGGTCGTGTGAAGAAGGGGCGGAAGGAGCGGCGGATCGGGTACAAGTATGAGGATGAGGTTGGTGGGGAGGATGAGCGGGAGGCGGGACGATGGAGGTAAGTGGTTTTGTGTGTATCCGGCGAGCGGGCAGAGCGGAGCGGAGTGAGGCAGAGCGAGTGGAGATGGATTGATGGATGGATATGTGTCGACAACAGCATTTGTATGCGCCTCTCTGAGGAAGGCAAGCATGGCTATGGCCTTCCAAAAGTCTTCGAAAAGGGAGGCGAGCGATGACTTATTCTCTGCACCGCCGACTGAGCATGGTGTACCGGCGTTTCTCGATGACTAGGGCAGCGACGGAGCAGGGAAGGAAAGGACAGCGAGCTTGCTATTCATTGCTTGCTTCCCTCAGAAAGGAAATGAGTCCTACTACTGCTGCTGATGTATGTACTAAGAAGATCGGGACTGCCAACTCTTTTCACAGGAAAAGGCGCCAATCACTACAAAACATAATGATTGTAAAAAAAGTAATGACTTTCAAATCCCATGTTCCACGTCTCTCATTCAGGGGTATGCGCGAGAAGTATCATGATCATTGATTCCGTGCATGTACTGTCATAAGCGTATCTGCAATATCTCTATCAAGACGCATAGCGATTTCCCCTTCATTCGCTATGCAGAAACAAGTATCATGCTCGCTATTTCTCATAAGACATGCGGTAACGAGGCGCCTCCGCTGAGGCCATCAGGCGCACTAGGTACTCCCTCTGAGCTTGTGACGCACCACTTCTCCTCGTCCCAGTTCGGTGGTCGCCAGAGAAACAAATCGAAAGCCTCTCGACTCCATGGGCCAACATCCTTCGGGGGCTCCGGCTCTTTCTCTCTCGTCTTGGCTGCTTTGCCAGGTGCTTGGAAGGGCCTGCTGAGCATGACTGTGGATGTCCCGTTGGACGTGACGTTGAGGCTGACCGATTTCTGCAGAGGCTTCTTCTGCTTGTATGTCTTTGATGGTACGTCAGGCTTGTTAGTTGCAGGTACGTTGTTGGTCTGCTTGCTGGCGGCGGCTGGTACTGGAGTCGTCTGTCGCGATCCCTTAGTAGGGGAAGGCGAAGGCGTATATCTCACAGGCGCCCCGGGCATTCGTTTGGGTCGGGAAGACTGAGCTGTGACGGACTCTGAAGCTACTCGTCTTAGAGTCCGAGGCTCTGGAGGGGGCGGTGAAGGAGGCTTGGTTGGTCGAGCTGTCGAAGGAGGCTTGGGCGTTCGCGATGGTACTATGGGAGCGGCAGGTGGCAGCATCATCTCGTCGAGTCGTCGAAGCTCTATCGCCGACCTCTCGTGAGTAGACTGCGATCGCCCTCCGTTGCCCTCGCCCTCGTCAGACTCATTTCCATCCGCCGTGCCATCATCACTTTCGATCTCGATCGGCGCTGGCTTTCCTTTGGACTGGAATCGTGCACTGCTCGTACTACCCTCTTTTTGATCGATTCTCGCCAAGCGAGCTTCGAGTTTCTCTTTGGCAGTCATAGGGCGATTCTGGGAGTGCTCGCGACCAGCGTCAAACGACGTGTTTGCCTGCCTTTCTGAGCTAGTTGAAGATATCCGCATTGGCTTCTTGGACACCTGCGCCTGACATAGAAGCATAGACTTCTTGGGTGCACTCGCAGCGAGGCGCAGCGTATGACCGGACTTACCGCTTGCAGGTTTCGAAGGTTGGGGATCAGATCTAGCATCCGGCTTAGGGTCAAGTCTGAGTCGTTCCGATGTGTCGCGGCCAGACTCTTCTCTCACTCTGGGAGGTGCCATTGTACGACTAGTTTCTTTAAGAGGTGAGTGTGGCCTGATCGGTGACTGCGCTCGTTTTCGTTCGTTCGCTCTTGACTTCGGACGTACAGTCTCTTTTGATGGTCGTGCAGGTGCAGGGGCATGCTGTGTTTGAAAAGCAGGCGAGCTTGATCGGCCAACCGCCTTGCAGGCATCTTTACGCTTGTCTTTAACAGGCGAAGATGGTACAAGAGCGTCGTCCGAAAAGCAGGGTAGAAAAGGGTCCCTCGAGTCTGCCGCATTGTTATCGTCGTCAGACAGTGTGATCACCTCTTTTGTGGCGAGCTTTTGTTGCCCAGCTTCTGAGGCAGCCTTCTTCTGCTTCTTCGCGGCATCGACCTTTCGCGCCCACAGAGGAGTTTCAAGCTGCTTCATCGGTTTTGCGGTATTGGTATTCCTTGTGACGCTCCATTCTGGAGCAGTCACCATGCGCTGTCTCTTTGGCGGTCTTCCATCCTCCCACTCTTCATTCTCGGTCCCTCCTTGTGCATGCCTATCTTCAAATGGCGACCTCTGCGGAAGCGCAGCCTTCCCAATCGGGCCCTTGGGAGTACCGAGTAGCGCGCCTAAAGATCGATGTTTCTGCGGTGCATTTCCCCGCGCAGGTGCCGTTCCATTTACAGGCCTCACCGTAGGTCTGACCACCGCAGGCTTTGTCATATTGACAGCCGTATCCTTCTTCCTGCTCTTTCTAAGCTCAGAGAGGTCGGTCTCGGTCTGTCCAATACTATCCCCAACTTCCACCATCACGCCGTTCCTCTCGAGTCGCAACTCGTCGCCCTCTTGCAGTGCATCGTCTTCCGTCCAGTGGCAGTCGCCAATGAGATTTCGAGGGACATCGTACACCATGACCCGCTTGTTGAAGGCGTGGTAGCGAAGGAAGCCATCCTGCCATTTCTTCGCCTTCTTCTTGACATCGTGGGTGTATAGGCAGTTGAACTCAAAGACAGGTGCGGTGTTCTGCGTCGGTGGAACTGAGAGGTCCGGCGTGCTGCGGTATACTGCTGCCGTCATCTCTCCTTGTCAGCCCTTTCATTGTGAGGTGGTGATCTTCGAAGATGAGATGGGAAGACGCGACGTCGGAGAGTGAACGCGCCTGCGAATTTAGGCTAAACTTTGATTGTTCACGCGAAAGCTTCATGATGTCACGGGATCTTGTCTGCTTGGACTTTTGGGGCATTCCATGCTTCTTCCTCTCTTCAAACATATCGCCATCTCGTCGAAATGGCATCTACCTTTTGCAAGAAGTTCATTATTCGAACCTGATTTCAACCTACTCGATGACGGAGATAAGGAGAGCAGCCGCGCATTCATCTTCGATGAGGCGGAGGCAGGACACGCCCAAGACATGCAATACTTCCTGACTGGAAGGATGATCGTTCATCGGACATGCATGGCGCAGCATTTCTTGACGGCGACGAAGAGGATGGAACGTTCACAGCCTCGACCTCTGTGTAGTCTCGACATGCTCTCCAAGCCTCCTTCTACACCCTTTGTCCAGCTTAAATTTCACCCCCATTCATCAAAGCACCTCATCACTCCCAATGAAAATGTCTAGACCCTATTGACCAGAATCTCTTGACTTCCCCAGCATCCTCATCTGATGACAAGCCCAAGAACATTTGCAAAAGACAAGACAAAAACTCAGCCACAAAAGCTGGTGAATCCAACAACTTACCCAGGCACCACCCACCCACCCACCAAAATCCCATCCTTGAACCTTCCCGCCGGACTATCGCGGCAAAATAGCTACCTACGGCACAGATAGCTGTACAACACACTTCCCATCTTCACACCGCCGTGTAACACAGCTAGCCTTTCCTCCAGCAAACAAACCCACATTTAAAGATTATCGAAAATTATCGAAACATGCTCAAGACCAGAAACCATGGGCAACACATTCTCAACACACAAGCACAATCACCACGCACGCATCCACAAATCCAGCAGCAACACCAGCACCACGCCCTCGGAAATCGAACTCCAGGACCTTGATCCCGCAACAACATATCGACGTCGGGATTCGGGCTGCTTCACTTCCTCCCACAAGACGTCTTCCTGGAGACATCAGCGACGCAAAACCAAAGCTGCGAAGAAGCGGAATTCGGGAATTCATGATTCTGCGGGTGGCGAGTATGAGAGTCGACGGAAGAGGATTGTGGCGATGATTAAGGATCCGACTTTTTGGTGAACTTTTGGGAGGACGGGGTTTGAAAGGGAAGAAACTTGGAATCAAGTGCGCTGGACACTCGCGAGTGGCTGGCCGTGCTTGGATATGAGGCCATGCCGAGACTACATTTCGCGACTACACGGGAGCTCACGACAAGATCATAGAGTCACGAACCACCCAAGCAACGCGAAAACTTGCGCAGGTGCTCAGTGTCGACCACGCCGCGGATGAGTGAGAACGCAAGACATGTTGCTGAGCATGGCTTGGTGGGATTTGAATCAGTGGCGAGACCAGTGAGGAGGAATCAATAGACGACTGCGAGACCTTTGCATCAGATTGGAAGGCATGTTGAAGAGGAAAGTGAGATGTGAGCAGCGAAAGTGATCTTCCTGCTGCGGGAGAGCAGCCGTGGTGAAAACGTAAATACGTGTGGTATCATTTCATCCAGACTAAAGTCCCAATCCCAGCATGCAGTGGACCGACTGCAGTTCGCTTCAGCGCCATACGCCTTTCTTATCTGTTGTTCAAGGTATGTCAAGCGCTTAAATCTTGATCTCACGCTCGGCGCGCTGCTTCTGCTTGCGCTCGCGGGCCTGGGCCTTGGCACCCATGATACCACCACCCCAGTGACGGCGGGACTCCTCGTTCTTGTCAAGGAAGCCCTCCTTGACGGCCTGGACGAGCTTGGAGAGCTCGTTCTTGTCCTCCTGGCGAACGTCGACAACGGCGAGAGCGGCGGCGGTCTTTAATAAGAGTTAGCAGATGGTTTCACTGGAGATGTTTCATGTCTCTTACCTTCTTGTGGACGACTGTGCCGAGACGGGCCTTGCCCTTCACTATGGCGTATGGGACACCCATCTTGCGGCAGAGAGCTGGCAAGAAGATGACGAGCTCAATTGGGTCAACGTCGTTGGGGATGAGAACAAGCTGGGGCTTCTTGGCCTCGATGAGGGCAACAACGTGGTTGAGACCGTACTTCACGGTGTATGGCTTCTTGCTGACATCCTCCTTCTTCTTGCCCTCAGAAACGGCGGTGGCCTCCTTGTGCAGACGCTCCTTCTTCTCAGGCTTGGTCTCTGGTCGATACTTGTTGAGGAACTTGAAGGTCTGGGCAGCAGTGTTGCGGTCGAGGGTGTTGGAGAACTGGGCGATCGCCGGGGGAACCTTCAAGCGCATGTTGAGGATCTTGCGCTGGCGTTGAAGGCGGACATACTCTGGCCACTTCACCATGCGCGAAAGGTTACGCTTGGGCTGGATGTCCTGGCCAATGCCATAGTTGCGTGGGCGGCGCTCGATGAGGGGGTTCTACCAATGCATCAATATTGCCGTCAATACTGCCTGAAGGATGGGACTGTACTCACCTTGGCCTGCTTCTTGCTCACACCGGCCTTGGTGGCCGGGAATGGCGCTGGAGCAGCCTTCTTGCTGCCGGCTTTTGGAGGCTGTCATTGAGAAGAACAGTCAGCGCTGTTGCTTCTCTAGAGAGACTGTGCTCGGCGCTGAAGCCTTATCGCAACAGCTCAAGCCATATGTCACACGCATCACTCCGCAGAGTATTGATGGTGGAAAATTCAGGTCATTGCTAATGCATGCCCGCCGTCTCGCATGTGCAGCGACAATGTTCGATCAGCGCGCAGAGGCAAATAGCTAGAATTAAGTAGGCGTCGTGACACTCACCATGTTGTCGAGTCGCTGGGCGAACGGAGGGATGAGAAGACAGTCGTTGGTTGTCGTCGACGACGTTCGCTACACCGAGCACAAAGTCTGGCAGACGAAGCTCGACTGAATCTGAAGTGGGAGACTGCCAAGCCCGCTAAAACGTTAGTCACGTGCGTGCGGCTCGAGCTTCAGCGTTCAGCGGCGGCTTGCTCGGCGGATGACGATGGGGAAGTCTCGCCGTGCTGCTGCTGATGACAAGCGGCCGCAACGAACGACGGACGCGCAACTCGACGAGGCAGCACCTTTCTTCGCCGCCACCAGCCCCGTCTCTCCCTCTCAGCCATACCGCCCAGCGCCCGAACATACGACGCCTGCCTCGTCCCGCCGTGCCATTCACCTGTCGCCGCTGTGCTTCGGCCGGCTCTTGCATCATCCCGCAGATCGGATATTGGCGACGAACCTGACCTGACCTGACCAGTGACCAGAGCTTGCAACCACCTCGACCCGCTCAATCCTACTACTGCTCGCCGCGAGTTCTCTGCCTGCACCACCTGCGAAGTTCGAATACCGCACGAATCCGAGTCTTCGTTCCAATTGATCCGCGACACTTTCGCGGAAGCCTAGCCCGCCATGTCCAGCGTCTTACGCAGCGTCAAGAATGTCACCAAGGGCTACTCGTCTGTCCAGGTCAAGGTGCGAAATGGTATGTCTGAGCTGTACTGGCCTGTAAAATGCTTGCGATAAAAGACGGGAAGCTAATCGCGCATTACAGCGACCAGCAACGACCCATGGGGTCCCACCGGGACAGACATGGCAGACATTGCCAAAATCACTTTCAACAGGTAAATCAGATCGTCCGCCATGTTACTCGCCGCTCGCAAATACCACACGCCATTGCGCCACGCCAGTCTCTGACCATTCGCTAATACTTCATTCCGCGACAGCTCCACCGACTTCTACGAGGTTATGGACATGCTTGACAAGCGATTGAACGACAAGGGAAAGAACTGGAGACACGTACTGAAGAGCTTGAAAGTGTTGGACTACTGCTTGCACGAGGGTTCTGAGCTGGTCGTGACGTGGGCGAGGAAGAACATCTACATCATCAAGACTTTGCGCGAATTCATCCACATTGACGAGGATGGCCGAGATGTTGGCGCAAGCAGTAAGACCAAACCTCAAAACACGTACATGCTGCGCATACTGATGTTTCCCAGTTCGAGCTTCTGCAAAAGAGCTTACTTCTTTGATCCTGGACGAAGAGCGCCTGCGAGCCGAAAGAGCAAATCGTGGGTCGTGGAAATCACGCGTTACTGGACTCGAAGACTTCGGGCTAGGAGGAGAGCCAAACCAGGAACAGCGACGCCGCCGTGATCAGCGCAACCGAACTGCCAACGACGATGACGATCTCGAGTACCGACTTGCGATTGAGGCGTCCAAGAACGAGGCCGAGGCGGATGCAGCGAGGAGAGCGACCAGCTCGCATGGCGCAGGAGTGGACAACGATGATGATCTTGCCAAAGCGATCAAGCTCAGCAGAGAAGAAGAAGAGCTTCGAAAGAGGCAACTTGAAGACCAACAGCAAGAGAATCTGCTTTTCGACGACACCCCAGCCCAACAACCTCAACCAACCGGTTTCAACCAGGGGTACCAGCAGCAAGCTCAAGTGGATTGGTTTGGAAACCCTGTGCAAGGGCAACCCACTGGATACTACGACAACGCCTACAACCAGCCCACTGGCATCCAGCCACAGCAGACCGCTTTCCAGAACGGATACGGGGGTGGATTTGGGTATCAGCAGCCGCAGCAGACTGGATTCGAGCAAATGCAACAGCCACAACAGCAATTCATCCAGCCTCAGAACACTTACAATCCATGGGCTCAGCAGATGAACGGTTTCGGCCAACAGCAACAGCAGCAGCCCATCCAGGAGCAATCAACTGCTCAGCCTGGCTCAAATAACCCATGGGCATCGAACAACACTCAGTCGCCGATTGGGGCCCAACCGACTGGATCCAACAACCCATTCGCCAGCAGGACCCAACAAACTACACACCAATCTAGCTTTGGCAAGCCTACCCTTTCGACTTTGCAAGAGCAACAAACCGCGAACCAATTCAACACCCGTCCAAACCCTATCCAGAACTTCGCTGCGCCCATTCAACAGTCACCAATCCAACCACAACAAACCCAGCAACAGAGGCCACCACATGATCCCTACGCTGCCAAGCTCAACAATCTACTTGCAACCGGCGAGGGTCAAGATACTTTCGGCAACGTTGGAGACCTGCGTATCCCTGCGCAACACACTGCTCCAGGCACTTTCATCAATTCGATGGGTACTGGAAGGACTGGCAACAACCCTTTCTTCTCACAAGCCCCAGCGCCTCAACAATTCCCTGCGCAAACTGGACCAGCGACTGGATTTGGTGGGAACAACCCATTCGGATCAAGGCCTCCTCAGCAGCAAACCCAGGGACAGGGCGGCAGCTTGATCGACTTATAGAACGAAGCACCATGGCCTTGCAGACAAACATAGCATTGGTGGCAGATTGAAAGCTACTTCGAAAAAAGCGAGCTACCCCCTTTTCATTCCAGCATCACGACTGCTTTCTGGTTTTTCATCGTACGGATACCCTTCCTCTGGGATTGTCCTTTTGCTTGTGTGGAAGATGTGGTGGAGGATTTGACTCTCTTAGGTATGGCATATGGGATGGAATGGGGAACTAGCAAGGAAGGAAGTGCTTCATAGAATGAAAGTTCATTTTCCAGGCACGAAACTTGATCTTCTCAGCTACCTAACATGCATCTCTGACTGATATGGGACATGCTATGCGTCATTTGCCCTTCTCCCCCGTCTCCAACAACGTAAAGTACTTCGACCACGTCTCATCCTTATAAAACCCCTCCACCTCCTCCTCCAACAGCCCCACATGCACATCACACCCCCTCCCATCCATAAACCTGGGCCCGACAAAATGCGCCCTCTGAAACGCCGCCCCGAAAGCCCCGATATCCGTCGACGTGAAATGCTTCACGTTCCCCAGCGCGGGACCGAAATCATAACCTAGCAATTCCGAGTGATAGAAGGAGGTTATGGCGAGGATCTCGGGCGAGTTGGCCTCCGTGATGGCCCACCAGTGGAGAGAGTACGGGTCCTTGCGTCGGATCGTCGAGATGCCCGTCATGTACTCGCGGTTGACGGTGTTGAGGGCGGAGCGGATTTTGGCCGCGAGGGCGGGGGCGGAGTCGTCTTTCAAAATCTCCGCGGAGGGCGAGGCTTGCGCTTGGATGAAGTAGACGCAGTTGCCGATCCAGTCTTTCGGGAGGCCGATGTGGCGGCGGGCGTTGTGGGGGACCGTGAAGGTCGAGAGGGTCGAGGGGTCGAGCTCGCCGGTCGCGGTGCGGGTTTTGATTAGCGTGCGCCAGAGGAGGGCGGAGATGGCGTCGTGCGTGGAGACGGGCATGTCCCGGCTGCAGTAGTCTTTGAGGGCTTGGGCTTTGTCGTTGGTGAGGCGGAAGTAGGCTGGGACGAAGCGCGGTGGGGGTTTCGGGGCTTCGCCGTTGGCCTCCGGGGGTGCTTCGTCGTGTTTGGTGTTGGGGTTGAAGATTTGGTCGACGATGCTGTGGGCGGGGTGGTCTTTGAGGTCGGTTTTGCCGCCGTTGAGGGAGGCCATCGTGCTGCGGTCGGTGTCGAGCTTGCGGGGTGGGAGGTCGCCGGTGATTGAGAAGGCTTTTTTGCATTCGTCTCCTAGGGCGCGGGTGATGCTGTTCATGCCATTACCGTCGGTCAGGCGGTGGTATAGACAGACGCTTAGGAGAACGCCTCCTTCGATCATGCTGAGCTGGTACACTGATTCCGACTGGGGTTCCGGCATGACCGCCGCGTTGACGGGCATAAAGGCTGAATCCTTGAAAAATGATAGTGGAAACCCGGCTTTTTCCAGCTCCTTGTAAGATTGGGTGGTCTTTCTCATGTCTTTGATCACCAATTCGACGCCTTTGCCTTTCACCATTGCCCGCCAAGGTTGTTTGGGGTCGTGAGGAGCCGCATTCTGCAACACTACAGCGTCGGCCGCGAGTTCTGGTGTTCCTAGCACCAACGCCTTGAGTCCGCGCTCAACAACGTCTATGGCTTTCTCATGGCTGGAGCCTTCTGGCAACTCGAAGCACAAAACTCGGCGAGAGTAGAGGCCTGGAAGCCAGACATCGCTGTACTGGAGGTCGACCTTCGGCTCGGCGCCTGGGATGTATATGGTCTTGTCCATGTCAATGAACGACTCGAAGTCCTAGCTGTGTCGGTTGTGTGGTAGACGAGCTCAGTGTAAAGCAGTCGCAGCTTTTGTGAAATTATCGCGAAGGAATCTTGCGGTAATAAAAGATGACAATGATGCTGCAGACTGCCTTGCTTTTGGGAGCTGCTCACCTGCGTATGCTGGTCTATGTTCGGGCTCTATGCGACTTACAATCTCCATGCATGCTGCTTTCAGCCGTAGTGAGATTCAGGGCACGAAGCCGAAGTCCACATTCTTGTAAGCATTAAGCTTTGAAAGGCGTTTTTAGCGTCGTGCCTTCCTGTCGTCAGACATTCTTCTGGGCAGGCGCTCGCGTTCAGATTGGTATGGCCGTTGGCGGCACTATAGCGCTGAAACGGATCCCACTGCGGCTGACTTGTCAGACCTCTTGATAGTCACCGTTCTTCACGAGTCGTCTGCCGAACCGAACTGACTAAGAAATCCCAGTCCGCCAAGATACGGATGAGATGTACGTCAGCTGCGTAGTAACCCAGAATATCCGATCCCGAGAATGCGAAGCTGTGTCTCGTTCAGCTGGCTCGCCAGACATCTTCAATATAGGGCCTGGTCAAGGTTCCGAATAGAGCTCGATCACATTGGCGTGCGAGTGGGCTTGTAGTCTTCGGTCGCGTATATGCCCCCATTGTGTTCATTGGCAGATCATCCAAAGGGAGTCAAGGTGCCACGTAGGTCGTGTCGCACTTTCTACCACATGGAGGGACGGCGAATACCCGATGGCATCGCTCTGAGGATGGTTGCATTCAATCCATAGGAACGCGTCCAATGTGCCGTAATGGTCTCCTTGCGGTCGATAGTTCTGGCTCATGACTTGCCGTACGGCTCCTGGCTCGATCTCGGCCACGCATCGCGAAGAAATCTTTGGGGTTCATCTCGTGTCCTCTGGGAGACCAATTGCCCAAAGCAAAGTTGATAGGAGAGAGCTTTAATGTTGTGGTCGCGAGGCGTGTCTTCAGAAGGTTGAAGCTTGGTCGGCCCGAAGTCTGTGCTGTTTTCTTGGCATCGACTGCACCTCTTCAACTTCCCATTCGTCACCCACCACCCATCTCATGCTCTTGAGTCGTTTTCCCCATGACCGTGTCCGTGCTTGGCGGACATACGTCCTCAAAGTAAAGGCACGCCGTACGGATATCTGATGAGCAAGGCCGACTCCGCGTTGACGTGCTTGACATCATGCTGCTCACCAGTTACGGGCCCTCTTGAGCTGCCAGGACTTGTCGTGAGCTTCGAGTCAACAGCGATGCCAATGAGATCGAACATCTCCTGATGGTAATTCGCAATGGCCCCGTGACGAGGTCTCTGCCAAAATGAAGAATCTCGCCTGCAATGCCGGCTCGGACACATTGTCGGCTACTGCAGGCGATTGACCATCAATTCAACTCCTCGTCACGCAACTCTTGGCCAGCGCCTGATCATGCGGAAAGAATCCACCTCATACTCCCATTTTCGCGGCTGAAATCATCGGCAATTGAGTCTTTCTACTCTGCGGCTCTCCGCGCAGGTTCTTCAACCGCTAGGAAGACAATAAGCCGAGACCGACGGTAGAAGTCCGGCCCCAACTGCAAAATACCCACGCTACTGTGGAAACTGGAGTCTGGAGACTGGAGAGAACACGCGATCGCGGAGACGAGCCACGAGGTTGCAGCGAACCCCCGGCCATCTCGACTGGTCTGTCTCACATTCTTCTGACCATGCTGTGCGAATGCGAACACTTTCAAGCCATTGATCAATCAAGACTCTTCAAGGAACAGTATTTCAATCTGCAGGAGCTGGAGATGTCGTCCAAATAGACTTCAACAGTGGCGCGAATAGGTCACCATCACATGCTGTGACAAGCAGCCTTCATCGACGAAGGCTTCTCGGTCCTAGTCTCCGCCGGCGCCGAACATTCGTATGGACACGTTCCCCACTTGAGCCGCCCGAAGTCCATGGTATACATCGCTTGTCCTTTTCCAACACATATAGACGATTGCCAAGGGACTACAGCAACGCCTCTTTCCTCATATTGGACAATGCCCGACAGGTACGGCGCAGGTGACCATCATAGCGGTCTTAGCTGCCCCGCGGTCGAACAATTTCTTCGACGATTCCGTCAGTGTGGAAGGCCAGTCGCACTTCGAGGGGTCGTGATGCTTGGGCTCGTGTTCAAGTGGCCATTTAAAGGCTCAAGTGAGGAGTTAGGTGACATCCGTGGGCCAGTGTAGCAGCCGAAGATGAATTGGCCCGGACTATATAGTCCTAAAGGCCGCCCAGGTTAGATTGGATTCTGTCTCGTACTTCAGAGTCGCTGCGAACGGCGCTCCCATCGAACTGACAGAAATTCAACATGGGTTGCACGTTTGACAAGATCGGAGTAGCGGCAGCGCTGTTGGCCACCTTTTCGACCGTTTCTGGTCAGAATGGCTCGACATCTACTGGCCCGGTCTGGAGCCACGAGGACTTTACCACCAGTCCTCCGGTCTACCCCTCGCGTGAGTATTTTACTCTGTTCGTGTTCGACTGCGAAGCTGACATACCTCGCAAGCAAACATCACCGGATTAGTCTGGGAAGATGCGTTCGAGCGTGCAAAAGCCTGGGTTGCGCAACTCACTCTGGACGAGAAAGCACATCTAGTCACCGGAACCGAAGGTCCTTGTGTTGGAAACATCGCCCCAATTCCGAGACTTAACTTCACTGGACTCTGTCTGCAAGATGGTCCTCTAGCGATTAGACAAGCTAGTTACGCATCTGTCTTCCCAGCTGGGCTTACAGTCGCTGCAGCATGGGACAGGAAGCTGGCGTATACAAGAGGCCTGCAAATTGGTGAGGAATACAAGGGCAAGGGCTCTCATGTGGTATTGGGCCCTGTCGCTGGCCCTCTCGGACGCAGTGGGTATGCTGGCCGCAATTGGGAGGTATGTATTCTGCCAGAACCCTATGTAAGGAAAAGCTTACGATACTGGCCAGGGCTTTTCGCCAGATCCATATCTCACCGGTGTGTTTATGGAGGAGACTATCTGGGGTCACCAAGATGCTGGAGTTCAAGCGTGTTCTAAGCGTAAGTGACCAGCCCTCCGAAGCTGTTCTTTCAGCTAATATAACTTCGCAGATTACATTGGCAATGGCACGTATATTCCAGCTCTACTACGGAGAGTAGTACTGACTCTCTTCCTACAGAGCAAGAGACCCAGCGAAACCCAACCACCAGCCCTAACAACCAGACAATCGAAGCCATCTCGGCCAATATCGACGATCGAACTCTGCACGAGCTTTACCTATGGCCGTTCGCCAATGCTGTCCACAGTGGCACTGCTTCCATCATGGTATGTAGTCATCTCAATCCAGAGAGCAGCGGCAGTCTGATCATAAGTAGTGCTCATACAACCGCCTCAATGCATCGTACGGTTGCCAGAATAGCAAGCTTCTCAACGGCGTACTGAAAGAAGAGCTTGGATTTCAAGGGTGGGTCGTGTCGGACTGGATGGCCACTCATGCGGGCTACCACGCTGCCGAAGCAGGATTGGACATGAACATGCCTGGTGGGATCCAGTTCTCTCAATCAGTTCCGTCCCTGTGGGGAGCGAACCTCACGATCAGCGTCAACAACGGAAGCTTGGCTGAGAGTCGTTTGGACGACGCAGTACTGCGCATAATCACGCCCTACTTCTGGCTCGGCCAGGACAAAGATTTCCCAGCGATCGATGGTGACACTCCAGGAACGCAGCGAACTTGGAACACGAACACTTACCGTTACAACTTCACATACGGACCATCTTCTGTCGATGTCAGGGACAACCACCACGAACTGATTCGCGAGATCGGTGCCGCCGGAACAGTGCTCTTAAAGAACACCAACAATACCTTGCCTCTCAAGTCGCCAAGGAACATCGGAGTCTTTGGCAACGATGCCGCTGATCTGATCGACGGATTATATTTTGCGACGCTGACCAAGGAGTTGGGCTTCGAGCAGGGTATCCTACCGGTCGCTGGAGGCTCCGGAACTGGACGTCTCACTTACGTCGTGACGCCTCTCGAGGCGATCAAGGCAAAGGTTGGCAATGATGCTCTTGTGCAATATGTCACCAACAACACTTACATCACCGAGGATCAAGGATGGTAAGCCTCGAATTCGGCAACGCCTTCAAGAGATTGCACACTCATGTCTGCCAACAGGTCTATCATTTACCCAACGCCGCCAGATGTCTGCATTGTTTTCCTAAACACGTGGGCATCAGAGGCGTACGATCGCACAACTTTGCTTGTTGACTGGAACGTAAGTCTATCGTACAACGCCAAAACCACGCAAGAAGTATGGAGATAACACATCTTTTGTAGGGAACTGCCGTCGTTGAGAAGGTTGCCGCCAACTGCCCCAACACCGTCGTCGTCACACACTCATCCGGCCTCAACGTCCTTCCCTTCGCCGACCACCCCAATGTCACCGCCATCCTGGCTGCTCACTTGTCTGGTCAAGAGGTTGGAAACAGCATTGTCGACATCCTCTGGGGAGACGTCAACCCAAGCGGCAAACTTCCATACACCATTACTCACGAGGAACATGATTATGCCTTCGCAGACATCGTCAACTCAACTGAGCTCCTGGAGACCGAAGACCCCAACGCATGGCAACAGGACTTCACTGAGCGCCTGCTGATCGACTACCGTCACTTCGACCACTTCAACCTCTCCGTCCAGTACGAGTTCGGCTTTGGTCTCTCCTACACCACCTTCTCCCTCGGCGAAGTCATCGTGGAGACCCTAGCAGAAAACATCGCAGCCGAGCCCGAAGATCTGGACATCCTCCCCGGCGGCAACCCAGCCCTCTGGGACAAGCTCTACAAGATCACCACCTCAGTCACCAACACCGGCTCGGTAGCCGGCGCCACCGTACCCCAGCTCTACCTCGGCCTCCCCCAAATCCCCAACGAAGCCACCACACCCGTCAAAGCCCTCCGCGGGTTCGACAAGGTCTTCCTTGAACTGGGCGAGACCAAAGAAGTGACTTTCGAGCTCGCCCGTCGCGATATCTCGTACTGGAATACGTAAGTATTTGTCTTCACCACTGCAGAACAGAGAAAGGCTAATCAGGGCGGTGTATAGCTTCACCCAGCAATGGACCATCGCCCCTGGCGCTGTCACCGCGCACGTCGGTTTCTCCAGCAGGGATATCCAGGCCACGACGACGTTCACGCCTATTGCTGCTGCTGCGGGCTACAGGCCTCGCAGAGTTTGAGCATAGGGAATAGTCAGCGTCTCTCCGTCTTTGGGCGACAGACAGATCATGAAGAGGCTTTGCGGATCGTTCCGTTGGTCCATGAACGGTGGGGATAATGTCTTACGAGGAAAAGCATAGATGATATGACTTGATGAATCGACCCTCCTTCAAAACGGCTTTTTAGTTACAGTATCCATTTAGCTGTCTTTGATGAATCCAGCAAAATCTTCTTCATTTCTCTCCATCGTAGCCCATGGGGGCAGTTCAACAAGACTGTTGGATTGTTCCGTCGATTACCATCGCCGGGGATAAGATGTTCACAGGAAGACAAGGCATATGTGGACGACATCATGAATGCTTCTTTTCAGTCCATGAGAAGAAGGATACCAGTGCCATAACCGAATACATCCATTCCTATCCTTTCCATTCAAAGCTAGCATGCACTTAACGACAGTATCTGTACAAGACAACATCCATCATCCATCACCCACCAAAACCCCCTCCCCGAAACAAAACAGAAAGACCCAGAAGAACCAAAATAGAGAAATCTTTCAAAAAATAATTTCATATCTTTTCTCATTCATCTCATCTCATCTCATTTCGTTCAATGCACATGCATGCCGCTGTACTGTTTTCTTCACCCAGCAAAATGCATCTTATCAACTTCAAAGAAAACAATTGCCGTCATCCGTCATGATTTGCCTTGAAGACCCGTATGCAAAAGCAATGTGTAGCCGTCATCCCAAAACAGTGGTTCATTAGAGTCGTCAAAATATGCCTCGCGGCATCCTCTCGAAAACAACGAGCAAGCAAGCAAGCAAAAATGCCGAAACGTGCAGAAAATCCAGGAGGTGTAGGCGATGGATGCGTATAAGATAAGTCGTCAGCGGCCGTCATGTCGTATTTCGTCGTCGTCGATGTTGGTCTTTCAAATGCGTAGATCATTCGTTGGTGGACTCATTGCCAACCACTCTCCCTCAAACACCACGCACAACGTCCATAAGCCCGCACGGGTGCCCGACGACATAAACATATGTACGCCTCGTCCTTGGTCGGTCTTCTCATCGCAGGCTTGGGGACTTGTGCCGTGACCTGCTGCATTTGCTGCTCGAATCCACTCTCCATACTCCGCGGGCTATTCCCCCCACTGCTCGTGCCATCCGTGCTGCCAGTATCATAGCTCGCCCCAGAGCTGCGATTGCTCCTTCTCCCCGTGCCAATGGCAACGGGCAAGCCCTGGATTGCACCACCAGACGTTCTTTGGCCGGGTCGTTGACCGGGGAACATGCCATCGTTGACGGAGAAGTTGCGGCAGATCATGTAGGCTTTTTGGGCGGCGCCGTCGCGGGCGAGGGCTTCGGAGGCGTAGGGCACTTCGGTGGTGTATTCGCGGTTATTGACGCGGACTTTGCAGTAGTGACCGTTGCGGTTGCGGTAGGGCTCGTAGAGAGGGTCGGGCCATTGGCGGCGTTGGCACACGCCTGTAGGGTGAAGCGAGGATGTCAGTCATTGATCGAAGAGGGTTGTCGTATTGGTGAAGCCCAGCATATATCCACTATGCAATGGCGTCTGAATGTAGATAGTCGAGGGCATCGACTTACTGGACAGGTACATCGTGTAGAACATGTTGGCTCCAATCAGGACAGATGAGGCGTCGACGGGGAGGGAAGGCGAGTGGTCTAGTGTGGACTCTTTCCAGTGGATGGCTTGCGGGTATGTGCTTAAAGCGTCTTCACGCTTGCTCGTAGGGGCGTTGCACAGCAGTTCGTCGATCCGAGAATGAACGGGCACCAATGCCAGTGAGCCACGGTAGTCGAAAGAGCTAAGCGGTGTAGTCGGAGGCGTTGTCGACGGCAGGGAGAGTTGAAGGGACTTTATGTGAGAGGCCAAAAGCATACAAGGTCCACGATAATCGAGTCCGGCTGTGTATATGTATATATTGATCTTGGGGGACGGGGAGCAACTAAACATGAGTTGAGGAAAGCAACACTCTCACCCGAGAGGATACCGGTGAGGAGGGTACTTACGCACCTACAAGGCCCAGCAGAACGGACATGGCCAAAGGAACGAAATGAAAGAAGCTGCAATGTTGTCGAAGGCTACCCGGAAGCCAGGCCCCATACTTGATGTGTTGGCGCACGTTTCGGCCAGAGGATGTTGATGATCGAGACGCGGAGAGCATGAGCTCCGCAGGTAACAACAATATCTAGGCGCAGATCGAGATGCCCCCAGCTCGCACACCATGGCGGAAGTTTCGAGCGAGGATCATGTGCCTGTCAAAGCGTCAGGTACGGGAGGCCCGAGGGCAGCAAGTGGTGGTGAGGACGACCACTATGTCGTGCAGCGCTTCATGCCTCGAACTGGTGTGGGCTCGGGAAAGATGAGAGCAGGTGCAGTGCTATGCTGTGGGCAGATGCTAACCAGCACCTGGGAACGTTGGGCTCTCCGCAGCACGGTTCCCACGCATTCGATAGCGCCAGAGGGTGCGCGCGAGCGCTAGGGGTTGCAGCTGTGAATGCGGACGACGGGGACTACTGCAGAGCTCGACCACGTCAAAGACGCTGATCCTTGTGGCATCCACGCTGTGGTGTCCGTTCCAGCCAGGCTCACCAAGGGATGTTGGGCGCACTGCCGCGCGATCAGACGGGCCATGACGTCCATGCAGTGAGCGGTGGGCGCGCGGGACGAGAGGGGGTGCATCAAACAGGATTCTGCTGTGCTATGATCTGGTGGTGAGATGCTGGATCCACGGGCAATGCGAGGGAGGAGGAGTCGGCCATCATCAACCATGGCTGGCGACAAGCTCGAGCAAACCACACGAGACTGAATGCCGGGAGCGGCAGTGCGCAACCGAGGGCAGGCTGTCGTTGGTGGACGGGCGTTGCGGTTGATGTGTTGTCAACTGAACAGCGTCGAGCGGATGCAGCCACTGCCGCCATCAATGCCAAAGCAAAGGGTCCAGCAGCTCCAGCATCATGACGAGGACCCGCCAACCAGACCAGAGGCAAATCCCCGGAGCGGACAGCGGTGCTCCTGCCAAATCGCATCGACATGCCGTGGGATAGAGTTTACAGAGCGGCGGTGGGTTTGATGGGCAGTACCAGCGACGTACCGCTCTGTTGCACCGAAACCGCCACGACGAAAACTCGAGGCCCTCGCAGCAGCGAATGCCCCAGCAACCTCATTCTCCCGTGCATGACAATTGCATTCTCAGCGGTGGCGGTGGGAGTGGAGCTCGTCAACATGCCCATGCTCTCTCTGGCATTGGAAAAGTTGCATGAACCGGGCGAATTTGCGGCATGCGCTCATTTGCTGAGACCGAGCTGCAGAACTGCAAGGCCACGGTCTGATATGCACGTCAACGCAAAGCGCTCGATCGGTGCTGGAGCAGCCAAGTGAGCCAAAACCTTCCCGTTCCCGGCATGGTCGTAGTGGGAAGCACAGCAGCAGTAGTCTGATACCTGCGATACCGTACCTCGTCGACGGGGCGGGCCTCGATTACAAGTCTCCGGACAGCGTGTGGTGCGCTGGCGAGGCTTCTAGCCGTGTAGTAAAACGTGGACGACGTGATTGTGCTGGGAGAGGGTCGAAAGACGGGCCCATCTCTCGCGTGGAGGCATGTGCTGGGCGTTTCAACAACCGGCTCCGTGCCACCAAGCACGATATCTCCTGGAGCCCGATACCGACGACGACGACTGGCACGCACTGCTATGAGGCATTTGCGCCTATGGCGCTTATAATTGCGGAGAAGGATCCTTGGTCTACCTGCTGCACGTTCGAAGCGGTGAGACCCGCTCCAGCAGGGCAGCTGTTGCCAGTATAAAATTAGCAGGTGAATGTTTCGACGCGGCCGCTGTGGAATGAAGACCGGGTTGAAAATGGACGCGTCTGGTCCCCCGGCATCCAAGTGAAGTCGAAAATGGAGGTGAATGTTTCAAATTGGGGGTGTCGTTGTTGTTGTTTGGCAGTGGATGGGTTGAGCACCAAACTCTCGTCTAGCTGCATTACCGAACGGCAGATGGCCCGATATGCCAAGCAAAGTCACGGGACCGACTCCTCCTAAGTGAAACTCCATGTTCCACTCGCCTTCTTCGCTTACACCGCGACTCCCGACGAGACACATCGCCATAACGGCCAGTACGGCCGACGGCAGACGGCAGAGTCATCGTCTTGCAAGACCATCAATCTCTAGACCTCATGATTCATCATCTGGGGGCACCCAGGAGGGGCAAAGCAGCCACAGCGGTGAAGATGAGAGGCATCAATAGCTCGAAGTCTAATCCATCTGCCGTCCACTACAGGTGTCGCTGACCGGCCGGCGACTGCAGAATGTAGACGATTACTCGAGGTAGGAAGCGAAATCACCGCAGGATCATTGGAGCTGAATTGACCGCACTCCCACGAGCATTTCGTCAATGTTCACCACATCTCCCACCGGCAAAGAATACACCCTCGGCGGCAAGGACAAGAACGGCACCATGACCATCCAACGCATCACCTGCTTCAAAGTCATCAACGAAGCTGATGTCCAGCCGATCTTGGACCAGTACAAAGTTCTCGCGGCTGAGAACCAGAAGGTGCTTAGAATCAACCAAACAACGAAACTTTTGCAGTAGCTCACAGAACGTGCCAAAACAGGACGGCAAACCCTACATCCTCGACATCCAAGCCTACAAGACCATCTCCGACCCTCGAAGTCAAGGCTACTCGATCGTTGCATGGACGAAGTTTAAAGATCTGGAGGATATGAAGTACTACGATTCGGAGTGCGAGGCGCATAAGAAGCTGAAGCAGTCGTCCGCGGGGAAGGTGGAAGTTCCGCCGTTGACGATGTACATGGAGGGATAGGGGAAGTGAAGATGGTCACGCGACATGATTCGAGACGAGAATATGAAACGTCCGGTGTGAAGGAGGTGGTGTATATAACGGACGTGAGAGATATAGAGCGAAGAAGCAGGACTGCAAAGTCCGAGTGCCAGCACACTGGTGACTGAAACACACATACATATTGAAGAAGTGAAGTCTCATACATTGCCTCAAAAGCCACAGGAAAGCACAACATGCCCCCATCGAACACACATCACGCCAAAAGATCAAGCCATCGCGAGAGCCTCTCCTCGCCTCTCCGTGCTCCCCAAACCTCCAAGCCACCAAGTGTCAAACACAACATATCCAGACGTCTTAACTGCAACCAAGCATACCCAATGCACCTCTTCACCTCCCTCCCCGACCCTCTCTTGCAACTAAGCGGTCAACCTCCCCAAAAAGCGAACCCTCAGCCCTCATCCCCTCTCACCACAGCGACACAAATCGCCTTCACGATCAACTTCTCACCGCCGTCACCCCCTCCCACAAGTCGTACAAGAAAACCTCATGCCAAAGGCACGTTCTCGCCCAATCACGATCTCCGTCGCACAGGAGCACAAAATCTCGTCTATACGGCACGTCTGGCTGTCCACGTGTTCGCCGGCTCAATGCTGTGGCACGGATGGGGACCGGGCATGCCGATGGTGGTGCAGGATATCAACGATGACCGATATAGTGTTCAGGAAGAGGGGTTCGGCATGGCTGGATGGATGTTGTCATGAATCGTGTTATGGATGGGTATCATACGCTTTCTCAAAGGTCATTTCTCGTAACGCCGATGCTTGAACGCAGTTTTCATCTTTGAGTCTCTCGAGGCCTTCATGTGCTCACTTCTTCCTCCCCTTGCCCTTCCCCTTCTTCGCTGGTGGCGGGTCAGGAATACTCACACTCCCATCAACAACCTCCTCACCCTGCGCCTGCAACTCCTTGACTTTCTCCTGACTCGAGATGAACATTGTCAAATCGTGATTCATCTCTTCCAGATCCTTCTTCTCTTCCTTGGCTTTCTCAGCTTCTTTCTTTGCAGCTTCGGTCTTCTCTTCGGCGACTTTGATCTTGCTGAGCAAGCCCTCGTTCATCGTCTTCTCCTCTCGAAGCTGGGACGACATGTCGCGCGCCATCTGCTCAAACTTGGTGCGTGCTTTCTCGGACTTGTCGAGTGCTTTCTCCATCCGTGAGAGAGTATCTGCCATACTTTGTCGTTCGGTGCGGGCTTCTTGTAGCTCGGCTTGAGCTTTGCTGGCGGAGATGGCTGCTTCTTCAGCTCGAGCTGATGCCTGGGCAGCTTTGTCGACTGCACGCTCGACTTGTTCTTCGAAATAGTGGCGCTGACCTTCGAGTTGCGACGTCAGGAGATAGGTATATTCCGTGGCCATGCTCTCCATCTTGTCTCGCGGTACGCTGTCGCCGCCCTCGGCCCTGAAGGCTTCATTCTCATGGCGCGTTCGAGATGGGAGATCAATGAATCCTTTGCCAGTTGGCTCAGGGGCAGGCTTGCTCTGGATGAGTCGATGAACGTATCCATCACCTGCATAGTCCCAGACGTGCTGAGTGTTGATGTCCATGGCGTAGCAATGACTCGTCTCTTCGTAGTGAGCGTAGGCATGTGCATCGTCGTAACGACCACAGCCAACATTGCCACATATCAGACAGATCCACAGACTTGAAGTCTTGTCGCAGACTGAGCACAACGGCTCCGAGTCTCCCTCCCCTTCTGCTCCGTCTTCTGGCCGCGGGAATGGGAATGTGTACGATGGTGAATGTGTGTATCTGCAGACCGGACATCCCGAGCCTCGCCATTTCTCAAGACACGCGCAGTGAAAGACGTGCTGGCAGAGAATGGTAAGGAGTCCTGTAGTCTCGTCCATACGCTCCAAGCAAACAGGACATGTTGGCAGCTCGAGGAGATTCGGGGGTGGTGGCGCCAAGGGTTTACTTGATATGCTGGTACTCTTGTTGTCTGTAGATGTGAAAGGATCATTCGTGTTGTGTGGGAAGGTACTACCAGCACCAACATCCGAGTCTGGACTCAAGAACTCGACGCTCTTGATGAATACAACATGGCAGTTCTCAGGCTCTGCGGCGCTGAAGAGTCTGCCATTGTATAACTTCTGCCAGTCGCGAGCCCTCTTTGCCGATCTGAACTTCATCAGGACCATGTACTTGTTCGCTCTTCCTGTCCGAATGAGACGGAAATGTGATACATCTTCCCGTGCCTGGTCGCCCACGAATCCAAGCAGATCTGATGGCATCATCCATGAGGGAACGGCGAGTATGCAGAGAGTGGTGCAGTCTTCTTGGCTGAAGCCGTTCTGCTCACCATGACCCAGGCTCTTTCTCGGCGCGGCATGCTCGTCTAGTATCAAGCTCTCCTCCGCATCGCGATACAAATGCACGACTCCCCATCCAACGTCTGTTGTCTTTGGGTCTGAAGGTAGATATACCGCTTTGGTGGGTAGTCCCCCGTTTGCTGGGCTCTTTGCTTTGGAGTCCATATCGATACTCTCGATCTCTACGGCGTCGTATCGCCAGTCTTTGGCGGCGGCCTCGTTCGAATGCTTGACGTTCGGTGTACTTCGTGGCGACCCCGGTGGCTCTTTCTTCAGTCGCAGGCTCCGCTCAGGCAGAAGCAGCGCATCGCCGTGCGATTCGGTGTGCTCAGTCGGCGGGGAGAGTGTATGGTGATGCGGCGAATCCGAGCGATCAGAGCCTGAGTTGTACCCGTTCGTGCTTTTGCTGAAGCTGTAGCTGGTCCACCTACTTGTTCGATGCGCAGGCAGAGAGGTTTTGAAGATGTCGGAGCCCGGTGAAGGCGTGAAGACTCTGGAGCTTGGTCGATGGTGAAGTTTGCGCCGCTTGCTCGCAGTAGTCGCGGGCGATGAATACAGCTCGAGTTTGAGGTGAAAGAAGTAGGAAGGCATTAGAAGAGCAGTGCTGGATTGGAACCTACTGCGTGCATCGTGTCGGTGTGGTTGTGGTGGATTGTGAAGGTGAGAAGTGCAAGTCTTTGAGCAGTCCGGGCAGAGCCGCTGGAGTGTTTGGCATCGGCGACTGAGGCAAACAAACAGGTGTTGCGCATCGCCACGCGGTTAGTCATACAGGCACTTTGTTGGATGTTTCTACAACCTCTGGAGAGGCGCGCGGTGTTCAAGGGTTTGGAGGCTGTCGAAATGGAGGTGCTCGCCAACCGCAGCATCATCGCAACTCCGACATCGGCTCAGCATTGGAGTGGTGCGACAATGAAGGCGATTGTGTGATGGGACGCAGTCACGGAGAAAGATTGTACAAAGAAATGGAACACGTTGCTGCAGATCAGAAAGCCATTCTCAGGCCGCTGCATTCATGTCGATGCTGTCTATTCAGCACTTGCTGTTTCGGCACCCGCGCTCAATCAGCGGTATGCCGTGCTCATCAAAGTCGTGTCAGGTTGAAACCAAATATCCCCATAAACTCCGTGCATGCCCAGAATCAATCGTCTACTGTCCTCCACGGAGACGCAGCACCAAGTGCAGCGTGCTCTCCTTCTGGATGTTATAGTCGGAAAGCGTCCGGCCGTCCTCGAGTTGCTTGCCGGCAAAGATGAGGCGCTGCTGGTCCGGAGGAATGCCCTCCTTGTCTTGGATCTTGGACTTCACGTTGTCGATTGTGTCTGAGGATTCGACTTCGAGTGTGATAGTCTTGCCGGTGAGAGTCTTGACGAAGATTTGCATACCACCACGCAGACGGAGGACCAAGTGCAAAGTCGATTCCTTCTGGATGTTGTAGTCGGAGAGAGTGCGGCCGTCTTCAAGCTGCTTGCCGGCGAAGATGAGGCGCTGCTGGTCGGGTGGGATACCCTCCTTGTCCTGGATCTTGGACTTGACGTTGTCGATGGTGTCGGATGACTCAACCTCAAGGGTGATGGTCTTGCCGGTGAGAGTCTTGACGAAGATCTGCATACCACCACGGAGTCGCAGGACGAGATGGAGGGTGGACTCCTTCTGGATGTTGTAGTCGGACAGGGTGCGGCCATCCTCCAGCTGCTTACCCGCGAAGATCAGACGCTGCTGGTCCGGCGGGATGCCTTCCTTGTCCTGGATCTTGCTCTTGACATTGTCGATGGTGTCGGAGCTCTCGACCTCGAGGGTGATGGTCTTGCCAGTGACTGCGATGGATGTCAGCACATGAACGGATGCTATCAAGGCGCCAGGTGGCGTGAAGCGGGGTACGACTTACGGGTCTTGACGAAGATCTGCATGTTTGCGGTTGCGAGAGGGTGTGTTTGTGTGATGTGTTGCTGATGTGGATGGTAGCTGGTGATGTGGTTGTGGTGTCGAGCGGATGTGTGTGTGTGCAGGAGTGGAGAATAGAAGGGCAAGTTGACGGTGGAAGGCGGAGGTCTATTTGAAGGAGGGCGGCGGCGACGGCCAGGCAACTAGCGTCACAGCCACTGCGAGTGACGCGAACACAGCGAAGCTTCTGGGGAAGGAGCGCTCGTCCAATCAGCGCTCGACCTTTCTCGACCTTTCCTTCCTTGTTTGTCACGGGCAACCGCAGTATTCACCAACCAGCCAGCGGAATAATCTCGCGCTTCACTCGACGTGCTGCACCTTGATGACAACTATCAGCACCAGCGGGGTCACTGTGATGGCGCTGGGGGTAAACGTCTCTTTCAGCTGCTTGCGGCGGCTTATCAACTGGCATGCACGTCGCCGGGAAACAGTCGGCATCTCACGGAAACACGCTGCGACTACGCTCTGACTGGAAGCTCTGCGCGACTGGTACAGCACAATTTTCTTCGACATGTACCTGTGGCGTGACAGTACGTATAGAGCCCAATGCGACCGGCCACGTCTTCGCTGTCCGGCTGCAACTGAGTGGCCGCCCAGCCACCGACTGAAGTGGCTGACAACAAAGCATTCACTGACCACCGGCTTTTGACACAAGCTAGTGTCTTTCCAGGCATGTGATTTCTCCTCTACGCCACCATCAGATCCAATGCTACATGTGACATGCCGGTCACACATTATTGGAAGGCGACTTCTCCAGGAAATGGTTTCCTCCCAAAGACGACCGGCATGGGGAAATATGCATGGATCTTCTTGTTCCTGAGGTCCGTCGTTGTCTTTGCAACAAGTATGTCGACCTCCTCCTTTCGCCAGCCAAGAGCTCTGGTCAACAGCGCGAGACAGAAGCCCTCCAATCCTTCGGCAATGTTGACTTGATTCCACCGTCCAAGCTCTTTCATGAATCGATCCTTTGGCCAGGTGTTGATGGGCCACATGAACATCTTCTCCTGGATATCGACGAACCCAACATCCCTCATCCAGCCCTGAAACTGCTCACTTGCGTCTGATCCCAATGGACGACCCATCTTCAGAGAGGCCTCGCAGAGCAACTGGCCCCATTTGAAGACATCCGTACCAAGATGTGTATCATCGAAAGACTTGACGGGAAGACCGTAGTCTTGCAGCTCAAGCCAGCCGCCGGGCTCCAGGTTCCTGTCACACTGATCAGAAGAGGACCTTGAGTTGTGTGACTGAGACTCACTCGAATGCTTGCTGGATGAACTGCGGCCAGTTGGAGAAACACCCTGACATCAACCTCGCATGGATGAAGTCAAATTTCTCATCGTACAACCAAAGATCTTCGGCATCATCGATGATGAACTTGACATTCGGAGGAATCATCGTCGGCTGGCCAGGTGACAAGTCGGTGCCAGTGACTTGGCATTCTGGGAATTGATCTGCGAAGTCAATGGCCCAGATTCCGGTGCCGGTGCCAATGTCGAGGCATCGTCTTGGGTTCTGCAAAGGTGCAAAGAATAGCTTGTTGGCGTATGTTATGCGCAGGAGGTGGTGTTGGAGATCGAGGCGATCGGCTTCTCGCTCACTGGAGACATTCAGTCAAAGGCATCTTTCTCGAACAGGGACGGTCTCGACCTCACTCGTTTGGGAATATATATTTACCATCCTTGTACGCTGCAGGCTGATCAGCGTTCAGAACACGAGACGAGCTACCGACATGAAGACGAACCGTGGTAAGTACGGCCATGCTCTTTGCGATAGTTCCAGATTGATTCGCTTAAGCTGGTTGTCACGCTCGCTCTGCATCACCAGTCAATGCAATGATTCGGCAACACGACGATCCGGATCGACTTACACATCACTTCCCAGGGCAGAGTCACTGTCATTCTCCTGCAATACACGCAATTCGTCAGACCAACTCTTAACATATCCTGGCACGGTGCCATCAGATTGCCACGCACATCTGGTTCCAACTGCTGTTCTTCAGCATTCTGATTGTCGAGATCCACGGCGTCATGTTGTTGCACAGACGCCTGAGCGGTTGTCGCTGTGCCAATCGCTACATCTTGCTCATCCTCTGTCGACTTCTCGTGCTCATTCCCTTGGTAAACGCTTCCAGCATCTGGGACAATCCCACTGTCGAAGGTTGCCGCAGAGGATGCATGGCTCACCGGCCTCGCTGCGCCCTCTTGTCGTTGTTGACTGCCAGTAACGTTTGCGACGAAATCTCGATGTCCTCGCAGTTTGTCTGCCAGTTCGCGGTCAATGGCAGCGCGGCCGTCCTCATCGGACGCCATCCCCAAGCGAGCGGCAGTCTGGGCGTTCGGCTGGAGTTTGCAAGGGCGCTACCCAAAGTTTCTCCCGACCACGTCAATCGTCAGGTCTCCTGTCTGATCTCTTGATAATGCCAGAAACAACCACAAATGCCTCCAAACTTGGAGTCTCGGGCTGCACGCGTGGCTGCTTTCCAAGGTCGCAACTCCAAACCGACGTTGTCCCTCCGCCGAACAGCTGAAGTGCGCAGTGTTTCACAGGCAATCACTGACCCTGCCGTCCTTCGCTTTGTATCCTTGTCCAAGCTGCTGCAAGCCTGCGTGCGCCGAGGCGAAGACCATGGACTTTTCAACGCCGCTGAGAATAGTGTGTCCGGGTCTTCCTTGGAGAGGCCATCTACTTGCTAAATACACGCGACCACGTTCCACCACAACAGCTGTGTGGCACAGTACCTGAGACATTCCACCATGCCATGGTGCCACGTTTGTTGAGGCCTGACTACACTATCATCAGCAAGCGGTCTCTGATCACACCTACAGTGAAGAGGTACCGGTACCGGTAGCGTTGCTGCTGCTGCCGGGGTGTAGCAAGCGATGCAGGTAAGCGTACGCGGGAGAAGCTTTAGCACGCGGCGAAGCAAGGAACTCACCCTGGCACGAGACGCTGTGGAGTGCCTAAAGTCCATGATCGGGGATTCTACGCTTTTTGGACCGGTTTGCCATGGATGAGAGAAGGCCGCTACAGACGCCTCTTTACCACTCACGCGTGGTTGTGTGGAGGTGAGAGGACCAGCACGGTATCGTCGGCGCTTCACCGTCTCCTATCGATGGTCTCAACTTGTGTCAGTCCCGTATGTCGGCCACCACGGAAGCTCCTGAGCCGGCCACAATAGACTCTGGCCTCTGATTCAGCAGCACGTTCACTGGGCACTCTCGCATGGGGAGTGGGGTGAGAAGAAGCCGCGTTTCGTCGTGAATTTAATGCTATCCTCCCGCCTCTGGTGCTCATCACAGCTTTAACAAATTCACCTGCAGAACGAGATGCCACAGGAAGCCGACATGGCATGCCGTGTCTAGCCAGACCACGTGTGTTTTCCGCGATCATTGCCCACTCCAACAGCAAACAGAACCATCTCGCCAGATATCGCTTAGGTCACATTCGCCATCCCCAACAAACACAGCAATTGCAACAATTGAACCGAGCAATCAGAACATCCACCTCGTCCCAGCAGACTGGATTGCTGACAGCGCTCGACTTCCTCCAGCTGCACGCCGCTTGAAACGACAGCACGGTTCCCCAGACTCAAGACGCCTATACCGAGCATTACCGCCACGATGGCCCCTTCGACGCTGCTCCTAGTATTTGCATTCCTTACTATCTACACCGTCGTACGAAGCATTCGCCGCTACTATGCACTCAAGGCTTTCGGAGGCCACTGGTCTGCAGGCTGGTCTCGCCTGTGGCTGCTCAAGACCCAGAGCAGCGGACACATGAACAAGACCTTCACAGAGATTAACCGCAAGTACGGTGAGTGCAAGCATTTCTCTCCCTCATCAGCTCGCTTGGCTTGGGGTTGGAGTCACCTTCGTCCAAGATCCGATTCGTCGATCAAGTGGTACAAAATGCGTGCTCCCGTATGACGAGCAGGAAGCATTGATATTTTCCATCACTATCTCTCCAATGACACTTGATTGTCTCGGCTTCTGCCCATCAACAAAATGCTGCCCAACAACATGCTGTTTCAGATGCGAGACTACCAGCGCAATGGCTCACTAGTTGTACAGGACCAACGGCCCGGATTGCGCCTGGTATGCTGATCACTTCGGATCCGGAACTCATGCGGCGGATGAATGCTGTTCGGTCGCCTTTCACTCGAGGACCTTGGTATGCGGCGCTCAAACTCCATCCTGAGCGGGAGAACATCACCTCGTACATTGACGAGCGCAAGCATGCCGACATTCGTGGCCGCATGGCGCCTGGCTATTCAGGCAAGGAGAACCCTCACCTCGAACAGGATGTCGATGAGAAGTTGCTCCAGATGCACAGCCTGGTCCAAGAACGCTATCTCAATCGGCCTGATGAAGGTGTCTTCAGGATCATCGATCTCGCCCGCGTGACCTCATACTTCACCCTCGATGTCATCTCCAAGATCGCCTTTGGACAGACCTTTGGCTTTCTCGACAACGATGAAGATCCTTTCGGATATATCGAGAACCTCGCCACTTTCTTGCCGGCCATCATAGTCTTTGGCGTGTATACCGAATTGACTAACATTCTTCGGATACCTTTGCTAAAGTATGCTCTGCCCAAGTCCACTGACAAGCGAGGTCTCGGGCGTGTAATGGGCTTCGCAGCTGATCGAGTTCGAGAACGCTTCGGCACCAAGCCAGTCGTAAGAAGAGACATGCTAGGCGCCTTCATCAACAAGGGCCTCACCCAAGGCGAACTCGAAAGCGAGACCCTAACACAAATCACCGCCGGATCAGACAGCACAGCCTCCTCCCTCCGCCTAACCCTCCACTTCATCTCCACCAGCCCCCCAATCCTCGAACGACTCCTCGCCGAAGCCAAAGCCGCCATCGAAACCGGCCGCATCACCCGCCCCATCATCAAAGACTCCGAAGCCCGCCAACTCCCCTACCTCCAAGCCTGCATCAAAGAAGGCCTCCGCATGTACCCGCCCGTCACCGGCCTCCTCGCCAAACGGGTCCCGGACGGCGGCGCCATGATCGAAGTCAACGGCGTCGAGAAATTCGCGCCAGCAGGCACGCAAATCGGCTGGAACAGCTGGGGCATGATGCGGCACGAGAGCATCTTCGGTCCGGACGTCGAAATCTACCGCCCGGAGCGCTGGCTGCCGCGAGATGCGAGCGAGAAGGAACGCGACCGCATCACGCGCATGACGGAGACGGTGTCGTTGTGTTTCGGGTATGGGCGTTTCGGATGTCTGGGACGCGGTGTTGCGACGATGGAGTTGAACAAAGCAATTCTTGAGGTACGTTTCGCAAAAGCAAGCAAGAAGGCTTCCCACGCTGTTGGGTTCTTGGTTGTGACACCTTCTGTTTTGAGGCAATACACTTTTGCTAGGAGACTGACATTGTGTGTCACAGACGTTACTGCGCTTCAACCTCCAACCCTGCAGCCTTGCGAAGCCGTTTGATGAGATGGTCGTGGGGTTTTACGTGCATGAGAACATGAATTTTGTGGTGAGTGAGAGGAAGGAGGAGGTGGGGGCGGTGGTGAATGCTGGAATAGCCATTGATGCTGGTGCGATTGCTGGGGCTTATGAGGAGTAAAGATGACAGGATGGATGAGAGACAAGGTTGGATGTGGTGCTGTCTTCTTCCTCTCTTTCGGCATGGCGTTGGAGGGTAGCGATTGGAAATGGTTAATGTCGGATTCTTTGGATATTGCGAATACCCCGAGAATGACAGTTTGAGTATGGGAAGGCCTCGCAATCCATGAATCGCCGTCTTATGCTCTATCGATCGATCGATGCTCTATCTTCTAACAGTCTATCTCTACCGAGATCTATCCATCTAGAATGTGTATCATCCAAAACCAATTCCGCAATCCAAAACCTATTACAACCTCGCCCTCACAGCCTCATTCTCCTTCCTCAACTTCTCCGCCTCCCCAAACCGATCACTCTCCCCCTCCCGCCCCGGCACGCCACTTTTCTTCGGCGCACTAACATACCCGCCCTTCAAATTATCCGTATTCACCACCTCCCCCTTCTCCCCCCTCCGAATCCCCAACTCCATCAACTTCCCAAAAACCCTCGCGAAATCCCCAAAAAACCTCTCCTTATCCCGCGCGTACACCTCCACCCACGGCCGGAACGACTTATCCGAGATTAAAGCGAGGTCCGTCGGCAGCATCATGAGTTCTTCTTCGGCGTCCTCGTCGTAGTAGACGTACTGCCGCACGCCGTTATCGAGGACTTTCTCGCGCCATTCCCGCTCGAGCATGAGTTTGAAATACGTATTCGAGAATCTTGTAGGATTATTCACCCACGCCCCGTCGAAGCCCGAGCGGTCCGCGTGGCAGCGGCCGAGGTTGTGCGCGCCGGACAGGGCGACGATTTCCTGGTCGTTGAAGCCCATGCGGTAGAAGATGGCACGGAGGTGGTCGTTGCCCAGCGCCGCGTCGGGGAGCCGTCCGCGCGGCGGCAGTTTGCTGTCGTCGACGTAGTCGGTCCTGCCGGGCCACCACGCGATATCCGGCCCGCCCATCTGCTTGATCGCCTCGACGCCCGCGAGCGTCCAGAGGTCGGAGTATGTGATCCAGGGGTGGGCGGCTTTGACGGGCTCGAGGAAGACGCGGGCGTGTTGGAGGCCGGCGTTGGCCGGGTCGCCGCCTTCTGCTTCGTAGCGCATGCCTGCGCCATTGCTGCCGCCGGTGTCTGTGGAGGCGTCGTAGGTGCCTGCGCTGTGCCAGGCGAGGCGGACGAGGACAGGGCCGGCGGAACCGTCGTCGTATTCGGGCTGTTTGAGGAGGGAGGCGATGGCGCGGCGGACGCTGGCGTAGTCGCGTATGGTGGAGGACATCGTGGCGTTTATGCGTGTGTGTAGAGGAAGGAGAGGGAGACAGGGGAATGAGATAGTCCCTACCTTAGAGAAAGGATATCTTTCACGTCCACGCTCTCCGTTGCATGGCTCGCCATCGCGAACAATTGTTTGGCGATAGCCGAACCTCGGTTTCCCGGCTTATCTCACAGAAGGCATCATCGGAGAGGCCATCATCGTCGCCGATAAGGCGTCAGAGGCAGTGAAAGTGGATCTGGAAGTTTTCTGCCGAGAAAACGTCGAGCGTGTGAGGTCGAGGAAATTTGCTCTGACCAGGAACGGGGATGGCGTGGGCGAAAGCCACCATATCACAAGGGTTTGAGCGTTCTCCACGAGGAATCCATGGAGCTCTCGACTCTGAATTTTGTGGACAGCGTACAAGCCACGGTGACCTCCAGCCCTTCGAAGGCGACGAGCCGACGTCGGCAGCCTCGGACAGATCCGGGACGCGATCTGGGATCTCTGGCGTGAAGTCATTCACTTCTTCTCGCGCTCTTTTTGACATGTGACAGTCAGATCTTGCCTCGGATACGTGGCGGACTCGCCAATGGGAGAGGCTGATATGGATCGCAAGCTTGTTCGAATCCGGTGGCAAAGCAGCGAGCACGTATGATGAAGTATTCGACTTCCGCGACTGCTACTGTTTCGATCCCACGGAGCAATCATGCTTTGCATAGAGTGGACTGTTCTGTTCTGCGCGTATCCTTGTGAACTTCAACTCGGACAGCTGCTTCGCAAGATGCTTTGAGTCTGTCGGCGCTTGACCTGATGCATGCTTTGCTCCGTGAGATACTTCAGCCAGTCCTGGTCTGCCGCTCTCGTACGTAGCCTGATTTCTGACCAGTCCTCTCATATCCCATTATCGATTCTCGACCGGACCGCACATCGTCGAATATGCAGGTTCTCACAGCCAGCCTCCACTCCAAGCCCACGACACTAGGAAGAACTGCTGAACGTACCCACCTCTCTTCTGAAACGCATCCAGTAATGGACATACCAAAAAATCTTGATTCCGAAATCATCGATAGCGACAAGTCCAAGCATACCTCCCCTCTAGTCAATCAGTCAATCCCAACCTGATCCCACCCTTTGACTCTCAACCCCTTATTCTTCGGTAGCTCAATAACATTGCTCAACCTCCCGCTCCTTCCAGATCCCTGGTACGGCACCGCCAGACCATCCTTGTTCCGAACAGGCTTACTATGCTTGCGGAGCTTCTTGCGGGCGACCATGACCGGGACTGAGCTCTTCGTCACTAGATAATTGCTGAAGCTTCCCAGCAGGACGCCTTTCATCGCGCTACGACCGCGGGATCCGATGATGACGAGGGTGGGTGAGAGGAAGTCGATGACTTCGGTGATCATGTGGCGGGGAGACTTGCAGTGGAAGACTTCGACAACCACGCGCACTTGTAGTCGTGTCTTTCGCAGAAGTCGGACGCAGCGTTCTGTGATTCCTTCGAGTGCTTTGCGACGTTCGGTCTCCGCTGATGAGTAGACACCTCTGCTCCGACTGCGAAGGTCTTGAGAGGATCCGCCCAAGCTAGATCTCGACAATGGCGAGGGACCAGGTGAGTTGGGTACAGCCTGGTTGATGACAGGCAGACCCTTAAGAATCCCAGCAGTGTCTTTGACACTTTCCGCACCATGACCAACCTCCACACCACCACCACCGTCTCGCTCGTCACTGGCACCAACAGACTCCTCATCAGCAGCGTAAACAGCAAACAGAGTATCGCCATCACGGAGCACAGTTCCAATAGTCCACTCAAGTGCGTACTCGGCCTCGGGCGACATATCCGTGGCCACAAGATACATCCTCTGTCGTTTCCTACCGTCCTCGGCCTCTCGCTGGAATTGTTCGAAATCGCCACGTATGATCTGGCGGATCACTCTGTGGGCCGAAGGCGTGCTGTGAATAGCCGACATGGCGAGGGACAATTTCTGCGCAGCTCGCAATTCTGATTGCGATTCGTCGTCTGAATGCATGGGAGTAGAAGCACCCGATGGTGCCGCGTCAAACGCAGTGGAAGGATGCACTCGTCGCCTTCCAGTCATGCCCGGGCTTGATATTCTGATTCTCGAGTCTTTAATGAACGAGCGCATGCTCTCGCCTTTTGTCGGATCAGGCTTCTTGGCATCCACAAATTGAGACTCCTTTTCTGAATCATCGCTGTCGTCTTCACGCACGTTGACAGCCTTTCCAGATGTAGTACGGCCCGGCTCAGGTCGTTTCCTACCCCGACCTCGCTGGTTCTCGTCTGCATCAGTGTCATTGTCGTTATCCGCATCGGCGTCGTCATCGCTGTCATGATGCTCAGGCTCAGGATCCTGAAGCAGTCTAACACCCCCATCATCGCTCGCATGTCTGGTATGATGGGATGAAGGCGCAGGGCTGCTATTGACACTTCCGGGTACTGGGGACTTCGGCCGACGAGGATCATTCGGCCCAAGGTCTCCAGGAAGTCGTTCAGGTGCAGGAGACTTTGGCCTTCTGGGATCCCTCGCGCCCAGATCTCCAGGCAGTCTGATTTTGCTACCCCCATACACCGAAGCCATCGCGCTTGGTCGTCGTCGATGCTCGGGTATTGGATTCCCTAGTCGGTCAAATTTGCCCCGAGATGAGTAGTAGTCCTCGTTTGGTGATTTCCGTCCCTCTGGAGGCGATACAGGTGGTGAGACCGGAGGCGAAGCCGCAGGAGATAGATTTGGCGATGAAGCCATAGTGGTCGCACTGTTTGGCGTGGCTGTCGTTGTTGAAGTTGTCCCTTCAGTTGCCGCGGAGGAAGGTTCGTCGGCGGAGACGGCGGTGTCGCTTTTTGCCTTCTCGTCCACTAGCACCTTGACCGGCGGCACGGCTGTATCTTGCGACATGGCGTTGTCTCGAGGCCGACTGATGGATGTCTAGTTCGTCGCGTGCTCGAATCAATGGCTGGACTGTGTTCGATGGACGCCGCTTGGGGATTCAGGTACGCGATTACGTAGTCTTCCTTGGAGACGCTCGGCCGGAAGAGCGAGGTTGTGTAGAGCGATTCTAGTCGGGACAACTTAGCCAAAATCTGCAAAGAATGATAGTATCTGGTTGTTTTCGAGATCACGAGACATGGGAGTACAGTGTTGAACCTTTGGAAGAGGTGCAAGTAGCTATGTAGCTGTGGTGGTCGCTGTTTGGAGGGGAAGGAAGGAAGACGGCGAGCGTGGGAGCCGACCCGCCCGAGAAGTCCGTGCACGCCATGTGACCTTGGACTTCACATGGAAAAAGAGAACACTAGCAAATCAACGAAACTCGAAATCTCCATTTATATGTGACTAACTCCCACGATCGAAGTGACCACAAAGATTCTCAGCATCGACTTGATCAATTAGCCGAAGCACATCGATCCGGATTCCCATCAACATTGTTCCCCCAATATTTCGCTGCGAAGAAAACATTGAAGTCAGCCAAAGCACACATTATACAAGGAATAGAGAGATGTAAGTACTCACGAAACTGCACCGCCGCCCCAGCCGCGCCCAGCACCGCAAACGACAGTATAAAAACCATAACCGAGGACCCGCCATCCAGCGCCGCCGAAATAAGGTAATTGTACTTGACGAAAACATTCGGATACCTCCTCCGGATATATCCCTGAGAGATGAAGCCAATGATGAAGAACATGAATATGGACGAATTGACGCCTACGTTGAGGTAGCAGAGGTAGAAGAGCGTAACGGACGTGTTGATGTTGTCCAGCCCTAGATTCGGCCAGCGGCGGTGGGCGAGCCAGAGTGGGAGGGGCACGAAGAGGCCTGGGATCATGACGAGGGTCACCCATTCGTACTGGGCGCCGACGCTGAAGAGTTGGCGGGAGAGCCCGCCCCGGGCGACGGCTTGGGAGTTGAATTGTTGCAGGTTGGCGCCGGACCAGATGTTGGTTCCTTCGACGCTGAGGAGGATTGTTGCTTGGTTCTTGATGACGTCGTTGGCGATGATGTAGTTGAAGAGCGCGCCGAGGAGGGTGTCCCACATTTGGACGAAGAAGGTCACTCGGGGGGCGAGATGGCCGTACTGTGCGAGTTTGAGATCTTGCGCGAGGAGTTTACCCTGGACGAGGGCGTTGTAGGCGTAGAGGGAGAAGTACATGTTAGCGACGGGGTATCCAGGGTGAATGTATCCGCCAATCATCTGTACGCGAGATTGACTGGTAAAGGGAACGCCGGTGATCGCTTGCATGGCTCCCAGGACGGCAATCAGGACGTATCCCAGCATGGCCGCGATGACGAATCCCCACCACGGTAGTGTCGTGTCAGTCTTGTAAATGAGGACGAGCGCGATGACTGCCGACAACAGCAGGACGATGCCGTACCACCAATCGGGACAAGGAGCATATTCAAGCATCAAGCGGTAATGCGGATCGTAGTTGTCTCGCATCTCATCTGGTTTTCCTCGATTTGCGAAGGCACGGCGAATGGCAGCCGGCAGACGGTTGATATGGCGAAGTTTGAGCAGATTCCGTGGGTCGAGAAACGCGAATGCCTCCCATGCCTCGCGAGGATACCACAGGAACAAGTGCACAATAGCAGCCGCCATGGACATGCTGGATCACATTAGCGGACCTTCCTTTCGCTCTTCCACCTGAAAATCTTACTTCGTCAACATCATATTCAACGCATTCGTCGCCGAAAACGCCGGCAGCCCAAGCTGCGCCACCGCCCCCATATCAATCTTCGAATCCGCGCCAATCGCCAACGTCTGATTCCACTGCACCGGATTCCCCGCGGTCGAAGAATTCGAAAACACAAGCTGCGACAGGAAAGGATAATCCAACGCATTCCAGACATTCGAATAATACACGCCAGCGAAGAGGATGATACACCCCGTGATTCCGATCCCCTGGCTGATCAGACTGCTGATGGGGAAGTAGAGCGGCGAGGTCGGCGCGGTGATTTGCTGCCAGTCGAAGCAGAGGGAGAGGAGGCCGAGGCCCTCGTTGCCGGCGGCTCCACCGAAGATGTGTGTAAAGACAGTGCTGTTCTGGTCCGCGAGGCAGAAGATGCTAACGCCGGTGAGGATGGTGCAGATCCACTGCGGGAAGATCTCCCAGACGAAGATGGCGGCGAAGACGTAGAGGAAGATGCGGAGGGGCTTGCGGTTGGAGTGGTCTTCGGAGCGCGAGTGCAGGTTCTCCAGCATGGAGTTGATGGGGATGTTGGCGGGCCAGAGCATGGCTTTGGGGTAGAGCATGGTGCGACGCATCAGGCCTGCGATGCCGTAGCCTAGGTATTGCGAGGAGAGGAGCAGGAAGATGCTCACGGCGGCGGAGAGCTCGTTGTTGTAGTACAGTCGCTCCACGGATATGACCTGGATTCCTAGTGCCGACACGGCCGATGCGCTGGCCATGATGGTGATGGCGAGATGTTCCTTGATGTTGAATGCATGCGGGTTCAGCAATCTTCCTATTCTTCCACGACGGGGGATGAAGAGCGACATAGCTTCGCCGAGCAGGTACGCCAGAACAGCGAGGAAGACGGGGGATAGCGAGATCTCTTGGGGCTTGAAGTAATAGATGGCCGAGAGGACGCCGCCGAAGATGGACAGGCCGGTACCCAGGAACATAGACCGGAACGTTATGGCGGGCATCGAAGGGTCGTCGGAGACGTGGATTGTTCGAGTGAGCACATCTGAATTCTGGGCTGGGCGGTGGAGGTTGTTGATCTCGCCTTTGTCGAAGTCATCGTCTTCTTCATCGTCGGCGTTGTAGATGAATGTTTCGTCTGCGATCTTGCTCGGAGTGGTCTTGGAGTCGGTGGGTACTTCTTGTTGAGAAAAGGTAGGCTTGTCGTTGGACGGTCTTGCAGGCGTGCTCTCTTCCTGTGCGACTATATCGGCCATGTTGATGGCTTCATCCGAAGCCGCAGCGTTCTCGGGCATTGTCGTCGGCCTCCCCTCACACAATAGTGACCAAGCAACAATACCGGCGAGCTACCAACGACTAAAGCAGTCAACAAAGTCCACCCACGAACCTCAAACAACGACAAAACGCCCACCTCTCGTCTTCAACGGACCTATATCACACTTCTTAATCACATCAATTATGCATCCACACCCATTGTTATCCTGCGGCTACATATCAAGCTCAAACAGCCATGTGGCCGTCAGGCCGACCACTGGCTCCAGCTCTCGCCTCGTACAGACGACGCCAAGGATCCATAGCCTTTACTGGAGGGGTCGCGAACCTTTCCAGGTTGTGCCACATGCAGGTGTGAAAGCCAATTCGTGTTTCTCCTCATCGATAATGCTTATTAGGCATGCTTGTTTTCGTGAAGCCATGCTAATGATGGCAATGAGGGAGGGACGGAATGTTGTCATGAAATTGGACAAGGCTGCTCGTTGCAGCAACCTCGTCCGTCCCAGCCACCTCAGTTGCTTCGGCGCTAGAAACCCACGAGCGCCATATCGGTTACATTCGGCGGAGAAAGAGCTGACGCGCAAGACGTGCTGCAAGCTAGAGCCAAACGTAGTATCTCACGGCTATCCGGCCCCGTGGGTGTCGAGTTGACATTCATCACCAGCCAAGCTCTTGTTGGTGAAAATGCTGCAAGGCAATACCCGCCAACAACTCATCCATTCCGGCGATAGTTGCGAGTCCCTCCTCACAACCCAACCCACTCACATTCACTCATCATCGAGATAATCATTCTCCTCCAACCAGTCCCTCACAACCTCCCCATCCCTCTCCCGATACGCAGCATTAATCCCAATCCGCTCCAGCGCAATCGCCAGTCCACGAGTATACCCCGTCGTATCCTTCCCCGTGAAGAAAGCCTCAACCTCCTCACGACGCTCCCGGGTTGTAAACGTCTGCAGCGTACTCCGAATCAAAGGCTCCATGACCGCCGAGGAGCCACCCAGTCGTTCGAGGATCGAGGTCCAGTGCTCGCGCATGAAGACCCAGACGGTCTCGCGGGCGGCGGGATTCTTCGCGAGTTCTGTCATGAGGTCGCTGGTGTCGGAACTTGTCATTCCACCCTGCAAGGCCCAGGTCAGACATTTGTGGGTGAGCTCGGGTGTCTGGACGACGCTCATGGCTTCGACGATGATTTCGCGGGTGTCTGGAGCATTGCTGTTGGTGTACGCCTCTCGGAGACTGTCGAAGGCTTCCAGTTCCCGGTAGAGCATGGCGATGCTGAAGACGCTGCCACGGAGTGAGGGATGGATCACGCTGGTGTCTTTTGTCTTTCGAAACTCGTCCCAAAGTTTGAGAGCTTCTTCGACAGTCTCTTCGTGTCCTGCCAGACCCGCTGCTGACAAGACCAGAGCTCGTAACTTAATCGTGACGTGATCATCAGTCGCTTGTACTGTCCACCCCAAGTCTAACGCTGCCTGACCAAAGATGTCTTGTGTGAAGTCATCAAGAGCGTCAGAAATGTCCTCGTCATCCGAGAAGATGGACTGAACTCGATCGAGACAGAACCATGTGATGTCCAGGACCGGATATGAAGGCTTTGCCGTCATCGAGCTAGAAATCACGGATAATACCTCTGCTGTTGTATTTGATCCACGGCCACTCATGGCTAGAGTTGCAACATCGGTGAGAAGTCCTATCTGGTCCTCTATTGATGATGTCGAGATATTGTCGCAGAGTCGTTCAAACTCTTCCGCGGGCACTTGAGTCAGGTAGAAACCTATCTGGCCCGCGTTCAGTCGATAAGAAGAGTCTGAATTAACATCCTCGATGACAGTATCCCGATCCGTCAGGTCGACTTGTCGTATCCCCTCTCGAGTCGGTACTTGCATTGGCACGTTCCATAAGGTAGTCGACTCGTCTGGCTTCGGCTCGCCCGCGAGGAGGAAGCGCTCTTGTCTCACGTGGATCTGGTTGTCGGTCGTTCTCGAGACCGTGACAACTGGAAATCCCACGTCTTCAATCCATGAAGTCATGACGGATACCACTTTCTGACCAGACGCCTTCTCAAGTGCTTCCCACAACGCCACGGCAGTAGCATTGCCATATGCGTTGGTTTTCAAGTACTCTGATACGCCTTTCAGAAACGCTGGCAGACCGAGCCTCGCGGCAAGCATGCGTATGACCGACGCACTCTTCAGGTAAGAGATGGAGTCGAATATCGAATCAACCTCGCGACCGTCCGGAATAGGGACCCGGATAGGATGGCTTGAGCGGAGCCCATCGAGATCGAAAGCGGTCCGCATGTCGTCTGCGGCGAACGTAGCCCAGACTTTCCAGTCGGGATGCAGATGATCACAGGCAGACCAGCCAGCCCAAGTAGCGAAGCCTTCGTTGAGCCAGAGTTCGTCCCACCACTCCATTGTCGTGATGTTGCCGAACCATTGGTGGGCGAGTTCGTGGGCGATGATGTAGGTGATGTAGCTGACGTAGCTTGGATCGGATGTCGTTTCGTTGTATAAGAGGGCCGTCGGTCGAAACGTGACTAGGCCCCAGTTCTCCATCGCATCATCGGACTGATGTCGTTAGCCGTCATCAAGGCTAGACTCATTGCAACGACAATAGATGATACTCACCATCTCATGAACGGCGATCAGATCCAGCTTAGGCAGAGGATATTCAATATCGAACATCTAACCGGTCAGCACCATTCATCTCCCCACAAAACTGAAAGGAACGTACCTCAGAAAAATATTCAACAACATCACACGCCACCTGCAAGCCTCGCCTCCCATGCTGGCTAAGGCCCTGGGTCGTATAGACCCGAATCGGCAACGGCTCCAAGCTACGCTTGCGCGTCAGGCTCTGCTCAACAAACTCGAAAAGCCCAACCGCCCACGACAGAAGATAAGTGCTCATCCGCGGACTCCGCTCAAACGTCACAATCGTCCGCTCATCGATATCCGACGGCCTCGACGTCTTCACTGGCATATTGCTCAACGCGGTCATATTCGAAGGCACTTCAAGCTGCAAGTCGAACGTCGCTTTTGAGGCGGGCTCGTCGAAACATGGGAACGCTCGGCGAGCTTCGGAGGGTTCGAATTGGGTGCTGAACATGTGCGTGGCCACCCCACTCGGTGCCGTATACTGGGATCGATAAAAGCCCGCCATGTATTCGTTCGCACAGCCTTCGAACCAGATAGCAAGCGTGACGTTTCGAACCGAAGGCTGCAGCTCGACGCCGAAGCGGATGGAGCAACGTTGGTGTTCGACATCGAGCGAGATGTCGGAACTGCTATGGACCAGTGGCCCTGGATCGGAAGAGTTTTGCACGGTGACCTGAGCTCGATGTATCTTCAATTCGTGGCTGTTGAGGATTATGGTATGGGTCGCTCGTCTGACCTGGAGGACAATCTCCACGTGGCCGGAGTAAGTCCATGGCGCTTCGATGCGTAGGTCGGATAATGTGAGTGAGTAGTGCTCTGGCTTCACGCTGTCATTTCGGTCAGCAAGGTACCATAAACTGTGCGGTCCTCAAACGCAAGCATACTCATCAGGCAACAGATCACGCATTCCAGACATCTCCAATTCTGTCATGAAGATTCACGTCCTCTGGTCAACCGTCAACGTCTACAAGTCAGTGCGGTCCAGAATTACCACAAAGGGACACATGCATACAGTGCACCACCACGAAGAGAGCTGTGGCTATGCTCCTTTACGAGTGGGTCTCCCAAAAAAGCCGCTTGAAAGCGAACAAGCTCAAACTGGCGTCCACCAAAACTCCCAATTCAATCGATAGCTCTCGCAGACGCGGCGATTGGTGGGCTCTGATGAGCACAGCACAGCACAGCATCTCATGTTCTGTTGCTCAGTTGAATCTTCCAAGGTACTGGTCTTTCGCGGATGGTGTCTCCTTCTCGGCTTGAGCACCGAACTGCGTCAATATCGCAGCTGTCGACATCGTGGCTCGTCTACTCGATGACAGCGAAAGTCTGATCAAAGTTCACAGAGCTCGAGGTGGGAGGAGGGTCAAGAGCGGTGAGCGATGTTGATGGAGAAGATGGAGCAAACAGCGATGGAAAGCGTGAGACATCTCCTGCTTTTCCAGCACAGACTTCCGCACTGACCGCTCGCCGAATCCACGTGAAGAGGTCGAATACTTGGCGAGGTACAAAGAACACATCTTGAGGAAGCGTTGGATTTGAATAATGCCGTTTCAATTCTTCAGACTCATCTGTGCTGGCATGATTTCATTCCATATACACCGTAGATGGCATTCATCGTATTCCATGTCTTGCCGTCGGACTTCGTCTCACACACTCATGCTATCTACAAGGCCCAAAACCTTCCCTCTCAGAATAGCGTATGCAGGTATGTGGTCGGATCATGTCTTCATCAGACGACATCAAGAGGGGAAAAGATGAGTGTTCCCTTGTCCCCAAAATTTGATCAACTCCGCATCGCAGTGTGTGGTATCTCTCATCACATTGACTGGATCATTTTTCCCGTCACATCAACACCTCATAAGATGCAAAAAGTCCATCAAGATCACACACAATCGTAGCTTGCTCATTCCAAATGTTGAGCCAAGAAGTGAAAATACTTCAATCCCATTTTAAACGCAAGGAAACTGCTTCTCGTTCTCGTGCTTTCGTTCAAAAATCTTCTCAGTCGGCCGTTAAAATGCGTTCAAGACTTGGCGGGCATGAATTTCATGGCCCATCGTTCGTGCGTATTGTCGTCGAAAATCGTGATACGAGAGCCAGCCGTGATCGAGTCGTGTGTTCTAATTCGCTCGAATGACAAGCTTGCTCAAGAATTTGTTGCTTAGACAATCGAAATCGTCGCGGGTGAACTTTGCGTTCTGTCGCTCCTTCAAGTATTTTTCTGCCACAATATCAGTACATGCGGTGAAACGAAAAGATGATGTGGACTCACCATATTTGTTGACGTGACCCTTGACCTCAGTCAAAGCGTCACAAACAGCAGGGTTGGATCCCAAGAGTTGGTGATGCTTCTTGGTGTCCCAGTCTTGCAGACCAGGCAGCTTCGTCGAGATGGCTTGGAAGAGGCCAACAATGACGCCAACTGGAGTTGACTCCATGTCATCGCAGAACTTGTTCACTGCCTGCTCATCGGGCACACGGTAGTAGCAGTCGAACTGCATCTCCTCCCAGATGGCCAACAGGATGGCAGCGAGCATGAAAATGGTTGGCCAGTTCTTGAGCTTCTCACCGGAATAGACTGACGAGTAGAGCGCCGACAGCTCCTCCAAGATGTCCTTTTGCAACTCACGCCACATGTCGGCCAAAGCGCACTTGATCTGAAAGTTGATCATGACTGGTGCGACGGTCTTCCCACTGAACTTTGACCTGTCATCGTAGATGCGGCCCTGGAACTGTTCTTCCTCTGAAAGACCCTCAACCATAGTGACATGTGTGGTCAGGTTGTAAGCAAGGACCAACTTGAGGCCTTTTCGTATTGAAGGGGTCTTCTCCTTGACGTAGTACCGGTAGGCAGTCTTGAGGATCTCAGTCAAGAACTTGGTGCCCTCGAAGAATTCATCAACGAAAGACTCGAAGCCTTGGTCGAGATGTCGGTCGAGGTACTCGGACAGCAATGTGGTGCTGACACCCTCCATGCCGGCCGACAGTTTGGCAGTGTTGATTTCAAAATCCTCGGGGTCCTCACTGCGGGTAGTCTCCGTCCAGTCCATGCCGAAGCACTTGTCATCTCTGACAAACACTTCACGCGCGTTGATGGGCAGGTAGTGGCCGTAACCATGAGTGATGTAGAGCGTGCGTTCGAGAGTGCTGAAGCCCTTGATGTTGCCAACGCTAAAGCCAAGACTGACATGACGCTCGTAATCGGCCTTCCAATCCTTCATGAAGTAGGCAATATCCTTGATGTCCATGCGCGTGCACGGTACCTGCCACAGTCGCGCATGACTCGGTCGACAACCACCGCACGGTTCACCCTTATCGCAAGTCTTCTTCAAGAACTTGCATCGCAGGCAGGCACGGAGTTTTCGGATCTCGTGCGCTTGCTGGCGCTGGTCTGGTCGTAGTGGTCCCTTTCTCCGCCCGACCTTCTTCTCGGCGACGGTATCCTTGCGTGTGCTGTGTGGGGTCTTCTTGATCACAGCCTTGGTCGTTTTCCCCTCTAGGGGAGACTTGCGACGACGAAGGGGCGGTGATGTGGGACCCGACGAGGTGGGCGACGTTGACGATGAGCCAGTGGAGCGATATGAAGGAGCGACGCCACTGGGAGGGCTGACAGCTAACGATGACGACGGCGAGGTGTGTTGCTGTGTGTGCATGGGAAGGCCATGAGCATGTTGGAAGTACTGCGCATCGAGGTAGTCTTGGCCGTGAAGGTCGTGTGGCGAACTGAGTGGCCATGGGGCAATCTCCTCGTAACTACTTGATAGGTCGGCGGAGTTGGGTCCTTCTGACGATGATGAATCGGAGTTGGTTCGAATGTGCAAGTTCTGGCTCGGGTTGGAGACGGTACCGACAGAGTCGAAGGATTGGCGGTGTGGGTTGAAGTTGACGATTGACCATGAACCTTCGTTATCTGATAACGATTGGACCTCGAGAACGGTGCCGGTGGGCGAGCTACCGGGCATACTCGAGTTCACCGACTCGGCGGACTGCTGGTTGAATGCGTGGGTGTTGACGCCCATGGGGAAGGTCATGTCGTTTTGGTAGTCGTTGAGCGGGTAGACCAAGGCGTTCATCGACTCCATCGGTCCCGCCATGGTCATGAAGTTGGCAGCGTGCATGCCTGCGGTGACGGCGTAGTTGTCGGCAGTCGACGCTGGCATGAAGTCGACCGGCGACGATTGTAGTTGTCCCCCAAACGACGAGGCGGTGAACGCATTCATGTTCATCGCCCTGGTGTCCTGCATGCTGAATTGCTGCTGCTGTTGAGCCGCCTGTTGCAGCTGGTATTGCCATTCGTTCGAGAGCATGGTGTAGTCGAGACCAAGACCGCTCGTCTGAAGATTGATTGGCTGGTTGCCATGGTTGCTATTCGGGCGACTCTGCTGTTGCGGCGGGGAGGGCTGGTGACTCGACGGCGGCGCCATGTAAGTTTGCGAGGGCTGGTGGTGGTTTTGCTGCGGTTGTTGGTGGTGGTGATGTTGCTGCTGCTGGGGCTGCTGATGCTGCCACTTTGCCTCGTGATCCATGGGGTCCAGAGGCAGCGGGTGCCAGTGCGATTGAGGATTGGGATGGATAAACGGCGGATATGAATTTGACCGCGGGTCCTGTTGAGGTTGGTGCTGGTGCTGGTGCTGATGGACAGGGCCGAAGTCGAACAGGCCGTCTGGCGTGGTGAAGTGGGCGAAGTCGTCCATGATTAGGTGACGCGGTGAGGAATTGGGCGGATGATGCTGGGCGCTGGCGCTGTCGCAGCGACGGGCGAGCGAAGAGTGCGCGGTGGGCGAGGTTTCTTCACCGCCGTGGATGAAGTTGGGATGGCAGCAGCGACGGCGTCGACGGGAAGCCGTGCCGCAGCGCTACCTTTGCGCGAGCGTCGACGAAGAGGACGAGGCTCGCGGGCGCGCTGCCCTGCTGCTGCTCTGCTCTGCGCTGCGCTGCCGGGCAGAAGAGCGGTGAGTGGGCGATTCGATCATGCAGTTGTACCACTCCACTCGCATGCACCACGCCCGCCGCTGGCCAATTGTTGCCCGCCAAACCCCGAGCACCGCGCTGACCCGCAGGTCCATCCATGCGATCAGTGCGCTAGTCGCACGCCTCGCTGGCCGTCCGGCAGCAGCAGCACCTCACCATCCTGACAGGAAATAAGCCTGAATGCATCGCGATATACATATACATAGACGTGCCTGTGGTGTGAGGCGAGGAAAGAGCGCCTCGTCGGGCGGGCCTGATTCATTCACTCACGTCTTCCAAACGTCTCGAAAACCGTTGACCGGAGCATGAGCAGGACCCTGGGTGGCGCTTGCCGACGGCGATGAATGCGGGGCATCGGAGCAGCCCCAGCCACAATCTCGACTCTGTTGCGCGATAGCAGCGGTGTGCGACTCTCCCTCCCAGCTTCACCCAACAAAAACCAGCGCGACTCCGCAATAACAACTCTCCTGCCGTCCGCTCCACCACTTCGCAATGCAACCTGCAGGGTCGCTCCTTCTTCACCTCTGCTGTTGAGCGAGTCCCCAATTCCACCTGCCTGAATCGCCCGAGAGACGGCAGTGAGAGCGTGCACCGACTTCACCTCGAACTCCACACGTGCAACCTACCAAGCCCCAATCAATGAATGCCGTGAATCACTCACCACTCCTACCCGCCCGGCTTTGTCTCGCTGTCTCAGACTCACGTTGATGAAGAGGAGAGGACCTGCACGCCATCGTGGTTGCGAGGCGCCTCGTCACGCTCATGCGCAAGCCCTGCCCCTCCTCGAGCCAGACATTCACCACCAGCCAACACTTGAAACACGTCCCAAGGTACGTACGGCAGCGGCTCTCCACGTGATGCATCTTCTCGTCCCCGTATCGCTGTCCACCAACATGCACGACACGCCGTGCCTTGCTTGAAGCAGCATGCGGCAGTGAAGTGAGAAGAAACCACCCGCCGTGTTGTTGTACCACTCCAAGCCGTCTGACCGGTTTACCCGACGAAGTTCCCTATCCGTCTCGTGTTATTGTTGCGCAGCATATCAATTCTCCATCGACACTCACACCACAATACCACCTCATCAGCACCAACACGCGCGTGCGGTGTGGCACGCCTGACTGACAGACTGACGGTGAGACGGGAACTCGCATCGCCTCATCAGCCGCCCACCCAAAAAGTCCAGACCATTATTCCCGTGCAACACTCGCTAAAGGAATGCTGATGCTGAACAATCATCATCACCCAGAAATACACATGTACCCACGCCAAAAGTACCCGATCTCATCATCGCCATCAAACGCAGGGCCCTGTCGCAGCAACAAGCACAAGCAAACAAAAAAATATGTACCAAGCACCGTGTCCATGTCTAGATGCAACGAATCGAGTGCCCATGCAGGACCCTCACGCATCAAGCCTATAACAACACCGCACGTGACTGAACATGACGCCTCCGTGCATCGTCGTAGAGATCTGAACCGAAGCCAGCCGCCTTCGACCCTTCGGAGTCGACTGTTTGCTCCCCGTCCAAGTACGCTTCTCGCGTTGGGATAGCCTGGCTTTGCGTGAAGGCGATCAACGCTGGTCACGATCACGATGAACGCGTGGCGTTTTGTTTTCGATATGTATGTGCTCGTCGGTATCGCATGTGATCTGGGCGTGGGAGAGATAGGATAGGATAGGAATCGCACGTGATGATGGGAGTTTTGGTTCGAGGCGTGCCTTTCGATCGATTGATGCTGCCAAGAAGAAGAATGTTCTACGTAGAGCTTGTCTGTTTGGACATGCACGTGCTGGGTAACTGGCAGGTAGTAGTAGTAGTCGGCCATCAGTATCCTCTTCATTCCGCTCGAAGTCGATCATATCCTACCATCACTCGCGCGCTGTCCAAGCACATCTGAAAGGACATCAAGAGCTTATCAGTCGGATTCTTCAAGAACAGAGAGATGACTCCTCCATCCATTCCATCTCTCAAGCCAAGACGACGAGGGAAACACTACCGCCCAGCGACATGTGTAAATAATGCATCAGTCAGACAGAGTAGTAATCCAGAAGACATTACTTTCACCCTCTATCTCCCAACAACTACACCCCCCAACTATCATCCTATCCTACAACCCAACCCACCTTTCTCACAACCTACCGATCCGGCAATGGCCTCGGATCAATCTCCCTCATCTCCTCCTCACCCCTCTCCCCCAACAACCCCGTCCCCTCCGCCCTCTCCACGCTCTCCCTCCCGGGCGCCGCACTACTCTGCATCTCAATCCCCCCAGCAAGAGACTCCCCCCTCGCATACGCACTCGGCAAAATCCCCCCATTCATCCCATCATGTCCATCCGTCGACCCTTTCAAAAACCAGTCGTCCACCCTCCTCGCTAACCGCGTACTCGGCCCATCGATCAGCTTCTCCGCCCAGTGCGCTACGATCAACGCGACGGGGACGGTGATGGTGAGGAGCATGGCGTAGACGATGGTCGTTTTGATCCAGCTCTCCTCGCTGCCGTCCGTTGGGGCGTCAATCCACTGATGGCGGTTGAAAAGTGGGAAGACGAAGTTCTTGGCCCGCTCGCCGAGGAGATTCAGTGTGATGCGGTGAGTGAGGTAGAGCATGTAGCTGATGCGGCCGAGGTAGCGCATGAAGGAGAATTCGAAGAATCGTTTGATGGAGGGGAGGTGGCAGGCGGCGTAGATGAAGAGGATGCCCGACCAGCACCAGAGCCACCGGCCGCCGCCTTCGATGGCGCGCCAGTTGGGCGGGGTGAGGTGGATGAGCCACTCGTAGCCGGGGCGGTCGTAGTATTCGGAAGCCTCGGGGACGCCCGCGAGGAGGAGGCCGAGCAGGAGCAGGGCGATATAGCCCAGCCTCGCGCGGGTGGTAGTTTTCTCGTTGAGTTTCTCGAACCCGCCGTGTTGGCGCACGTAATTCGCTAGCAACATCCCCGCCGTGAAGAGCCAGTACGTCCACTCTCCGCGCAGACACGCATACGCCACGACGCCGAAAATCACCAGCGTCCTCTTGGCATGATGCCGGAACCTCCCCGTCGCGAGCAGGATCAGGAAAATCAACAGCGACCCGGCGAATTCGTACGGGATGGTCCACATGGTCCAGTCGTAACCGTGCAGACTCGAATACTTGTTCCGATCGATCATGAACGGGTTCGCAAACTTCTCCGAATCGACCAGCCAATCCCAGATTTGCAGGAAGATGTTGCTCTTCTGATCCCTCCCGCCGATGTACCGCAGGCCGAAGTACAGCTCGAAACACTCCCACAGCGAGATGGCGAAGCAGGGTAAATACAATCGTATCCAGCGACGGAAGACCGCAGACCCAAGCCCTTGCATGACTTTCTCATTGCGTCCCGCGCGGATATTCCCCAGCGGTCCCCAACTGAGCACGAACCCAGAGAGCACAAAGAACACACTAACCTGTGCATGGCCCGCCGTCATGGGCACTCGAATAATGGGTAACCGCCAGATCGCCTCATAAATCGTCGTCGTGCCAAACTCCCGGAACTGATACGTATCCAGCGCGCCATAGGGAGCCTCCACCGCGGGCGGGAACCAGAACGCCAGATTGTAATGATAGATCATGACCAGAAACGCCGCGAGGCCACGCAGGCCATCGAGCCAGGCCGTTTCGCGGATCGGCGCATCGGGGGCTTCGTGCAGAGGGAATCCTAGGATGTTGCGGAGCGTGAGGCCTTCGCGGAGGGATTTCGAGGTGGGTAGGCTGGGAAGGGGGAGATTCTGCATCAGGTTGGGGAGAGGGGACATGTTGGCATTTTTGTGGCGGTTGTAGTCGGCCGGCGTGGAGATGTGTTCTTCGATGGTCATTGCCTTGGTGACATTGTTGTTCTCTTCTTGGCGCCTGTATATTAGATGAAGGGATGGATAGGTTTTAAAGTGGTACATGTATGTATATTTTACGTGGCTAGGAGATGGAGATCAGGTCTCGTGCCTTCCCGCCCGCAGGAGGATTGCAGGTGCCGAGGCAGCCTAATTAGTGGGAGAGGAGAGGAGATCGTCGCCGTTGAGTGGTAGATTTGGCACAAGCGAAAAGTCTCCTCAGCTGCAGGGCAATTGGACGCGGTTGTTTGGTGGAAAGATTCATTGTTCCTGATCCAGGAACTGCTCAATATTGGGGACATGAGTGAGGCCGTGAGCAATGTCTGAGAAGAGCGAGACTGTTCTGTTAGTGAGTTGTGAAAAGAAGCAGGTGAGGTCAAACAACCGTCTGATACAGTCAGGGACGTGCTTGTAGACCCACTTTTTCACGCAACGACACATTGGTGACTTTCGTCCGGGTGCTAATGGATGGCCGCATGCTCCACCAGGTCGCATTACTCGTCACTCGTATTTCTCGTTCTCGAAAACTCAAGCAGAACAGGGAGGAGAGGCAACACGAGAGAGACTCATCGTCAAAAGCAGTCAGTTCAGCTCTCAGGCGTTATCGATTCTCAGAGAACCATCGCCCAAAGCCGCACTTTCATCATAAAGTCGTCGAGAGCATCCCTCTCATGACCACCCAGCGCCGTAGAATGCAAATGCAATGTGTGAAAGGCCTCTGTCTCTTCCGAGAGGCGGAACAAGAATCTCCCATCCGTGTTTTTATCCCCTCCATTCCCAAACGCCGTCCTTTTCGCAATGCAGTATCCAAGATTCACGTTCGTTAAAGCTGGAGCTCGACCTCACTCTGACCTTCTCCTCTTAGTCGTCATCGCTTTCCTCGTCTTCTTCGTCAAGTGCTTCCATGGCCTCTTTGATGAACGGTGCAGCCTAGTCGTATGTTAGTCGAAATCACAATCATATTCAAAACGATTCAGACTCACCTTCACATCCAGGTTGAGGGCAGTCGTGAAAGCCTTTAGCGCGCCCGCCTTATCGTTGAGTCCTTTGCAGCACTTGCCGAGCAAGAACCACACGTTCGCCTCATCAGGTGCCTGATCCCTCAAAATCTCCAACTCCGCGAACGCACTGTCATACTCCTTCATGTGCATCAGGACCCTGGCCTTCTTGAACCGCGCCAGGGCACTCTGAGGAGCCAGCTCCAAAGCTTGGGCATAGTTCTTCAGAGCAGCATCCTTGTTCCTCAACCGCTCCATCACAACGCCAATGCACACAAGCAAAGTGCTGTTGGAAGGGTTGATCTTATGTGCGATCTGGTAATGGCGCTCGGCGTCCTCGAGCTTACCCATCCGCTCGTAGCACTTGCCCAAGCCGTACCACCCCCCGTATCCTCTACGATCAATCGCCACAGCTTTCCTGAAAGCCAAGAGCCCAGAGTCGAAAGCCTCGTTGGCCATGTATTCGTGACCCATGAGCGTGTAGGCGTAAGCAAACTTCTCGTCAAGTTGAGTAGCGCGCTTGAAAGCTGAAATCGCCGAATCATGCTCACGAGTGAGTGAAAAGGCATTGCCAACTGCGACCCAGGTCTCCGGAGCATCGAAGTGGTTGTCACGTAGGACACGACAGAGGAACGAGAGTGTCGACTCCTTCTTCATGTGCCAAAGAACGGTAGAGTAGATCTCCATGTCTTCGATACGCGATGGCTGCATCTTCATGAGCTTCGAGAAGCACTCTTCAGCGGCCTTGTAGTCTGCGGCTTCATAGTAGGCCTTGCCAAGTTGAGCAAGCACCCATGGCGTCTCGCGCTGGGCCGAAGGAAGAGAGCGGAAAGTTTGAATGGCTTCTGGCAGTTCAAACTTCGCAATCGCATGAGAGCCAACCGCCAGCTGCCTGAAGTTATCAAGCAGACTGTTCATGGCCTGCTGTTCGGCTAGCGCATCATGCTGGGTCGTGGACTGCGACTGTTTCTGCGGAAGAGCGATCGTAGACATGATTGGAGCAGCCGAAGTCGCGGTACTCCGCTCGCTGTTGCGACTCATGGCGCGTTTCTCCTTCTCCTTTTCTTTCTCATCTGGAGGCATCACCTTCCGGTTTCCACTAACAACCCGTCCCACAACAGCACCCGTTCGACCCTTAGTTCCGGTCGCTGCTTTCGCTGTGCGAGCTGTCCTATCAGCTCTGCCAGCTACAGATGCGGTGGTGTCTGCGGTCGAACGAGTCATGCGGGTGGTTATCGATTGAGTAAACAAGCGATTGCTGCGTCGAGGTTGAGATAGATCGGCGCTCGTCTGAGACGCCGCGCCAGAGATGGTCCTCTTCTGTCCTTGAGCACTGGGTTTCCGAGGGGCATGCATAGGATCGTCGGGTCCTTCTGACTGTCCCCTGTTCTGACCATACCGTGGTCTGTCTGACGCTTCTAGCTGCTGGCCTGGGCGTGCTCTCCTAGAGGGCGCCACTGGTGCGAAAACATCGTCCTGATTCTCAGCCATGGTGATATCGTCATCCAGAATGCTGCCATGAACAGTCGGGGTGTCCCACTCAGACAAAGCCATCTTGCCCTTGATTTTGGGCAAAGGCTCTGGATCCTGCAACGCAGAATCTGGTCTCGACGAAGTGAAGGGATCGTCCATGGATGCTGTTGGATGGCGCACCCCAAAGTTGGGCTGGGGTCCAAGTGGTTGCCTCGAATCCTCGTCCACATAGACTTGCGTATCTCCCGATCCTGATTCTGAAGAGGCGGGAATGTCCGTCATCTGCCTGAACATGTTTCCAACCTTGAGGTCTGCCCCAATCGTACACAGTCCCTCGAACGCATCCCACACGAATGCGTTCTGCTTGTGCGCCTCGATGAAGCAGTCTCCCGCTTTACGCGGTTCTCCATTCGCACGGTATAGTCTGCCGAGCAGTGTCAAGACTGCGGGGGCATCTGGCGTGTGCCGTCTTGACGTCTCAGAGTGCTTGTTCCAGTCGCTCTTCCCGACCCAAAGTTTCTTGCATGCTTCCAGCGCAGCCAAGCCTTCACTATAGCGGTCGAGTTCCGAGCATGCTTGCGCAAAGACGTAGGCACAGCCCAGGTGTCTGCCGATAGCGCCACTCTTGTGGCTGAAGTCGTAGGCGGCCTTGGGGCGACGAGATCGAAGGTAGGTGAGGGCGAGGAGATGTTGGGCATCGGCATTCCGTGGCTCGAGAGCATGGAGACGTCCGGCGAGAAAGTTCGCATTGTCGAGCATGTCATTGTCGAGGTGGTAGTAGATCAGCTGCCGCAGCTGGGATGCGGCGATGGTGGTGGTGGGTGCCATGGTGCAGGCGGCGTAGGAAGGCTATTAGGATTATGTTATGCGGGTGCTCGCTGGGGAGGAAAGGTCGACAAGGAAATCACCGCGTGGCCGCCGGGTGCACGCATGGATGTGAGGCAGTCGTGAGGTCGTGACTCGAGGTGTGCAAGCGCCTACTTCGGCGTGGTGGTGATGGTGGCTGGGAGCCGGTTATGCTGTCATGACCGTCTCATCGTAATCGTGGGTGCTGTCGTGGGTCTGGTCTGGATACTGCGAGAAGGTGTGAGTACTTGGACTGTTGCGAGTTGTTGCGCGACGGTGGTGAATGGTCGCTGGCGGGTTTGTTTTGTGGTCGTTGCTACGAAGGCGCACAAGCCACGAGCGGCACGGCAGGATCGACGACGCCAAGCCCGGCAATCGATTGCTCGCGTGGTCGACCTCGTACTTCACTCACTCTCAATAAACAGTTAAGCAGGCCACAATTGGACTGGAGGCATTGCCGTGGTTGAGTATTGTTCAAGATGGCTCAGGTAAGAATTGGATAAGTCATACTCCACCGGCTTCAGCTAAGACCTTCATCAGAAAGCCTTCAAAACCCTCGCCCAAAAGAACACTCAAACCCTCAACCGCGCGCACCTCATCGCCCTCGGCGTCAATGCGTTCTACCTCCTCTTCGCCCTCCTAATCTCTCGGAAACGAAGTCTCTACAAATACATCCTCCTTAACGGCCCGGCCCTTGTCTTCGAATTCTGGTTCGAACGAATCGGTCGCCCGGTCTACCAAGATGGGGAGCTCAAGCGCGCTGGCGAAGATCTTGAAGCCAAAGGACTGACGGAATGGATGTGGGACGTTGTCTATTGGACTTGGGGGAATGTAGTGTTTGTGGCACTCGCTGGGGATTGGGCTTGGTGGGGAATGGTCGTGCCGGTGCTCTATAGTGTTTGGTCGGCGTGGACGACGTATACTGGTGTGAGGCAGGGCATGGGCGGGATGATGGGTGGAGGCGATACTGATACGCAGAAACAAGGTGCCGGTGGACAGAGTAAGAGGCAGGCGAAGATGGAGAAGAGAGGTGGGCAGAAGATGGTGTATCGGTAATACATCTATACAGCTACAAGCATAGAGAAAGTCTATCCGCCGATCATGGATTGCATTCCCAGAATGCCATACCGCTGCATCTCACTCAACCGGATGCCAAGATGCTTCTCCAACGCCTCGACCCTCTGACCTTCACTGTCGAGGGTGCCAAGATCTTCCTTCTTGCCGTGTACTCTTCGATGGAGCCTGTTGCCCATCAACACGGTATCCCCAACAATCTCCTCCCCGTCCTCCGAAAGAATGTGCTTCACAGCAATGACGATCTGTGTGAAGAACACCCTTTTATTCGTGCTCGTGAACTGATTCATGACCATGTAATCGGCAGGCAGGAATTCGACATTATCCGGAAAGCAGTAGTTCGGCAGGAACGGCTTGTCGTCCGCCATCCGCTTTTCCAATATCCACACTTTCGAGGTCGGGTTTTCGAAGTCTTCCAGGGTGTCATACCGCAGCCGCACAGAGTGCTCGGGTTTGATATTCAGGTGGATCTTTCCATCTTCAAGTGGCAAGGGTCTTGTAGCGCCTCCAGCTCCAAATCCAACATCAACCATGTAGCGAACATCCTTGATGGTGACAATGTTAATCATGTGGGCAAAGCCATACCACATCGAATGATCGCCTGGATCGCCGTTTGGTGAAGCAGCGGCATTGACTCGGCCACCAGTGGACATGATCTTGAATCCAAGAGAGCGAAGGACGGTCCCAAAGAATGCATTATTTTCCATGCAATATCCGCCTCGTCCAGTGCCCTGGGTGACAATCTTTTGGAAGAGAATCTGGGGATGAATGTCGATGATTTGATTTCTTGAGTAATGCAACTCCGCATTCTCGAACGGGACGTTGGCCAGAGTGTATCGTTTGAGGACAGTCAAGTACTCGAGGGCCTGGTCACCGCTACTTCCCTTCTTTGCCTCCTCAAGATCCAGTCGCCACTTGGAGGGAAGGTTGATGCGGTCGTAGATTTGGAAGATTTGTTCTTGCGTGTAAGTTGGACGAGGCATCTTGTAGTCTGTCCCAAGTCAGAAGTCTCTTCAGGACGAAGACGTTGAACCAAATTTCGATCGTATTTTCAAGGACGAAATTCGAGTCAGTCTTGAGTGATTGATGGAAGCCGAACAAGTACCCCAAATATCTCCGACCCTTGCCCAGATCTTCATGTATCCCGGTAGATGGATCTTGTCTCTGCCGCCATCATGGGGTGCATCCAGCATACCATATATGTCTCTCGTGCTACGAAATCCGGGGCCTTTGAACAATCCGACTGCTCAAGGCGGTTAAAGGTCTCCAGGCATCGTCACACTGCGAAGGGTGAGTAAGCTGTTTCGCCGCCAAGCGCGAGCTCCAATGGTGAGTCCACATAAGCAAGTATCTCCAGTTCCGTACTGTGACAATGGGCTTGTCCCATCTCAGTAGGAGAGAGCGAGCAACTTCAGATTCCCGTGCTGGAAGTCTGAGGTGCAGTGCAGATGCATGTACGATGGTCGAGGGCTGTTGCCGATGACGCTCGAGTACGGCGGCCTACATCGGCAGCAGGTACGCGAGTTCGGCAGCTCAGGAGATCCCAGCCATCTTCAACTCAGCGGCCCTCATCTCCAACACCATGGAGAGCGAGACAAAGACCACCGCATTCCATCAACGAATGGTGGTATCTGACACAGGCCACCCACTCGACCGGGCAGTACAGGCCCTTCGTCCCGGCCAGCACGGCACGTTGACCCACTAGAACGTTTTGGGAATCCACTGCGAGTCTCAGCCGCAGCAATTTGATGGGAAGAGCGCGAGAATGAAAACTTGATGTATAACTTTGAAGTCGAATATCGAGCGAAGAGGGTCCGCTTCATGGTAGTGGCAGTGATGAGGAGGAGAGTACTTGGCAAGACGGAGGTAGAAAAGGTGGGGCGTTTCCTCGTCTTGGGCTTCTTTCTCCTCCAATCTCAACTTGGTCAGTTGGAATTCATGCTATCTTTGTGCATAAGAAAGAATCGTTTCAAAAATGCATCTTAACAACTGGGTTTACTCTCTGGCTTTGACAGGTCTCGCGAGCTGTCAAACACCACCTGGATATCCACAAAGTACTCATCGAGCCTTGATCGTGGCCTACGACAACCTCACAATCACGCCAGACGCTCTCATCTCACAAAATGGTATGCCTCTTGCAACCTAAGTGTCTCACTGAATCTAACCAAGCCCTTCCAGACACCACGCTCGAGCCTCATATATCTCTGCCCCAACACTCTCGCTGCAGAGAAGTCTACATGCTCCTCATGTTAGATCTCTCCCTCCCCACCTCCAACCTCCCTCAAAACCAAACCTACACCTCCGGCATTGGACAAAACCGTTCCACCTACCTCCACTGGTTCCAAGGAAACCTCACGCACTCCCACCACTCCAACGCTCTCATTCCTCTGTCCGATACCGAAACCATCGCGCCATATGTCCCGCCGAGTCCGAATCCGGGCGATATTGCGCATATCTATGCTTTCTATCTCTTCAAGCAGCCAAAGGAATTCGTCTTGACGGGTGTGAATGCCGGGAGAGATCTCTACCCAACGGTGTCGTATGATAGGATAAGCTTCAGTGTGCAGGATGTCGCGGAGGAGAAAGGGTTGGAGTTGGTCGCGGGCACGTACTTCAGAGAGCAGACGCCTGCTTGATAGAGAGGTGAGGTTGCAGTATAGTGCTAGGGATGAATTTCGCTGACCGTCTCATCAGGATTGGACAGTTCACTCACTCACCTGGCGCCAAGAAACACTCACAAGCCAATCATCCTGCGCTAGTTTCTACTTGCTTACTTTTCATAGCGAGCGCAAAATTCATGCCATGGTACTGGGTCGGTCAGGTAAAAATGGCCCTCTCTCAAGAGGGTTTAAAGGTCACAGTAGGTGATGTCTCTCATCTCGAATCTATCCCCAGCAAAATCATCTTCAGAAAGAGACAGTCTATCGATCGAGCAGCATAGCCAGCCATCAACTTTCGGGGATAGAACCTGGAAATACGAAACTCACATCGCAGAGCTACCGCACCATGGACGCTGAGAGAATGCCTGTCACCTTCGCGCAGGAGCTCTGGGAGAGCGTTTACGCTGAATTCTCGGGGCGTACGCTCACGTACGAGGTGACGATTTCTAACGCCACTGCTCCGCCACAGGAGGCCCATGGCGGCAACGCTTTGAGTGAGGATGATTACCTTCCGGCTGCGGTTGGAGATGAGAGAGGAGGAGCGCTTTCGAAAGGTCAGGGTGTGAGTCAAGAGGGCTCACTTGGGGATAGTGGTTGCGACTATCCCCATCACATCAACTGCGACGAGGCCTCCAGCGAGGATGACTGGGCCCTAGTCAGGGGTAAGAGCGATGGGGATGGATCTGAAGATGATGTCGCCCGCTTCGAGCAGAACAAGCCAAGTGAAGGGCGCCCTCCCAGCGCCACTCTCCTCACCCTCCCCGTCGAACTCCACCTAGAGATCTTCTCCCATCTCACCGCGCACTACACCTCCACCAACAACATCACCCCGGTCGATATAGCCGGCCTCTCCGCGCCTCACACGCTCCCCTCGAAAGAACATCACCTCCCTAAATCCTACTCTTTCCTCCTCACAAACACCCTCACCCACGCGGACCTCATCATCGAGATCAACAAATCTCACCCCTTGATCTTCTACAACCTCTCCGATCTCCAGGCCTGGGTGAGGAACATGCGCAAAGCGACGCAGGTGATTCTCGATCTCGGCGATGTTTCCCCCAAGATCATGCGCAAAGCGCTCTATACGTTCCGAGACCTTCCTAAACTGGAGGCGATCGAGGTGAGATGTACACCGCGCAACCGCGAAGCGGTGTGCATCCCGCCGGGGTGGAAGGGGTTCCCGGCGTTGGAGAGAGCGACCATTACCGACCCCAAGCTGGAGGCGGAGCAAACGAGGGCGCACGTGGAGAACCAGGGCCTCCTCAAAACCACCATCCAGAAGATCAAGTCTCTCCGCGACGAACGCGACACCTTCACGCAAGACAGCCCACGGGTGAAGGAGAAAATCTCCCGCATCCCAGCGCCTCGACGGCGCGCTAACCCAGTGCATCAGCAGGCTCTTATTGAGCGCAGGATCGGCACGATCATGATGTACGCGATGGTCGCGATCGATCAGGAGCTGAAGAGGGCGCGGCTGGAGCGCGTTAGGTTGGAGACGGAGTTTCCGAAGCCGGAGTTTTGCGTGAGGTGTGCGCGGTTGGGATTTCAGGGGATGTTTTTGAAGGATGATGTGCGCTTGAGGAGGGAGGCGAGGGCGCTTGTGAAGAAGTAGAGGTCCGTCTCCGCCATGAGTTGATTGTCCAGGCCAGTGGCACTTCATCCAGGGACCTTGACGGGGCGGGATGAGTGGGGAGAGAGGGCGTAGTTTTGAGAACAAAGGTTTACGTCGGCGCCTGGAATGAGCAGAGATGGGTTGAGAGGATGGTGCCTTGTTCAGCGAGTTGGCAATTGCAACGATATCTCCATCTCAGCTAAGCTTCGGGCGTGCAGGCCAACAGAGCCTCGCTCAAGAGCATAGACGCCGCGATTTCAGGAGAGAAGTGTTTGTCTTTGAAGAGATATGTCTCATAATCAGAGACTTGAGATTGATCTATCGCATGAGCTACGCTATAAGAACCCCAAACAAATTCGAAACCTGCTGAACGACCATCGCTTTCGTGACTTTCATACCTTTTCAAAACCAAAGACAACCCAACACATCAGCCATTCATCTCATTCAATCTACAAAGTCCCAGCATCCTGCTGCGTCAAGCTCCACTGGAAGCTGCTGCCCACACCATAGGCAACGCCATTGCTGCTGGCGTTGATGTTGCCGGCATACGAGCTATCAATGTTCTTGTTGAACAGAGTGCAGTAAGTACCCCAAGCAAAGTTGCCCTTGTAGACATAGTACGAGTTGAACGAGTTGGCCGCCTGGTACGTCTTCAAGCCCTTGATCTGCGCATCAGCCCTGTTGGCGGAAGTCTGTGCAGTGGCGTAGAAGCCGCAGAGGGATGGATCATAAGGACCAGCGAAGAATTCGGAGCCGAGAGAAAACTGCCCAGCAAGGGTGATGGCTTTGTTGCCGAGGCCGGCAGAGAGGGAGAAGCCTGCTGGCACGCTCGGGGTGACGAAGGGGGTCTTGTCGTAGCCGTTGGAGGCGGCGATGACGACGCGGAATTATTCGCGGTACTGGCCGGTGCTGGTTGCGGAAGCCCGGCTAATGGAGGAGCCCCAGAGGGCACACTTGTAGTTGGTGGTGGACGGGGGGTTAGGGCAGTTTGGACCTGGGTCGAGGGAAGGGTCGCGCTCGACGTAGAGGTTGAAGGCGGTGCAGAGGTCGACGTTATTGCAGTAGTTGGCGCATTTGAAGACGTCGTACGAGGGGAGGATGTAGTAGGTGAGGTAGGAGTTTTGTTGGGTCGAGCCGTTCAGGTCGCGGAATTTCTCGATGTAGGGGAAGGGCGGGATGACGGAGTTGGCAAGGGCATGGAAGTAGAGGCTGTTGGAGAAGGCTTCTGGGGTGTCTGGCGAGACCTTGGGGCCGGCACCTGCTGGCTGAGGAGAGCAATCGCCACGCTTGACCTTGTTGGCGGCGGCGGCAGCAGAGGTTGGCTGGACATCATCCGTAGCAGAAGTGGCAGCAGCGGCGCTGTTGTAGGCGAGTGTAGATTGAGCAGTGGCACCGACTGGGGCGGCAGTGGTTGCTGGGAGAGGAGCTGCGTTGATCGCGGCGATGTTCTGTAGACGATTGTTAGAGGTGGTGCTTCCCACCGTTGTGATGTCTCTGTAAACATACCAATTGTTGTGCGGAGGCCAGGCCAGCCAGGGCCACGATAGGAGCGAAGGAGGTACGCATCTTGAGATGAAGATAGAAGACTGTCAAGTGTAGCGAGTGAAGAATGCACTGATGAGCCAGGGAATCATCATGTCTGACCTACCGGGCACGGCATCTTTATACCTACTGTAGGACGGACGACTTCTAGAAACAATAGTCGCAACTCACAGCCTTAGCTTTTCATCTGCGAAGCTCCAAGCAGTCTGCAGCATGGCGTAGTAGTGGCGGCAGCAGTAGTCCTTGTTCCAGCCAAGCAGCTTCAGCGAAAAGATAGAGGGCGCCGTCTCCCCTCCTAATGAAGCTAATCATCCAGAAGCTACAGTCCAGTTCTGGCCTTGGATAGGAGCGCGAAAACGTGGCTGAGAAAGGTAAGGTTCGATCCGATGTAGTGCTCGGTGTCACTATGTCCTCTGGGCTAGGAGCCGCCATGATGACGGCTGAGCGATCTGTGTTCGTAGACGCCGGAGGAGCGAAGCAGAGGACGTGAGAGATGTGGTCGGATCTGACTTGCGAGCGGATGTGGATGGTTTGCTGATTCTCCGCAGGAACGAGAGATGGACACCGGGGAACGATTCTCGCATCAACGGCAGCATGTGAAGCTGGTCTTCTGGAGGCAAAGTTGAAGCTGCTTCTGACGCTGCCGAAGGCGCCGAAAGAAGTCGACTTCTCCGTTTCAAGGTTGCCCAGCTCTTTGCGAGTCCAAAAGTTTGATGTGAGCTGCCTGATCGAGCGAAGACTGATCCTGCGCCATCCCAAAACGATCGGTTTCTCCTTTGCTCTCGCGCAATTGGCGCCATGTGGCTGCAGGTCGAGACACCGAATCGGCTGATCGCCAGGCACATTTGACTTTAAGGTTAAGAGTACCGTGATCCAGGTCCGTGGCCAGACAACCGTAGACCGAACCAAAGGCCTCTGTGTGTAAAGCGTGTAAAGTCGTCTTGACATTTGAAACAGTGGAAACACATGAACCTTGTCGTCCGTTGGCTGATAAATCCTGAATGTCTCAAACTACCTGCACTCCCTCTTGTCAAATCTTGCAATCTTTTGAAGCCCTCATCGGGCTCACTCACACTAAATGCTAGCGGGCTTCTCTGCACAGCCGCGGCCCAAGTGACTTCACGCGGCTCACCACCAATGTCTGCCAGTCTCATGGGCGTGCTGCGTGAGGCAGAGCTCTCTTGTGACTGCTGCAGTGTGACAGGCGATACGGAAACCGCCTTCACGACCGTGATAGGGCAAGGCGTCGAACTCTCGGAGCTGTGCCGAGCGATTGTATTCGATTCTGAGATCCAGTCTAGGGGCGTCATGCGAGAGCTCACTGCGCCGGCAGAGCATGAGCAAGTTGAGACGCCGGATCCAAGCCAGCGATGACACGGCTCTATCCCGACGTGCGGTGCCTGCAAGTCCAGAGCTATTTCGTTCGGCATCAGGTACCGTCCAATGAGCTGAGAAACTCTTTCCACGTCGAGCGTTTTTCACCCGTCCACAACAGTCGGCATGGTCAGAACGTGGCAGCCTGCCACATCAGAATCGTGGAGGTGGGCTGCCTCTCCAGGTACTCAATCGAAGAGGTACCGGTCCATTGCCTGTAAAGAACGCATTGATGTCATGTGGCTCCATCGTCCGACACCAGCTGACTCCATCGGGTTCGAAGAGAAAGTCTACCTCGATGCTCAAGTAAATATCTTCAGTCTTTAACTGCTCAAACAGCTCTTTCCAAGATTCGTTGGAGCTGTTGCAGTGAGATAGAGTGAGTGACTGTATCGTTCGGCGATGTTTCTTCAGCAAGTCGACCAGCTCCAAGGGTTCCACAATTCCTTGCATGAGGGATAGATTCTTCAAGCGAGGATAGTGAGCCTGTGTACCGATTGTCTTCATGACATTAGGCACTGGTAACTCAAAGTGAAGCTCTTCTAGATTCTCGGCCGACTGCAGAAGGCGAGTCAAGTGGCCTTGTTTCACCGTTCTGATGGCCGAAGCATGTCGGCCTTCCGCTAGGCCTGCACCTTCACAGCTCACCACAAGATTCAGCTTCCGAAGGTGTCGAGCGATAGCGATGAAGCGCTCGAGGTCGGCGCTCCGTTGCCGGAAAAAGTAATGAGAGATGCCAACCATGCTATTGTCCTCGCCCCATTTCGACGCAAACTGAGGCCGGATCTCGAAGCTTTCGATGGGCTTTTCAGTGTTCGATAGTGCTCGCAGAAGTATCAGCAACCCTCTCCAAGGGCGCTGAACATGGACGCATGAAGCATCTGTGAGCTCGTTCTTGTCCCACGCGTCGTGGTGGTAGTCCACAGTCATCATTTGCCGCAAGTCATCGTTCTTGGGCTCGGAATTGCTGCCTGCCTTGCGTACAGCCTTCCAGTTCACGGTCGGCGGGTAGGCAAAAGTCTTGAAAAGGCGTTCCTTGGGCCATAATCGAGCAGTTGGTGATTCTCCGTAGGACAGATCGTCCGGCGCGGGCATATAATGGTGGCGGCTCGACAAGACCACGCTCTTGAGTTTTTGGAGCTTTGGAAGAGCGGACAACAAGAGTCGCTCGTCCTTTCTCTTCCGACGGATGTGGTGATGAAGTTGTGCTTTCTCGAAGAACAGCCAGTACCCGTACTCGCCCTCTGTTCGAGGATAGAGGTCTGTGCACCAAGACCCCCACGACCCGAAATGCTTGGCCGTTTCCAAGTACTTCTTCTTCTCCATCAATGAATCGCAGTACGTCGTGTCGTCCCATATCAGCTCTTTGACCCCGCGACATATCAACGGGTTTCGAACGACCATACGAAAGATCTGCACGTCAAGCGGATGGGAAGACAGCCAGACGCGTGGGAACAGATGCGGCGCGCCCATCGCAGCACAGGAGCGACATGCCAGGCGGACGCTCTTGACATCCCGGATGGAGAGAGATTGCAAGATGTTATCCGAGATCTCGTTCGGAAGGCGATCCATGGTGATGAGCCTGGTCAAGAAACATCATGTCTTTCCTCGACGTTAAGAATCTCTGTCGCCTGCGAAATCCGCCGTGGCGCAGCTGTTCGCCTTCTCGCAGAGACATGAACGTCATTGGCGAAATGAACGTCGCTCAGGCGCCGACGCCGTACAGCCGCAGGACATGACCAACTCATGTAGCATCGACAAGCTATTGCATGGGGCCTTGCAAAGTATGTAGTGTCTTGACATACGTTTTCCCACGATCGCAAGTTCGGCTCGGTGGACTTGCCGCCGGCATCGTTGGAGTTGACCGATCCTCTTCATCAGAGTAGACACTTTCTGCCCTCTTCACAAATCCACAATATCGCCAATGCGTACCGTACGGATGGCCATATTGGGCCAAGGAGCTGTCGGTATACGCAAAGCTCAGTTGCTTCTTAAACGAAAAGAGCCACACCTCAAACTCTACAGTACAGATATTCGACTCGTGGCTATTTGCACTTCTTCGAAGGGACTCCATCGCGAAGAAGGCATCTCCTCGGAAGAAGTCGAGTCCTCGGCTCATCTGTAGGACCGACCTCCAGGGTCAGAATATCTGAAATCCCATGTTGGAGTGCCGGATGTACTGTTTGACTGCGGACCATCAGACTTTGACCGGAAACCTGAGCCTAGCTCTCTCCCCTACTACCACCTCATGCTGGGTACCGGGAAGGCAGTCATCGCCGTGTCGAAATCAGCTCTTGTCTCTCATGGGCCCGAATTAGCGATAATATGCAAGAGGAACGGTGGATGGATCGGGATGAGCGGTGCCACGGGGGCTGCACTTCCAGCATTAGACCTTCTACGAGGCAGTGTCTTGGGGTGTACGGTCACCAAAATTGAAGGCTGTCTCAATGCTACGACGAACTATGTTCTTGATGCCTTAATGCAAGGGTCTGCAGGAACCGAGACAGGTCAGATTCAGACTTTAGCAGATGCTGTCAAAGTCGCACAATCACAGGGATTCGCGGAGCGTGACGCATCTCGAGATATCGAGGAAATGGACAGCATGGCTAAGCTGGTCCTACTGGCCAACTTTGGGGTCTTCCGAACCCTGGACAGCGACAATGCTATCGATGAGGTGGAGACTTTCCGCATCGAAGACATTCAACGGAGCGGACTGAGCGAGATGAACGTGACACCGGACGTGGTCGCAAATTGGAGGGCAACATCGATGACTCCAAGACTCGTCAGCGGGCTGGAAAGTAGAGACACCGATGCATCTTCTGCATCATTGGGCAAATGGACTGCCAGCGTCTCGCTACAGACGTATCCCTCGTCACATCCATTTTCTTCACTTCAAGGAACGCTGAAAGGGATTCTAATCCACACGGAAGAGATGGGCGATATCTTTGCTTCGGCGTGTGGGTTGGAGCCTGAGGCGACTGCAGCGAGCGCCTTGAAGGATTTTCGAGTTTGGCTTCAGTCTAAACGGTAAAATGGTGTTCTAACAGCGAACCGACGACAATGGGAATCAGGGGCATGACAGGCCTTAGTCCTGCACTGTCAGCGACATTGCAGGTGAGTAATCTCGATGACTTTCGAAAGTATCGTCGTTCCCTGCTCTCTCCTCATCCACTGAACATGCCTTAAATATGATAATGTCTTCATTGACCAGGCGCTTGCGGAATCGAAAGGGCGATTGGCTTCGACTCACATGGGTCTACTGATGCAAGGGCCGGGAACCCCAGGCACAATTATCGTAGTCTCTTCGGTTGCCGAGCTCGACTAGTCGCTACTACATATCATTCGATAAAGCATACTGCGTACAAACTCCAGACTCCATGAACTGGTAGTGATGTGTTGCGAACGTGGAGGTCTCCAATACACACTCAAAAGTTCGTCCATCGTCGTCCAGGACCACGGCCCGCGGAAAGGTCTGCTCTTCCTACATCGACAAACCCAATGGCATTGGAGATACCGTTCAAATTCATTGACGTGACAAGACTTGACAATGAGGAGTCCGTCAAGTACGAGGTGCGAGCTCAGGCCGCCCTACATGGCTACTACGCTTGTGCAAAGAGACTGCAGGCTGTTGCCGACGCGAGTACTGGTCCTCAAGCTATCAGGCGAGCCGGCAAAGGAAAGAACAAGAGACAAGCCAACAGTACAGACAAGTCCGATGACAGACCAAGGGATAAGACTGGCTTCATCCCAGTAGAGTCTACGCTCTTGACTCCATACAGTCAGCCACCGGAACTGAGAGATCAAGACTGGATCGACTGTATACTGAATACGTGTGAGCAATGACCGCGATCAGTAGATACGAGTAAAAAGATTACTAAAGCAGCGCAGATTTCAACTTCATCATGCCGCCCAATTGGCTCGCATGTGATATGGATGCTAAAGTAGGATTCCCAGCGGGCACATTCGTCAACTGGTACGAGATGCCTCTCTACACAGAGTCTACATATCCCGGCAAACAACTGACCGCAGACTTTTGCCGCTTCGTAGAGTCCGCTTCAACTCAATGAGCGACCCTGCCATTTACTGTGTGCACGCCTGTGCCGCTGCGCTCACAACACTGCCCAAGGGCCGAGACTCTCTCCAAAAATTCCTCTGGCTCAAAGGGCATCTTTTGCGACAGATCAACATGGTCATTGCAGACCCGCAACGGAGGCTTGACAGTTTGGCTATCTTGGCCGTGCTCCATATGGCATGCTACGAGGTCTTCGCCGGGAATTTTTGCGTTGCAACGGAAGTGCATATTCCCGGACTGCGTCGTCTGTTGGCGCTCCAAGGGGGCGAGCAGGAGCTCGAGAAGAAGGTCCCGGCGTTTGTTATGGGGACTCGCAGGTGGCTCAGCGATGTTTTGACGCGATCATGCGGTTGCCAGCCTGTGATCTCTCCTCTCGGGGTGGATATTGGTGATGTCGCCGGGCAGATGAAGACGGCGTTCGACGACAAGCTGGGTATGGAGATTTACGGCGAGCGTTAGGAGGTCATTTTCGAGCCTGAGAGACTGCTTCAACACAATCTCAGCTGACGAGTCGACTGTGAAAGAGCAGAAAACGCCCAGCAATGCATATCAGGCGGAGGACGACGCGATCGTGTCTGGACGTTAGCTTCCAAGCCACGATCCAAATTCTTGGAGAAAGGCCATGTCCACGCAAAGGCCGCGTAAACGATCTCCTACCAAGACCGCCATCTCAACACCTGCCGCCTGACAAGGAAAAGCACCTTCGATCCCGAAAGCCCTCTGCACCTTCCAAAAACGGATCTTGCGATCGAAGTGAATTAAACTTCAAACTACGGCAAACACGTGGACTGAGCCACCAAATTCTCACCAACGACGAGCTGCTGGTCAACACTTGGCGCATTCGATCTTCTCACCCAGAGCCACTCATGTTCGAGAGAGATGGAGAGATGTGTTGTTGAAACGTGTGGTTGCTGCGCCACAGCTTGCTTTCGACGTCACTTCGTGATGTCATGGGGATGGCTCGTGTCGATCTTTCTTGTGACCAGGAGACATAAAAGAGAATCGCTCTTTGAGGTGTAGTTAGTCTCGCTACCAGATTTCTGAACTACGATCATCCTGGAAAATAAACAAGCTTAAGTTTTTGGTTAGTTGGATGTCAGTTGTGTTGTGTAAGGAACTCGTACTGACTGAGCTTCAGATTAAACAAACACCACAACCATGCCTATCGGAGAGCAAGACAAGGGTGCTGAGGGTGCCGCAAAGGGCGTCACTTCTACTGTACACATAACGACCCCAATCTCTCGTTGTCCAGTGCTAACAACTTCATAGCTCGGCAATGCCGCAGGAGGTGTGAGCCGCACAGTTGGAGGACTCGTTGGCACTGCAGGCCGTGGCCTCGGAGACACTATCAACAGTAAGTCGCCCGTTCGTACGTGTGGTGAGAAGTGGCCGCTAAAGGATTTGGCAGACACCACTGGCACCAAGCAGGTCGGTGATGGCCTTCAATCCGTCACTGGTGGTATCGAGGATGGCGCCACGAATGTTGGCAAGGGCGCTGAGAACGCTGGACAGTGGAAGAAGTAGTGATACCCTCGAATGCAGTTCATAAGTGTTCTGATTAGTTGACGAGATCAAGCAATGCTTTATCCATTATCCCACTTGCTCTTGCTTGACCTCATGCCTAGAGTCCGTGTCCCGCTGCAGTCTCCGTCAGCGTTATCACATGTCTGCTGTGTTGGTTGATGGCTTACTCGCTTCTGCAAGCCCTCTGCCTCATCAAATCGGGAATACACATCATGTCTCGCTCAGCTTCCTCTTCTTGGTACAGGTCATACCCTCCTCGTGGTGGTGGAACTGACAGACGTCGACCTTCGCATAGGCTTCCTTGTTCAGATTCATGCTCTTGTCCCAGTCCCACTTGAAGTGCAGTAAATCGCAGAGGGCCTCCTTTGGCCATTCCATGCCCTGCTCCTTCTTTAGAACATACATGCTACCAATGGCATGGATCGCAAAACGACGCAAGCCAGACGATGGTGCCGTGTTCTCGTAGATTATGTCAAGGCTAGTGGTGGGGACCATCCAAACCCTGATGATCTCGTTTCTGAACGTGTCAATGCAGACATTCATCAACAGCGGAATTTCTCGGCGGTCGGCAAAAATCCAGAGTTTGGCCAGGTCGGTGAAGGTTTCAGTCTTGGAAGTGTCGATCTCGACTGTACCGCGGTACAGCCACAAGACGAAGGTTGAGAATGTGTCCACCTCTTCCGTAGGTAGCTTGATAGCACCTTTTCGTGCTTCCTCGAAGTCGCCGTTGAGAGCCTTGTCGAAGTAGGCAGAGTAGAAGGAGAGGATGCCCTTGTGGAGTTTGAAGGTCTTGGCATTCGCGCCTTCGCCGACGATGATGTCGACTATCGTGTCGAACATTTTCCTGGTGCACTGGTCAGTCTTGCAAAGCTGGGGATAGTGTGCACATACTTCGAGGGATACTTGTCCGGCGTCGACGGCGGCGCCATGATGGCGGCCGAGTGCAAGATGTTGGCTGTTTGGTTGGTTGGTTGCGGTTTGTCGGTGTCGGTGTGGTGCGGTCGAGGAAGAAGGAGCAGTGCGGGCCGACACAAACGTCGTGGGCTGGCGTCGGCGCTGGCGCTGGCGCTAGCGTCCGGCTTGGCGTCACATGTGGCAGTCGCTACTTCCTCTTTCGTTCTAGGGGCTAGAGTGAGAGAGAAGTAAAACAGGAAGTAAAGTGAGATACCTGACTTGATGCATCACTTAACCTCTCACTTAGTACTTTACTTTACTTCTTCTTTTACTTTACTTCTTCTTTTACTTTACTTCTTCTTTTACTTTAC